GCACCACCAACGCGCGATAGACCTGCCACGCCCATAGCGAGAATGGCGTCCTCACAATCATTGCACAGTCCAAGTACGCGACCATTGAAAATAAAAGAGTTCTCAAATTGCTCATTCTAAAAGTCCACTCCATTGATCCAGATCCAAATACAGAAATTACACAGTCACACGTGTATCACAATCATAAAGCTCTCTTCCCGCGCAGTCGCAGTCCTCCTATGGCACCCAACTACAGCGCAAAGGTATCCGAGAAAGCAAAGCCAAGGATAATACAAAGACGGGTGCCAAGCGATCAGACGTGATATTTTTTGCTTTGCCAAAGGACGTAGGATAAGACTGCACAGCAACCCAGCCGGCTGGAGTCCGATCGATGTGCCGAAACGCCAGCACCGCAAGTGTGAACAAAAACATTAGGGGAATCAGAAAACACACATGGTGGTATAACAAGGCCGTTCCGTTGCGCAAAACGGATGTCGGTTCGTAAGCTTGGGGGCTTGATATGTCTATCTCCTGCGGACGCAGAAGAAGATACCGCTGCGACCCAAGAACCAGAGACAACCGAGGAAACGGACAAGGGCGAGGATGGCGGTCGAGATCAGGAGGAAGTTGAAGAAAGTGGCAGTACGATCGTTGGCAGACGACTAGGAGATTGTTAGTCGAGACGTCAAAATTGGTAGGATATGATTAGACTTACAGTGAAACCAAAGTTCTTCATGTTGTCCTGCTGCACGGCAACGGCAAGAAGAGCGTTCATACCAATCCAGGCGGTGGTCAAATGTGTACGGAAAGACTTGTAAGAATCCTCAAGGGTCTTCTCGTTGGATTCAACCGGAGGGACGTAGGGAGCAAGAGCACGCTTGACGGTGGCCTCGAACTGGCTGTCAATATCGGCTTGAGGCAGATCCGGCTCTTCGATGACTGTATGTTTACCATCCGCAGCCTTTTCAGTCTTGGCTGAGGGCAGAGCATCTGCCTTATCGGAACCCTTGGTACCCCAAGAAACATCGTGCCAGTTGGAGAACGCGTACACGTTGAGGATGTTGACGTAAGAAGACATGATGAGAAGGTACTGGGGGAACGAGGTGAACATGTGCCACGGGTCCATGTACAGGAACGAAGCCACGTAGTAGAGACCGAAAGTCGAGGCGAGAGCAAGAATGATGATACCGACACCAGCCTTGTCTGTGAACGAGTCAAAGAAGGACTTGGCGGAGTCAAGCTCGATACCGCGGGACTTGGGGTTCGTGAAAGCGATGACAACGAGGTAGATGGAGAGGACGACAATGTAGAACTGGATCAAACCGAACACCACGAAAGACGTCATGTACGACCACCTGGAACCCTTGGGACGGTTACCCAGGGCAAGAACGAATTGCAGACCCAAGAATGCTAGGTAGACGTATTGGACGACTGTGTTGAAGGAAGGAGTAACCGTATCACCGAAAGGCCAGCCGTGCTTCGGGGGGGTAGCGGTAAGCTCGGGAGTACCGACCAAAGACATGATAATGGAGGTGGTGAGCCAGAAGGAAGCCAGGGAGAACCAGGTCAGAATCGTTTGGAAGACGTTGTACAACATCTGAATGTGCAAGAAGAACATACGGATGATGTTGTGCCCAGACTTGTACATACGGCCGAAGTGCATCAGCGAGTAGATACCGGCGGCGAAAGAACCGTTAAGCCAACGACGACGTTGTCCAATCAATTCGGCAGCGCCTTCAGGCACATCGGTCTCACCCTTGGAGGCCTTGACGTAGGTCAGATGCCACTTGGAGCCCGCCTTGGCGACCAGCTCGAAACAAAGAATACGATCTTCGGCCAAGAACATGTTCTTCTTAAAAATGTTCATGCCCTCAATACCCTTCTTTCCGAGGATCTTGGCGAGCGTGTGGTCACCGTGGAAGTACTGCTCGAGAGGTCGTCCCATAATGGCGCGGTAACGGTACGCAGAGAACGCACCAGGCAACACAGAGACATAACCGAAAGACGATTCTAGCGGCTTGTCGAGAATGTTACTGATCTTGTACTCAAAGTTCTGGGCCGCAATGAGCGGGTTGAGCAGGTTTTTCCAGCCCTTGTAAAGTTAGTTTTCCCTTGAAGGATGATCGAAATCTTGGGTAGACTGGACGTACCTTTCCCAACATAGCGTGAATCTCACCGCAAGCACCACCGAGATCTTTGTCGTTGTAAAAAGCCTCCCAGAGGGCAAGCAGCGACTTGGGGCCGGGCTTGGTTCCAGCATCGAGCAGGATGCACACCTCGGGGTTGAGAATGCGGCCGAAAGCAGTGAAGAGCCAACGGTGAGAGTTGATCTTCTTGCTGTTCTTTTGCTTGAGACAGAACATCATCTGCACAGGTGGGAGGGTGCTGGCGCTGTCATCGTGCGGGCGGATGAGCTGCTGGTTGGGCGTCACCGACAATTGGGTGGTGTACTCGAAAATGTGCGCAGTGGTCTCCTTGCCGTCAATATCCCTTTTCATGACACCGTCCTGGTAGATACCGACGGTCGCGAGCAGATCGAGGGTTCCCTTGTCACAGGGGTCGATACCATCGAAAACCAAGCAGACGACAATTTTTTGCCAGGCTGGGCCGCCCTTGTTCCAGAACTCGGACTTCTTCAGGTTGACAATGTCGCGGATGTTCTGCATGACACCGTGCATAGTACGGGCGGTGAGCACCTTGTCTTCGTTGTAATAGGTGATGGCAATGAGCAACTCGGTGTGTCGGTTGTACATGGCTGGCCGCAGATTGTAGCCGTTCTTCAGGGTGAAGTCGTTGGGGTCGCACGTTGCGGCGGTGTCTGGCAGGTGTCAGCGTCGCAGCCGGTGCTGTCAAACATGTCAAAACATACATCGCATGTGAGTGAACTCCTCGCTGCCGCTCTCGAGATCATTGCGGTACTTTGCCTGGATGGCGTTCTGAATGGCAGACGGCACAGGGTAGTCGGCGGAGAGGACGGATCCTTGCACCAACTTGACCTTACGCGTCATTCCGCGCTTGAGGCCAGCACCAGCGCCAGGCTGCTGGCGCTGTTTCCAGGCCTCGGTTGAGCTGGTGTCGCTCCTCGCATAGGGCGAGGTGGCTCTGTGGGGTGCGCCATACTCGGTGGACGGATCGTAGCCACCCGTCGCCGAGTAGACATCGGAGCCGGCGTGCGACTGCGACGGGTACTGTGTCTGGGGAGCATCCGAGGCGTACGTCTCGGTCAGGCTGTACGTGCTCTGCGGGCGCTGGTCGTGGCCGTAGACGCCGTGGTGGTCGTCGAAGGGGCCCTGGTTGGTGCCCGTGGGATTCGAGTGCAGGAGCGACCTGCCGACTTCCTCCTCCTCGTGGCGAGCCTCATATGGGTGCTGTGCATGTTAGCCCAGTGCCACGGCCGCAAGCAGGAGAGCGATAGGGGTCGTACAGGTGCGTGAGGGTCGCCGTAGCCGTTGCCCCCGGGTCCTTGGTAGGCCATGACGTGCAGTGGTCAGGGCCAGGCGACGGGGAAGAAAAGAGTGTGCTGGGTCGGGAGGGAGGAGTTTGGCGGTGCAAAATGGGAAGCGAGAGATGAAAAGACGCTCTCGTGGAAGGGTTGTGTTGATAAAGAACTGGCGAGGAGAAACGAGCTGAGAGTGGAGGTGGGCCTGCGACTAACCAAAGGGGCCTAGCAATGAATGGGCTTGGTCGGCAGGGCTCAGGGCAGATGCTCGGGGGCTGCGCGCTGGCTGCACTCCAATGGCGCCAGGCTAACGCCGAACAGACGGGCGGGAATGCTACGTGAAACGCGAGCCTGGTTGGCTGCCTCCCTGTTTCATCGCCGCTCCTCCATCACGCGCGCAGGTGAATGGAGATGAACAGATGACTTTCTTTGATGGTCTCCTTCGCACAGTGCTCCCTTTGACGCACTCGTGGGCAGCATGGCAAACGCGGTGTGGTGCGGCGCTCTGGGAACTGTGGCGTAGCTGCTGTGGAGACTCTTGCAGGGAGATGGCTAAAATTAGAGGATGCATTAGATCTTAATCAGCTGCAGAAAGAGCGCCCGTGGCATTGAGTTGCTTACGGTGTGCTCAGCCTCAAAGGTAGCCGGAAAATTCATCGGCCAGCCGCGAAGCATTGTGCGCTACCATCTACACGTTGATGTTGCAGGCATCGCGAACCTGCTTGCGTTGTCGCCTACGGAAAAGCCGACGTCACTTGTCAAACTCTTCCATGGTTCAGCGGCGCCCCTTTCAAGCAGCACCCGCCGTTGGACCGCTGTGACAGTGTCGCTGAGCCGCAAACCTGGGGCATCCCGTGCCGCACCCTTAAGCGCTCCTTTCGGCCTCCACTGCAAATAACAGTCGGCCATGAGGTCGCAGTTCGGGCGAGAGGCCCCTGGTGTCGATCCCAAGATGCGTCTCCAGTGTCTCAGAGATCCGAAGTTGTCTGGCATCTTCCTCGCTGCACGACGACGATGCGCGACTATTGCAGTACATGGCGAATGATCCAGTGCGCTCAGTTGGAACCCGTAAAAGCCTTTGTAAAAGCCCCTAGAACAAGCATCTCACCCACACGGCAACGGGTCATCATCCAAACTTCGCCGCGTTCCGCTTTGGGAAAGAGCGGAGATGTACATTTCGCCCGGTTGTCGCTCGTGGGCCGACTTTTGACTCAATCACCGCTCTATGAGTCGTGTCTGATCGCAGAATGTGTTTGTTGTGCAATTTCTAATTTCTGTGTCGCATTTGCACACTGTGTCGCGGCTGCTCTTTTCAAGTAGATCATGGGTACCTCCAAGCCTTTAGAACCCGTCGGCAACCCTGGTGCTCCCGTCGTCTACCTAATTGCGTCAGGTATCTACATCAGAATTCCCTGTCCGCCTTCTCACACCATCACCTTCCGAACCAGCGTCCCCGCTGACGTGCACAAAAAAAGCGGCGAATCGCAGTTTTGATCCTTCTACATTGCCGAGCCCCGATTTACCCAGCCACCAGGTGGGCCTGCCTCCGTTCATTCCAACGGTACATTCTTAATACACACCTATGGCGGCACCAGCCACACCTTCCAGAATCCTTCCTAAATCGAACTTTCACAATACACACACTACCACGAACACAGAAGGCTCAACGGCCCTAGATGCAGTACGAACGGGCCCCTACCCCGCTTACCAAACGAATGACGGCTTCGAGCATCCTGATCATGTAATTCCACCACGAGACTACACAGGTTTTGACAACCTCATCATTGTCTGCTGCCATGCTATCTTCCACCCGAATGCCTCGTCTGCGGACTTCCCTCTGTTCAGCCCTTACGATGAGAAAAATTGGCATCTCGCTCCCTTCCAGAAACCAAACCCGGACACAGGTAAACCAGGCGAGCAAGAGACGTTTGTGGCGCATGCTCTGGCCGGTATTAATGTATTACTGAGCGAATGGTCACCAGACTTTCCACAAAGCACGCTCTTGGTGATGAGCGGCGGTCCTACCAAACGCTCGTTGACTCCACTGAGCGAAGCTCGCTCCTACTATCATGCAGCACTGGCTCAAGAGCTAGCGCAGGGCAACCTGGGAGGCGGACGAGTACATCAGCTCTTCTCAAAAGGACGCATCCTCCTAGAGGAACATGCTACCGACTCTTTTCAGAACCTGCTCTTCAGTGTACTGCTATTTCGACGGATAACAGGTCGATATCCCAAACAAGTCCGTATCATCACCCACGCTTTCAAGGCGCGGCGCTTCTTGGATCTACACGCGCCTGCGATCCGATGGCCATCGAATAGTATTCAAGTCCAGGGGATCGATCCTGTCATGTCGGGAGCTGAGCGGGAAGAGACTATCCAGGGTGAAGAAAAGTATGGCTTCGCACCATGGTTAGAAGATCCACTTGGCACAGGTGAGGTCCTAGCGAGCAAAAGGAGGAATCGAGGTTGGGACGAGCAGGTGGCAGAGCAGCTCGTCGACGGACTGGAGGACACCGTCAAAGAGCTTCTCAACGGCACTGTATCAAATCAACTGCCGTGGAACTCAAGGTCATTAGATGCAGCGGCACGAAAATCATCTTGATTTTCGTTCAATTACCAGCAGCTACCAACTGTTCACGACACTCAGTGCAATGACTCTCCTATGCCAGATTACTGACCTGCGACCAGTAGCTCTGACCACCATGGCTGGCAGTGGCTATCAACCGAGCTCTCCTGTTTCCTTCGCGACTGCCGTGCAAGTCTGGACAACCCGTGGAAGCATCCAATTGAATCCTTTGGGCACATCTTGACAGCTATCATTCTACCTTTATTCACATTGCTGACGGTACCGTACAAGCAACCAATTCCTCCTGAAACTTTATGTCTAGCTTTCATGGTATCACGCCGTCACTGCCAACCTGGTCGCCCGCAAAGCACCACATCATCGCCCAACGGTACCCACCGCGCACCATTCAGCTTTCCTACCGTCATCTTCACCCCGCCCTCGTTTCTCCTCGCATCCGGGCATACCTGCACACCACCCTTACCCAACCACACCGGCGCAATCGTTATAATGACCGAGTCCACAAGGCCGATATACCTCGGATTCAGTAGCTCATTGATCACGGAGCCACCACCCTCGATCATTACGCTGGTGATCCCTTGCGCACCGAGGGCTTTCAGGATGTCACTCCAGTCGAAGTGACCGCTTGAATCGGTAGGCAGCGTCGTGTACAGCCCGCCAGCATCTTTCAAAGCCTTGTACTTCCCGTCTTCAACCGGGGCATCCTGCGCGCCAATGACCCAAGGGCCCAGCCCTCTTCCCTCCTTCGCCAACTTGATTACCTTACTGTGCTCGCCAACCTTCCAACGCCCCTTCGCATCCAACACCACAGGTCTCGGCTGCCCCTGCAGTCCCACCCCGCCATACCCACCTACACCTTCGATCCGGCAGTTCAACGAAGGATCGTCCGCAACGGCAGTCCCGGCGCCTATCAAGATGGCGGAGTGCTTCGACCGTAAGTAATGTGTCATTGCCTTTGACTGGGCTCCTGAAAGTGCGGTTTGAACGCCAGGCGAGAGAGAAAGATTGGCATCGAGGGAAGTGGCGTATGTGAGGGTAACATGTGGATACAGGATTCGACTTGAATCCCGAGGCTCAGGTAGGTAGGGATCGATCTGTGTAGCGGATGAGGAGGGGAAGCTGAGGGCGTCTCGCGTAGGCGCAGACATCTCTAGTTGATTATGTTTGATCTTTAGAGGCTCTAAGGAGATGTAATGTTGATACAGCTGAGCGATTATTCTGTCGTTGCTGAGTAGACTCAGGTCCGCCTTTCCTGGAATAGTTGGTCTTCCAACGATGATGTCTCGAATGTGAAATCTGGTCTTCTCTGGTATGATTTGGTATGAGCTGTTAGGACAAAACCTACCAGAACGACGAGAGTTGCAGAACACTTTCAGAGTTTCATATTCAGGTTGTGAAGAATGACTTCACACGCAATTGTCCTAACCGTGAAGATTGATGGTGGGGGTTGGAGACCACCCGCAACCTAGCGAATCACCGCCCTTGGAGGAGCCAAGAATCGCGCAGCGGCAACGGAGAAACCGTGCCCCGGGGATTCGCCCCACGTTCCCCGTTGCCTGCGGGCTACCTTCACTTGTAGCCTATCTTTCACTGCTTACTCTCGAGACGTACATACCAGTTGCCTTTGCGCGCTCTTCTTCGCGCTCCACGGAAAAATCTTTGGGACTCTGCTTATATTTGAAACCAGCTTCGCTCTCGACTTCGCCTCCGAACTTGACTCAAGTTCTCCCCGCTTCACACGCGACATATCACCTGAACCACGCGGAGCGAATCCCCCCATACAATACCGCCAAGATGATGAAAATATGGTCTATGGTATGTGGCATACGGCAGCACACCATGAACGATGTTCGTAGGCTGTGAGGATACTGACTGTTATACAGAAGAAGCAGCAGAAGGACGCTGAGGCGGCGGCAGCAGCGTCGGGCAAGAAGAAGTTCTCTGCCGCTGACCTACGAGTTATAAAAGGTACACCGGCCCTAACGTATCCATACTGGCTATGCATATTAACAAGATGGTAGATCTCGAGCATCTTTCCCTCAGCGACACCATGGAGCTCAAGCGCGAGCTCGACAACTACAAGAACTTCTCGCTCGCGATCAACCCTGACGAGGGCATGTACAAGGGCGGCCACTTCGAGTTCGCGTTCGAGATCAAGCCGACGTTTCCCTACGACGCCCCGAAGGTGCGCTGCAAGCAGAAGATTTACCATCCGAACATCGATCTAGAGGGCAATGTGTGCTTGAACATTCTGCGAGAGGACTGGAAGCCTGTTCTCAACTTGAACGCTATCTTCGTTGGTTTGCAGGTGTGTAGAGAACAATACATATGGCATAATACCATGGTGACTAATCGATTACAGTTCCTCTTCCTCGAACCCAACGCATCCGACCCACTAAACAAGGAGGCTGCCGAAGACCTCAAGCACAATCGGGAAGGTTTCAAGCGCAATGTGCGCGCCGCTATGGGTGGTGGTAACGTCAAGGGCGAGTCCTTCGACCGAGTCATGAAATAAGGGTGCTTCATGTCCCAACCCAGCGGGAAACTGTTTATACAACGTGCGCAACACCGTCAGGCGCGGAGGGCTCGGCAGAGACTCTCAAACGTACTTTGATGACGGCTTCGAGCACGAGTCCTAAAGATGCATGATGGAGAATTTGCACGACAGAGACGATTTTCATGTGAGCGAGCATTAACTCACGGCGCATCCAGGAGCGAGGCGTTGGTATATAGGATCGTTGATATTCCATGTTTTGTCCATCCATAGGGAGTTTGGCAGCATAGCGATGGTTCTTACCTGTATAGAGGAATCAATGCAAACTTGTAGATTCTTTGAAAATGTACTTACTACACCTGCAAGTATTGTGACTCTTGCTTGGTAGACGTACAGTGCTGATCGCAACGTGAGGTACGGTGACCGAAGGCCAGCAGACCACGCAGTGGGCCAAAGACTTGCTAGCACCGTCTGACATGCATATATTGCACCTGAACGACTGTGTAACAGAAGTGTAGTGTATGCCGACTCTATGAGCTCCGTTTCTCGCTGTCTGGAACACCGTTCAGTCATGCGTGTTGCTGATCCACTTTTCTTGTTAGATCGGAGACGCGCACTCCTCCCCGAGGCGTCATCTGTGACTGGCTGATAGGCCCACTTCCGATGTTCGGCCGTCCGAGCTCGAAAATCCGGCAACCCCAGACACAGCTGGAGCGCCAGCTTTAAAAACCAACCAACACCCTCCCCAACAAATCCTCTCAAGATACCCCCTCACACATTCACAATGGCTTCAAGACCTGTTGCTCGTGCTTCCCGCCAGATTGCGCGCCAATTGGCCGCCCCCGTGCAGAAACGCACCTTCGTTTCTGCGCTCAACGCTGCTCGCGCTGGCGTGGCAGCTGCCCCCAAGGCTGCTGTCAGCACCTCGTTCCAGCAGGCGCGTGGTATCAAGACGATTGACTTCGCCGGTACTAAGGAGACCGTCTACGGTGAGTTTTTGCGCTCTTTTGTTGAGTCAATTGATTGCTGACGCAGCCCACAGAGCGTGCCGACTGGCCGAAGGAGAAGCTTCTTGTAAGTCAGCACATGCCTCAATGGCATCAAAAACCTTCTCAATAGAACTCTGAGCTAACAGTTGAGTCAGGAATACTTCAAGAATGATACCCTTGCCCTCATCGGCTACGGCTCGCAGGGTCACGGCCAGGGTCTTAACCTCCGTGACAACGGCCTCAACGTCATCGTTGGTGTACGGAAGAACGGTGCCTCGTGGAAGGAGGCCGAGCAGGATGGCTGGGTCCCCGGCAAGAACCTCTTCGACATTGATGAGGCCATTGGCAAGGGTACCATCGTCATGAACCTGCTCTCCGATGCTGCCCAGTCTGAGACTTGGCCCGCCATCAAGCCCCTCCTCTCCAAGGAGAAGGTGAGCATTGTCATTTCTCAGTCTAGCGAGTTGTACTAATAGTTGCAGACCCTCTACTTCTCCCACGGCTTCTCGCCCGTCTTCAAGGACCTCACCAAGGTCGATGTCCCCACCGACATGGATGTCATCCTCGTCGCCCCCAAGGGCTCCGGCCGCACCGTCCGCACCCTCTTCCGTGAGGGCCGCGGCATCAACTCCTCCATCGCCGTTTTCCAGGATGTCACCGGGAAGGCCCAGGAGAAGGCCATCGCCCTTGGTGTCGCCGTCGGCTCCGGCTACCTCTACGAGACCACCTTCGAGAAGGAGGTCTACTCCGACCTCTACGGCGAGCGTGGCTGCCTGATGGGCGGTATCCACGGAATGTTCCTCGCTCAGTACGAGGTCCTCCGTGAGCGCGGCCACTCTCCCTCTGAGGCCTTCAACGAGACCGTCGAGGAGGCTACACAAAGCCTCTACCCTTTGATTGGATCTAATGGTATGGATTATATGTATGCTGCGTGCTCAACTACCGCCCGCCGCGGTGCCATCGACTGGAGCAAGCGCTTCAAGGATGCCCTGAAGCCCGTCTTCAACGACCTCTACACCTCCGTTGCTGACGGCTCTGAGACCAAGAGGTCGCTCGAGTACAACTCGCAGCCCGACTACCGCGAGAAGTACAACAAGGAGCTCCAGGAGATTGACGACCTTGAGATCTGGCGCGCCGGTAAGGCCGTCCGCTCGCTCCGCCCCGAGAACGCCAAGTAAGCGTTTCGGCCAGAGTGATGGGAGGGGTGTCCCAGTGGACGTGTATACATAGGTTCCTACTATCTGTCTGCACTTGGCGTCTGTGAATGAACTTTGGCGCCTCGGGTTTCTGCTAGGTCTTGGAAAAGAGTCGAGAAAAGTCGATCACTCCAAAAGCAATGATACCTTGTTCACATATCACACATTTTTGTGATCTCATCTTGTCCCATATTATGTTACATTGATGTACACTCGCGCTTGACCATTGAACTGTTAAAGTAATCGTGCAACATGACCTGAGTTGTGTCAGGCTATCTGCTGTGTTGTCTACGTGATTCGGGAAACTTACAGGCACAGAATGTCTGTCTACTCATACTAGGAGACGAATAGCATCATCTGTAACTTGATCTGTCACGCTACCGCTTTGCTCGAGCAGATGAAGCGAGCAATATGAACTGAGTTATCTCAGGCTGTCATCCTTTCATTCCCCACTTCGACCCTTCTCTCTCATCCACGCCACCCACAACTCCCTCGGCGTCCTCTCCTCACTCACAGCCTCCACACTTAACACCGTTCCCACCGCATTCGCAAAAACCAACACTACCGATACCACCAAACCCTCCACCCCCTCTCCACCTTCTTCCCCACCCGCTCGCCCACTACCGCATAGACCGGTTCAAGCCTCCCCTCCATATCCAAAACCACAGGCCAATTATCCAACGCCCAGAAAATCACAAATAATCGCAATGCAACCCACCATCTCTCAGGCATCCATCTTGGCACCTCTCTCGCGTCCGTGTCCGTAATAACACCATTCAAATTCCAGAAGAACAGCACCTTCTGCAAATCCGCCGGGCTCGTCCATTCCTCCACTATGACATCGTCACCCCAGTCCCCTGGTCGGCTCGACTTCGGCGTACGCGAGGGTGAAGTGGAGCGTTGCGTATCCCCGTGCGCAGCAGCCCACGTATCTGCGCGACACCAATCGTGCCGCGCGTACGGGGGGATCTCGAGTACGCACCCTAGGCCTTCTTTCTTGACGTTTCTGGCTGGATGGCCTTGGGAATCTAGACTCCCGCCTGCCGCGGCGGATAGCGTGTAGACGGCGCTGTCTAGACGGACGGTGATGCAGCCGCGGAGGAGGCGGATGTATTCTGTGTGTGTGGCGTGGTAGTGGAGGCCGGATGTCCAGGTGGAAGTTGGAGGGAGGTGGATTGTTGTTTTTAGAGGCGAAGAAGATGATACAGGGGGAGAGTGTGGGATGTGGTATGTGACTGCTTGTTTTCCGGGGCGCTGGATGCAAGTGGTGGTTGGGGGTGGGGGTTGTGGTGGTGATTGTGCGGGTCGTGCCATTGTGCGGGATGGAGATTGTGTGAGTGCGGAGACAAGTGGATGGTATTGAGTACGGGTTTATTAGGGTCAACATCGTGTGGATTACAGATGGTTGGTGGTCGGTATGGTAGGGTCTTGATGTGAGTAAGCTTGCCTTATGAATTAGTGCGGAATATGGCCGCACTCAGCTGTGGTGGATTTTGTCTTCATTTTCGCTAGTCATGATCCACTTGATGATAGAGCAATGACATAACACTCTGGCCTCGAGCTACTATGCTCAGTGAGACTATGTGGTCTTGAAGGAATGGAATCTGGTCGACAGGCAAGGGCGCATGAGTGTTTACGTACGTGCGTACTTAGTGTAACTGGAATATTACTCCATCCGGCACGTAGGACACATGACTTGGCTGTTGCGATAAAAACCATTACTCTAAACGCTGTTTGAAACAATGGATGTTCCACTGGGTGGTCTGACGTGACCATGAGGATTGGAGCTGAAAGGAAAGTCCACATGTCTAGAACAATGACAGGCTTTGCTGTGCGTACCTACGTAATTATCGTGCTGTTGTTGACAACTGCACGTAGCCTTGTGCTGAAGAAATAATGCTTGATAGGATTAATTTCTCCATATTCGTGAGCACTCCTTGAAGGGATTTGAGCTTCCTTTACATCGATATATCTGCTTTTCGACCGTGCACCTTCGCCTGCTAGCATAGATTCTCTAGGCTTGACCTGCTCATTCATCAGATCCCATTTTGTATGCTGGGTGTAACCGTCAGCAATAAATGCATACCCCTCTTTCCAATCTCCACCTCGGGCTAGGACGTGCTGCTCTTTTCGTTGGCCTTGTTTTGGGTTCGTGTCTTACTCTTGCGATTATAGCCGTCGCAGGTATGATTTGTGCAAGGCAGATGAATGTCAGCCTTGTGCACCCGATCCTGCATCGACTGCTCCAATAAAGCATAAAGCTGTGATCACATGGTACCTCTGGCTCAATTTCTGTTGGTTGTGATCTGGAATGAGAGGTCCAGGTGAGCCTTCCTGCATCCACATCCCGACGCTTGCCCCCTCTGTGCTTCGAGCATTGCAGATCAGATCTCAGCTCAAGCCTGGTCAGATCTGGGGATTGCTTACGTACGGGGCTGTATAAAGGGCGGAAGGGATTCGTGCCTTATGGCTTCTCAACTCAATTCGAAATCAGTTCTCTCTCGACCTAGATCAACTTCGCCGGGAACCAAGCCTCACCACTCAGCAACTACCATCATGAGAACTAACTTCATCGCCGTCCTAACTCTGGTCGCAGCCCCGGTCACTGTTCTGGCCGATAGCTGCAACAGAGGCGGTGTGTACTGCGGAACGTCGCTCTTGAACAAAGGTACACATTTTCGTGGTTTTTCATATTGCCTCTGGCATGAGCTTGACAGTTGACAGGCAACTACCACGACCACATCGTACAGGTGCTCAAGGCGGCGGGCCAGCCGACCGACGACAGACATATTCAGACCAGTCTCTTCGATTGCCTGAGTGGTGGGGAGATCAGGTACCGCGACTTTTGCAGCAACGGATGTGGTGGCGTTGGTAGCGAGAACCCGGATTACTGCCTTTGAGGAGAGAGACGGAGTTTAGATTATTGGACGGGAAACAGTGGGCTAGAGAGGGATCAAATAAGACGGGGTTCAATGCTAAGTTGTCTTTTCCTCTTGTCATTCTTTGAATTAGTTATCTAGAATCCCACAAAATAACACCATCAAATGCCACATCACTATCGCCTCTCCAGTCCTGTGTATATTCCTATCGATATCAGGAAAGTTACCGAACAATGACATGGCCAGTATGAGGCACATATAGTTCTCTTCTTAGTTTAGTCCTTTGGAGTATATTTGCCCAAGACCTCCACCTTCCTGTCCCTTGCTGCCACGAAAGCAACCCTGGCCAAGACCATTCTCTTCCAGACATCTTCCTCCGTTCCTCTAGCTTCGAGCAACAGCGACGCCGCCGACACCTCTTGCATCTTAACTCTCTCTAGGTTATTGTTAGCCAATTCCTTCATGTTTCCCGCTACCTCCACAGTCCGACCAACCACTTCCTGCTCTTTCTCCGCATCAAGAAGCTTTGCCCATGCAGCTTCCTCTGCCTCGTGAGCTTCCATGATCGCTTCTTTAGCTTGTCGAACTGTGCAAGGTCAGAATGGGGATACTGTGAATTGAGTAAGGAAGCATACGGCCTTCAGTGGTGAAGTTGAGATAGTGGCGTGGGATATCGTCCATACGAGAGTCCGCAGTGGCTTCGCGCCATCCTGAAAATAAGACTGGGTTGTCTGTGATGATCTTCACAAAAGCCGGATCTGTAGTGTATCCTATCTGCGGGACTCCATTGGCCATATAGAAGATGGCAGTGATTCGCACACTCTGATTTGGTAAGGCCATGTCCGCTCGTGTCGACGATGAATTCGTTAGCGCCAAAATGGATTGTGGAAGTCAGAGTATGGCGTAATTGCAGAAGGAATTTCGGAGATGTTCGGTCACTTGGTTGTCTCTTGTGCTGTTCGCGGACATGGTACCAACGAAGGAATAGACATTGCCATCTTATACCTATAGTCGAAATCCGAGGCGGCTCAGTTGGTAGGGTGAGACATAAGGCTCACATCATGTCTCATTCTAGTGTTTTCTCATTAGTTTAGTTTGTTCTCTGATTCATCCACAGCTTGATCAGGGTTGGCTTCGCTCGTCAAAGACCAATGCAGATGCCAGAAGACACTCAAACACGAGACAAGAACAACTAAACCCTGAAATCACCACATCGTAGGCGGTTTGCTTTCCTTCGTGTAGAGATTACCTGCTACTTGACTCAAAATTGAGACGATATATATGAATAACGAGCGAAACATTTGTGTAAGCGTCGGCCCAGAAAACCTCTTGGTCCACTGCTGGGCCTGCCCAGGTGAACGACCCAACACGTGACGTATGACGTCAATGCTTATATTTGGGCTGGCCATCTCAACGAAGACGAGAACATTTCCTTGACGGCGCTGAAGTTCTCCTGTAGAGCGTGAGTTGTGCGGTAGGTAACAATAAAACCTTCCAAAGCCAAAAAGTGCGCCCCCAACGCCTCCGGCAACCCGAGGCTCTTTAAGCTACCCAGCGGATCAACGGGTAAACACTATGCCCTAGGCGCGTTTCCACCGCGAAACAAGTGTAACTGTGCGGCGATGCTGGAGTCGCTCGGCGGTACCAGATCTCCTAGTGCTCGGGGTGGAACTTCCGCTGGTTAATATGGCTAAATTGGAAGGGTAGTTGAGCCTCCAGTGGCTCGCGCCAGCGCCATAAAAGCACCGCGAGCGACTACACGTTAACATTGACCTCGGTTTCTAACCATCCAACGCAGTCTTTAAGTTAATGTAAACCACAGCCATGGCGGACAAACAACCTTTTGTAACGCATCTCTACACAGCGGACCCATCCGCACACGTCTTCAACGGCAAGCTCTACGTCTACCCGTCGCACGACCGCGAAACAGACATCAAAAACAACGACAATGGCGACCAATATGATATGAACGACTACCATGTCTTCAGCATGAGTGAGGTGGGTGGACCTGTCACAGACCATGGCGTTGCGCTCAAAGCAGAGGATGTCCCATGGGTCTCAAGACAACTGTGGGCCCCTGATGCGGCTGCAAAAAACGGCAAATACTACCTTTACTTTCCTGCAAGAGATAAAGATGATGTCTTCAGGATTGGTGTTGCGGTGGGAGACAAGCCGGAAGGGCCTTTCAAAGCAGAGCCAGAACACATCAAAGGCACATTTAGTGTTGACCCGGCAGTCTTCGTCGATGATGACGGAGAGGCATATCTGTACTTTGGAGGTCTTTGGGGCGGGCAGCTACAATGTTACGCCAAAGGGTCATTCGACAAATCGCAACTCGGGGCAAATGAACCTTCGACTGGTAATGCGTTGCACGCCAAGGTGGCCAAGCTGAGCGACGACATGTTATCGCTCGCCTCTCCAGTCTCCGACGTGGTCATCCTGGATCCCTCTACGTCCGAGCCCATCCATGCGGAGGACCATGCTCGCCGCTTCTTTGAGGCGGCATGGCTGCACAAGTACAATGGCAAATACTACTTCAGCTACTCCACCGGCGACACACATTATCTTGCCTACGCCATTGGTGATACCCCGCTCGGTCCTTTCACGTACGGGGGCCGGATATTGGAGCCAGTAGTTGGCTGGACGACGCATCACAGCATCGCGGAATTCAAGGGCAAGTGGTACTTGTTCTACCACGATAGCTCTCTGAGCGGTGGCGAGAACCACCTGAGAAGTGCAAAGATCAGAGAGATTGTGTATGACGAGCAAGGCAAGATTCATTTGGCGGAGCCTCAGCCACAGATCAAACCGCCGGCTGCGAGATTGGAGGAAGAAGATTCATGAGTCATAAATATGCATTTGTGGATGGATCTATCAGAGCACAATGAAAGATGATAGCCAGGACCAGATTCGTGCGTCCTCCAACGTCTGCTACCTTTCCCCGAGTGGGCTGGTTGTTGCAACACACTCTGGGAGTTCTCAGCCAGCGGGCAGGTAACAAAATTGGTCGTGAAGTTGTCCTCGACATCCGTTCTGATCTCTCATTTCGTTCCGAGCACATCATAGCCAGGGCATGTTCGTGTCCCGGAGCCATGCCCTTGGGTCGGCACGTGGGAGCTCGAACTCATCATGCCGATCACGTTTCTGCCGCATCGTTAAGACTTTGTAGCATTTGTATGGCGTTGTGGAGACGCTAATGTTCGCCAACCGGTGATAAGCAGGGGCTAGCGTGATTGTGCGATGTGGTGCCCGCATGTCGTGTTATTTTCGCGTATATTTGAGTGACATCCCGCGCTGGAGAATCGCAAGTCTCCGCCTTTCGCACGTAAGATGCGAGTATCTCTCCACTAAGGTTAGATCCGCAGGTTGGCGGGTCGTGGAGGATGCCAACAGCTTGCCTACCTATGGTAATCAACGTTATTTGCATCTGAAGGACGGTTCTTTCAAGGCCCAGTACGCTCTTCCCTCCAAACTTTTGCTTTGCTGTTCAGGCGTGAGGACTTTATTGGCGAGAAACAGAGTCAGTTCTTACGCCTGAGCCTAACACCATCACGTACACGTGACATCGCGTTCACAATGCCAATCAAACGCGTTGCCGTCATTGGCCTGGGTCCCGGCGGTGCCATCACCATCGATGCGCTCGCAAAAGAGAAGGCATTTGATGTGATCAGTGTCTTCGAGCGCAAAGAAGCTCCAGGCGGATGCTGGTCAGTATACGTCCGCACAGCCTCCTGTCCTTACCTCCCACCTAATATTCCTCAGGATTGAAGACCGACACCCGCATCCGGACCTGGACCCGTCAACATTCGATTGGCTTGCTTCGCGCAAAGCAGACACACCATTGGAGATTCCACAATCACTTCCCGCAAGAACACCTAAGTCATCACAGCCTCGCTTTGAGGAATCGTCGGTGTATCCGTACTTGGAAACAAATGTCGATTCCGTGCCGATGTCTTTTACGCAGGAACCCATTCCTGTGGAGCGCAGCAGGCTGTCCATTTCGCGACATGGTGAGGACACGCCGTTTAGACACCACTCGACAGTGCGAAAGTACATCGCGGGACTAGTAAACCGTAATGGGTATGAGAATCTGGTGTCATACAATACCGCCGTCGAACTTGCCGAGAAGGTCGGTAGTGAATGGAGACTAGTCCTCCGTAGAAACAGCGGCAACGAAGACGACGAGTGGTGGGAGGAGCGCTTTGACGCCGTCATTGTGGCCAGCGGTCATTACAACGTTCCGTACATCCCCAAGATCGAAGGGTTAGCAGACCTGGAGAGAGCAAGACCAGGCAGCGTCAAACACAGCAAGATGTACCGCGGACGGGACGCGTACCGAGGAAAGGTGAGTCTATCCCACTGCCTCTATCACGCCGAGGCTAACAGGAAATAGAAAGTTGTCGTTGTCGGTGCATCCGTCTCCGCGGCCGACATCGCATACGACCTCGTACATGTCGCGCAACACCCAGTGTACGCGGTCATCAAAGGCCACAAAGCGAACGGCTACTTTGGCAATGAGGCGTTCAGGCACCCTGCTATTACAGCTAAACCTTCGATTTCTCACGTTTCCACTGCGAATGGTGAAAGTAATGTGCATTTCGTGGACGGTACATTCGTTCCGGATGTCGATCACATCATATTTGGTACAGGCTACTCGTGGTCGCTCCCTTTCCTGCCGAAAGTGGAGGTTAGAAACAATCGCGTACCTGGATTGTATCAGCACGTGGTATATCAACAAGATCCTACGTTGCTGTTTGTCGGAGCCGTAGGTGCAGGCTTGACGTTCAAAGTATTTGAGTGGCATGCCGTGCTGGCAGCGCGCATTCTATCAGGTCGTGCCAGGTTGCCACCTCTGGAGGAGCAACAGCGGTGGGAGAGAGAGCGCGTCGCACAACGAGGCGACGGGCCTCTGTTCACATTGATCTCCCCCGATTTCGAAGAATACTTCGAGACAGTGAGGAAGCTTGTTGGTGTGCTGAAGGAAGGAGAGCCGGGGCGAAGGCTGCCCATTTTCGATCATTCGTGGCTGGAGACATTCATGAAAGGGCATGAGAGACGGAAGAAATGGTGGAGGGAGGAGAATGAGAAAGCACGAGGACTAATAAAGATGCCACGCGCCAGGCTTTGACACCATTGGTATCCCGTATAATTCGATCGAAATATCAGCGTTAGTTACCCATCCCACCTCCAGGTAGCTCTTCCATCCACCCATCTATATTTTCGTCCACAGTTACCGGAACATTGCACAAGTTCTTGATCTTAGGTGGCTGCTCTGTCAGCAACGAGCAATTGCGGAGATAACATCCGCTATCCATAGCGCGCTGTAGCGAGTCGTCCTTCCAGCCAAATACATAATCTCCGTGCTGACCGTATCCAGTTTCGTCCCCAGTAGAGAGCACGAGTGGCTGAGTGCCATCTGCTGGCCAGTCCTCCTTATTGTTGAAAGCGGAAGTATCCCACATGACCTCATACATCAACTGCGGGACGTGCACAGGGTGGCTGGCGGGACACGTAACATTCACCACTGGAAATGCGGCTGGTCCATTGACAGGGTGTGCGACGTGCGCGCGATGATCCGGCGAGTCTAGGTTTTTCCCGTCCCAGCATTGAGGGAAGATGATGTTCGATCGAATGCCACCCGCGCATGGTTGTGTGGGAAAATGGTCTGTGTCGTACTTCGGGTCCATACATGGTGGGTATGGACTGCCACCCCAGTTCGACTCTGTGTAGCAGCGGTAGCATTGCTGCATGTTCTTTCCGAATCCTTCTGATGTGCGTCTCATAGCATCACCGGTAAGCATGCGAAAGCCGGGTCTGAAAGCAGTCGTTGCGTTTGCGTCCGGCGAAGTGTAGTATAATGTGATGCCTGCGTTGTCGCCTTCGTTGAACTGGTTCGCGATTTGTGGTACGCGCTTGTAAGTTCCATTGCGGGCTTTGAAATATATGTTCGCGGTCCAGTAGTTGCTACTCATGTTTTAGCGAATCATGTCGGGAACACAGCTGTTACACGTACCTGAAGTCTTCCAGAAAGTGACATGTATTGCATGTAGCAAGCTTGGAGATATCAGCGGAAGGCATAGACGCCGCGAATGCGTTCTGTAGACTTGTTAAGCCGTCGCTTGACGATCATGGACCAGACGAACATACGCCGCCCACGACTTGATGCATGTGAGTTGAAGGGAACAAGCCCGGGTTCACAAGCCTGGTCATGTTGGCAAGAACCTTCACACTGCCATATACTACCAATGGACGTACGGGTCAAGTCGCTCGATGACAACCTGGAAAGTTAGCTTCTGCTCTCGGTGATCATCGACATGCTGACCTGTGAACATCCGAATCGTAGCATGGCGCCCGTCCCTCTCTTTCCACCTCCTACCAACATTGGCTTGTCCAGGTCGACACCACTCTGTGCCATGGCGTGACTTGCAAGCAGCGCAAGCGTCAGCACGTATTTACCTGTCATCGCGGCCATGATCTAGTGTTGGCTTCCTAGGGCGGCGGATTGTGTGAAAGCGTAGAATATGGAGAACAATCGACGTTAAGAATATTGCAACGGTACCAGGGCGCTTATCTGCATCTCGTAGATTAATTTGTGCCCCGCATGCGTGGTGCCCAATATATGATATGATGATTCCTGGTGTGGACGATGTGCGGTTATTGATGCTGTCCAATAGCCATTCTGCCGTCCGCGGCCCCACGACGCAAATCAGCAGGCCCACACGTCCGTGGAATGATCCAAAACATGTCCATGCGCTCTCGGATTAGCTAGGAGTACGCACGTTGACGATTTAATTCCTGTTAGACTCGTATATCTCAACGTCAAGCCCATCATTGTTGTCATGTTGAACAGATTCTTCGCGGGCGTTTACGTCAGGCTCATCGCCATATCTTATCTCTGAACCGTAGAAAACATTCTCTTGTACATCCGGTCGCTCAGGGAACTTGGTGCCTGGGTCAAGATATAGTGCGAGATTCTCCTCCCATACACCGTTGGCGGGCTAGCTGGATCATTTGCAAACCAATAGAATTGGTATCCATCATGGGTGAAATTTCCCCCTACTTAGGATGCTTGAAGTCTTAGCAACTTTCCAACGAACATTCCGAAGCACTCCGGCCATTCTCCAGCTAGCCACTGGATCGTATCTAGCTTCACGCACTTCAATGTTTCTGAGTGCCGGAGCAGGAAATCAGCCAGATGTTCCGGGGACGTCTGCACAGAGGATATGGAGAAGTTTGACAATTGGGGCCAGGAATAATCCTTTATTAGTGGGTCAAACCTAGGAGCTGCTTGGTTATGCTCGTGGATTGGCAGTGTCAACGACATAGTTTGGAGGTTTGTCGCATGTTTGATGAGCATGGCAAGATAGCCAGCATTCAAATCATGCGCAATGAGTTCAATCTTACCTGAGTCGGGTATGTTGGTGCCTGTGAGAATGTACGGACAAGCAAAGTCCCACTGCAGCAGCTCTAGATTCTTGAAGAAGTCGACGAGGTGCTGTGCTACGTCGGCGTCTAGAAGTATCCGGTGGGACAAGCCGCCGAGTCGCAAAAGTTTCGGAGCGAAGCCCGCATGATGAGCTGTTTGAACGAGCGCCTTAAAAGTCTCGAAGGTTTTCTGATAGGGGTGGTCTTCCTCGAAGGGCATGATCAAGCCTTCCTGGAACTCTTTGTTTAGCTTGATCGTCGATAAACGGATATGGTGACCCATCGTAAATTCAATTCCGCCGAGCTTCGGGCAATTCTCAAATAGAGAAATGACACTGTCTTTTATGGTACTGTCCTCGAGCATGATATCCACATCCTCCACCAGTCTCTGGTAGTTTTTCCAGTGCGCCTGAATATCGTCATCGGATAGCTTTATTTTCGATTGTTCGTCGAAATCCTCTTTCATTTGCCGCTGAAGATCTTCAAGCTTTTCACCGTATTGGTGTTTCTTTTCCGCGTCCTGCTCACGTTTCCACTTAACCAGTAGCTTCGAAAACTTCACGACTCCTTCCGATTCGTAATGATTACAATCCCGCTCTGCGTTTGCAAATCGTACCCGCTCCTCGTTCCACTCGTCAAAGTCGATTTCTGTCGGCACGTCAGCCTGAAGCCACAGGCATTGGACAGACTTGGCGAATTGCGGTCTACTAGATATTGACCTAAGAGAAGTCATGCTTTGTCTGTTCAAGTACCCGATGACATCTTCGAAAAGGTGATCGTTCGCAACATTGCAAATGCCACGGCAAGTAAGCCGTAACGCTTTGATGCTGGAAAGATCGCACGATGCGCAAATGCAGCCGATGAGCTCAATAGGTAGCGCATCCAGAGACATTGTAATGGGCGATGGTGGTTGTGCAGCTGGTGAGGGGTGAGGTAAATGAGGGACCTGACTGACGTCAACCGCAGTTGTCATTGGCTCGTTTAGTAAAGGGTTGTCTATCGGAGAGCATCTCTTTCGAATAGGCAGCTCAGCTCTCAACAAACGAAAAGTCGCATTCAGGGATAGATGGGCCGGACTGCGTCGATTTTGCGGCAAGGTGGAGTGACCAGATCCAGGAGGTACGATCAAAGGATCGAAGAGAACAGTGCACGTGCTTTGGTGCTCGCCTCGAACCGCGAGGAACCGTAATCATTGACCTCCTACCACCCCAACACCACTTTGGGTTCGCCCGGTTGTTGCTTTTTCCATCCTGAATCTACCGCAATTTGAGAAAGGTTGCGTTAATCGATACATACCTTTGGACGTATCTCCTCCAAACATCGTCGACCGCTTACGTGACGGTCGAATCTGATATGCAGATCTCACCCAAGCCACATCCCATCGTTCGTCGACAGTCCTGCACCGCCCGTTCCGAGATGGCGGTGCTGCTTACTCTTAAGCGCCAAGCCATGTGCTTGTAGGATTCATTGTCTTACCCATTCGCCTGGTACGCTCGTATCGGGTATTTCTCTCTGCAAGACTCGAATCCTATCACATTTGCGAGCTAACATCGCTTTCTAATGGTGGACTCGCGCGAGCGAGCCGAACTTGCGGCACAAGCCGCTCAAAGATTCAGAGTCACAAAGTTTGCCAAAGGAGAAAACTTCGCGATGAACAACCTACCAGAGATAATATACGCGGATTACCTGCACCGAGCGCGCGGGACGAGGATCTCAGCCCCAAAAGTTTAAACGGGAAACTCTTCTTCGTGATTGAGTTGGTGGCCCTCCCATAAAATTTGAACAGACACTGTGACTTATAAGTCACCTAGTATACAATCTTATTGCTTTACTTAGTGATGTTGCTGACGCCGTGCGAGCCGCAGCATCGGGCTCATTGCTCGCACGAAGTCGGTGCACCCACGTGCAGCTTAGTGGCGGCTGACGGCCTATTTCCCACGGACCAGGTCCACCGTAATCCTTATCTGCTAACAAACGTTCGCCATCCTTCTCGAAAAATCTTCAAAGCATCTGGAAGACTCGTAGGCCAATGGTCGGTGCTAAACGAAACTCCTTCAATGCAAATGGCTTGTATGGTGGCGCCCTGTCCACGTAGTAGCCGTTGCTTAACGAACGAGTGATGAACGGTTTTGAGATGTGATGGGCTGAGTAAAGTATAAAACCTGAACAAGGTGATCCAAATTGATCTACAGCCTGCCTACTCTTTTCACTTTTGTTTCTGACCCTTGTTACGTTGTCTTCGTTGTGATGAGGTCGTATAAAATCGCTGCAGTGTCACTGCTGACGGTTTCAACGTATGGCTCCCCTTTATTCACCACTGAGGGCGGCTTGGTGGAGAAGCGGCAGTCTCCAGGCTCGTACTATGCCATCACCGGCGCGTCAGGGGGTGTTTATCCCCGTGTAGAGGTTCGCGATTTGGAGAAGGCAGGTGGAGAGCCATGGAATCTGTTCTTGCTCGCCATGACGGAATTTCAGGCGATGGATCAGCACGTCATTGATTCGTGGTATCAGATTGCAGGTATGTCAATCCTCACACTGGTCAAGGCTTGCTATCTAACCCAAATCTAGGAATTCATGGGATGCCCTAGTAAGCACTCGTCAAGAAAATGGATCAACTTCCTGACGTCGTCAAGTTATGCCTGGGATGGTGTAGAAGGCAGCAATCTGGATGGGAAGAGTGCCGCCTTTCTGGGTTACTGTCCGCACAACCATCTGCTCTTCGGCACTTGGCATCGTCCTTATCTCGCTCTTTTCGAGGTATGTCTGTCTAGCACACCCCCGCAAACGTTTGCTGTACTGACAAGAACAGCAAAACCTGCAAAAGGTCGCTCACAGCATCGCTGCTCAGTTCCCTACAGCGTTGCAAACCAAGTATCAAGATGCAGCGACCAAAATCCGCATCCCCTACTGGGATTGGGCAAAGGCTCTTCCTACCGACCAGCCCGTAGTGCCTACTTCCATGACGACCGAAAAGGTCTCGGTCACGTTTCCTAATGGCACGGCTGCGCAAATCGACAACCCACTCTATGACTACAATTTCCATCCTTTGGACAATAAAGAGATAAACGGAACGGTAAGTCTATCTGCATCCGCAATTTTATGCCGGAGGTCGAGTTGCCTACCTTCGGCAGCACATTGTCCTCGTAGTTTTGTATGGCGCTGTTCTTTTGACCGCACGTCTGACGATACTAGGGTTGCCCGCTGTTCACCGGCCCAGGAGGCGCCACCGGAGGTTTACCCGCAGTCTGTCAAGACAATGACCGAACAATTCGTGCTGGGCAGACAGCTAGTGATCATCCCGCGTTGAACTCCAAGCTTCGATCCATCCTATCTAGTCAGCGGACGTTACTCTACAACATTCTTTCGCAGTATCAAACGTTCGCTCAGGCGTCCAGTGCGCAAGCTTGCGATGGGACTGCAAAAGCTGGCACCCTCGAGAATCTCCACAATGCTATTCATAATGCCAACTTCCCCGGACATATGAGCCCAAGTGGGGCGACGGCTTTCGATCCCATGTTCTGGATGCATCACGCGTAGGTGTCTTTCGCGTTGTAAGAAGTGGACTATGCTAACAGCACGGGGTAGCAATGTTGATCGCCAGCTTGCACTTCACCAAGCCATATTCCCTGGTACATATATTGTTTCCTGCGCTGCAAACACGCCGACCTACACCATCAGTATTGGAGACCAGCTAGATGCCTCTTCGCGTAAGTATTATCGCCTCTATTTCAAAATCCCAAAAACGCTCATAGGAAACACCAGCCCTCACACCATTCCACAAGAACGCCGCTGGCGATTTCTGGACCTCGAATTCCGCGCGCAACATCCAGGACCTGGGCTACACCTACCCCGAGCTAGCTGACAGCCCTACGAACGCTACTCTAGTCGCGTCCATCAAAGCGCAATACTCTGGTCCGTCTGACGTGCTCGTTACATCCACTAAAGCGAAGCGCGTGTCTGAACGTGACACTACACCGGCAACAAAAGAACTCTACCTCGCCGAGATCAACCTCCCATCCTACGGTCTAGACAACGGCGCAGGCGGCGGTGCACCTTACAATGTGCTACTCTTCCTAGGCGACATTCCCTCCGACGTGAGGGACTGGCAGAACGCAGAGTCCTTCGTCGGGCTAGCGTCTACACTCGGTGCGCCGATGTTGCAAGTTGATCAGACGACTACTCATACCATTGACTTATCCCTTGCGCTTAAAAAGGCTATTGAATCTGGTGCGACGACGGAGGATGAGGCGCTGGGTTACTTGAAGCAGCATCTGCACTATAGACTTGGTCTGGTAAGTGGTGTGTTGCGGTCTTCTCGGCCATTGGCTAACGGAACACGTAGGGAGATTTTGAGATCGAGAGGGACCAGGTCAAGGGGCTTGAGGTGTCGCTTATTAGCACTGTTGTTGAGGTTGCTCAGTCAGACGATGCTTTTGATCGGTGGGTTGGCGGGTTCAAGGAGCATGGTTTAATTGAGGGGTGATTCGTTTGCCATGCTTGTGTCTTACGCTCTTATTTGGTGGATACTGTTCGTGTACAATGTTGCATTTTTATAAGCACTCTGCTAGGAAAGTATTAACATTTTTCGGAAGTTTTGCGGCCCTCTTCCTATTGAAGAACATGTAGAACAGCGGGGTATATTCGACACGGAACAGTTTGTAGACCGGAGGAATGAAGACACTGTTGCCAATATCAGCACAGGAATTTTGTGAACCGAAGCTGCCGTTGGTGATGACTAACGAGAGCTTCAAGAGTCGAAGTCAGTTTTGCCCCCTAGGTCAAATCATCAGAGGTGACTGTTAAAAGGTTTATCAGAGTGTCTCGGGTAGCTTGTTCAAGGACTCAGGATACTCACAATAGGTCAACATAGACGTCAAGCCTACACAAGCTTCCAATGCGCTCTTGAGAATGTAACACAAGGGTTTCTGCACTAGCTATGAGCCTAGGATACTAAAATGCTGCAATGGGCAACAGTAATGAAAGGTTACACGGATTCAAATGGGTGCTATTTTGGGTAAAGCTCGGTAGTACGCGAGCTTCGCTTATCTGTCCAGACTATGAGTGTATGCGAACTGTATATTGAAGTATGAGTGATGAGGCAGATCTAGTGTGCCGTAGGTAGTACCACATATGACCCGTGCCAGGTACCGTGACACAGACCCTTGACTCACCCTACTAAGCTATCTGACTCTTTCCCTCGAAGTATAAGATCTCGTATACATAGCCTTAATTCCTTTATACTTTCTAGCCTAAACAATAAAGCAGCTGCAATTCTTTCGTAAAAGCTCAAATTTTCATCCATCGAACAACGACCAGGTCGATTAGCTCAGTTGATTAGAGCGTGGTGACAGTGAAAACAACTCTCAAATCAGCAATTGCGGACATCACGAAAGGCAACCAGGAACGAAGACGTGAGATCAACCTTGAGCAACATGTATGGGCGTCCGAAGGAAGTGCCTAAGAATGAGAGTGAGTATGCACAGAAGTACTCCTTCGAAAATACCATCGCTGATGAAGCCTAGGGCGTGAAAAATTAGAGAAGGACATCAAGAAGCTGCGAGCAGAGAACATTGCGCTAAAGGAAGAGAAAGAGGCGATTGCGCAATCATTGTGTGACGCAAACGACGAAATTCGGAATCTCAAGGTGATGCTCGTTAAACAGGCTCATACTCCACAGGCTCATACTCCTGATTCGTTAGCGGAAACCCTCCAGTTGGACCTAGATACATCGGAATCGACATCCGACATCTTGTCCTCTCATGGGATTGGCATCGCTGGATCCCTTGCATTCCAGTCTCGATCGCAATGGGCCGCAAACCACGAGTACTTCAAGGCCTGGATGTTGTCGGACGACTCTCAGGCTCTGTGCATTCAAGGTCATGGAGATATGGAAAAGATCTCACCTCTTTCGTATCTGATATCGCTTCTTCACCAACGGCAAAGCAAGCTCAAAAAGAATCTTGTTTTGACTTTCTTCTGCGGGATCCATGCCGTTAGCCCGTTCGACAAGGAAACATCGGGGCCGCTAGTGTTGGCGAAATCAATCCTCACCCAGCTACTGGCACTACCCGACATTGATTGGGATCATGGTCAAGGTGGCTCGTCAGTCTTGTCGGACCTTCAGCAAAAGGATATTTCGAAATCGCAGCAAGACTCATTCCGTGCGTATCTCCGAGTCATAGGTGCTCTTCTGAAAGCTCTTGGCGGACTACACCAAGCGATATTCGTTCTGATTGATGGGTATGAGTACTACGATCGGAGGTGGGAATCTAAGATGACCCATCTGATCGACATCATGACGGAAACGGTCGAATCCTTCAATAAGAGTCGCGAAGGTGGGCAAGTTTGTACGCTGAAGGTACTCTTCACAGCCGCGACCTACTCTAGATCGCTTGCACCTGAGAACGTCTCTATGGTGACGATTAACATGCCGAAGGATATCGAAACCGACAGGGACGGGTTCCAGAGTCTGTGCTAACTATGGTATCAAGATATGACGTGGGTCTTGCCAAGGCATGTGGCCTCTAGCTAGCACAACACCCGATAGTCTAGACCAATACACTTGCAGTGTGATACTTCCTGGCATGTTCATACCTTCACACTAACACTAGGCTCGGCTCGATACCAGGTTCTCCGCAAAAACCCATCGTAATGACATCGCCCAAGCCTAGAGCACCACAAAACTCCAAGTTGCGCTTCACATGTCTACGTCACTAGCGTCATTGATGTGCCATACTTCCGAAGCGTTGTATATAGTGGATTGTTACAGGGCGGTTGCGCTGCAGAAGCAGATACCATAATATTTCACAATACGAAACTCTCCCAGTGACTTTACGACCAGTCCATATTCAGTCGCCAATACTAAATCACTATCATAACAATGACCGAGCCAAGCCACCAAATGAATGCTGCAGGCCTTTCCGAAGCCGACCAGAACATTAACAACACGACCGAAGATATCAGCAATAAGGCTAGCGGACACAAGGCGAACATCAGCAACCCAAGTATGTTCTTTGGCACCGCGCCACAGAGGCACTGCTAATGAGATGTACAGATACGAGTCAGGAGTCGAAGGAGAAATCCAAGCAGGCACTCAAGGAGCTTGGTGGCGAGAACGCGTTCTACGGAAAGCAAGGTCAGGGCGAATAATGGCGATAACTATTAAAGAAAATCTGTCAATCAAATCGTAATTGAATTTGTTGTGATGAGCTTCATCCATACCCAAGTTCCACTTTTACCTGCGTGCAAATACGGATGTTTGAGAATCTGAAGCAAGTAACGGATGACAAACATTAGTATAACCTGACCCTGCAAGAGGTTTCCTCATGTGAAGCTTGCTTTTGACCGAACCATCTTTTATCATAGGTAGTCGATGATCTCATCCTCATTACGATCTTACATGGTAACAATGTCTTCACATATTGTTGTGAATTGAGCATCTTGCCGAGCAATTATTTTCAGAAAGGTAGAGCATACATTGAAGAAGTCGACCATTGTTTTATCGGAACAAAATATGACACTTGTCAAATGCATTGTATGTGACGCAGACGCACGCGTACGAGTAGTCTTATCGATAGATTAGTAAGCGAGATGCCTCGGCCCAATTGTTGAGTGCCATTCACCATGAACACCACTATGGATGCGCAGCTGCTCCGCAGACTCAGCAGACCGTGAGCGGATCAGCTCAAAATCCAAGAACAACAAATCCTACGAATTCTCCCGCGCGCCCCGTATTCCCTACCATGTCCGCGCAACCCACGCCCTCGCGGCCCGATGGCGCGCGCCGCACGTCGGCCATGAACAAGCGCACCTCCATCCTTCCGAAGCACAACGCCCTCTTCATTGACCCGAGTGTCCTTGTTGCCCAACACGCAAGCTTCACAGGCACACAGCCCATCACTGTCGGCCCGAATGCCGTGCTCCATCCGCACGCCAAAGTGAGCAGTACACTCGCTCCTGTGGTTATTGGTGAGAACGTCGTTCTGTGGGAAAGAGCAAAGATCGGTGTAGGCATGGGAGATAGCGTAGATGAAAGCAAGAGGAGCAGCATGGCCAGCATGTCGTCGCGGACAAGCGTGCGCGACTCCTCGCGCGGCGAAGGGACCGTCTTAGGGCGCAATGTCACCGTAGAGGCGACGGCTGTCGTGGAGGCAGCAGAGGTGGGAGAGGGAACCATCATCGAAGTTGGGGCATATGTGGGAAAGGGTTGCGTGATTGGAAAGGTGCGTGGAGACAGAAGTACGTTGGCAAAGCCGAGGATTAATGTGTTCAGTACTGCACGATCGTTGCGCATTGCGTACTGCCGCCGAACACGCATATTCCCGACTACATGGTGGTACAAAGTCCAACAGAATACAGGCAACAAAAGACGCTGCTGTTGAGGCCTGAGGTTCTGGAGATGCGGACGAACTTGCACACCATGCAGATCAATACGTTCAAAAGGCTAGTACCGAATCAGGTTGCGAAGTGGGCTTCATGATCTTCGAGGTGAAGGATCAACACATCAATACCCACAGCGTGCCTCATTCCGGCTGACATTACAGGATCGGAGGTGCAAGAGAAGTAGTCTTAGGTTTGCAGTCCTTCCCAAGACATCGAGACCTTGCTGATAGCGTCGCAGTAGTTTATGATACCCAAAATCGAGCAACTTTATTCCCATTACAAGTCACGAGACTGCATCGCCAAACATTGCATATCACGGCATGGGGTTACATGAGCTTACCCACCAACTTGCTGTTTATTTCGAGCGACAGAGTGCTCAGATCTGATGTTTCACCAAAGGGCGTCCCCAGCAATTTTGCCTACCGAACGTGAGCGGAGTCGCAGTAGACGATGAAGGATACTATGATATCAGTACATACTTGGTTGGCGCGCGACGCAACTTTTCCACAATTTCCAGGTATATCAACCAAGTGTGGCCTTTTCAACCCTCCAGAACACACGAACGAGCTTTCACCATGGCCTCCATAGCGCCAACTAGGGGCGACAGCAAGCTGCTGCCGCAAAGCATCGATGATAGCTTCTACTGATCTCAACAAACTGTTCTGCCAGGTCCCGGTGACAGGCAGCTCAAACGGCCGCAAGTATCAGAGTATAGCATTCGCAGATTTCGTCAATGCGATCAATGGCATGTTACCATGGATAATCCGGATGCTTGGTCGAGGGCATTGCTTTGAGAGACCGGTGTGCATTGGACCGCACTACGTCGTCGACTTGGAAAGACACTTATATCGTAGGTAAGACCAGCCGATCGGCATGAGAGTCTGGCCAAAGAGATACCCACTTCTCGATCGATGCGCATCTCATGCTTGTTCATTATTACGCACGTACCACCTCTCTAATTCAACTTGCAACAATCAAGCCGACATCGGGCGTCGTGAAGGCCATCTATGTTGTTGCAGATAGTATGGGTCTATCGGTGTGAGATTCTCACCTCAGTGCACTCATTGCTCACTGTTTGTAGAGTTGTTTGCGTATCGCACAATAACTTTTGCAAAGGTACCACCTTCCTAAGTTCGGTGTATGGATCCATTTGTGGACATCGATAGTAGCGGCCACCCATGCCAAGCTGGCGTCAACGAAACCATTGCTCTCCACCAAGATTCTGTTCATTCGCGCGTCTCGTTATCGATCTCTAATGTTCTGCCTACTTACAGATTGCAGAATTCAAGCCAATTTCGGATGTCAATCGATTCACAGCAGCGCTCCCCTCTTTCGGCACTTTCACCAGGAGCTGTTAGGCATCGTTCGTGGGAATAGCTGCGACTTGACTTGTGTCGTGGGGTGGTTATGCCTAGGATAGGAACCGTGGTACAAGGCGAAGGCGAGCCTCCGCCATGATATCATACTTTTTTTCGAGATCGCGGTCTCCTACCAAGATACTTGTAAAATTGCGCCGAGAGACACCGCTTGAAGCAATGGCCTATAGAGGCAGTTCCGGTGTTCAGGTTGTCGAAATCAAGGTAGGCGACCTGCCCAATCCCAGTCTCAACCTGCCCAATGGCGGTAGCGCGCCCCGCCGCATTCCTCCGAATGATAAACGCGAAACGGTGGAAGCTCTTCTCGAAACGAAACCACCTACTGCGACTGCGGAAATGATGCCGTGGCTGGGCAGGTATGCACGAAACATTCGACCGCCGGCTAGTCCGAGGAAGGCCCGTTTGCAGCAATTTCCTCAAAAGTTGGTAATGCTTCGTAAGAAGAAGTCTTGGCCGTACCACTTGCCCAATCTTCCAGCAGAGTATTTATTGCTATGATAAGGCGCCTGGTATATGGGTAGGACTTCTCGGCAACTCGCACCTTTCTAACCCCAAGTCATTCATTCACGATGCGCTGCTCCATTCTTGCGTTTGCGTCTGTCGCACTCGCTGCTAGGCCGTTTTTGAACGAGCCGGATACTGGGTGAGCATCGCACGGTTACCGACACGAGGGTTTGACAGCTGATCTCTCTAGGATTGACGAAGTCCTCGGCTCCACTGCCAATGGCACTCTCCCGCCGTTGGACAAGATCATCGGGCTGCCCGATTTTGACTGGGCGGCGCGCCGCAAGATGACCCCACAGAACTACACCTACTACCGCAACGGAGCGGCGGGAGAGTGGTCCTATAGGAACAATCTTGAAGTGTACCAACGCTTCCGCCTACGACCGCGTGGTGAGTACAACTTAGCTCTGTCATATACAGAATATCAGCTTACCTTGCAAAGTATTGGTTGACATCACCAACATCGAAAGCACTCTCCCGACAACCATCCTAGGTCACAACTTCTCCGCCCCCTTCTTCATCGCGCCCTGCGCCCGCGGTGGCTACGCTCATCCCGATGCCGAGCTCAACTTCGTCAAGGGCGCGGCGTACGGCGACATCCTCTACATGGCGTCCATCCTCGGAACCAAGACCATTGATGAGATTGCCGCCGCAAAGGGAAACAGCTCTCAAGTTTTGTTCCAGCAGGTCTACCTCTCGGAAAACATCACCGAGACTCAAGAGTTGTTCAAGCACATTGAGGAGCTCGGGTCCAAGGCGATCGTTTTGACTGTGGACTCGGCGGCAGATGGAAACAGACACCGCGCGGCACGGTACGGTGTTGGTTCGGCGGACAGCTCGTACAGCTACTTGACCTGGGACTTGTACAAGCAACTCAGCAACATGACTTCGCTCCCGATTATACCGAAGGGTATCCAGACCGTGGACGATGCTCGCCTCGCCGTAAAGGCTGGTGCGAAGGCGATTTACCTCTCCAACCACGGTGGCCGCCAGCTAGATACCACACCTTCTTCACTCGAAGTTGCCTTGGAGATCTACCAAGAGGAGCCTAGCCTCTTCCAGCAGGTTGAGGTGTACGCTGACGGAGGCGTACGCTACGGCGCTGATGCATTGAAGCTACTTGCGCTCGGCGTAAAGGCAGTTGGTCTGGGAAGACCGTTCATGCTCAGCAATGTGTATGGCGTGGACGGAGTCAAGAAGGTGATTGACATCACGAAGCATGAGATTGCTATTGATGCGGCGAATCTGGGTGTGGGCGACCTGAAGAAGATCGGCCCTGAGTATGTGAACTGGAAGAGCGTGAATGTTTGGTTCAGCTAGATGGTTAGGAATGGGTGGATAGACTTGGGAATATAGACTCTCATAAGCTGAGATGCAAAAGAGTGAAATATACGAAAACATTTTACAGAATCACTGTTTTATTATACTATTTCTGAACCGCGTTATAATTGACAAAACTGAAGTTGAACAGACTACAGGTTCGGTACAAGCTGAAATAGGACCTTGTGCGAACCTTCCCCATGCGGTACATCCCTCTCGCCTATTTAGAACTTATGTTCGTCACAGTCGATGTCTCATTCTCGTCATCCATCGCATCTTCCCAACAGTCAGAGACATCATTCGAAGCAAGATTTCATCCTAGCTAAGCACACAGCGTGTTCTTTGCCTGAGGGACCAATCTAGGATGCTCTAGATGCAATAAGTAAGGTGAATGAGCGTGAGATGACCACAGTCATCGCATCCAAATGCCAATCACCGGTCATTCACTAGTCGGTTGCATTTGATATTGGCCGTTTAAACACTCTTGGCATGCAAAGATTTTGGAGGGCGGTGAATGTAGTTGCGAGACTGAAGGGATGCACTCCTGGTTCGCAACAGCTTGCCGAATACCAGGCTGAAATTACGCGCCTCTTGCAATTCGGGGGAGTTCCCCCACAAGCTAAGGTCTACACTAGTAGATTCTATCGTTCTTCTTCGTTGCTATACCAAGTCTATGGGTATACACCATGTACATCTACTGGGGCGTGAAACCACTGCAACCGACTATTACTTCCTCTTTCGCTCATGCATGGACACGCTGGGAGCCTCTGCTTTCTGCTTTCTGGATTTCTGTCCGCCTGCATGCCACGCGATGAACAGAATGATTGCTGTCAAGGGTATAGCAGCTGCGAAGTACCACCCAAAGGTCACCTTCATGTCGCTAATATCGTTCTGCATGCTAAACAGGCCTGTCACGAATGACAGAGGAATAAAAGTAGTCGCTAGCCACGTCAACCGCGCGAGGTTATGATTCTCTTGCAGTCCACGACGCGAGTCTTCAATCGTAATTTCGGCCGTGACAATAGAAGTGAGGCGGTCGACGCGGGCTTGCAATTCGTTGAGCGTGTTTAGCACGCGCTCGAAATCGGGTGTGATGTCTGCGAATGCGGAACCACTGGGTGAGGTCAGTCGCGCGGCGGCGGGAAGGGCCTGGTCCAGCGTCTCTGTGACCATTTCGCGGTACGTAGGCAAGACGCGTCGCCAGGTATGCAGACGTTTCAGCGAGTTATCGATAATATCGCCTTTGGAGCGGAAGAGGCTTGGCTTTTCAAGCTCCCATTCGATCTGCGCGAGGCGCGCCTTGATATAGTCGCATACCACGAGCCACTCTGCGCAGACAGTGAACAGCATGGGTTTGGCAAAGACTTGTGTGTCGACAGACGTCTGTGCTGAGGTTGATTCAAACCACGGAAACGCGGCTGACATCTGCACGATGTCTTTGTACAAAGATCCTGAAGGTTCGAAGGCAGGCGAGGTTGTACTGTCCATGCTGGGGGTACAGAGCCAGTTCGTCCGGTCGTGCCACAGTGGACGCCCATCGCATACTGTCGGGTCCAAGAGTACTATAGCAACCGCTCCATTACCGCAGGACTTGTCTTTCCCAATCCAAACAGTCGATCGTGTGCGCGTAATAGAGATGATTGAATCAGGTGCATCCAGATACAGCCAGTGATTCTCATCATTGTCTGGTCGGCGAAGAACGTTGAAGCTATTTGAGTCTTGCCGTGCGTTCTGAAACGAGTCATCAGAGGCAAAGTAGCGCAGTCTAACGTTGCGAACGCGGAACCATTGACAATGCTGCAAGTTTGCTGCTAGAGCTGGCGGGCTAGCCCACGGATCTCTTGTATTGTACCATGTATAGTCGTCGATCTGCTCTCGGAAAAACAATGGATCTACATCAAAGCGTGAGCCGAGTTGTTCAATAACCTGCCGCGAGAGATCTTCCACTATGAACAGGCGATGTACAGGACTATCACTTTGTGGAAGGTTGGATAATCTTTCCTTCAGAGATTCAGCAGTGGTAATGTGTGTTTGCTTTGGACGATGGGCTGTTCCATATTCCACAAGTGTGATGTTTGTTCGATGCGTTCGTTCTTTTCGCTCTTTTGGATTGGTTACGAGGTCGTTCCACCGCAGTGGCGTGGTACCCACTTCCATGAAGTCGGCCAGATGCCGCAGGGTTCTCCATGATTTCGAAAGGCTCTTTATGTGAGCTAGATAAGGTAGTTTCTGGCTTTTGCTATACTGGAGTTAGTGCAATGACCTTTCAAGATCCCTGAATTGAGCGGTGACCTACGGGTCTAGTACCTCCCACTCTAGCGACACAGGCTCTCGCTCATAACAAGTCCCAGTAGAGTACAGATCGCCGGCCTCGGGTGTGTGAGGAATGATCTTCTTCGCTCGTGCCTCATGTCCTTCAAAGTCGATGGTGACCATGGCCAGGACTTGCCAGTGTGGTGTGAATGCTCTGCATCCACCGAGGACAGTAGGAATACTCTGAGAATGCAGAAGAGATGCCCCGTTTCAGCCGGACAATGCGCAGCGGTGCACGCTCACGCAGCAGGCGCCGAATCGCATCAATCTGTACAGTGACTTGGGACCATTTTGATAACACAGTTGCAATGGGTGTCGAGTCAAAGTGATCGTGAAGTTCGAACTCTCCGGCGGCACGGGCGCCGAGGGCTGACGAGGTGCGGAGGTATATGAAACCACGCTTTTCCTCATTGGCACCTTCGGCGATCGTCCGGGCAAAAAGGCAAAAAGTCTAATAAATTCGATCGTAATCCTTTGGAAGGCATACGACCTCTGCTCCAACATCCCATCGTCATACACAGACTAACGCTCTCGTCCTCAAACATAGGACCCAAGAGTGCCAGGCCGCAAAATCCTCTCGATTTTCAAAAACTTTCTTGTTCCGAACGCAGCAGCAGAATTTACACATGGTCAATATTATACCTAGAGATATGTGTGGACTGCTAACCTGTCAGCTTTTGTTGCTCGCTTCTAGATAGGATACCGCATCGGGCACACGACTTCTGAGCTCCAAGCTTTGCGCAAAACAACAAGCTCTTTTTTACGAGATCAATAGCATCAAGAGAGACACTGGTGCTACGTGCAATGCCCGCCGCGTTAAAGCAACTCTTCCCATGCGTCGCACATAGGATGGAGCTGTGCAGCTTTCATGCTATCCCCAGATCGCCTAGCCATGTCCGATGTCAATCACGGAAAAAGAACAAAGCGCGTCGAAATGGTGGCTGCATAATATTTTGCGCAGATAACAACGCGAGATGTGCGACCATATACTCTTATGGTGCTTACGCACTTCTTCAATCGGCGCCTGAATCGCATGCATCCGTCTCTGTATAAGTGAGCGTATCACCTGATCACACCCGGCTTCGCGTCACCTCTCCTGTATGTCAATGGATACACTGAAAGTGCAATACCCGTCTTGCCTCCAAGCATGCTCTTGGCTGGAGCCCTGGACAGAAGCTCCAGGTTTTCCACATTATCTCCGGGGTACTAAAACCGCACAAAAGACCAACGTCACTTTTCCATGAGATCAAGCCCAACTTTTCCGAGTACTTAGAGTTCCTGCGCAAGGTGGCTGGAGAAGAAGGTGGGGGTTTGCCGGCGTGGCAGGATGAATGGGCAGGGAGGGGTTTTGCCGTGTTGCAGTTGAAGGCTGAGTGGTGGAAGAAGCTTAAGGGAGATGAAGAGCGCAAGAAGCAAATCAAAGGCAAACTGTAAGGGATGAGGGTGCCTGTGTCATGATACACGTCAACAGAGACGATCCTTGCTATGAGTTCTACCTCTTTGGTGGTTCGAAACCACGAAGAACTTATTCCTACTCAAATATCGACTTGGTACGATTTCCTCGTATCTTTACCCACGCATATGATGAGCGTTCTGCCCACGATTTTGTTCTTATGTTCTTTGCGAAACGAGTCGGAGTTTTTCTGAAGGTTTGGCTAGGAAGATCCCCAATTGCCGTCACCGTGCCTTCTTACAACCACTTATCACAGTGATACTCTTGATGTTGATGATGATGTTCGTGCGTGGTATATCTCCAGTGGATGTTGTTGCGGAACTTAGCCCCGAAAGAGATATTTTTCGCGTCCTGACCTTCCTAATTGAGATGATTAGCGTGGGGGATCTGTCGAGGCTCATCAATGCAACCTAAAACTCTTTTCTCCGAGTATACGATAGATTTCTATAAATACGATTCGTGATTTCATTTCAGTCCAGTCTTATAGCTACAACTGTATGGGTGATCGCTTTCAAGTGTATTCCCACAACCAAGCTAATTCGAGTTCGTGGTGATGTTTCATTCCCTATCAGCGCTACCCCACAAAAGATCACGCCAGTAGCGCTAAGACATCTTCCAACACGTTCAAGCTCTTCTGATGCAACTTAGTGGCTGATGGCTTATATGCGGGGTAGGAACGCAGCTTGTCCCCCCACTCACCGTTCCGAGGTAAGCTCTCACCTCCAACCATTTGCATTACAAACGTAACACATCTTCACTCGCGTGTCTGCTTACTTCTTCTCTTCTATCTGCTCGTTTCGGGATCCACCAGCACTAACACGCTCGGTCGCTCAAACAGACTTTCCATATTGACATATATTACTCTCTAGACATGTCGCCTCCCTCAGCTACTGAGCCCCACCCCAATGGCGAGAAGCCTTCCAATGCCGCACCACTCGAACCAGGCATCACCGAGACTGAAGCATCAGTGCAAAAGACCAAGATTCCTGGTCCCCCAAAATTCGATGACCCTTACAAGGAGCGTGCATACTTGAAAGGTCGACTGGCTGGTAATGATGTCCATCCGACAGTCTCACAACCACTAACGCTACCTCAGCTGCGTTCCGCATCTTCGGTAAACTCGGGTTCGACGAAGGAGTCGCAGGCCACATCACGCTACGCGACCCCGTAGACCCCGAAACCTTCTGGGTGAATCCATTCGGTGTTTCGTTCAGCCTGATCAAGGCATCCGACCTCATTCTTGTGAACGAGGAGGGTGAAGTTATCGGCGGCGGAGAGTGCCGGCTATTGAATACTGCGGCATATATGATCCACTCTGCGATTCACCAAGCAAGACCTGACGTGATTGCTGCGGCGCATTCGCATTCTATCTACGGTCGATCGTTTTGCACGCTAGGGAGAAATCTGGACACGATCACGCAGGACTCGTGCGCATTTCACAATGTGAGTTCACCGAGAAGAACGGTAAACAAAACCTAACATAAACAGGATCATGTACTCTATACTTCTTACAAGGGCGTCGTTCTTGCGAAAGAAGAGGGACAAAACATTGCTTCTCAACTCGGATCTCACAAAGCGGCATTGTTGCAAAACCACGGTCTACTAACAGTTGGGCACACCATCGAGGAGGCGGTATTCTGGTTCGTCAGCCTGGAAAAGTGCTGCCATGCGCAGCTTTTGGCTGATGCTGCGGCTGGAGGACGGGGTGGCGAGACAATGAAGATTTCAGATGAAGACGCGGTGTTCACGAGCAAGACGGTTGGAACACCTATGGCAGGCTGGTTCTCTGCGAAACCGTTGTTTGATGTTATTCATAAGGAGACTGGAGGCGATTATTTGGAGTAAACAGCTAGAAGAATCGAAAGCAAATCAGTGCTGTTTGGCTGTAATGGAAGCTGACTATTTGGGTCTACCTCGATCGACTAATGCTTTCAACCATTCCATACGACTACCCAACCTATGATGATCTGTGTGGGAACATACGTTATTTGAATCATGGTAGACTATCTGCTGCACTTCAAACGCATGGTTGTTGGTGGAGAATGTTACGCGCAGGGGAGAACAGAAGGCCACTGCCATCCTAGTCACGGCAACAATACTATAATGCGACTCGCTGATCTCATCTCAAGTCGGCTATAACTCGATAGTATCCTTCTACACTCTGCTCCGATCCTGAACGTTTTGATGCATCGGCGACTCAGAAGTTGACTAGCTTGTCGGAGTAATTACGCGGGATAATTATTTGCACGACCCGATTCGTGCTATAATGCTCTTATCGCTTTCTTTCCTCAGAGCCAACAACGAAGGCTTGAAGTGTTACTGGCAGAAGTAGTTGTTCGGATTGATCTACTTGCAGTGTAGCAATATGCTTCTATAGACTCCACCAATCGCCCTGAAGACGAAAGCTATAAACCTGACATCAAGATCAGGGGTTCAAACAATTTGTGATAGCATATTGAAGTATAAAATGTATTCGCGCCAATTTGTGCCATGCGACACGGATCAACCACCAAGACTTGGTACCCATATTAACCCTGACTTCACGAAGGCGGACCTCGCCCAGTCGCAAACATGATCTCTTCTCAAGGCCTCCTCGCTGTTGCTCTAGCCTTGACGGCCCCGCTAGCTGAAGCAGCTATGGGACCTGCCTTCAGCACTGGCCCAGTTGGCTCTGGCTCCTGGATTCGAGAGGCTACTTCCACGCTCACCCTTCCGAAAGCTCCAACAAGCAAGAACGGCGACACTTCGCTGTGGGTTGGTATGGGAACCTCAAACGGGGATTTGATCCAGTCGATAGCGGACAACTGGCAATCGACAAACTGGGATATTTTTGCCTATACACTCAAGAAGACGGGAGGTACGTATAAATCGTGAATGAGAGGGATAGAGATTTGCGCTGACGCAATTTATAGATAACTCACAAGTGCCGATCCAGGCTCCAGGCTCTACTGCAAAGCAGGGTGACAAGATCACGATGCACTGTGAGTTCGTGTCTTGGTGTTGCCCACGCGCTAACAGGTTGCGTGCAGACAAGTATGACGATGCCAGCGGGAACTACACTCAATACGTATCCGTCAATGGCAACCAAGTATCTACGCTTTCCACGAACGATGGCCATGCTGAAGGCTTCGGTACTGCTGTCGAGTGCGCCGCTAACGACTGTGGCACGATCGGAGCACACAGTAAGTACTCTCGACGTGTACGAAATATGTGATGGCCTAGCGCTAATCGTGGAAAGCGTGGTCGGACACTCAGATCATATTGAATACCGCCGACCCGAACTACCGACAGACAATGTACAAAGGGGCAGGTGTGACCGGGGACATGTCTACAAGTGATGGAGGCAAGACTTGGGTCGTGAGCACTATCAGCATCCCGCAATTCAGCTTTGGCAGCTAGATATTTCATCGTTGCTACCATGACTACATACCACACGTCTACCCGTGCGCATCGCTTTCCGCTGCACCATCACCCTTTCGTCGTGAAAGCGGCCCTTCTGAATCAAACGCTCCCAGCACCTTTGCTCCCTTCAACATTCTTCTCCATCTCCACGAAATGCAGGTCTTCCGGCAACTCCAACTCCTTAAACGCCTCAACCGGAAACGGCGACGTCTCCCCCGTCTTCACATACCCCCTCCTCTCATACCACTCAATCAGTAAGCCCCTCGTGTTCAGCGCATTCAACCCCAGATTTTTAACACCCCACGTGTTGATAGCATACTCTTCAGCGTGAGCAAGGACACGGCGTCCCACGCCTCCAGCTTGGAACGCTGGGTCCACAGCCAACATGGCCATGCGAGCGAGCTCCTCGATTTTCTTGATGGTGGCCATGGCGCCTACGAGGGTGCCCTTGTCGTTGGTGGCCATCAAGAAAACGGCGTCGGGGTTGGTGATGGTCGAGAGCACTTCTACGGGCGTCATGGTGAAGCGGCGGTTGAGCTCTGCGTCGGGGCCGGTCCATCTAGCGTCCTGGTGGCGGAAGGCAGCTTGCACCAGTTGTGCGACTTGGGCGGCATCATCTGGAGTCGCGACCCGGAAATGGAGTTGAATATTGGTAGACATATTGGCTTGAACTTGGTTTGTTTTGAAGAGATGGTGGGGTAGCAGGAACGATGGTAGTCCGTGAATTGTGCTGTATCTACGGGAGACAGAAATTTGCCTACTTATATTCTGTGCGTCCGGCCAGCTGGTAAAGCAATTCTTTACATCGGGATCATACAAGGCGCGATGTCATCTTTGATACATTATAGGGCGCTAATGTAGGAGAGAGGGCGTTGTAGTCGACATGAGAAGTACGCCCATCGCACCTTCCCAATTAAGATTAGCGTCGTTATCTGGACGAAAATAGCAACCACAATCCTCTAGTATGGAGGCCTGATTCATCCTATCCTTTGCTTCCTTCTCACCCAGACTTCTTTCCTATCCTCACCTTCATCTTCGCCTTCGCTTGGTCTTAATTGCACTTCCCAAACCTGCAACTTGTAGCTTCCGCGGTCGGATTTTCCCGTGTGAATGTCGAACGACCATTCATGCTTCGGACAGGTTATACCCGAGCTCAACGCAACGCCAAAGTCTTCGATGTCGAAAGTCATTCCGTTGGATAATGGATATGACGAGTGCGGACATTCCTGATTCCATTAGTTATGCGTGTCCCGCCGTTTCGAGCCGACAAAGCTGGCTGTAATGTTGCAACTCGAAGGGCAGGAGTGGCCCGCGTACATGATTCACAGCAACAAACTTGCCCTTGTATCTGAACACCATGACTTGGTCCTTTGCGTTTCCGGCGTCGGCATCTTTCCATTCATCGATTGCTACTTCTGTCGCCATTGAACTGTCCTCGCGCGGCACGTGATATATGCGACAGCCCGGTCTGTATTGCCCATCGCAGAGTCGTTGTTCACCAACACGAGTGTCGTCGTCAGTATCAGGGTATGATGTTACTAGGCCAGCACAGAACCTAGATCGGGATGAAGTGGGTCAGAACGGTGAATATTCCCTTCGATATCGTCGCGTGTTGGTGTTGACGTACCAGGCGTTACCAGCGCGGGACGGTTGAGAAAAGGCATCAATGAGAAATGACATGGAGAGCGTACGAGTATGGGGAAGAGACAGGAACGGAAGGAGATGCCGGTGCAATATCGGTCCTTATCGATAAGCGAACAACTGGGGTCGTGGCCTGCCAATTAACTCGCAACACGAACCCTCGCCCTCCTCTCTACATCACACGATTGCCTTCACGAAACATGAACACAAGTGCAATGTCGCAGGACAACGGTCGGAAAGAGACTATTCTATTTCACGTTATTTTACTGCGGTGTCTTGTAACCTTCAACGAAGAACGTCTTCGTTCCACTGCCTATAGTGGTCGTCTGTCCCGAACCCGGGAGAGTCACCTCAGCCTTACTGTTGGGTGGAACAGTAACGCTCAAATGGAAGCCATCAGCCTCGACCGTCCAGCTCGAATTCACGGCACCGTACGGGCTCAGGATATGCGCGTTGGCACTGGTGATATCACCTCCTGGCTCTGGGGCAACCACAATAGTCTTCCAACCAGGTGAACCCGGGGCTATGCCTCCGATCTTCTTATGGATCCAGTCTGCAACGCTGCCAAACGAATAGTGGTTGAAACTCGTCATTGTACCTGTGTTGATGGATCCATTCGGCAGCATGCTGTCCCAGCGCTCCCAGGTAGTGGTGCCGTTCATTGTGACGGCGTAAAGCCACGAAGGAACTTCTGTCTGTTCCAACATCTTGTAGAAATCGGAGGTAGCGTTGATGGAGGTGAGTGCGTTACCAAGCTGCTGAGTACCGGCGAAGCCGGTTCCTACGAGGTAAGTGTTGTTCTTGATGACTTCGCGAAGTGCGTCGGCAGCTGCCGTGCGAGCAGCAGTGTTGGGGGCCCAGATGTCAAAAGCTATACCCAGAGCGAGCGCTGTCTGAGTGACGTTCGCAATGACGGGGTACGGTTCGATCCATGCTTTGTGGAACCCTTCGATCAAATCTCCGCGTTGAGTCGCATATTGCGCGGCAAGGTCGTCTTCGCCCAGAATTGCGCTCATGTTCGATAAGAGGCGGGTCATCTCAATGAGATATGCATCCGAAACAAGGTGTTTATCTGTGGTCGCAGCTCCAGGGTCTTCCGCTGGAGCCTTTGGATCGAGCCAATCTGCAAACTGGAACGTTGATCTGTCCCACAGGCCCACTTCGTTGCGTGGGATTCCTTTGTCGATCCAAGCCTTCGCAGCGTCATACTGTTCTTCGAGCATATCTTTATCCGCGAAGTTCTGGTACAATTGGTATGGGTGTCCTACCACCACATCGCCCCAAACAGAAACAGGCATGCGCGCGCGCGTGCGCTGATCATCGTTGACATCGTCCGTCGGAATGTATATTGGAGGGACCATATAATCTCCGCGCTTCTGCTCGGACCAGGCATCCTTGAGCCAGCCGCGCCAGAAGCCAGATGCATCGTAAAGATAATTAGCAGTTGGCATGAATGCGTGCGCATCCCCTGTCCATCCAAGGCGCTCGTCTCGCTGAGGGCAGTCTGTTGGGACGCCGAGGAAGTTGCCCCTCAGAGACCAGACGACGTTCTCATGGAACCTGTTCAGCAGCGCATGCGAGCTTTCAAAGTACCCAGTGCGCTCCATATCACTGTGCACGACCTGGGCAACAACTGAATTGCCATCTAGCGGAGTTGCGCTGGGCCAGCCATCCACCTGGACGTATCGGAAACCGTGGTAGGTAAAGGAAGGTTCCCACGTCTGTGTGCCATTGCCAGAGAGGATCAACGTATCGCGCTGTTTCGCGCTTCGCAGCGGCACGGTGTCGATCTCGCCATCGTTCATGACTTCTACGTGCTGAAATGTAATGTTCGAACCAGAAGGACCGGAGACAGTAACTTTGAGCCAGCCTACCAGATTCTGGCCAAAATCAATGATAGTCTTTCCAGACTTGGACTGGAACACAGAGACAGGCTCCAATTGTTCAACTGGCTTGATGGGTGCACCATCAGACGGAACTAAGGCACCCGCTGGTAGCGGCAATTGCTTGACGGCTAACCAGTCGCTGTCATCAAAGCTCGAAGTGGACCATCCTTTGACTTCCGCAGCAGAATTGTACACCTCGCCGTCGTAAATCTCCGAAGACACGATCGGACCCGTAGAGGCACTCCAGGTGAGGTCGCTCTTGATCGTTTGCTCCTTCCCGGACTCATCCGTAACAGAGAGCAAGGCGAGCAGCCCCAGAGTGTCGCCCCAAAGATTGCGAGGTATCTGCGTATTGAACCCGATCCGGCCGGCGAACCATCCCTCGCCAACCGTCGCGCCAATAGTGTTCTCGCCTTCCCTCAGCAGATCGGTAACATCGTAAGTGTCGTAAACATGCCGGTAGCTGTAAGACTGCCATCCAGGTGCGAGCACGTGGTCGCCGACGCGCTTGCCATTAATCTCTGCGACATACAAGCCCAGAGCAGTAATGTAAAGCCTTGCCTTCGCAACGGTGTAATTAACACTGAAGTCCTTCCGGAACAGAACGGGGCGTTTCGTAGCGTTCGTCTCCGTAGCACGATCAGCAGCAATCGGAAAGGCACCTTGCCAATCGTCCGCTGTCAGTAATCCCGTTTCGACCGTAGAAGGCTGCGACCAGTCTGACCATGACTGATTGTTCGAACCAAGCGCGCGAGCTCTCACAGTAGCGGCGTCCTTGCTCTTGAGCTCGGGGCCTGGCCACGAGATCAGGACCGACTCCGGTGTCTTGACATTGTAGACTTTCGGCACACCATCTTGGGTGATCTCGATATCAACTTCGGATTGTTCCCAGTCGACGGCAGTTCCTTCAAAGCGATACGAAATGCGAGGCTTGGTCTCTGCGATTCCAAGCGCTGGACGATGGTGCTCGAATGTGACGGGAGCTAGTGATAGAGCCATCTTGACGCTCACACATTGACGGGAGATTAACTGACCTGCGGAGAGGTTGCAAGCTGTCGATTGCAAGAACAAATCTTTGCGCCATCATCAAATACTATATATGTGAGGTTGCGCCTGATATTGCCCTTACCTTCGGCCCATAATTGTGCGAAGGTACGCCCAGTTTGTAGAACCGAGTACCGATCATAATGCAGATAGCTTTCTAGCCTCTTCACCCCGCCACCTAGGAGATGGCTGTGTAGCTTAATGTGGACTGAACGACCGTTTTGCTGTCGATCCCCCGCATTATGCTCCGCCCCCGGGACTCCGCGCTTCTTGCCTAAGAACAATCCTTGTACAGCTCGTATTGTGTCCCAAATGATTCGCCCGTGTTGATGCTTATAAAATCTTCGCTACAATTGTTTGCGAGCAGAAGGATCGCCGAATCCTTTAGCCTCAAACATCTCACGCTCCTTCGTGAGCTTAAGTACCTTTTGCACATTCAGGTAAGTCAACTTGACGGTCGCTTCTAAGCCCTTTCGCGGAGTGAACCTTATCATCATCGTGCACGGTAGGAAATTCGATTGGGGAGATCCATGAACCTCCAAACCCAAGTGCGCCAACAACATAAATGTAAATGAATGTAGATTCTCTACTAATAAAGGTGATGATGGCATCGTCTCGCTCATTACACCCATTCTTTTCCATCGAATCACACTAAAAGCTCTGCCGACCATTGTAGAATGATATCCAGCACCGGCACCATATTTTGCATCACCGATTTCTGATACAGGTAACTCGTCCAAAGGATCTTCTGATGATCTCGTCCCCGTATGTACAAGCCAGGTCAGGTATGATACCCGTCAGGACGAACATTGCTGCAAGCGTAGTGTCGATTTGGATGTAAGGAAGCAACCAACCCTGACCAGATCACGATCGACGTTATGCATCTGTGATGATCTGAATCCTAATGCGCGACGAAACAGGTTTAACGTGTGGGGTTCGGTTGAACAACGTTGCGGGAAAGTGAGAAGTACAGGGTTGCTCACGACATGTGGCAGTCCTCGTGGCATCTGCTCCCGGTGCTTTTGGAGAGTGACTTCTTCGGCGTTAGTAAGCGTGACGGGCGCGCACGCACTACGGACAGGAGCCTTTTAGCTACTCTTTGTCATCGCTTCCTAGAGAAAGCCCTGATGGGCAAAATTTAAGAGCCACGTGTGTGAAGATAGATGTGGGAAATGTAAAGGTCGATGGAAGTAGGATGCCATAGGAAGCGAAGAGTTTGACAAACGCAACCTTTGTGGTATAAACCTCTTGCACGCAATCTATATATCTCGCTAACTTCGTCAAATCACTTGATTTTCCGCGGGTGTTACTGCCTACAGCACGTCGCGAAAAGCCGGAAAGAGATCCATCACTTCCTCATCGGGAACGACGCCCATGCAGCTCGTCAGCACACATTTTCTGCGCCAGCCTCTCCATGTTTGCGAGACATGCTGGGCATTAATCTTCGTGATCAGGCTAACACATTATAGAATTCGGAACATCCATAGGCAGACCCTTTCGAAACTCAGATGAAAGCATTGCTGGCAATAAAGGCCCTTATTTACGCCGGTACCTGTTCTTTGACGGTCTCTCCCCTTCGAATCACCCTGCTCAATCAAAGGCAACTTTTGAGGGAAATATGGCTTTTGTAAGTCTCGGATGAGTGCCTTGAGCTTCCCATTTCTTTTGGTATAACCCGTTGTAATTCTTCTGCCCGAAATTCAATGTTAAGCCTTGGAAAGGTACGCTCAGTGCCACAGCGCCTGAGCAGACACAAAGGCAGAGCATTCGGAGGGTTGCTCATTCAAGGTACGAGCCTGGACTGAACCTTGGAGGAGAATCCCAATGATGCTAAATCATGACCCAACGATATACACAGCGTTTGAACGGTTGTTGTACGAAGGAGCGGTTCCTCAAGCATCGAAGGCGGTGCTGTCAATGCGGGCCCGGCGCGAGGCGAAACCCCGCAAACCCTCGGGAAGTGGAGACCAAGACCTCACCACAATTACACAATAACAGGCACGACAGCAGCAGATATGGCACATACGTCCTCGGTACTGCTCCTGGGACCATCATGAATATTCGAGCCATTATTACGGGCCGTTACTGATACCGCAAATCGGATGAAAGAGGTCGCTCGGATCACGGAGATAATGAGTACCCGGAAGCAGCTCATCATGCAGCACGAATTATACTGCAAGGCACATATCCCAGACACGGTTCTCGACCGGATAACCCGTAGACCACTTCGGAAGTTCCGACCAGTCACTCTCGTGTCCAATCATGTTCTTATTCATGTATATGACAGAGCTGGGGAGACTTTGCGGGGTACGGGGTAGATCGTACAATATATCCTAAACATCGTACCACCAGACATGTTCAAAAGGGACTGCGACCATGGTGTGTGACCATACACGCAGTGGACTCCTAGCAATGTCTTTCATGTCCATTCCACTACTAGCTCTAGCGAGCGCCCCTATCATCTACCTTCTCCTACGGCTACAACGATGGTTTGAAGACAGAGGCAAGCTCCCATTACCTCCGAAGCCGCCAGGCGTTCCATTGCTGGGCAACGCGCTGGGTGTCATCGGGTCGACGAAAACAAGCTCCCAGCACCTTCTCTTCGGACAATACGCTCGAGACCATGGCGAGATTGTTCGTGTTCAGGTTGGCCCTTTTACACAATACTTCATCAACAGCGACGAAGCGGTCAAAGCCATCTTCGACAAAGCTTCTGCCGCTACCTCTGAGCGGCCGCGTTGGATCGTCAGCAACGAGCACATCTGCGACCAGAAGAATGTTTTGTTGCTAAATGCAAGTCACCCGCGATGGAAACAGCAGAGAAAGGCTATTCTACAGGGCATGACCAGCGTTCCACGTGCTGATGCTGGGCTTGAGTATCTGCACTTTGAAACCGCAAAGTTCCTGAAGCAGGTCGCCAATGATAACAGGCTAGCTGGTGACAGCGTGGGACTGTTCAATGGGATTGGCCGGTATACATACAGCGCGTTCTCAAGTCAAACGTTTGGTATGGACATACCAGACGAGAAAGACCCGGCAATCGAATATATCTTTCGCAGCGGACTGGACCAGATTCTTGGAACACTGCCTGGCTCACACCTCGTCGATATACTACCAGTCTTAGACAGATTGCCTCTTTTCCTCAAGCCTTGGGAAAGGAAGGGAAAGGTAATCTTTCAAGACAACAAGAGATGGTGTGACGAGCGTTTGTGGCGAGTCGAGAAAGCCATCGAGGCGGGTACAGTGAAAGACTCATTTCTGGCCCGGAGGCTGCAAGACGAGAAGGGCATGAGTTTCGATGACCGTTCTGAGGCCGCCTACCTCGCCTTTATGCTCATCATCGGCGCTGCAGATACTTCAAAGATGTCATCATGGTCATTCATCGAGGCAATGATGCGGTTCCCCGATGTTCAAGCCAAAGCGCTGGCGGAGATCGAAGCTGTCGTCGGAGCCGCAGACCGTCTACCAGTCTACGAAGACCTCGAGTCAATACCATACGTCCGCTACCTGATGAAAGAGCTCTGGCGTTGTCGTCCACCCGTTGCACTCGGTCATCCCCACATCACCACTAAGGAGCTGATTTATAACGGCATGCGTCTGCCTGCCGAATCTCGCATTCATCTTAATGCCTGGGCTATAGGGCACGACCCCAATCGTCACCTCGATCCAGAGCGCTTTTGGCCTGAACGCTACGACGGAGATCTAACGACGAGCGAGCAGAGCAAGAACTCCACCGACGTCAAGGACCGCGATCACTTCGCTTTCGGGTCTGGGCGACGTATCTGTCCAGGTTATCATGTCGCTGAGCGCTCCCTGGCGATTGCTATCATGCGATTGGTGTGGGCTTTCGAGATTGTACCAGCGCCAAATGCTAAATTGCCGCTTGATCCGAAGGATTATCCTGGGGAGATGCCTGGAAATCCTGGAGAGCAAATGCCTGTTTCTCTGAAGGTTCGCAGCGAGGCAAAGAGAAAGGTCATCGACGACGAGTACGCAAGGGCGGAGGCTTCCCATCCTGACATGGAACCTTTGACACATGACGGTTGGTCTTGGAAATTTTGAAGTGGTATTATGCTCTGAAGAGTTCAATAAATCAAATTGTATATTTCAGTCGTGCACATCACAGCCAGTGAATTCAAATAATTCGGAGTTACTAGGTAAGAGTAGATGCCTTGAGACGATACATTTACGAAGGAAATTATGAAATCTATGTGTATATACTGGTTATCTGTGATAGCGAGACCGATTTCGACGTGCATTCGTCCTTGCATGTTGATTCGTTAGCCTTGAACCTCTCTTCCTTTCCGCCTTGTAGTGAAGGCAACATCCATTCGTCCACCCTGGCATTTCGTGAATTCGTGCGCGCAATCACTGTAGTCCATCTTTATTTCCAAATTAGTGACGCTTCTTTCCAGATATCTCTGTACTTACGAAATTGTTCACGTTCTGCTTGCCATTTCCGTTGCATTGCTTCTTGGCTGGACAACTACTGCGGTCTCCAGCAGTCGCCATCTTTGCGTAAGAAGGTCCCTCCTGCGGCGCTGTGTCATCGCAACCATCTGTATCATCACAACCTCCCTGGAAGACATGCAAGAGACCCATCCAATGACCCACTTCGTGCGTCAAGGTGCTTGAATTCGTGATCGGGACCGGGCCCCATGGCACGAAACAGCCGTCTCCACTCAGCGTAGCTTGACTGATGGGTCCAGTGCCAGCCGCAGGAAGGGAGCACAACCCGCTGCCAGCGCCTTCGACCATGTAGATATTGATACTCTGGTAGTTCCCTTTATGTAGAGCTTTAGTCTTGGCCGCCTTGTCATTGTCGATACCTGCAGCCCATTCTGCATTGACGGTAGTCTCGACACTTGCGAGGTTGAAATGATAGTTCCAAGGCTTGAAATTGCTGTTCAGGAAGTCTATCTTCGCTTGCACGACGGCTTTCGGAGGCGTATCAGGTTTCTTCGAAACGAGGACGTGAACATGAGCGTCAATCTGAGTGAGCGCTCGTGTGTGAAGATTGCTAAGGCTGCGTATGTATTCTGTTGGGCCGATGGCAAGGGGATCATAGTCGAAGTCTTCATTCGAGCATATGGCAAAAGCGGTGATCGGAGCAATCGCGGACAAAAACAAAGTCGTGATTTTCATATTGAAAGAAGCTTGAGGGTATGTCAAGGATGTAAAGTTGAAGATTGAATAACTGTTGTGGAGCGACAAGCAAAGTAGAGAATAGCCTTAGGGCTTATATTATGTTCCTGAGTATTTGATTCAAGCGGAGTATCTTCATTCATAGCCATATCGCCGACTACCATAGGTACACTCTGGATTAGGGTGAGGCTGTCCATACGCACTTTAAGGGCACCAGGGTACCCTACATATGTGTATGTCCCCGGGTGGCCTCGTCGGCGAGGTTGCTGGCTGCGGGGGCCAAATTGGTATGGCGTGAAACTAAGCAAGAAATGGCAAGGTTTACGCGTTGTAGACGCATGCTTGGCCATTAACAGTATTATTTGGCAGAGGTTCATTGGACAAGAAGACTTTGTAATGCTGGGAATGCTAACCGGAGAATTATACGCTTTTAGGGTGTCTCGCATTCAGATCCCGACTAAAAATTTTAACATAGCAGGAAACAATCAGAAACCCCGATTGTACTCTTAGCATCTTGTAACTAGTGCTATACATAGAATATCCGCTCTACGTACCCTTGAATGAAAAGCGCACACCGCCTCTGTTTCAGCATCTGCACTCTACTCACATCTGGTCTAGTTCACTACGCAACGTGGATATGAAGAGTTTCGTTTGGTAAGTAAGGGCCGGTGTGCGACAATCGATGAGACCATGATGCAATGTGCTCCACTGGTCATTGGACGCTCACTCATTCCTACACCCCTCTGCACCAGCTTCCTTCAACACCATGATCGCCCACTTGGGGTCTTTTGATCTGCTCAGCACATATCGTCTCATTCTCTACAACTGTTTTGGGAATGCTTAGAACGCTGGCGCACGTTCTTGCCGGTTACGGAAATCGTCGACTCTTGATGGAAATACGGACGGCCTTTCAGAGGTCAATGGCCGCCTTCAGCATCTATATTTGGAATGTAGGGGCGAGGGGGACACTTAGATTGCGCGAGATCAATTGCAGCCTTCCTACTAGAGTCTTCCTGTGTTGCCTGCATAGCCACTTCAGCTGCGTCGCCAAGTGGTCAAGTGTCACCAATCTATAAGCCCTCTCTGGAAATTTTCAGCCTCATCGCCATCTGCAAACTTCACACAATACCTGGCGCGCGATTTGTGCTGGAAAAGCATATCCACGCGTCGACCGCATCACACAACCATCCTATACTTGAGCAGATTGCCCTTCACAATCTCGTCTTTCTTCGCCTCCAACTCTTTGACATTCCAGTTGCAGCTCACGTATCTCCCACTAAGCCATTCCCTCTTCTCCTTAGTCAACCAGACACAGAACGCACCAGCGAGACCCTCATCATCAGCCAGAATATCGCTCCATTGACCGCCAGCATGGTTCTTCGTCTGCGGCGTCACAACTGCACCGGGATGAAGCGCAAACCTACAAAGTCAGCGTCCACTCACAGATCATGACAGAGGAAGAAAACTTACGCTTGCACACCCTCCTCCCCATGATCATTCGCCACACACTCCATCAACCGCATCCCCGCCACCTTACTCACATTATACGCAATCGGCGTCAACTCACTTATTGTAGAATGCGCCGCCATGCTACAGCTCGAAATAAGCGCCTGCGGTCCGTCCTTCGACTCGCTCAGCAGCGGGACAAACGCTTTACTAACGCGCCACACACCATTCAAGTTGATGTCCAGCACACGCGCCCAATCTGCATCTTGAACGATGCCCCGCGGGAGGTTACTCCCCGACGACGATGGCGCCTCTACGTACTTAGAAATGACACCCGCATTGGCGATCATGACGTCGACTCTGCCCCATTTCTGCCTGACTTCTTTCTCAAGATTGGAGACGTCGGAGTCGCTTTGCACGTCGGCGACTACTTTCAGGACTTCGATCTTCGTGCCTCTTTTTTCTGCGATCTTGCTGATTTCGGAGGCAAGCGCATCGAGGTCAGAGCTTGTGCGCGAGGAAATGGCTAGTCCTGAGCATCCTGCGCTGGCGTATGCGAGGCTGATGTGGTAGCCTAAACCCTTGCCTGCGCCTGTGACTACGACGATGAAGGGGTTAGGGAGCGTGGTAGAGGTGGGGTCGATGTTGGGTGGGATTTTGGAGTGGAAGGTTGGGGTGAAGTGTAGGCCGTAGTGCGCGGGGAGGGCGGCGTTAGAGAAGTCCATCCTGTCTTTGGTAACTGTTACGAAAATGGGAAGGATGTCGTATGTATGTTACCGACTGTCTATGAGACATAAACGCCATATGTCACGGTGTGCTCGAGTAGTTGTAATGCTAAATCCGCATGAGGTAAAGATCAACGGGAACGACGTCGCTTTGTCGAATAGTGCCCCAAGGCGCCGACTCCGCCTACACACGTTAGTCTCCTCTTGTTCCCGATTATCGTGATCATAGGAACTGCCACTTCAACAGTCTTCTCTCACTCACACGCAAATAAGAGTTCTAACGCATACTCAAGAACTTTTCATTCTCTTCAATCGCGTCCCTTGCAAAAGGTTGTACCATGTCTAAATTACAGAAAAAACTGATATCGTACAAGAAGTGATTCTCGAACGGTATTCAACTCAGTCATTTGTTTTTGAAGAGACCTTGGGCAAATCCCCTCAACACCCAGACAAACTAATATAACCACCCGTCATACTAGAACTGGCGCTGGTTATTGTACCCGTTCCCTGAGCCTCCACCACCATTATAGCCACCACCGTTGTACCCTCCCCTTCCTCCTCTGCCGCCATTGTACCCACCGCGTCCACCTCGCTGCTGCCCGCCGCCGCCTCTGCCGTGACCCAATATGTCATTCGGAGGGCGGTAGCCCGGCAGTGACGAGCCCTGCCCTGTGTGGTGTTGCGGCGGAGGACCCCAATGCTGCTGGCCCGCAGGAGCCTGCACGGGTGGTCTACCGTTACCACCCCAAGCCTCTAGACCTGGAGGTGCCGGCGGGACCCAACCTGGTGGTGGGGGAGGTAGGCCGTTCATGCCTGGCACGGGGAATGGTGGCGGCGGGAAGCCTGGAGGGGGTTGGAAGTTGTTGTATCCACCCCGTCCCCCGTTGTTGTACCCTCCGCGGTTGTTGTTGTGGCCTCCACGTCCACGATTATTGTAGCCGTCGCCGTTATTCGAGTACGAGCCAGAACGCTGGTTATTGTGGCTGTTGTAGTCTCCACGGCCGCCGCCGCGCCCGCCACGGAAGCCGCCTCGGCCGTTCTGCTGGCGGCGGACGTGCGCTTCGTCGTTCTCGTTGAGCATCTTTGTGGGCATGGTGAGGCCTTTGAGGAGGACGGACTTGTGGGCTGTCTTGGCCTCGATCTTTGGCATTTCGTAGTATACTCTATATTGTGTTAGACAGTGATCAATAAATGACGGGAGCCTAACATACCTGATGGAACCGTCCTGAATGATGTCGAAGTCTTCGCTCTCGGCGTCGAAGGGAGGAACGAGCTGACTGTCAGGAATGAACAGCTCGTGAGGCTCGACCTCGCCATGGAGCGCATCGCTGTGTTGGTGGTCAATCTGGACCTTTTTCTCGCCCTTACCATAGATCGTCTTGTTCATCGACTTGAACAGCTTGCCTGTCTGTGAGAACATCAAGGTCTCCTTGCCGAACTGGTTGCGCTTCACTTCGTCTTCAGTGAGTTGATCAGTCTTGGTAGCCATAGCAGTCAGCAAGCGCTTCTCATCGATGAATGGCAAGATGGCGACACCTTGCCATGCAAATTTCTTGCCATTCAAATCGATGGGAAAGTCCTCGGGGTAGAAGTCGACAATGGGACTGTCTGGGTCTGACATGAGGATACGGAAGGGTTCTGGAATCGCGTGGTTCGATGCGGCGGGAAGCACACCCATAAGCTGCTCATACGGATGGAAGGGCTTGCCTTTGTTGAACATCTTGTGGGGGTCCATATCTGCTATACCAACAAAGTCGGCGGCGAAAGGTGCATAATGGTAAGGGAAATACCAAGTCCAAGACTGGCAGCCCTGGAAGTAGTATGCCAGGACCCAGCAGAGACCCTCGGCGTAAGAACGGGCGACCTTGTGACGGAATTCCATGTCATCGGGTTCGACTCCAAATTTTTGAGTGTAGTAGCGTTCCCTGTAGCCGGGCTCCCAAAGCTTGACAGTGTCCTCGGGCATCTCCCCATCTTTGTTCTGTTGTGATGGCGCTGGCGACTGAGGAACTACAGGGGTGCTTCTGCCCGGTGTGCCATTGTCGGAGTCCTCGATCGCGTCATGCGTGCGTTTCCCAAGCTGAACAGGTGTTTCTGTACCACGTGCAGATACAGTCTCTGAGCCCTGGCTGTCAGTCTCGGGTGGAGCAGTGCCATCTGCTTTGGCTTTCAACATCTCCTTGAGTTTTGCGGCAGCGCTCTTGTTAGTCTGGTTCTTGTTCGCGAGCATCTCCTTGGACACGGCACGCACTTCATTTGACTGAGCATCCTGAGGAGAAAAGAAGGGTATGCCGGCGTCGAGGTACGTGTTAGTGTCCTCCTTGCGGCGCTTGGTTGGAGGAGCCTGAGTCCAGGCGGGTTGTCCGTTATTCTTGTTACGATCCCCGAAACGAGCACGCTTCGCGGCTTGTCGATCGGACACCTCTTTGCGTTTGCGAAAGATCTCATCCTCTTGGCGAGCGAGAGCTTGTAAGATCTGCTCCACTCGAAGCATATTGGGAAAGCCATTCTTCGTGACATAGTCGTCCATTTGCGGCAACAGTTCACGCCAGATTTTGGTGAGCAAGTCAATACCTTGATCTCGGATTTCCAGACTAGGAAGATGTGGTAAGAAATCGTTACCAACAAAGAAACACATGAAGACCCAATCATCAAGTGCTCGTTCTATGTCCTGCGGGAACTTGCGTTGGGGCGAGTCCATCTCTACTGCGAGGTACTCACGCAACACATTAATGTGAAGCCAAATGAAAGGCTTGAGAGGATGCTCTGCGGCGTCCCACTCGTCCTTGGCTTCCTCTTCGGTCAATTTGGAGCCGTCGTCAGGATGAGGGCAGTTGGGGCGAATGTGTCCCTTGCGACCGCACTTAGTGCAGCTCTTGTCTTTGCCAGAGTCGAAAAAAACATCCTCTCGCAAGACGCGGAAATGAGGCTCATGAGTGGCGAGACCAAGCATGATGAGATCAGCGTCTAGACCATAGATGACATGGCGAGTGTTGGGATTATGAGTGGGCATAGCGCGTTGAGAGCGGATGAAGTTCATAATTTTGTGTTCACCTTCACCGGGCACCGAGGCATCAGAAATGATGACCTTCATGTCTCGCCATGAAGGATCAGTGGTGAACTTGTAGGCACACCAGTATTGTAAGCTCTCAGCGAGCATGAACATAAAGGGGGTGCCAGGGGTGATAGCGTTGGAGTCCCAGGTCTTCTCGACAACCTGATCCAGGCTTGTGATATCCTCGCCGCGGCTGGCCTTCTGCGAGTTGAGCATTTGAAGGAATTCAGCTTTCTCATCGTCCTTCTCCTTGGCTTCCTTAGCTGAGCGAAAACGACGCGAACGCTGTTGGTTCATCTTGGCACGAGGCGCGACGCCGTCGACAGCCAGGTACAGCAGCTTTCGTGGGCGCACCATGCCCACAACGCGGTCAGTGTACTCAAAGATGGCAAGCATCATGTCTGCCTCAGTTTTGGGGGCTGGCTTGTCCTCAGGATGCGAACAAGGGTGCACGATGCCGTTCATATCCAAGTAGAGATTGTCGAACTCCTCGCCATTGGGGTTGGGCTGGGTGCGGTCGACTGGTATGCTTTCGTCGCCGACCTTTTTGGGCAAGTCTTCAATGACACTTGAAATAATCTTGGGGTATTTCTGGCTGAGCCAGCGGAACATAGCGGGGACACCCATGTTGGCAGGTGTGGGCGCTCACAGCGCAGGTGTGTGATATAGGTGTTGTAGGGTTTATGCGACACGGCTACGGCGATGCGGGAGATGCGGGAGATGCGAGAGATGCGAGAGATGCGTATATGGCAGCGCGCCACGCAGTTGAGAAGCACTAGACACTTGATGAAATGTATGTAGTGTGAGACGGGCTCTAGCAAGCACTCAAGGCTGTTGCTGTTGAGCTGGGTGACAGAAACGGAAGGCGCGAGGCAGTCCAGGATACTGCGGTGCGGGCGACCTTTCCGGAAAGAAAATGAGATGATGCGGCCTAGTAGGGCGCGTTGACTGATGCGCGGGCGTCCTCAGCGAAGACTGCGCGACGTGTCGTGAGATGGGTGAGGATGAAGCGCGAAGAGTCGCGATCGCATGGAAACCTTTGCGCCAAGTCTGGGACTAGGGCGCGGAGCTTCGGGCGCTGGATCGCCGTGACGGCTGAGCCCTTGCCTGCTCCGTATCACACGGAATTTGTGAGAGAACAGCTGTAGCTAAGACCAGCCCTAGCATTCACACCTTTTGTGGTTACTGCTCAATGTGGAGTGGCTTACCTCGAGTATACGCTAATCTACACGCATAGCAAGCGTGTGTACATTCGATCCGTATCTGTATACCAAATTCACCACGCAATGATCCCGTAGTCGAAGCACACCGCCAAAATGTTCCAGGCGCCGGCCAAACAGACCGCGACCGATACTATCAGCACCCTCTGCGGCCGTCTCTCAAGCGCAACCCTCCTCGAGGATCGACGTGCGGCTATCCTCGGTCTGCGAAGCTTCGCAAAAGAATACCCGGCATCTGTAGCCTCTGGGGCTCTGCGGGAGCTGATTGCGGCTTTGAACAAAGATGCAGAGGATGTGGACACAATCAAGGTGGTGTTGGAAACGCTGTTGATGCTCTTCAACCCGAATGAGCAAAGTGTAGGCCATAAACATGTGTGCTACTCCGACAAAGCTGACAGTAGCAGCCTGAAGCTTCAGAGGAGATTGCGCTTTGGCTGGCCGATGAGTTCACACAGGTATGCGCTTTCCCCTTGTGCTACTGCCAGTGCTGAGCTCATGGTAGCGGCAAGATAACATATCCATTCTCCTTGGCCTCGTCGAGACCGACGACTTCTACTCGCGCCTTTACTCGCTCCAACTCATACGAGCCATCTCCGACGCACGACCCGAACGCACACAAGAATGTATTCTTCCTGGGGTAGGGAAGGTAGTGGCCACGCTGGACGATCAGCGAGATGCCGTCCGCACTGAAGGCCTGATACTTCTAAACGACCTATCGCGAACCTCGGAAGAGCTCCAAAAGCTTATCGTTTTCGAGAATGCCTTCGACAAGGTCTTCAACCTCATCCAGGCCGACGGCTCGCTCACACAGGGCACAATCGTCGTCCAGGACTGCTTGTCGCTGCTTGCCAACCTCGTGAGATTCAATACCTCGAACCAGACCGCGTTTCGGGAGATGGGACATGTAGCAAAGCTAGCAGCCCTGCTTCCTGGGGCCAAGAAACCCAAGAAGGCGCGATCGAGCATTGAAGACGAGGATGACTGGGTCAGCCCACAAGCGGACAAGAACCTCTGGGGGCTGCTGGCAATTTTGCGCATGTTTTTGGTTCGTGGAAGCATCAGCACGCTTCCCAACCAAAACGCATTCGTGAAGCATGGCATACTGCAGCAAGTCGTCAACATGGCTTTCGGTCCTGCCTCGGCAATACCCATCAAGATTGAGTCTTTGAATGTTTGTGCAGATTTGATAAGAGGAAATGCTCGATTACAAGAAGGCTTCGCGCAATTACAAGTGCGGCCCATCGCCGGACCCGTCACCAATGGTACCACCTCCCCGAACGAACCATCGACCGTCTATATCATCGATGCGCTTCTCGATCTCGCTCTTACTCCAGCTTCCAATGACATGTTCGATGTTCGTTTTGCCGCTTGCGAATGCATCAAAGCTTACATCTTCAACCACCTTCAGATCAAAACCCACTTTCTTAGGAGAGCCATCGGCGGTCACCTTGATGGTGCTGATGAAACGGCAAATGCACTCACCACACTGATTACTGGACCGCAAGGCTCACAAATGATTGATCCCTACCGGACCTGGTTCGCTGCGGTTCTCGTATTTCACCTCATCTACGATGACCGCGAAGCCAAGAACGAGCTCATGCAGGTTGTCGAAGGTGATGCAGAAAGTGGCGAGGAAGTCGTTACATGCATCCAAACTCTGACTGGAAACCTAATCGCGAGCTTACAATTAGGGGAAGACGAGCGGATACCCATTGCGTATCTCATGCTGTTGTCCGGATGGCTCTTCGAAGACGCTGCAGCTGTCAACGACTTCTTGGGAGAAGCTAGCAGCCTCCAAACCCTCATCCAAACGATACAAAAGCCTGGCAGTGACTTGACGGTCGTGCGCGGCTTGTGCGCTTCGCTGCTTGGCATCATCTATGAGTTCTCCACGAAAGACTCGCCGGTGCCAAGACGAGACCTGCAGCCTCTTCTGACTTCAAAACTGGGTCGCGAGAAGTACCTCAATGCCATCGCGGAACTGCGCCATCATCCGGACGTTCGCGACTTTGAAGTGATGCCGCAAGCGTCAGGAGGCGCTCTGGCCAGTGTCTTCTTCGATGAGACCTTTGTGGACTTCTTGAAGGACAACTTTAGCCGCCTATCTCGCGCCATTGACCGGGATCCCGTCATTGAGATTCTCCAGTCGCACGATGGTATTGATCGTGATCTTGTTGATTCGTTGCGGGGGCAAATAGACGAGAAGCAACACGCCATCGAGCAGCTACAAGCCGAAAAGTTGACGCTGGAACAGAAGGTGAACCAAGAGCAAGCAGAACGGCGAAAGATTGAGGACTCGTCCCAGCAACAACTACACAACATCAAGCGCATCAATGAAGAACTTCATCGAAACCATGAAAAAGACGTGAGGAAGTCGGAACGCGAACACAAGCAGGCTTTACTTGAGCTGGAGAACAAGTACAACTTGCAGATTGCCGCCTTAAACAACAAAGTGCAACAGGCTACCAAGGAAATCTCGGTTGCTGTGGCAAATACAAAACGCGAGTACGATGACAAGCTTCGTCAGGAAAGCAGGGCTCGTGGGGAGGTAGAGCAGCGGTTAAGTGCGTCAGAACGCAGTCTACAGGATGCAGGGCGTGCCCATCAGGAGGCATTAGATGCCAACAAGGCGCTCGAAGACCAGCATCGCGACCGAATCAGTTCGCTCGAGCAGAGACATCGCGACGAAATCGGAGCTATCGATCTAGAAAAGGGTAAGTGACCTGCAGTTCTCAACCAACACGCACGCAAACAATGCTAACAAGTCCATAGGCACGCTCGAAACGCAAATTCAAGAAGGCGAAGCCCAAATCAAGAAGCTCAGAACCGAGAAAGACGCCCTGAAAGCCATTGCGGATAAGGCCACGTCTAATGCGAAGGATCTCCAGTCCACCATTGATAAGCTAAAGGCGGAAGTCCAAGATGTCAAGACCAAGATGCAAGACCAGACATGGAAGGTCAAGGACGCAGAGGAGAAGATGCGCAAGGCCGAGGCAGCGGCCAAGGAGAAAGATGGGAAGCTCAGCAAAGCTGAGGCGGCGGTCAAGGAGAAGGAAGAGGCGCGCGCCTCGGCGCAGACTGAGCTGGATGATCTCTTTGTTGTGCTTGGGGACTTGGAGGAGAAGAGAGCGCGGGACAAGAAGAGGCTCAAGGAGCTTGGAGAGGAAGTGTCGGAGGCGGAGGATGACGATGAAGACGAGGATGAGGACGAAGACGAAGACGAAGACGAAGACGAGGCCGAAGAATAGACTACGTTTATCGAATGTTACAGAGAGAGCGTTCGTCTTGCACAGAATTCCGGCATCAGATGGCTATCGGCGATACCTCGTACCTGCTGTTCAAGTCTTGTGGTCGTGGTAGGCATGAGCCCTGTCAAACAGCCCTGGGGGGCCGCGTAACTCTGTGACGTCATGTCTATTGGACCTCGTGCTGCATAACTCACCTGCTGCTGATCATTCGCTACCCGTCGCAAACACATGTGCGCCACGATATGCACCCCGTCCCCAACAGGTACACACGCTATCTTTGTCGACTGACTGCTTGCTTGCAATCCACCTCATGTACTCGCCTCAAACGATGATGGCGTGCATTCTACATCATACACCCAGGATGGCAACGCGCGTGCCGTTTCATGCAAACCAAGTACCGGCGCTAACGCGGTTACGCCCGCTGCCGCGGGCGCTCGACCAAGGAAATCCGTGAAGCTTGTTGTGCTTGGTAAAGCTTGAACCTTGCAGACACCCTACAAGACCGACCCGTATCTGGCCTTCTTTGTTAGGTTTGGACCTTACAAGTGCGACGATCAGTCCTCGGGCTGACCTCTGTTTGGGCGGGATGCTGCCACGTTGGGGTTTGTGGGCGATAAGAGAGTACGGGGTGTGGGGAGAGGGGCGAGCAGGTTTGCTTCAGGTGTGAGGGGATGTGATGCAATGGGCTGCAGAGCAGATATATCTACCAGAGCTATCTTGACATTCCGGCGCTTCATACCATAACATACCACCACTTGCGACTTTCCAGAATATCATCCAACTTGAACCTTTCAACTCAACACCCATTCACACTATCAAAGCAACATGTCCTTCCAGCGCCTCGCCGTCCCGCGCAACTCGGTCTACAAGGCCAACGGCACGAAGTCATACCTTCATGCTATGCGGAAATGTACGCTTCTTCCCGCCCCTCCTCTCTAAACACACACTAACGCAACTGGTCTAGATGGCTTCCACCCCACCAAGCCAGGCCCCTACTTCCAAGCTAAGCAATTCCAGCCTCAGGGCAAATTCGGCCGTACAGGTGGCCGCATGCGGTCACACTATGTCCTCGCAAAGAAGCACCATCCGAGCTCTTCTCAGGGAGCTACTGGTACTGGAGCACAAACTAGCGGCACAGAGGGCGAAGTGCCCGCCGAAGACATCCAGAACGATTCGCTGTATCTGTGTGAGGTCGGCGTCGGCACGCCAGAGCAGAAGTTGTACCTCGATTTCGACACTGGCTCGAGTGATCTTTGGGTGCGTCTTGTTTCCTTACATTCTCTTTCACTCGTACTGACGTGGTGACACAGGTCTGGTCTACCGAGCTTCCAAAGAGCATTCTCAGCGGAGCGAACAAGAACAACCAACAAGTTGCTTTTGACGCCACCAAGTCCAGCACTTTTAAGAAGCTGAGCGGAGAGACCTGGAAGATCTCGTACGGCGACTCCAGCAGTGCTAGCGGGGATGTAGGAACTGATACTGTGGATTTGGGCGGTCTCAAAGTGGAAGGGCAGGCAGTAGAGTTGGCAAAGGAGCTGAGCCAGCAGTTTGCGCAGGTACGTTTCGCCGCTCGTACAAACAGTCGAGTAACTTGTGCTAACGTGGTATGCAGGGCAATGGAAGCGGTCTGCTCGGCCTAGCGTTCAGCTCTATCAACACCGTTTCTCCGACACAGCAGAAGACGGTGGTCGATAACATCGCAGCGCAGCAGGGCGCTGGCTAGCAGGTATTCACTGCGTACCTCGGTAGCTGGAGGGACACAGACGAGGCAGACAAGGGCCAGGTACTACCCCCAACAACCGCGAAATCCCCCTATTCCAACTAACATGGGCACAACAGAGCTTCTACACCTTCGGCTTCATCGACCAGGATACCCTCACAGCCGCCGACGCCACCGAATCCAGCATCAACTACGCCGACGTAGACTCCAGCCAAGGCTTCTGGCAGATCGCGTCCGCAAGCGCGACTATAAACGGAAAGAAGGTGTCTCGTACATCCAACACCTCCATCATGGACACAGGCACCACCCTCTGCCTCGTAGACGACACCCTCGTCGACGAAGTCTACGCCGCCATCCCCGGCGCAAAATACGACGACACGAACCAGGGGTACATCTTCCCGTCTTCCACGACTGCCGACGCGCTGCCCGAAATCACGCTCGCGATCGGCGACCAGCAGGTTGCGTTCCAGAAGGAAGACTTGGGTTTCGCGGACGCAGGGAACGGGATGGTGTATGGAAGTATTCAGTCGAGGGGCAGTATGGATATGGATATTTATGGGGATGCGGTGTTGAAGGCTATGTATGCTGTTTTTGATATGAATGGTGGGAGTCCGAGGTTTGGGTGGGTGCAGAGGAAGGAGGGGAGTCAGAATACGGCGGTGCCGCCGCAGCAGTAAGTAATTGGGGGCGAGATGGTAGGTCTGAGACTTTTGACCTGGTATGATATATGAATGAGTATACGTTCTGGATGAGAGCTACTTACAGTGACAGGGTTCCAGTGACTGCTGCCATCTCGACTCCTCTTGCCCTGTGCAAGCTGACAAAATCGTTGCGGAGTTAGGACCATTTCACAAGTCCCTCGCGCGATATCGATGTATCTCTTCGAAGCTGAGACGTTATGTTAGTGGGATTTCGCATCCTCTCAGCTGCCTCTGACTTTCTGACGTGCTTCTGACATGAAATACACGCATCTGATAGGTCGGCGCGACAACTCACACTATACAATGCTCCCACAGGAATCCAACATCAAGATCAAAAGTTCAAAACGTCTTTCTCTTCTACCTATATATGCCACAGATCATACAGTACCCATTGCCATCTCCTTCCCAGACTTCCGTCTAAAACCAAGCAAACAGTTCTTCCGCCCCAAACCCACCATGTCCACGTCCCCCAAAGAAAAACACCCTCGCCGTCTTCGGCGCAACAGGCCACCAAGTCCCTTCCCCTCCCCTCCATCCCAACTAGACTAACAACCCCAGGGCGGCGCCCTAATATCCCACCTCCTCTCCCTCCTCCCCGCCTCCAACCCTACCACATCCTCGCCTAACCCGCACCCCAACCTCCCCTCCGCCCTCAAGCTCGTCCAAGCCGGCATCTCCGTCGTACACGCCGACCTCGAAGACGCCGCCTCGCTAGAAACAGCATTAAAAGACGTCCACGCCGTCTTCCTAGTCACAGATTTCTGGTCCTGCGCTTCCCCCGGCGCGCTGCGCGAGATCAGCCAGGCGAAGCGCGTGCTTGACATCCTGTCTCGCTCATCGTCCTTAGAGCATCTAATCTATTCGAGTCTGCCTAGTATACGCTCGGCCAGCAAAGGAAAATACTCCGCTGTAGTGCACTTCGACGGCAAAGCCGACGTCGTATCCTGGCTGCAGTCTACGCATGATGACCTGTGGGGCAAGACGACGGTGCTATGGGTAGGCACGTACATGCAGCTTTGGCAGCAATTTCGGGATGTTTTCGCTCCCCAGAAGATGGTTGAAGAAGGGAGGGAGGTCTGGATTCAGAGCAGTGTTTTTTACGCAGGGACGAAGTTGCCGTTGGTGGATGTTAGGGATGTGGGGAAAGCTGCGTTTACTATTTTGAAAGAGGGGAGGGGTTGAGGGGCAGGACGGTGAGTTTAGTTGCGCCTGATCCTGTGAGTATGAAGGAGCAGTTGGAGATCTGGGGACGCCATGTTGGGCGGGAAGTGTCGTATCAACATGTTAGTGAGGAGGAGAGTTGGGAGACGATTAAGAAGTTGGGGTTCGAGGAGTTTCTGGCGAAGGATGTGTGGGAGGTGGGTCTTGCGTTTCGGGACTTGGAGGAGGTTGTTGCATGGGGAGGGTGGTGCAGGTTAGCGAGGTGAGATTGATCGAGTGTGAGGATTAGAGATGGAGGGCTGACTTTGCGCAGATTTTGCCGGTGGGCGAGAGGTTGAAGACTTGGGAGGAGTATGTTGCTGGTGAGGATTGGAGTGAGTTCTTGGAAGGCTGATGGAAATTTCGGAGATAGTTATGGGTCTATGACTGCGGTAGCATTTTGCGGTTCACCCGATGCACCCCCCAAAACCTTTTTGGGTTATCAGATGTCTCTTTGCGGGTGCAAGACGAGCTGAGCTGCAATCGACAAGGTGTCCCAGATAATAGATCCCAAAAGTGCGTGGGACATCGGTGGCGGAAATTATACCGCGCTGTTTGTAACCGCTGACAAACTGTAGCGCAAAGCAATTGATAGTGGCCGAAGCATGGATGTACTTGCTGTGTGTGATCTCGTCCTTCCTGGTTGGTTTAGGCTGATTCTCTCTAGGTCTAGGGCACTCATGATACAGGCTAATAGACCCGAGAAAACATACCATATACAATCATTCAATCTTTCTCCTACACCTGTTCCTCCTCCCATCATAATTCAGCCAATCAAGTCCTTAATCTCCACCAGCGGCGTTCACGATCGACGCCAAAATCAGTAAGGCGCCCGGCGGATCACCCCCACGAACCGTTGAAAGGTGTGCTCCGACCGCCCCACACGTACTGAAACTTCTGCCATAGTGCACATGCCTACCTTCGGTACATCCTGTAATACAGCTCTACTGAGTGCCTATACGAGTAGGTCTTATTGTAACCCTGCACGCCGAATATTAATCGCGCTAGCGAATGCCCGATGCGGCAACTGCACGAATAACGGCCCCCGGTAGAGGATCGGTACATGGATCATGAGCGGACTTGCATATCACATCATTGATAAGGAACCACTATGAAGGGTCGCGTCCGGATGTACCTATACAATACCAATAAGTACACCTGTATACAGTATACCTAAGGTATCTCGTATTTCTCCCACGCAGATCGTCCAACCGCAACTACTTCCCACGCCGCACAACATGACCGACGCGGATTCGTTTACACAAGTTGCTCGTCGAGCATCCAGATGGTATCACGACCCCAAGATTGCGCAGTCAAACGCCCGAGAAGCAGAACCTGTGGAGCCGCAGGAAGGCGCGGATGGAGCGCGATATCGAGTTGCTGAAGGTGGAGGGTCACGGAAAGGGATGGTTACAGTGTCCAATAAGCGCTTGCTTCGAAAAATCGACCGGCATATTATTCCCTTGATTCGATGGGTGTTTGTACGGAGGAACAGGCAGAGAGATGGAGACAGGAAGGCGGAGGGGGGAGGACTGGAAAATGGAAGAAAATCATGATAATTTGGATTTGACGGATCGGGAGAACAGACAATCCAAATATGCAGTGTAGCATTGTGTAGCGTTCTCCTTGAACAAGCGGTCACTTATATGAGCCACTTTCCATAAGTCAATTTGACCAAGACCAATCGTTCCGTAGCTTCTGATCCACCTATGCCACGGCCATCACATCGCTTTCACCACGTAGTCCGTCATAGTAAGGCTGTAGCTGTAGACATTTGTCTGCGGTTTACCATGAACCAAACAGACCCATCGCTTTGCTACCTCGAAGAGGAAGTTGGTATCGAAAGGACAATTGCCATCGTCAACATCGCAGGAGTAGCTTGTTGTTCTAAGACAGTGGTGGTCAACCAAGAGACGACACAGCGCGTCGGTGTTTGCTAGCCGGCTGAACGCATAAGTGTACGTCGATGGGCAAGGAACATGATGCTTCTTGCCATTGAGATGCGCGAACAGCGTACGCAAGGCATCATTCTTGAATCTCACAGCCTGGTGAGCATCTCCAAACACATAGAGCCGCACTAGAACCTGCGTCTTGGTCCTATGCGCGTCGGCAGAGACCCCGTTCTCCGCCATTGGGTCTCCGTACAGGGCGACCAAGTCCTTGTCATCGCCATAGCCTGCATGAGGAAAGCGTTGATGATAAAGCCAATGGATGAAGATCTCGAATGTAACCGGGTTCTGATCCTTCAGCGTGACAGTCTTGGTCTCGGCTTCCTGGAATCTGCCTAGAAGAGCTGCGCGGAAGAACTCCGAATAATGAGTGAGAAGTGCTTCATGAACGACGAACTCGGCTTTGGCCTCGCCGACAATGACAGTTGCGAATGCCTGCTTTACGCCACTACAATGGAGTCAGCAAGGCGCTTTGAAAGTAGCGAGTATAAGGAAGCGTACGAGATTCGCGGACGGCTGCCGGGCGGTTTCTTGGGAGTTCCCGGTGCGGTCGATTCCTGAGAAGTCGACGCCATGGCTGGTGGAGTGAGGGATTGCGGTGGAGAAGTTGCGGAAGTTGTGGACCTGATAAAGGCGGCAGAGCGATTGCGGAAGGCGTGGTTCACCTCAGCCTGTCCCTTTCACCTCACCTTCACCTTACCTTCACCTCACCTTCATCCCACCTTCACCTACGTCTACGCACAAACGTATAGTCACATGACTATCTCGCCTGTAGCGCTGATGAGCCGAAACGGTTGACGAAACTGTTAACATGGCAATGAGAGCAAAGGGCGAGCATGGCTAACTTGCGTTCCGCGGCTCATCGTTGGCAGAGAGGCTGATCTTGATGAGGTCTGACCGTCTCCTCGAAGTTTTTTTTTTTCGTGGCGGTCGATGTGGTCGAGTTTCTCAATGAAATTAACCAACTTGTAGAGCAGCTGAACGAAAAGACGATGGGTAGGAGGTCTTGTCCTCTTGAGTAAGCATTGTTCCCGCAAGCAACGGCTAGCGATGCGGAAAGTACTAGGCGGGTGTATGCGCAAGCCACTCCAAAAATTCACTCATGCGTATGTATTACAAGACAATTTACTCCTGGCAATTTCGAAGGCGGTTAGGGACGTTCATACCTTATTCTCGATAGTTCTCACGTTTGCACACGATTCTTGCTGCAATTCGCGCAACATCGATTGATTCCATAACCCGCTCTATCCTTTCTCGTCTTGCCAGGATCGGTTCACTATACAGTTCTCCTGCCTGTTAACTTCGACTCATCCAATGATGGGATACTTGGAAAGCCCAGAGTTTTTGTGAAGAGAAGTCATGCGCTGTCGATAAGCCTAGGTCAGGAGGGATTGTTCAGACAGGCGCGGATGGTTAAGTTCGTCCTCAACACAGGCAACGTATGGGACTCCACGATTCTTCCCATCTCCTTTCATCTCCTTTCGTCTCTGTTCATACCCCTTGATTTGCTTTCGCCGACTTTACGTTTGCGACACTAGGTATAGGTACTTTCCATGGTAGCTTTCATGGAGTGTCGCTCCAGGTTCCAAGCCGCGCTCGGGCCTCGGCGACGGACCGGCAAACAGCAGATCCGATCGACACTCGACCAGCCTCACCGTGGCCCTCACACTTTGAGGACGGCGACTCCATCATCACGCGCGCATGTACCATCTCATCTAGCTTGGCAATTGAATTTCATCGCTTTGAGGTTCCGCCAACCCGGGTCCATGATGCGCTGGCTAGGCAGCGCCGGCATTCACCTCTCCCGAACGCAATGTCCTCCACTGCCAAGGAACCTTGGATGGTCCCAGTGAAGGTATTCACAGTAAGGTCCGCACTTTAGGGATAATGTATGGAAATTGACCGGGTCAAGGTCACCATGTGGACGCTGTGTGTGGTTGCGCTCCTCTTCTTGGCTTCCCGGTTCGCGGTGCGCGCTTCGACTAAAGGGAAGTTAATGGGCAATGATTACTTTCTGGTCGCTGTCGTGCCCTTCCTACTGGGTGGATCTTCACTTCTCCAATCAGTTATCCAGCAACTGTATCGGACAGAGGATACGCATGCCGACAAAGATCGGACTGCATCCTCTGAACCCACGGACGTCTCGCAGCGCCTCGTGGCAGCCATAGAGCTGATATGGATCGCCATCTATTGTGTGAAGTTTTGCTACCTGGCACAGTTCAAGTTCTACAAGCCGCCGTATGCCTACGTTGTTATAGCCTTGACCCGTTACTACTGGACGGCCGTGGGACTTTGCATCGCTGGTTTCTTGTTCACAATTGTGCAGCCCATTGTACTCTGCCACACAGGAGGTAAATCTTGGCATATTGTTCCATCCCCTCGAAAAGACTAACTCGTATAGAACAATGCCGCTACCATGAAGGCGTCAATACCAGGTCTTGGGAGATTGCCATAATCCTTATCGATATCGTGACCGATGTGCTGGGTAAGTATCAGTGCTGATGCAAGTGATGCGCGCATTGACAGACTGGCAGTCATATCGATACCAATATTGCTCATCCACATGGCCAACACCGTTCGGTCTAACACTATCGTCAACTTTGTTTTCAAAAGTCTATCCATCTTCAACGTCGTGGTGGCTGCAACTCGCTTAGCGCTCCAGTACGATACCGCGGTTAACCGTATCCGATATGTATCGGTAACGTTTTTGCTAGTCATTGAGGCGACCGTCGCTCTTATCATGGTCAGCGTCTCTGCTTATCGAGTCATGTTCCTCGATTTTCTGGCGGGATGGGAGCGAGAAAAAGCGATTCAACCCACACGCCTAATAGTGCGCCAGGGACGACGCCATCCGACGGCGACAGCGGTCGGCGGAGGCAGAGCCAACAGAGGCAGTGACCCAGCGGAAAGCGCCAAGCCGTCCCAGCAACAAGACGGTTCGTTGTCAGACCTGCCTATGCTGTCAAACACGTGAGGAGATTGCTCTCATTGAACGACGAAATTTACCCGCGGGCTTGGCCGAGTCATCATCGCCGGTTGATCTCTCGGAAATCTCATCGCCTAGCCGCGTGGAAGTCCGATCGATCCGTGGTTCTGTTGCAGATCGATCTGTGCATGCGACCCAGCCATGGCCGACGAATGAAAAGTGCGGCTTGCATGCGCGGCACAGTGCCTATGGCTGGCGCATGTTGGCGCGGGAAGATAGTCAGGAACCAACGCCGTTCAGCTCGTGCAAAATATTCCGCCTGCACCGTGCTGTGCAGCGCCTCCAACCCTAACCTTGAGCCCGGAACCAGAGAGCACAATTGCATCTTCGTAACGCTGCATTGGAAGCTGATTTTGAGCTCGACGAGGCAACGACCTTCTCTTTGGAAGAATTGCGAGTGCCTGCCAAAGTTTGGGTCTCTCGCACTCAGGCATCACGAGGGTCACAGCTGCAACGGAGCCTGTGGGCTGTGGCGCTCAAAATGCGGATCGGCAATGCTATGGACAGCAACAAACTTTGACACCTAACGATGTTTTGGTGAGCGGGTCGCAAAAGTAAAGAGGGAAGCGTGGCGCTAGCCCTTCGAAGCGTCTTCTTCCACTCCGGCGGCCCGACTGCCCAGCATGAACGATTGGCCCAGGCATCCACAATCTTCAAAGCTTCTTCTTCAAGTGTGAGGGCGATACTTTCATTCGCCGAGGTTTAAACAAGTACCATTACATCACCAGTCCAGACCTGGCAGGAGATATGTGCTAAACTATGCGCTTTGGGACCTTCAGCACTAGTTTGCCATGCACACTCGTTTTACCCCTGCCGATGATTTCTTCCACCCCACGTCAGCCACGTGAAGGTTGAGTTGATTGTGGAGCTGAGAATCGACCTAACGAAGTCAAAAGAATCGTGTTCCCGCACGGAGGGGCCGCCAGCGTTGTCTCGATTTCAAACTTGATACTCGAGTCCTCTCTCAGGATGTCCGGATTAGTGTTGGATCGCCTGGGATTGGCTTACATCGGACTCGATGTAGCCTGGACAGTCGCTCTCCTTTGTGGCATGGGATTTCTCTATTACCATCGCGAGCTGCCCTGTATTCGGATTCGAAACCTTCCTCTCCTCTTCCTCGGCATCATCCCGCTTCATCTCTATGGCTTTGTATGTGTTCTTGGATACGTCCTTGGGGCGTTGGTGCCGTGCATGGCAATGTTTTGGATCATGAGGTACGTGAAATGCATTGTGTTTGGTCCAACGAAGCTGACTCTGCCAAGCTTATACCTCCCATTCGGTATCGCTATGTTCCAAACCGCCAACAGCCAGTTCTTGCATGTCGCCAGCCGACAGAAGCAATTCGCACACCTCAGCCTGATGAGCGACCAAGCGCCCCTGAAAGAAGAGGAAGCCGAGCAATTAGCGAACAGCCGCTGGCGCAGGATATTACGTGGTGTCGAGCGGGCTGACAAGATCGAACGCCAGATGGTGTACATTGGGCTTGGACTTGCCGTGGAGCTCATTCTCACGCTCTTCGTCTTCTTTGGTTCAAAGAAATTCCACCCGAGCTATGGACTTTGGGACTGGGACACGAGGCCATCAGCTCCTGAGTTGGTCGGCATGGAATGCAGCAAAGGATGGGAGTGGTGGTTATCTATCGTGTGGCAGTTCTTCTGGGCTTGGGTCAGTAATAGCAACGGCATGCGCTGCGAGGACTCTAGCTGACAACCGACCTTAGATATACGCACCGTACATGCTTTGGAAGTCACGCGGTATCAACGATGTCCACGGATGGCGGCTGCAAACCATATGCTGCTGCATTGCTGGGTAAGCATCAACTCAAACATGTGCGATTCCTTCCAATTGCTAACCGGCTGTATTAGGCTTCCTGCTTCGCCAATGTGGCTTGCAGGTCTCTACGCACCAGGAATGACATATGTGAACATGAAGTTCATTCCGCCTATGTGGTTCTCAGTGTGCATCTTCTTCATGGAGCTGGTCACCATTGGTTTCCCTATCTTTGAGATTTTCAAGACCCACAGACTCCGCCAGGAGACATTGGACGCAATTGCCGCGTGGGAAAAGCGGCAAGAGCTTATTTCACCTAGCAGTTCGAACTTCTCTTCGGACTGTTCCACCAAACAAGGCACCGCAGTCTCAAGCAAGTCCTTCACTATCAAGGAAGTTCATCTTGCGAGCAAGAAGTCCATCGACTCCCAGAGGTCCGACCTTTACACCATGGCGGGCCTTGAGAATGCTTTACGCACCAACGCCGTGCCTCTCCTACAGTTCGCCGCTCTGCGAGATTTCTCTGGCGAGAACATCAGCTTTCTCACACATCTCGCGGACTGGCGGCGCTCATGGCTACACTTGTCAGTCTCTACCGCTCAGCATCGTCGCCAGCAGTTCATCGCCGCCGTTTCCATATATGCGCATTTCGTGTCTCCTAGCGTCTCCGAGTTTCCTATCAATATCCGACACGCCAACATGGCTGCACTGCGCGATCTCTTCGAGGATGCCGCGAATCGCATCTTCCGGAAACGATCGATTGCATCCAATTACTCACCTACACCGTTCGAGGACGCGTCGTTAGACTCCGACTCAATGGTCGAGCTAAGATCCGGCGTCAACGTGGGCACTTTTGGACGCGCGAACCTCAACTCTGTCTCAAATATGATTAGACCGGGCTACGAAGATGTCCTAACAGCATATGCGATTCCCGAAGCTTTCAAAGAGACCGTTTTCGATGCCGCGGAGAAGGAGATCAAGTACTTGGTGCTGACGAACACATGGCCCAAGTTCGTCAATGATGCATATGCGTCTTCCCAGCAAGATAACGGCGAGTTAAAGGAAACGAAGCACCACGATTGGTTCAGAAGGTCGATTCTTTGTGACAAATGAAGTCTTTTGGGCAGCGTTTCAGCATCGCGGCGAGACAGCACTTCGCAAGTCGAGTCAATGTCCGCATCATAAGTAATCATAATAATTCACGATACCATAGTAATTCAACTTCCTTGCGGTGCTGAAGATCGTCTAAACTCTAAAAGTGTTTCCATGTCGTGATTGTCTGATAACGCGCGCACCTTCCATATTAGCAGTAGTGCCTCTTTCCTCCCCACCTCCGTCTTATCCCCGCGCCTACCTTTCCATCCACCTCAACCTCATATCTCTCAGCGCCATGGAGAAGAACTTGGCAGAGCAGCCTTTACTCGCGGGCCGACAAGCTCCTAATGCATCATTCCGCAAGCCATTGGCATGCGGTCTCCTTCTTTTGGGTACAGCATCCTTCTTCTCGCACGGTTACGTCAGCGACCTCGTAACACGGCAATGGCGATCCAGTGCCCCCATCTCATTTGAGGCGCAATGCCCTCAGGCCTCTCCATTGATTCCGTCCAAAAGCACGAAAGAGCTGGATGATGCGTGGGAATACCTAAGTTCCGATGCATTCTTTAACAAATCCATCGAGCACCTCTCCGGTGCGGTGCAGATTCCCACACAGAGCTACGACGACATGGGCGATGTGGGGATCGATCCGCGATGGGATATCTTCCACTCTTTTGCATCTTATCTCGAGGAGACCTTTCCTCTGATCTACAAGACACTGGATGTGGAGAAGGTGAATACGCATGGGCTGCTGTTCACGTGGAAGGGGACTGAGGCTGAGCTGAAGCCGACAGTGTTGATGGCGCATCAAGATGTGGTGCCTGTGCCGGACAGCACGATCAATCAGTGGACTTACCCGCCATTTAGTGGGCACTGGGATGGGAAGTTTGTCTGGGGCCGTGGCGCCAGCGACTGCAAGAATCAGCTGATGGGTATTCTGGAGGCGGTGGATGTGCTCATCAACGCTGGGTTCCAGCCGAAGCGAACTCTCGTCTTGAGCTTTGGCTTCGACGAGGAGATCTCTGGAGGGGAGGGCGCAGAGCATCTCGCGCAGAAACTGCTTAAGAGATATGGACACGGCGGCGCCGCTATCATCGTCGATGAGGGTGCGGCGAATCTGGAGGGCTGGGGCGCCAACTGGGCCATTCCTGGAGTGGGTGAGAAGGGCTATGTGGATGTCCTGGTTACGGTTCGCATGCCGGGCGGTCACTCGTCGATCCCGCCAGCACACAACGGCATTGGCGTCGCTGCCGAGCTCATCTCCCTCATCGAGGCGAATCCCTATGAGCCTAAGCTCGACGAGTCAAACCCCTACCTATCCTTGTTGTACTGTGGTGCTGAGCATGCACCCGAATTTCCTAAGGGCCTCAAGCACCTCCTCAGGAAACGCGCACATCAATCTACTTGCGCGAAGAAGGGGAACAAGGACGAACTAGCGCTAGAAGCAGCAAAAGCCGGTCTAGAAATCAAGTACCTCTTCACGACGTCGCAAGCCGTCGACTTGATCAACGGTGGCGTCAAGACAAACGCACTGCCAGAACGCACCACCTTCACCATCAACCACCGCATCAACATCGGCTCCTCCGTCGATGCTGTTCTCTTCCACGTAGCCCAGCTCTTCACCCCAATCGTCAAGAAGCACAATCTCACTCTCAATGCCTTCAACAACGCGACTGAGACGCCCTCGTCTCTCACGCTGTCGACCCGCCCGGAGCACCTGGAGCCTGCGCCTGTCACGCCCACCGGGCCTGGCACACCCTTCCAGATCCTTTCGGGTACCACAAGAGCTCTCTATGGTGAAGACTTGCTCGTGGCGCCGGGTGTAATGACGGGTAACACGGATACGAGATACTACTGGGGTCTCAGTGAGCATATCTTCCGGTATAGTATGGGATGGGATAGGGAGCAGGAGGGGCTGGGTAGAATTCACACTGTGGATGAGAGGATTGGTGGAAAGGCGCATAGGGATGTGACAAGATGGGTGTTTGGGTTTGTGAGGAATATGGATGAGGCGGATTTGTAGGGAGATGGGGGATCGCAAGTGTGATTATTACCTTGTGTGGAAGGTGGAGGGGCGAAGGAATGGATAGTGAAGAGGAGGCAGACAGCGCGGAGCAGAGGGAGACAGCACGGCGGAGCTTGCATACAGAGCATCTGAATTTACGAAATGTAAAGCCGATCTAGTCATGTAGTCACTGGACAGAATAGATTACACAAAGTTCTCCACCAGGTGAGCGCACCTGAGGGTTTGAACTTCATTTCTAATAGCCTCTATCCCCCTTCCACCATCCTTCCCCTACGCCTTCAAACTATCAACATACTCCCTATAAATCTGCACGCAACTCTCATCAAACGCCAACCCCATCCTCCTCGCGTTTCCAAAATCCGCCGTCTGCGGCCAACTATTAAGCAGCCTCTCCGCCTCAGGATCCCTCTCCGTCTTCAGCAGCCCCAACTTCTCCTTCCCGACCACCTCCTCGAACGCCTCGTACATCTCCCCCAGCGTAACCGAGATGCCAGGCATGTAAATCGCGCGAATATGCGACGGCATCGCATCGCTAGGCGCGGCCATAACGCGCACGAAATTCTCGATCATCACCCGCGGAGAGCAGATTACCTGGCGCGCGGCGCGGTCCTCGATCGGGACGATGCATTCCAACCCCGCGAGCGGCTCACGCAGAATACCGCTCAGGAACGCGGCTGCCGAGCGAGACGGCGCGCCAGGCCGCACAGTGACAGTGGGAAGGCGCACTGCGAAGGCGTCGATAAGGCCTCTGCGATTCATATCGTTGATGTGTGCTTCCATGATGAGTTTGTGCGTTCCGTACACGCCGACTGGTGTCGCTGGGGTATCGTCTGTTATAGGGCCGCTTGCAGTGTAGGGAGGTCCGTAAACGGCCTGTGTGGAGGCGTAGACCACGCGGGGTTTCTCACTCAGAGAAGACACCGCTTTCAAAAGGGCTTGCGTAGCTTCCAGATTTACCTTTGTGCTGAGGGCGGGGTTCTCCTCGCAGCCTACGGACATTATGCCGTGGAAGATGAAGATTGCGTGCCAGGTTGGGCGGAGGGAGATGAGGCGGGATATATCCGAGGGGTTTGTCAGGTCTGCGGCGACGAGTTCCAGGTTGGAGGTGGAGGGGTGCACGCCGTTTGGTTGTGGGGGTGCGTGGAGGTCGGTTAGGACGACGTTGCAGGGGCCTTGTTTTAGGAGTTTTGATGCTAGCATTGGGCCTAGGAAGCCTGCTCCGCCGGTGATGAGGATGTTCTTTGTGGTGCTCATTGTGGATGGGATGTCGTTATACTCCCGCTCGCTAGGTAGACGATGCTCTTTCTATAGGATTATAGTCGCAGCTGTACCAAGCGTATGTATGTGGTGGAGTGAAGAAGAAATGAGAACGTGACTCCATCGTGTTTTGCGGGTGTTCGGGTGTAGTAGTGTAAGGACTGCCTCGTCTCGAGGGTAATTGTGGGGATTGCCTCGCGTCGGGGGTGGGGTATAGCGTGTCAATACGAGCTTTAACGAGTCAAGAACGACAATTTTGCGGGAGAGTGGGGTAGGTAGGATATTTGTACATACTTGTTCACTTCTTACAGAATCTCCCCCAGACTACAATGGTTTTCATTACCTCTTACACCCACTCATCCTATATGTACCTACCTCAACAAAGAGAGGGTACGCCTAGATATCTATGACACTCTTGACGAGAATAGCATACGACCTCTTCCTTTATACAATATGCACATGCGTTGCTGTAGCACTTGATCGAGGGAGAGAAGGAATGTATACGTAGGAAGAGTTTGATAGCTTTACACATGGAGCTCGTATCCCACTTATCGCCAAAGAAAGTTTTTTTTTTTCCTATAATTTCGACTACGAGACGGATTCCCCTCAGCTTGGAATGCACACACCGATTTTTACGCCTTCGGACCAGTACGACATCCAAATTCTAGGTGCTTCAGCTGCACAGATGTACTAGGAAGGGTCCAAAACATGAGCAATCCGCCTTTTCTTTTCCATCCAAAAAGCACCCTCCCTTCCCCGTTTGAAACACCCGCAGTACCCTCTACACGCATCAGCACCTCTTCTCTTGCCACCGACCGCTTCTTCCTCAGTCCACCCCCTCCATCATAATCAACCTCGTATCCTCCTGCCCCGCCAACCGATGCGGCAGCGCCTCAACCCTATACCTCTCCGACTCGATCATCCCCTTAAAGCTCTCCAAACTAGGATACTTATTAATCGCGACGATATCCCAGCTCTCTCCCTCCGCCGCAATGACATTCACGACCGGAACTGCCCTGAAGGTGACCTCTGCGCCTTCCGGGATGAGCCCATCACGGAGGACGGACACGTAGCGCGCCATGGCTTCGGCGCCGGTGCAGGGCGTGCCGGCGAGGTGGGCGTGCTCGGGGGCGTAGATGGCGGTGGGGCGGTAGCTCCAGAGGTTGAGCATGTAGATTGGTTTATTTGGGGGAAGGAGGTGGATAAGGAGGCGAGGGCGGGGAGTCGATTGGGGGCAAGGCATTGTGTGAAGATCTTCCTCGATGTGGTGTTTTTGAATCTATGTGGTGATGGTGATATTGTTGCAGTTTAGATATCACATCTACTGTACTCTGTTGCGTGCTTTATAGTCGCGTCCTGGACGCGGGGTAACGTGATGTGTGACGATGGGGAGGCGGAGTTCCGCCCCCAGGAAGGGCGGCTTACGCTCCGGAGGGGCGCTTTATGGGACGTAATTGGACAAGACGAGCAATCGAATAGATAAATGACCCTTGCTTTTTCCTCATTAGTAGTGCATCCTTTTTCCTTATTAGTACCATAGGTAGTGCATGATTTTGCGAAGCAGGCTCTGAGAAAGTCAAGATCTGACTGATTCCGTTCTATGTATAACTGCTGCTTTTGCCTATTCTATTGCACGATAGCACCAGTCGGAATCGCGAAGTCTCCTACTAATAAATAGTTTTTAGATCAGAAGTAGTGTTATCCTTCTTCCTTTCCCAACGCGCACGCACATATACACTAGTATTTCCAAAACAGTGGTACATAGAAAAGTATTACGCCAAGCAGTGGTAAGGCGATCTTTCGCCGATATTGTCAGTAACACAGCGCTGCCTATTAGCCACCGCAATCTCCTGCCTTTCTTCAAAGTCTAAGATTACACATAGTGTAACATCCTCAAAAGAACTCCCTTGCACACTCTTGCAGAACTCGCGCAAGGCTTGGTGGGTTGAGAACGATAGCCACCAGAATCTTACACCTTCGCGTTGCACACGCCCGTTGCGCCAATTTAGTCCCACAGCACGCAGACCTGCGTGATGATTGAACGCGTCTGCTACGTCCCGCGGGCTTGCGGGTGGGAATCTCCGGCCATCAGACGGCGTGATGCGAAGTGAAAAAGGATGCTTCTCATAGTCTGGCTTCGGCAAGCTTGGAAACAGCGAGAAGCGCGGTACACGCGGTCCGCGGGGTCCAGGAAGGCTGAAGGGGAGGGCTTGCACGAGGCCGGTCAGGACCTGCAGTATGCGGCAGCAATCGTTTACCGCGCGTGTAGCGGTGGATTTTGACGGGACTGCGAAACGCATGGCCTGCAGTGCGGTGGCAAGGGCTTGTTGTTCGTATATGCGGAGGGTTGGTGGACTGTTTTCGATGCAGCAGTGGTAGACTAGTTCTTGCACATCAACCCAGGCGTTGAAGAAGTCGGCGAGGAATGAAAGGGTGGAGGAGATGTATCGGAGTTCGCGATTTAGGTCGTAGCCGACTAATATGCGTCTTCCTGGGAATTTGGAAAGGAAGCCGCGCACTAAGTTTTCCACATCGGCGAGCGATGCGTGAACGACGCGGCCGGAGGTTTGTTCGACGTTTGGTTTCTCTTGTAGTGATATAGTTAACTGCCGCGTGTCGTTGTTGTCGCTGAACTCTTTGCCCGTGTAGCACGGCTTGGAAGTCGCGATATCAGTGCATAGCACCGTGAAACCTAGTTCGCTGATCTTGTTGGTGCTTGCATGCCCGTCGGAGTCGGAGCTGCAACCCTCGGAATCGAAAGCAACCAGGACGGCTCCAGGTAGGTGCTCCTTGAGCGTAGGCAGATTAGGGATCTTGGCTTGCCAGAGCGCGTTGATGTTATCGGTCCACTTTCGATCCAGAGAGGAGGGAGTTTTCATGGTGACGAGCGAGGTCAGAGGTACGACATAAGTGAGCTGTAGAATATAGTGAAGAGGGATAAAATGGTGTCGGCGGGTACAAGTAAACTCGTACGCGTGGGCCTGTTTCTTGAACCCTGGCAATTATGTTCGCGCTAGGCTCAATACCGTATCTCGGTCTCCAACTCTTGTCTTGTTTCCCAACACAACCGTACCACTGCGTACGCAAGCCGGAATTGGAAGCCTCAGCTGGGAAGCCGGTTGAAGTTGAAAGGTAGTCGAGTAAAAGTGAGTAGCGCATTGCCTACCCTACTGAGCTTGACTGCTCGTGGTTCAACAAAGCGGCTCATGACCGAGGTGTACTGGATGGCGCTGCTGAGCAGGCTTCCACGAAACGCTAAATATCACGAAGGCCATGGTTGCATGGTTTATCGCGCTTTATTTTGGCTGATATTGAGCTGATATTTGGGTGAATATGCACCAAAGAATTTTAAGCTTCCGAGTGACACTGTCGTTCGCAAAGGGGGATCCTGCTCTTACTTGAATCTCAAAATCTCATCGTCTCGCGCCTAGATCCTTAAGTGTTCGTGTTCTTCCGCGTCACCCACTGCACTAAATCGTCAACATCATCGTGCGTAAGGGCGGCCTCGCTTTCCATCGCTGCCGGCTTCGTATGTGACACTTCCCTCTTCAAACGACTCCCCGCTTTAGGGGCAGCTTTAGAAGCAGCTTTGGAATCTGGCGCAGGCTCCCTGATGATGGGTAGACTCTCTTTAGAAGCGTTTTGAGATTCGCCGCTCGTGTCGTCCTTTTTGGTATCCCAGCGAACAAGTTCCTCGGTGTGGGAGTCCTGTGCTTCTGATCCTGATGGTGTGCTAGTGCCACTGCCTTCATTCTTCTTGCGTACCGGACCTGCGTGCGGACCTTCTTTGCGTGACACCCACCTCACGAGATCGTCGACATCATCGTCGTTTATTGAGTCCCTGTGGGTGGTCTGGCAAGTGGCTATTTCCGAGTCAGATTCTGTTGATGCATCACTGTCATAGCTAAAGTTGTGCTGCACCGTCTCTGCTTGTGGCTGTATCTTTGGGTTCGAATGCGCTTGCTGTAGGGTCCTGGACTGTGGATCATCTTTGCGCGACACCCATCGTACCAAATCGTCCACGTCGGAATGGCCTAAGCTTTCGTGGCCGCTATCTGTCTTGGAGATCTTGTTGGTATCGTCATCCGGTAACCTGCGGGCTTCACCATCGCTTGGAGGATCTCTTTTGCTCACCCAACGCACTAGGTCTTCGATGTCGGAATGGTTGATATCTGAGTCATTGCTGTGGCTGGCGTCTTCCTCGTCATCACTCGCAGTCGATACGTTATCTTCAGGAATCTTAGCCATTGGTGGAGAATCTTTGCTCGCCATTCTCTTTAGCCCGCTCTTCATCCTCTTCGCCAATCCTTCTCTAGGCGGGCTCTGGCTCTCAGGGGTTTTCGGTCTGTTCAGGCCTCTCCGCTGATCATGCTCCGCCTTCCATTTCGACTCAGCGTCCTCCTGCATCTGGGATTCGTTGTGCTTCTGAATGTCGTTCTCAATTTGATTTGAGAACAGCATCGACCGCAACGAATGAAAGCGGGCAAGATGCGGATTCCTCCGGTTGTGCAAGCCTGGCTGATGCGAGGGCGACTGATTTTGAACCTGTGCGCGCTCGTTCTTGTGCGGCAACGGCGACGTTTGCGCCTTCCGGATGCTGTAGTCTTGCTCCGCTAGGTCACGTCTTGATTTGCGATCGCGACTAGTATCTTTGTCAGAGTTGCTGTCCCCGGATAGGCTAGCGTTTTCGTTTTCGTCTTCGCTGCTCGATTTCTCCTCAAATTCCAAGTCTTCCAATATGCGCGACACTTGCGGACTTAGGAGGCTCGCATTTGCGAGACCGCTGCCTTTTGGTATATCAAGTAGCGCCGCTGGGGGCGGTGCTTTTGCGGGTTGCGCGTCAAAGTATGATGACGACATATCTGATGGTGCTTTTTGTCGGATAGTTAGGTGCGGGTGGTGCAGACGGGATGGTCTAGTAAGGAGGATAAAGAAGGGCTCGGTAGATGGGGCGAAGCACAGCTCTTGGGAGGTCTTGGGCGTCCACGGGTGCAGTCGTGTTTAGCTTGGCGGCTGGGGCCGAGAGCGTGAAAGGCGGGGTTCGCGATCTGTGCACGACATCGGCGGCGTCGCGTCCATCGAGAGTGATTGGGCAAACACGCTGAATCAGCACCCGCAGCTGATCTGCAAGCACGGCAGGTAAAGAGTAGGGATCTGGAATGACATCATTCAGTGTGAAAGCATCTTCCAGGATAGGAATGGTTTGCGCAGGTGCGTTCATCGAACCACGGTGGAAGCTTCAGAATATATGTATATTTGACGGAAGTTTCCCAGAGCACTGTTCTTCAGTCAGTGGGACTCACGCGGAGCCATCTCTTCACTGTACAGCTGCGATACCGTCGGCAACACGCGGAACCATCGTTACTCGGACTTCACATGGTAGGGACGCCCTGTCGAAGAGTGACCCTCGTTCAATACAGCCGCACAACATCTAGGGCATGGCGTTATTGAGCGCAAAGAGGAAAGACAGTCAATATGTGGCTGCAGTTGGGGTCGCGCGACGAGAAGGCTGGTAGATACCATGAGAGGAAGGCAAGGGATGGATGTGGAGTCTAGATGAGTGTAGAACAAAGGGTTCACGATGCTGGAACGCGCTACTGCGGCGCGCTAACCCTGATACGGGCACCAACGCGTCACTTACGCCAACGTTTATCAAGACAATTCGCATTCATCAATCGAGATTTCGGTCAGACCAGCTATCTTCCGTCTGCTAGCAGTAGGTATAGCTCCATCGATACCATCAGTCACGTCTTAAACCCTAGCAGCTTCGTTCTTGAACAGCGCCTGGAACATCACACATTCTTATACAAATTCTCAATCCTCTTCATCGCCCACTAAGGCTTCCCTTATTCATCCATTCTATTCTAGTGAGTAGTTCTGGCTACGAATGATCGTGATATTCAACGAGACCCGAGCGAAGGTAAAAAGGTGGTGACATCACTACCGTGTTCGCTCCCTCGGTATGCAATCACCACAACGACGATTTCCGAAGATGTCAAACGAACATACTCCTTGATTTCGAGTCAGGCGAATGACCTGTGTCACTTTGCGTCTATCACACGTCAATGCCCTGCGGCGCTTCGAGGACAGATACACCCTTCCAGACTTCGCCAAGGGCTACTGGCTTGCATATCGCAGCAAGGAGCAGTCCTGGGTGGTATGATCAACCTGGCGTTCAAGAAAAGTGGCAAGACTCTCGGAAAGTTGGATTGCGAAAGTCGAATCGTGTCCTATTGTCTTGCGTAATACCTTGACTGTGTGAGAACATTCATGCTAAGGTTTCAGAATACCTGTGCCCAGGAGTAGGTATGCTTTCAGATGCAGCGGCATGAAGGTTGAAGTGTTCTTGTGGATGTATGACAAGACGGAGCTGATTGGTTCTGGAAGAGTACTGTAGGAAGGAGATAGGGTGGAAGTGCAGAGCTGGTTGATAATAATGATGTTGTTGATGTGCGAAAGTATTGCTTACTAGATTTACGTAAGTGAAGGGAGTAGTGGCAGGTATATGATCCGATACTTCGATGTTTAGAGTGGCGCTCTTGTTGACAAGGGAGGCGCGGTGGTATAAGTCCTTGCCAACGCTGCTACGGGCACTTTTGACTATAAGCGCTTGTCACCGCCCTTTTTATGGATTCCTTGGTATAATAGTTCTCAGCGGCTGTGTGTAGGCTTGGGCTCTTGTCGTTCAATGTAAGTATGGCAAGCATAAGTTTGAATTAGACTGGACGGATTCTGCGTTCATGGAGGGCTGGGCGCTGTGTGTTTCAGCAGGTCGAGTTCATATCGACGCATGACCATGGGTATTGGCTTATTGGCTTTCCAGCGGAGGAACCGGTTGAGGTGCTCAGAAACTTCGGAGTGGCGAGGGGCATGGAGGTTGCTGGGGAGTGCATTTCGAGTGGGACCAGTTCGACGAAGGCAAGGGCAATCGTTAGTGCGGGCATCATCTTCACGCGGTGGGGCATTGTGTTGCCGCTTTGAACTTGCTCACGAAACAGGTGGGAATCCTATATGTGGGGACGGAACCGCTCACTATCAAGAATGTCGACTGACAAAAAATGAAACGATGGGGTACAAAGATTGATGGAGTGACTTCGAAGAATCGTACTTAGTGTGGATAATCGTCGTGGAGGCGGAAGTTCTCCCTAGCATCGCTGATCAGCGGCACAGCCTGCGCGGCCATGATCGGCGAGGTCTAGGCGGCGCATATGTGGACAATAGTATAGGAGATAATGGAAGTGAAATAGGCGATGCAGAGGGTGATTGTGGTAACAGCTCTTCCATAGTGCTATTTGGCAGCTACCTTACGTACCACGGTTGCGTATCACCAGATAAGAAACCACTGACAAGTTCTAGCAAAGCTATTCCCACGAATGCTGCCTAACAGCACGTGATGAGGATACCGAAAGAGGACATTCTAGTATCCAGAAGTGAACGACTAGTAACAGAAAGAGATCCGCCGCATTAGATCGTAACCCGACACGCCAATATTCGCTTGCCCCAACAACGACTTGATGTGAACTTATCAGGTTCACAATGATATGACCGAGCATACCCTGAAGCGAAAAGATAAAAGTAAAAGCCCTGGCGTGCATCAATCCCATTCGTCGCTGTGATGTGCGACAGGGTTGTCTTCGACCCAAAACATAGCCTTCTTCACTTTCTTGTCCCTCTCCGTGTTAGGATGTTGCGGGTCGAACTTGAACAGACATCTTCCCCGATGCGTGTCGAGAAGATCCGTCCGTGTCCCTACTCGTTCATACTGGATCTCGTGCCACCTACCATTCTGTTCCCCGTCTTTAATCTTCAGCCTCGGTAGGATATCGCCTACAATGTTTTTTAGCTTGGCCCATTGCTGCGGATAGCCCCCAGGAATTTCATTCCAGGTATCCGAAGGAACCAGCAGGTACGCTTGAATGTACTCGTCATCTATGTATTGCGCGTTTCTTGCCAAGGAGTGCTGTTGAGGTTTGTCTCCTTTACCTATACCTTGTCTGAGTCCCTTTTCTACGAACAGCTCGAAAATCCTCTCGGCCGTTTGCCAGCGTTCCAAATCCTCTTCATCTGGAGCAAAGGCGATAGACTCCCAATAGTGCGCGACGTACACGGCCCTGCGGCTGATAATAGCTAGTACAGTGCAACCTTCCAAGACGCTAGTGCTCATACTGAATTCCTTCTTATCACGGATGAAACATTTGCTGTATTCCAGGAAGGTAGCGGTGTTAAAATCTGCCCGTGGTCTGGACTGACCCTCAGAGTCTCGACCCTGAGAACGATCCCATACGACAGGGTAGTTGTCCAGGCTATCAGACTCGGTCTCGGCGATCATATATTGATCCATGCTTCCTGGTTCTGGAAGCTTCATTCGCTTCCGAAGTGTATGATTCCCCACATGGTGATGCTGAAGATCGCGTTTGTAAGTCGTATCTCCCAATTCGGGAGGGCGACATATTCGTTCATAATTTCCACTTGGCGACCGTCCACCGGGTTGTGGTAGATCAAGAGTAGGTGCTGCGGCTGTATCCACGAATCTTTTGGCGAAATTCACTGCCCATATTAGATCTGTATCTCGAGGTTTGGGAAGCGAGCATACCAAAAAAAGCCTTGGTTGACAAGGATGCGATCGAAAAGTATAAGAAAATGATTGTCGTTCGCATATTGGCAGAATGATTAGGGAGAACGACTCGATCGCCCTCGGTTCGGTTTTGTGATCGAAAGTCCTACGAGGAGATAGGATGCAAAACTCAACATGTGTTATATTCATGATGTTTAATGCGATTGACAGATCAAGCAACGTACGCAATAGAATAGAAAAGTGGCCAGATTACAGTACTGTGACTATCAACAACCCTAAGAAGACTTAGCCACTTCACACGTTGAAAGGTCTCAAACTGACTATCATTACTGCCTGAGATAGGGACAACCCGCGTTTCTAACGCACATGTCGCGGCGCTGTTCTAATTAAAGCGGCGCTGTGGCTCTTGCTTTATGGTGATCCAATCAGCTGGTGTGTCATTTTCGCCCCGCATCACTACTGCGCCGCATCGTCTTGCGCCGTATTTATATACGAAACAGCCCACACCAAGTGTGGAAGACATCAACAGTTCCAACAGATCATGCATATTCCACAAGCTCTCCGACTGGCTATTGACGAAGGAGAGGTCATTGCAATCGAACAGGAGTTGGACGATCTTGGCGTTTTAAGTGAGCAAGATCTCGACAACGCATTCACCTACGCCATACGAAATGCTTCTGCGGATACAGTTGGCGTTCTTTTACGACATGGGGCTCACTTGAAGAGAACTAGCTTGTCACGGTTCGAGCTCCGCAACAGAGGAGATCCGACCATCTATCAGAAGCTGATCGAGCACGGCTGGGATATAAATTCGACCGAATTTGGTGCCCCTTGGCTCTGGTACGTTGTTGCCTATATCCAATTTGGTCCTGACATATTGAAACCATCTTCAAGGTCCGGCATTTGGGACAATGAGCGACTGTTGCGTTGGTTTCTCGATCACGGCGCGGACCCCAACAAACCCAACAGAAGCCTCCCGAACTCGGCGAACAACGAGATACTGACGCCCCTCGCCTTTGCCGCAGAAGCACCTGAGACGTTCGGTCTCGAGATACTTCTTTCTTACGGCGCAAACATGGACGATGATGCTATATTCCGCGCGATTGCTGCGCGTAGCCACCCAGAAAAGAGTCATGTGCCCCACATTCGCATCCTGGTAAATCATGGCGCTGATGTGAATCATCGTTCCAGAAGATGGGGCACGCCGCTGCAATACGCCATCCATGCGGGCAGAGCAGATATTGTAGAATTCTTGCTCGATCAAGGTGCAGATCCTACGACAGAGACCGTGAGGGGCACACCGGCGGAACACGCTAAGAACAAGGGTCGAATGGACATACATGACATGATTGTGAAAGCTATTCAGAGAGGCCACAGTACGTAGAAATCGATTACACGTTTTAGCTATGAGGTTTCGAATACATGGCTGTATGCATCTACGCTCCTAAGAAGTTAGCGCCCCAGCTTCGCATTGCAGAAGATGGGGCGCCGGTTGCGTTACCATATGAATCATACATGAGGCGCATCGTACCTACTGCGGCGTAGCGAACTTCATGTGTCTCAATATGACTTTCCTGATGAAGTCTCGATGTTAATGATGCCAACACTGACTCACGTTGCCGGAATGAATATGTGTCCACTGCAAGGTCGAAAGTTAGTCATGAATCGGGTATCTCATCTATCGGTCCTTATATAAAGTCAAATGGACCTTTCAAGCCGAGAGAACTGTATCCCACCAAGCACTCGGCATTGCTTTCACACGTGGCTTGTTCACATCCTTCTGATCATTCGAATTCCCGACCCAGGAAATGCATTACCACTACCTAGCCCTTGCTGCCTGCTGGTTCGTCACAAGACTCGTCGCAGATGTTGCTACTTTGTCTATTGGAGATGTTGAGCAGTACTCAGCATCGCTTGTACGAAAGAAAACTACCATTAGAAAAGCAGATACTAACGCTAGCAGTCTGCAACCCCTACTTTGACTGGATCCAAAGTCATAGTGACAGATCAACCAAATTCCAATGATTGGAGGATGATAATCATGTCTGACGATCTTCGTGCAAACTGTCAACAAGCCGTCACTGTGAATTGCGCAAATCTTACGAACCAATGCGTGCAGGCTGTCCGAGAAACTGTATTCGGCGACAGCACAGAGCTTAATTCTCGAAGTGTGGATGTGATTGGTTTTTGCCTAGTCTCATACCTTATAGCTATGCTTTCTATTGCTTGGTGGGAAGGTCCAAGAGTGAAGGAAATCCCTGTCGCATTGAACATACACGATGACTTCATAGCTCAGGCCTCGTCTGCAATTGCTGCATCTACTGTCGCGATCGCTACCGGGGAGGCTGCCCCCTTCGTCACATTCACGGTCAAACCAGTTCCAACTTCAATCACTGCCACTGGGTAAGTGTTTCACTGTTCCACGGCAACCTTTCTGGCTAGGACTAATTCATTTTCAGCTCCATGGTACCTGCTGTATCGACAGTGGCAGCTACCGGCAGCGTGCAATCCTCGGGCGACGTAATTATCAGACTATCTGATGGTCTAGCACAACGGTTAACAGAAATGGTGACGCGAAACCATCAGTGTCCTGCCGGAGACTCTTTCAGTGGTAACAACGAGCGGCTTCGCCAACGCCTTGATACCGATTGGCCGGCAGCGATTTGCGGATCCGAGCAGATATTGCTCAATGTTGCTCCAGAGTTAGCATTCGGTGATGTACTACTGCTTCGTTTACAGCCTCTGTTGTGGACCGCCCAAGAGGCTGTGCGTGCGATGGGGGTCGTTATGCAATTTGCACGGGACCTTGCTGAAAACATGGGCGTTACCCCAGAAATCGCAGCTTCTATTGGAGTGGCTGTATTTGCACTGGTGACACTAAACATCGTTGAAGAGCAGCCATTGGCAAAGGAGAACCGAATTTCTGGTGACAAGCTTCAGGGTACCATGACACCTTCAGCCTCTTTTGCGTCCAGCACCAAGACGACATCGAGTAGCTCAAGCTCTTCTAGTAGTGGCTTATGTACAGCAGCTTGTAACATGACCGGAGCAATCAAGAACTGCGAGACCGTGTGCCCTGGAGGAAGGCCGACGGAAATTCCAGAAAGCGATCGAAAAGTCACGACCGTTCACATTGAGCCCTGGACACCACTTCCGTTGAGCGATTGGGTACCAATGATCGAGCCCACATCTGGATGTCAACAGGAAGCGCCAAAGCAATACCCAGAGGAGACGTTCAATGAAACAGTCGACGAGTTCTGCGCCGTAGTAGGAATGCCATGGAGCAACAACTCTTGGGTAGTGGATTCAGCTGGAAAGAATACAACATCTCCGGCATCCAAACGAAGTCTCTGGCAGTCTGCCCGGGATCTCTTTGTTAGCCGTCGTGACGAGACGAGCGACCAAACGACACTAGAGCTTCTTTGGACACCAACAGACGTCCTCGACTTGACATGTTCTCTCACATGTAAAGAGTCTCTTTCACAACTTGCTTTTTCCAACTGTAGTTCGAAGACTGGGAACACAGATGGTAGAATGGGTGCGGGCGGCGGCATCTACATTGGCTGCGGTTCTTACTCCTTCTCAATCAATCAACCGAAAAGCAAGGCGAAAATCACATGTCGCAATCATGAGCTATCTGCGCCCCAGCATGATAGCGAGTCAGAAGGAGCTACAAGCGTGGAATCAGCCATTACTCAGTGGTGTGATGATAACGACGGCAAAAAGGTGATCGGCACCGACAGTATCTACGAACGGTATGGGACTACTGACCTTGGCGTGTCAGATCAAAGTTCCTTCTGGCTTCGAGGGTCGCTCTCGTGCGGAGATACCGAGACCGTGCGCAAGGATGACTGCAAGAAGTCGCTTCTTGATGGAATGGCGCAGTGCGACCCTGATGGCAAAGCGACACATGGGGAAACAGCCTCGATGGGTTGTCTTGACTATAGTCTTGATTTGAGTGGCGTAACGCAGGACGACAATCCACCCTGGAATGAAAAGCACCAATACCCGCCGCCAGAATCTGCGCCAAGCGGGAAAGACGATGAATCTGCTAATAGTGTGATTTGCGACACACGAGCACAACCTGGAAGGGCTCTTACAGAAGATCAAACGAATGAAGCGATCGCAGCATACTGTAAGAACGAAGCCGCAATCCCAGGATTTGGAGATCGTTGGAGTAACATCTTCAATTACCCACCCAAGGGCGAAGCCCAGTTCTACAGTGATGACCGCTTCACCATGCATCTGGCTCTAGGTGCAGAGACTATCGACAACAAGGAAGGGAACGAGTTTTACAAGGACACCGCATGGTGCGAGTAAGTTCAGAATGCCACAGCATGCTCCATATGAATCTAACGAGTTGTCAGGGAGTACGATCAGAAGATTCACACCGACGACTGTACGTACGCGCTACGGAAGGTTTTGAACACCTGCACCTACGGTAAGGATCCCGAAAATTTCGTTGGAGGATCATTCGTGTACAGGTGCGCGATGTACAAGATCTGGTCCATCAATGAGCGTAAGTACAATTAGCTTGGGAACGTGCTTAGGTCATGTTTTGAGAGTCCTTCCACAAACATTTGAATGTCGATATAGCTGGTTACTAAGGGAAAGGACACAATTGGGAGTCTTGAGAGTTTCTGCATCAGCACATGGTATAATCCACGAGAGGCGGACTGATAGTAAATCCGTACTTGGGCGCCCTTCTTTCTCACAAGTCTAGACGAAACGAGACAAAACCGCGTGCTCTCACGTATAATACCCCACAAGACCAGGTCAAGCTTTGATATCCGCTAACGTGAGTTCCTCCCTACCGACAGTAGATAAATCTTCTGGACGTCCTGCATCATCTTGACACTTGCTGAAATGTACGAGTAGCAGTACTTTAGGCTGTAGGCACGCTTGGATTCCATACCAATGCGTCTTTACCTTCTTATCGGTAAGAGCCGATCCCGTTGCTGGGAAGCATAATGGACACTGTGATATCTTGAGTCGTGTAGATTGACGAATGGGGAATATGATAAAATTTGGCACTCAGGGATTACGCCAGCGCTCTTACCCAGGTGGCAACGTAGCCTCGATGATTACATAGCCTTTTGATAAGCTACAAGTTAGCCTGCGGTAGAGCAATAAGGCGTTCCATGTTACGTATGGCTCATTTCTATACATGTAGCATAGCGCTCGGATCAACAGCGCTGTACGCTTTCAATTGAGCTCTACCTGTCGTTGGCGTAGTCCTCATGTAGAGACTTCTGGTTGGTCAATATGAGAGCACCCGCACCACCGAACAGAGAATGGACAGGCACGATCAACACATCTTTGATTTCTAAGGCTGCTGATACAATTATGCATTCGGATCGAAAGATCGCTAGTGCAGTCGGAAGGTATGCGATTGGCCCGAATGAGAATTGCACGAGGGCGCTAGTGACTTGGCTGCCTTTATGAGCTAAGTTCGCAATCCCATTGTCAGGGATGGTGGTAGGAAGCTATTATGTGCTGTACACACCAACACTGCTTGATAACAATGTGGGTTTCTCTTTCACGCTGAGGCATCGACAAGAGGTTTCCGGTATCATCATGCGGCACGTCAAATTCACTCTGCATGGACAGGATCATTACACTACTACGGCATACGATGCACCAAAACTCGCTGGTCAGATCAAGGTTTACGATGCTAACGACTCGGGGAATTTGCCCATCAAGATCGAAGTCTACCTTCTCAGGATCATTCGCCTCGATACCATTATAACATTTGGACACAGGAGGAGTCGATTAAGGAAGAAGAACATCCTTCTGTTGAAAGGACGGTCGGGGTGTGACACATCTGATGCAGGCGAGAAGATCGCCTCATGGTCAACTCTTTCGACTGTCAACGATGTCCAAACCGAGAAACAAACAGCGACACATATATTCGACTTGTCAATGCCTACATCATTATTACCGACGTCCAGGTCACCATCGATCGGCGTTTCTTATGCACTACACGCGAAGTGCACCTTCGCCAGCGGACAGTCACTTCGAACAAGTCAAAACATACGGGTGTCACAGCCAGAAGGCTGCTGCTTTCGTACTGAACCACCTCGGCGGATCACATTTCCATCGTCCTCGCTCTCCATGATAGTCAGCTTTGGAAGCACAAAGATAGGACCTAAGACTGTTATCCCAGCAGTAGTTCGGCTTAGTGGGACACAACTACCCTCGCGTCGCAAGAACGAAAGACGATCAATTCTGCCTAGGAAGGTACAATGGGAAGTGGAAGAGACAGTTTCAGCGACACTGCCCCGTCTTCACCCCCTATATCACAACGCTTCATCGGAATGCCAGAGTACGCGTTGGATTAGCAAGGGAAAACTACGCCCCACGCTGCATCGAAGTCTACAAGAGAGTGAAGCCGAGTTCCCGCTAGATATTCCCTTTCCTGGGAAAGATGAACAGCCGTATAGCGCCACTTTCGCTATCCCCAATCGTTCTCCTATACACCATCTCCTTACCACAGGTCTACCCAATGCAACAAATCCCGAGGCTTCCCAAGCAACACTCTTAATACAACGTACATACCGACTGAAGATCTGTTTCTACATGGGCGAGGAAGCGTATGATCCAATATCAAACAATCTTCTGGAGCGGAAACCGCCCACATTCACGCTTAAGGTAGAATGTCCTCTGTTTCTACAGATCGATACAGGGAACGCCCATATGCGGCAAGTGTATGACCCGCCACCTAATTATGGGACCTTATTCCATATTCCACCTGCCTATGAGGATGTAGTGGGCTAGTCGAGAGGCGGGACGACTTCGTGTGTAGAGACGTTGGTAAATAGTGACTTGATAAACTAGCTGATATACGAGAACCCTCCACAAATGCAATGAGATTCGTTTCTGAGGCGCAACCGCAACAGGAAAGTCGGCATTGCGACAAGCGATACCCTTGCACCTCCATCCTAGGCATCACCACTCTACCAAACGCCAATAAGTCACATCAAAGCTATTCCCACGACGTTGCTTGATAGCACGTGGCAAGATTTCGAGAAAGAACGCCCTTCCACCTCGCTCCAGCCGAAATCCATAGGAGGCGTAATTCTTGACCTAGTAGACTAGACCTTCGCCGTTGCATTGCATTAGATTTAAGTGCCCTGGCTGTGTTATCACCTTCTGCGTATCGACAGATCATGACTCCTGTGGGCCCCGATGATAATCTCCGCTGACCGTATATGACAGTTCCCATGCTATTTTATTTTATTCTTCGAAATCATAAAACAGGCTAGAGCACAATCCTCCACCCTGAGAGTCAAACACCACAGCACTACCACTATCATGGTCACATCAACAAGACAAACATTAAGCATCAACAACAATATATGCATCGCAAAAGTCAAACTACACGTCCAAAAAAAAAAAAAAACCACTAAGAAACCCCAATCTCTCCCCTTCCTCCCTCGTCCCCACCATCTACTCAAAAACCCTCCCCTCCCACCCCACACAACCCCCAAGCACCTCCCCAATCTCCCCACCACCTCCTCCCCAACGTCTCTCCACGCCTCAAACGTAACAATCTCCACCCCCAACCTGCTTCCCCCTTCCAGCACAAAAGCCTGCACCTTCCACTCCCTCAACGGCTCAGCATGCGGATACACAGTCTCAAACTCGGCCTTTACTTCACCAAACGTCATTTTCTCAACCCAATACCTCGGCGCCTGATGCACCACGCTATCGAACCAGCTCGCCTCAGTGGGATCCCAGTCCGTGCAATGGCGCACGATTTCCTCTAGCGCCATGCCCTCGTGCGCTGAGCTCGCGACGTGCTGGTCCTGCACGGCTTGGAGTAACGCAGCGTACGTAGTGTGCTCGGTGAAGCTCGCGCGGAAGGGAGCGTACTGCCAGCTTGGGCCGACGACGCGGTCTGCGGCGGAGACGCCGAGGTTGCGGCCTGTGACTACCTCGCCGAAGACGACATCTCGCGTGTTGAGGCGCCGCGCAAGGACGACGGCCCAGGCGGCGGTGGGGAGGGAGCCGATGGTGATGTGCTTTGGGCGCTGGGAGATGTCGAATTCGCGGTAGATGGAGGTGGAGGTGCGGGATGTGAGGGGGATGTTTGGGCGGAGGACGGAGAGGCGGGAGGAGGCGAGGAGGGCGCGCCAGTAGGGGATGCTGGATGGAATGGAGGATTGTACTACGTGGTTGACGTGGTGGGTGAAGGGGAGGGTTTCCGGGATAGTGGAGTCGGAGTAGAGGGCTGAGAGTTGAGCGAAGAGGAGGGGGAGGCACATTTCGTCGTACTGGGCGTGTGAGATGCGGAATGCGAGGGTCGGACTGCCGTTCTGGGGTGTGAAGAGGGTGAAGCCGACGAAGGAGGATCCGTAAGGCTTCGGCGCCTCGGTATCCGCGTTGATCCAGGAGCGGATGAAGGTATCGTTGTCTGCAGTGTCTGGTATTGGAATCTCTTGGAAGAGAGCTTCCAATGAGTTTATGACTACACCAAGGCAGCGACCTGAAAGCTCCACGAACACTGTCCGTAGAACTTCGTTGCGAGCGACCACCTCATGGCAGCTGTGCGCAAGCTTGACCTTATCGATGGGTGCGTCAAACTTGATCAACTCATACCGCAGCGAGTATCGCGGAAGCTGAACTGTGCCGTCAACAGCGACCTTCTGCAGCGGCCTAGTCGGGTAGACATCATCGATCTTCCAAGCGGAATTCTCCAGAAGGGGCTGAATGCGTTCCACGCTATAAGAGCTCGCTTCATCACCCAGCGCAGCAAAGGGCACAAGGGAAACCTCATTCGACTTCGTAGACGTCAGCTCCTCAGCTAGCGGAGCGAGCTCCGAAATCGACCTGCTCTGGAAGATCTGCGGCACCGTGACACCAAGTCCTTGCGCGCGACATTCCCCAACGAACCTCATAGCAGAGATCGAGTCGCCGCCCAGCTCGAAGAAACTGTCGCTTGGAGTGATTTCCTCGTTTGGAATGCCCAGAATGCGACTCAGGATTCGGATGAGTTTCTCTTCCTTCTCGTTACCAGCGGCTTGCGCAAGCTCAGCTAGCGAACGACTTTGGAATATCTGCGCAACGGTGAGCTTCAAGCCCTGCGTGCGAGCTTCAGAAACGAGTTTCATTGCGCTGATTGAGTCGCCTCCTAGGTCAAAGAAGCTGTCGCTTGGACCAATGTCAGTCTCTGGGAGGCCAAGTATGCGGCTCAACAGCGCTCGCATTGTGATCTCGCGTGCTGTCAGAGTTAGTGATTTCCCGGGTGCTTGTTGCTTGACATGGCCATTGGTCTGCGTCTCCGCTTCGTCATCATGCGGCACATCCGTAGGCTTAAATGCTGAAGCATCTTCCAACTCTTCCGGCTCCAGTGCCGTCGCAAGGCCGAGCTGTCCGTCAGGTCTCTCCAAGAACGCAGTGACAACGCGATCCAACACCTTGAGCACCCTCTCCATGACCGGCGAAGCAATGCACTTTGAATCAAAGCTCGCCATGATGAGAAAGCCGTTTTCATCCAGCGTACACACCAGCATCAGCGCATAAGTATTGAACTTCAATGCCTCTCTTGCTGCCTCTGCATCGTCTGAAGGCAAGAAGCCATTCGCAGGTGCATCCTCGATGCTATTCGTCTGACCAGGAACATTATCTTCCTTCGGATGCAGCACGAGACCGGTGCGGAGTTCGCATGCTTCCCTCGCATTGCGGCTTAAACGGCGGATGTTCTGGAGACCAAAGTGCTCATGCGGCATTTGCTGAACGGTCTGTGTGTGGACGGCGTCGAGGTACTCCGAGATCTGAACGTTAGGGTCGATCTTTGTGCGGATGGGTACAGTGGTGATCATTGGGCCTTCTATCTCTTCGATGCCAGCGACTGGAGCAGAGCGTCCAGTGAGCGTCTCGCCAAAGATGATATCCTTGTGACCCATGTATAGGGAGGAAACTAGAGCCCAAGCGCCGCGAATGATAGTTGCAACAGTAAACTTGCTATTGACAGAAGACGGAACCTGGACGTAATGCTCAAGGAGAGAGTCTGCGCGCGTGATGTAGCCTTTGTGCGGAAGGGTGGGAAATTGATGTGGACTGGCGCCGTCAAGTAACTCGCGCCAGTACCCTTCTGAGGCTGAAGGATCCAGCTGAGTCAGATACTTGATGAAGTGATTGAAGCCTACTGGACGTCGGATTTCCATGTCTTTGTACGCGCTGTTGACGCGCTCGAAAATCAAAGGCATAGACCAGCCGTCATAAATTGCATGATGCGACGTGAGCACGACATGTGCTTTGTCGTCCCCATGTTTAGACACAAGTCCGTATCGGAAGAGCGCCGTACCCAGGTCCATGTGCTCTTCTTGGTCCCGTGCAAGAAACTCCGCTAGGCTGTCACCATGCTTGCGACACAGCTGTCCATCCTTCATTACAACTTGGAACAGGCCATGGTTGGAGACATTGACAATACGCGTACGCAGTATAGGGGGAGTGCTGGGCAACTAATTCGATGGCCTTGATAAGCTTCTGAGCAGCATGTACCGGAAGTTCGACCACACGTTGGGCCACATACGCATCGACGAATTTCGCCGAAAGCGCCATCAGACCTTCTTGCAGCGGAGTGCAAGGGTACACATCCTCAATTAGATTCGACTCCGTGCCGCAGATTTGCGCTGTCTCTGCCTGTGCGCTCGATACTCCCCAGCTCTGGGGTATCAACGAAAATGCAGGCACTTGCGTCTCCCGATCCGCCTGCATCGTCTTCGACTTCGACGCCATAGCAGCCAACGTTGGATTTAGCATGATATCCGGCACGCTCAACGCAATGTTCTCTTCCCCTCGCAGCAGCAACTAGCTTCATCGCCCTCAGGGAATCGCCACCCATGCTGAAAAAGTTGTCGGTGGAGTTAAAATCGGCATCGCCCCCTAAGACTTTGGCCCACAGTTTCTCGAGTCGGAGAGCCATCTCGCTCTTCGCTTCAGATTTTGAAGATATAGCAGCACTGAACTTTCTCAGATCCTGCCTGGTGATAGAAGAACCAATCTCACGCAGACGCTTCCGGTCGGTCTTCCAACTGACCAGCAACGGCATCTTCCACAATGGGATGTAGGCGCTCGGAACCATGTACACCGGAAGGTCCTTCGATAATTGCGTCGTCATGGATTGCAATGCTTTCTGGAAACTGCTAGAGAACGTGGCGAACACATCGCCATCCAGCTGCTGCTGGTCTTTCTCTTTAGGTTCAGCGACGAAAGCGATAAGCGTAGGCTCGCCTGTTCCACCCGGCTTAATAACCTCAGCTGCAACCCTTGTGTCCTTTGGTAGGTGTTTGAGCATGTTGAACTCGATTTCCGCAAGCTCGATGCGCTGGCCCCGAAGTTTGACTTGTTGATCCCCACGTCCGACAAAGATTGCCTCGCCGTTGCCGTCTGGATCGTAACGTACCAGGTCACCAGTCTTATACAGCCTGCCTCGTCGTCCAGGAATGTTCGGGCTTCCAGCTGTGAGGAAAGCTGGGTTCTCAATGAACACCTCTTTCGTCTTCTCGGGATTGTTCAGGTACCCATACCCGACAATTGGCCCCTCGATAAGGAGCTCTCCCACCGCGCCAGGTGGAACAAGCTTGTTGTGATCTGTAGGATCAACCACCCAAACAGAGCAACCTGTACCCTTGCCCATGCTAATGTATGGCTTGGTACCCACGGCGTTGTTGTACGTTGCTCCAACAGTACACTCCGAAGGACCATAGCAGTTGACCACTGTAGTCTTTTGACGCCAGTTCGCCGCATCACTAGCTGAGATACCTTCTCCACCTACAGCAAGCGTAGCTAGAGAGGGAATGATGTCCGGATCGAGAGTCCGGACGACTGAAGGTGTCATTCCTGCCCAGTTCACACGCATATCCCGCATGGCACCGCTCAGATCGTTCATCCGTCTTTCATCAGATGGCGTGCAAAGAGTACCACCGCTAGCGAGTGTACAGAGCATCGAGTCGATGGAAACATCGAAGGCGTAGCTGGCGAAGTCTAACACGCGCGACGTCTCCCTGTATCCTACTGTGTGGGCGCGCGGTATTGCGCCTGACGTGAAGTTGTAGTGAGAAAGCATGCATCCCTTGGGTAAACCTGTGCTACCAGACGTGAATTGGATATACATCGGGACCGCCGGAGAAACGGATGGTAGACTTGTCTTCGGTAGCTGTTCCGCATAAGGGCGGTAGATTTTCGCAAACCTAGAATGCGATATTGGCACAACGGTCGCACCATCAGCGACACGTGCGGCCAGCGCAGCCTGCGCTTTGGAAGATACTAACAACCTTGCCTTCGTCTGCTGGACGATAGTCCTCAAGCGGCCTTCCGGTTGCGCAGGGTCAAGAAGCGCAAAGCAGGCTCCAGCTTTCATAACAGCAAGTACCGCAACCATCGTCCATCTCGACTTCTCAAACAGCACAGGAATAATCTGATCTTCCGAGTCGTCCAGAAGTCGCAGATTCTGGGCCAACTCAGTAGAGTACTGGTCGACTTCCTGATACGTAAAGCTTCCATCCCAAGCCTCTACAGCCGTCTTGTTAGGCTGCGACTGAGATTTCTGGGAAATAATTTCGTGCATGCATGTATTGATAGTTTCAGGCAGAGGAGTCGTCCAGCTCCATATGTGGTCAAGTTCGTCCTCCGTAAGGTCCAGTAAACGTGCCAGCACCTGTGAATGATCTTGTAATACATTCTCTAGAATGCGGGTAAACGAACGTAGATGAGAGGAGGCCTGCCACTGAGGAAGGCCCGCGCTACATGCACTGACTTGTATGTGCTGGGATCGAAGTCTAAGATCCACTCCGAATTTCCACTGCTGATGGTTAGTGCATGACGTAGATTCCATACTAACAGATATTGCTCACTTCGTCGTTGATACCATCTTGGAACGAGAAGATTGGTAATGTCGCCAGGTCCTTCAACTTGAAACTCGGTCGTACATCGCGGGTTGCACTCAGAAGATCCGCTACATTGTGCAGATTGGGAATGTATAATTCACCAGCCGAGACAGAATAAAACGCACCGCTAACGCTTGTTGTCCATCCAAACTGATCCAGGGCGTCCCTTTGGTAGCGATGTAGAAACAAGATCCAGCTTGCGAAATATGCATCAAGTAATGCGTCCACCTCTAGCTCTTCTGGCATCGATACTCCGACCTCATTCACATGATTGGCATCTTGCCCACGCCTTGACTGAAATTCGGCTTGGTCTTTGAACATCCCACTTGCCGCTGAACCTGAATTGGCGTCCACAGGGTCTGCAAATCGCACCGTCTCTTCGCTTTTCCGTAGATGCATTCTCTTGCGGCGATTCACGCCCTTTTTTGCTGCTTCTCCTCGAAGAGTTGGTCGTATGCTCTGTATAAGCCTCGATCCGACGTCCAAAGTCCCAAGCCTGCTCGTAGAAAGAGCCCAGCATCGTGCAATGAGGCCATCGGCGGTCCAAGCTCCCTCACCAGGCCGGATAGCACGAGGCTAAAGAGCCTAACTCCCATCGCAGGGATTTTCCTTTCTCTTGCGGGTCCATTTCTGGAAAGGGCAGCAACGCACCAGTTAACGCCGTTGACGAGCACATTCGGAGGCAACGCCCACATCGTCTATGCGAACCCCAAGCTACCCATGACGCTCGGTCATGTGTTAACGTAAGAGAGCAGGGATCATTTTTCAAGTTGCAGCGACCGGCTATTAGGTGGTTTTCGAATATGATACGATGGTGGTGCGCCAAGTGCCGAGCTCCGCTATAAGCGGATCAGATAAGGCCATAGTGAACACTAGCACGACATTAGCGGCATCTGATAACTTCAACCCCTCTGCGCTTGCGACTGGCCGCATACCCAGCACGGTGGACCTGCCTCTTTGAGGCAACATGGGCGATGCGAGATGATGTGACGCGCTGGGCACATGGGGTGGGATGTCGTTGGCCACTAGAACAGTGGATGCGCACAATTTTCATCTGATTAGATTTTTTTATCAGATGCGGCCTAATTTCGGGTGTCGCTTAGAGAGGATGGAGCGCTCCGGCTTCGGCAGGTTGTTACGGGCTCGTACCATTGTACGATGTCGAAGGCGGAGGCCCGTCTATGCACATACGAATCCTTCGTCGCATCGCGTGGTCGAAGCTTTTCGAGGACCGCAGTTGTCGTTTGCGGCGACGTGTGGGTTTTCGGAAGGATTTGAAGATGCGCGGCCGTTGGAACAAATGACGGGAGCGCCAAAGCTTAGCCAATTCAGACAGCACTCGTACGACAATTAATTGTTGCCCTGCGCTTGATGATTTCATACGACTTCGAGCAATAGCAAGACTGCACAATGGGGTATGGAAAGTAAGTGGCGTGGTACCGAAGAGCTGTGACAAATATGCATTGCAACAGTCCAGGAGGAAGGTACAGCCATCAACGGTAAGAGCTACCGCGAGATTTGGAAGCAACCCCTCAAAAGAAATGGGATGCTGCGATAGCGCGATGGAATCTATTCCTTCATGATGCACAATGCCAAATGCTATGATATCACGAATGCAAATACATGTTATCTTTACCGCCCCTCTCTAACCAGTCCCTCCGCAACATCTCTTAGCACGAACTTTTTCACCTTCCCACTCCCCGTAAGCGGCACCTCGGCGTCGCAATCCTGCCCCAGCCAAAACACCTTCGTCGGCGCCTTGTGCCTGCCCAACACTTTCCTAACCCACTTTTGGACTCCTTCCAAATCTGGCTTCTCGGTGCCCTCTTCCAGCTGGAGGAATGCGATAGGCACCTCGATGTATTTTGGATGTGATATGCCGACGACGATGGCGCGCGCGATGGACGGGTGCGACACGAGGCGCTCTTCGATTTCGAGGGGGTATATGTTCTCGCCGCCTGTTTATGTTAGAGGGGATGCGGAATTAGGGGGGAGGATGGAGAACATACCACGGATGATGATGTCCTTGAAGCGGCCTGTGATGGTGCAGTAACCGTCTACATCCAACACAGCCTCGTCACCAGTGTGCAGCCACAGCTCGCCTTGGTCATCTCTGACCAGCACTTCCGCTGTTTTTGCCGGGTTCTCCCAGTACCCTCTGCACAGCTGGTATCCCGCCACGCAGAGCTCACCGCGCACACCGATGGGCACGACGTGGTTGTCGCGGTCGACAATCTTAACGCGCGCATGTGGCATTACGGTGCCCACTGTTGTGAGTCTCGTGTGCAGCGAGTCCGTCGTATGCGCGTTAAACACTGTAGGACTTGCCTCCGTGAGACCGTAGCTGGATGTGAAATCCATCATGCCGAGCTCGTTCACCATGCGCTCCATCAGCCATTTTGGTACAGGGCTGCCAGCTACGATGCCTGTGCGCAATTCCGAGCTCCAACCTTCCGGTTTGTCTAGGTTGACGATGGCCTCCATCATAGCCGGCACACCGTGTAAAGCTGTACATCGTTCGTCGGATATAGCGTGCATTGTAGCTATGGGGTCGAATGATTCGGCGGGAGATACAAAGCGGCCGCCGTGAGTTATCGTGGCGAGAAGACCCAATGTGAGACCAAAGCAATGGAAGAGAGGTGGTGGGCAGCAGAGCGTGTCGTCTGGGGTAAGCTGCATGCGGTCACCAATAAAGCGCGAGTTGTTTACGAGGTTGCTGGATCATTATCAGCGTCCAAATTCTCAATTCTGTTCAGGAGAGTAACGTACTGATGCGTGAGCATAGCTGCCTTCGGATTTCCCGTACTGCCACTGGTGAACTGCAGGTTCGCAATATCGTAAGGACTTATTATTCCATCGAAGATATCCAATATATGCTCTGGTATTGATTGCGCCTCGGCAAGAAACTCGTTATACTTGATGAAGCCTTCGTTTTCGCCTCGTATTAAACAGACAGTTTTCAGGTCTGGTAGCTCCTCCGCTACATCTTCGCTTTTCAACCGTTGAAGTAGGGGACGGTTGTCGAATCGGCCGACGTCTTCGCTCGTGAACAACAATCTACACTCTAACGTCGTCAATATTTTGCGCTGAAGTCGTACCAAAAGAGCACTCACTGGTATGTTTCAACGCATACTCCGCTTCTGTCGCGGTGTAGGTATTGTTTAGTGTGACGCATATCGCACCTACTCTTGCACAAGCAAAGAATACTGCAACATACTTCTCGCAATTGCCACTCATTATACCAATCCTGTCTCTTGGCCGGACACCATAACGTAGTAGCGCTCGTGCTAACAGATTTGATTGCGCCCATAACCGGCGGTATGTCCATCTCGCGCCCGTCCATGGTATTATCACGCATTCATTATCGGCATAGTCCTTTGCTTGGTTTGCGAGCAATTGCGATACCGTTATTTGCAGTAACGGAGGATCTCTTTGTCCAGAAACAAGCGAGATATTTGGGTATGGAGGAAGAATGTAGGGGTCGATCTGAAGTAGTGTCTGGTTCAGCCGTTGGAGGGCATCGTGACGAGCCTGCTCGAATAGTTCCGCCATGTATTTCCACCCGCTCAATTGGACTTCCGGATTTCAGCCAATAGCGCTGGTTTACTTGATATGACAGGAACAACGTGGTAGGAGAGGTACTGGAAGAAGGAAAAGAGAAGTCCTAGCGACGCGACGCTGTACGCGCCGTACCAAAAGAGTTTCGAGAGGGTCTGGACGGTGGAGCTATGCTTCGTCATTGTGAGCTCGCAGATGCCTCGGATCTAGCGTACCTCACCCCAGTCTATCTAGCACAGTGCCCAGCATGTCCGTACGGGTCGAGCGATCTCGGATGACATCGTGCGATGACCTGGTATAGTGGCTGCACACCATCAATCCGTCCTCTGCCGGTAGCAAGCGCCGTCGACATCACCTACTTGATGATCAATTCCCAATACGTCAAGTAGCTCCGTGTAGCAGGTACACCAAGGGCTGTAACTTCCATGCAGCCAGCACATCATCGTTGCATCGGGTGGGTGTTCGGCGAGACTGACATGTGAGACCCTGGTCGTAGTAGTCTAGAGTAGCCGTCGACTCGGCCGTCGGATCTGATAAGATTGAACTCCGCTTTTACAACCAGGAATTTTTTTTATCAGATGGATCTCGGTCGTTGACGCTATTCGCTAGCGACGCTTGGGGAGGATTGATGGATGGGGGTCTCCGCAAGAACGTGGGAATTCGTTGCGTAAAGTTGTCAGATGGATCCGCTGGCGCCCGACGCGGCACCACATTCCAAGCCAACGCTTGCACTTTGAGCCTGTATCACACCCTTTCCCCTCGCTTATGTTTAGGCGCGACAGGCACCGGTCAGATATTTGTCTAGCTCGGACGCGACTGCCGTGGAGCAACTATGCCGAGATCGACAAGCTCAGTGATCGTTGCTGAACAAGTAGTCGGCTGACGCGGTAGCGGTTCTCACAAGCTACGTAGGCAGCTCTGTACTGGAGGACTTCCTCATGTCGACATCGTTCAAGCCTCATCTGGGGACTCAGATGTTAAACGGCCGACCTTGACCGATCGATTCGTGTAACGACACGCAAGCGAGCGGATCTGATAAAATTTTCATACCCCGGAGATGGATGCTGCACATAAGCCAAGGCCACGCGTGGACGGCGTAGGGCTTGTTTAAAGTTATCTGATCCGCACCCTGCATGCTGTGGGTGTCTGTGCAGAGCGGTCGTAATGACGTCGCGCTAGCCGCCCGTGGGGATCCCTGTGTATCATTACGAAAGCTGACTATTACAACTGTGGGGTCGACCGCGTCGCGTTGGCGATCCACGAGCGCTGTCGGGAAATGTTCCGAAGGCACGATGGAAGACGAGCTTTGGTGTGAAGAAATCAATGGTGACAAGTGCTAGTTGATGCTGCTGCTATGTTCATCTAGAAGATGCCGGTATATCGAATGCTACAATTTTGCGAGAGCGTCCAGGCTGGGGCGGACCTTCTTCTCGCCGTCCCAAACAAACGGGCTGAGTGCGAAGAACTTCTCTCTATTGACCATCATCAACGCGCTTCGCTTATGCGGCAAGTCGATCAGCTTCTCGACGTGGAATCCGTGAACGAAATCGTAAGCAAGGACCGTACTACTGGTTTGTGCAGGCTCGCCGACGAGATTCCAGGTCCGTGGCTCGTCCAGGAACATGTAGTGCATGAGTCCAGACCACCAGGCGGAGACCCGATAAGGACCTCTGAATCTAATATCGCCAACCAGCGAATGGCGGCCGCGGTCGTAGGGCGATGCGAGGAAGTGTGCACCCATGTGGTCCTCCTGCGAAGAGTTAGCATCATGTCTATCATGAGATCGACAAACTTACCATTGCCCAGTAGACCTCAAAATAAGCGAAGAGCACGTCGTCGAATGCCGCGAACATGGTAACCACGTGTGGGTCTTCATGCAGCTTTCGCAGGTACTCGCGATGCTGGTCTAGCGTCCCGGTTTCGTTCCAGCCTGCAGCAACGCGTGGGTCATTCTGCCACACGTTAAACAAACGCAAGTGTTCATCATTGGTGTAGTCAAGAGCAATCATAGTGAAATGCTCTTGCAGATGTGGGATCCAGCGACTGTAGATGACTGATCCTGGGACTGGTTTTGGCCGGCGTACAGGGTGTATAGTGTGGCGTGGGAGTGCGGGAAATATTGTGCTTGGAGCCGTTTGGAAAGGAAAAGGAGGAAATTCCGCAGTCATTGGCTTGTTCTCCGCATCCAGATGTGGCGCCCACGCTGGGCGAGAACCGAATGGAGATGCAGCTCCTTGCCAAAACGTACTTCGAAGCAGAAGATCGCCATCGTGCGGAGCTGAGGAGTTTGAGCCCTTGGGATGTGGGTGGAGAAGACCAGTCGTATAGAGTTCGGTCGCGAGAGTTGCGGCATCGTCCCCAGAGAATAGAATACGAATGTTCTCGACAAATGGATGCTGCGAAACGAGGGTGTAGGCAACTAGCCAAAGTTGCGGAACGGAGGGTCTATCGCCAGACCAGGAAATTGTGACATAGGGCGCTCGCCGTGCTCTGGCCCACGAGCTGTTGTCACCCTTGGGCGGAATTGAGTTACCCTGTAGGAAGGCTATGTCGCTAAACGAGAGGCTGTCATGGTGAAGGGTCACCGGCGGAGCAGTTCCGTTCTTTTCTGAATGCTCTTTGGAAAGCGAGATTTGGAACCGCTTCGGTTGTCCAGAGGTAGCTTTATTCGTGATCGCATACGCCGTGAGGTATGGATGAGGAAGCTTCAAGATGAAAGGATCAGCCACAACGCTGGTTTGCTCAGACTGCTGAGCCATGGTGGACGGTCCGCGGTCGCAAAAGTGGTGCACTGTGTGTAGGAAGTGAGGTTGCTCTGCAAAGAAACTACACGGCTCGCTACAGTCTCTGTAGCACAAGGTCAAGCAAAAGCCGAGGTCAACGGTCAAGCTCCCAGAAGCTATGGCCATGTGGCTATGAGGTGTTAGCAAGATAAAATACCGCAGTCGGGTGCATGATCGCTACATGGTGGGGATGTTTGCCGAGCTAACCAGCGGTCTGGTCCGACTGGTCTCTGACAACCAGACCATGTGGGTATGACCATGATGGACGCGGCATAGATCCCCACCATGCCACCTTCGCGGAAAAGAAATCTTCGCGCCAGTTCGTGACGTATCCAACAGTACGCCACCAAATTGCAGGGATGTTCATGAGCTTCTGTTTTCAAAAAGAATCATACCATAGCTTGCTCCTGGCCAAAGCTTTCGGTCCGGGCAAAACGTCGAATACGCTTTGGTGTCTGGTGCACGAGCACGTTGTTGCGAAAGAAGACGCCCTCTCGAAACTCACGCCACATTTTCTCAAGAATGACTTCGACTGAACAGTCCTCAATACAACTGAATCCCATCTCAAACTCTCCTCAGGCGACGCCGACAATGGTGTATGATCTGCTTTGCATTGGCTTCGGGCCTGCGCAGCTTGCAACGGCAGTCGCAAATCACGAAAGTCGAAAGCCTGCAAATGTGCTCTTCGTAGAGCGAAAACCAGCCTTCTCATGGCATTCTCCACAGCTCGCCAGGACTCGAATGGAGAGTCCCTTCATTTATGATCTTGCAACGACCCGCAACCCCAGATCCGCTTTCAGTTACACCAACTACCTTTTCGTGCGAAAACGATTAGTCGAATTCACCAACTCTGATCGGTTAAACCCGCTCAGGCTGGAGTTCGAGGACTACCTCAGCTGGGCGGCAGGACACTTCAAGGACAATGTACGATACAGCAGTGAGGTGGTCGGTGTAGCACCGGAGAAGGGCGATGGCCCAGTCAGGAGGTGGAACGTTGCCATACGGGATGCGAATGGAAAGACGCAGGTGGTGCAAGCTAGGAGCATTGTCGGGCCTTCGCCCTCGGGCAAACATGACCGGAAGCCATTGTCGTTGACGGGCGTCGACTTTCTTGCCGGACAGCGCATCATCTCTGTGGATGACTACAAGTCAAGAAGAAACGACTTGCGAGGAAACAATGAGCCACGCCTCAACATCGCTGTTGTCGGCTCAAGCGAGCAGACGATTGAAATCTTGGACGACCTGCTGACGTGCCCGCGTTTGGGTAACATCACGGTGGTGACGGAGAATGAGTCTCTGGCTCCACTGCGAATACTGGAAGGCGAACAGGAGCCACCGCAGCCGCGGCTTTGCTCCATCTGGGCGAAGCCGTCGTGCGAACAAAAGTCGACAATCACAGGAGCCTCGGAACTCGTACAGAACATCTACGCCCGCGCATACGAGAAGCAGGTGGCCAGCAAGGGCGAATACACCCTTCGCGTCGTCGTCGGCAGCAGAGATGCCGGCGGAGCATGCTCCAACGCCAACGTCATCATTGCCGAGCAGGTACAGCGGAGCGCGTTTGCGAACAACGGCCTCTTCCACAGCCTCGATGCTCTCGTGCTAGGGTGTCGGCAGAAGGGCGATAGCCTGGAGGAGGTACAGTTCAAGCGCGGAGCGGTGGCCGACAGCTGCAAGGTGTGGATGCTCTCGGCTCACTCTGAGGGCGGCCGCTCATTGGCCAAGGATATTGCAATGAGAGCCGGTGAGGTGGTGAGTGCGCTGGCGACAACGGAGGAGGGCCGCGAGCGGGAGGGCATGATGATCGCAGCTAGGATGTGAATAGGATAGACGGCTGGTGGGCTGAAACGGGCGACTTGGCGTGTCTTACTTAATCAGAAAATTTTTATCAGATCGCGCTAAAGACGCAACCGTGCAGCGCTTGTGCCCATCTTGCCCATCTCCGACATCGATCCGAGGGGTCCCTCTCCACTTGTACCCTGCTAGCCATCCTCCCCTCCTTTCCGGCCTGCACCCAATATACACGGCCGCCGCACAGCCAATCTGCTATGACGCCCAGCGGGACTATGGCCTGGCGGCCCACAGCGCCCTGGCGCTCCGTGCCTACGCGTCTGCGAGTGAGAGCCTCACGTCAACACCTCGTTCACTTCAGTCGCAGCGTCTTGGTGACCTGCTTCCGCCTGCCAGATGACCCTCAAGAGGCCTTCGGGAGCGTCTTTGAAGCGCTTTACCGCCTTTTTCCAGCTTCTTTTCTACGCCAACCCCACATGGCTGGACAGATTCCTCGTCATCGTAGGCGCAATTGCTGCCACGGCAGCTGGCGTCCCATTTCCTCTCGTCGGAATCATATTTGGTCAGCTCATCGACAACCTCAACAGCGCCACATGCGATAGCGGCGCCGAGACAGGCTCGACTGGGGACCTACAATCGTCAATCGATTCCAAAGTCCTGATCCTCTTTTACCTCTCTGTGGCTACCTTTGCTTGCATCTACACCCATTGTGTATGCTGGAGCATTGCCTCACAACGACTCGGCCAGCGCATCCGGGACCACTACCTCAAAAGCATACTAGGGCAGGATATCGAATTTTTCGACAGTTTGCAAGCAGGAGAAGTTTCTTCGCGGCTCAATGGGGACATTCAGGCTATCGAAAGTGGAACTTCTGAGAAAGTCGGTGTCTTCCTTACATGCATTACATTCTGCATCACCGCTTATGTAATTGCTTTCATCAAGGATGCCAAACTGGCCGGCATGCTTATTTCCCTCATACCCGCATTCCTTCTCATGACGCTCGTAGGAGGATACTTCACGCAAAAATATTCGGGCAAGGTTTCTGACGCATTTGGAAAAGCGAGTGCCATTGCGTCCGAGGCGCTCAGCCACGTGGGTCTCATACATGCGCTCGGAGCACAAAACCGTCTGGAAGGGAAATATCGGGGGTACCTCGAGGAGGCGAAAAAGGAAGGAACCAGCAAAGCAACAGCATCTGCAATCCAAGCCGGAACGTTGTACTTCATTGCTTTCGCAGCAAACGCACTAGCATACTGGCAGGGAAGTAGGAAGATTGCTGCTTCTGTTGAATCAGGCGGGACTCAAGGGTCCTCTGCCGGTGCGATTTATACAGTCATATTCATCCTTGTCGACGGTCAGTATCATTGGCACTGTCCTCACGCCACTACTAACGTGTGTCAGGTGCCATCGTTCTAAGTCAGGTTGCTCCATTACTGCCAATATTCGGTGGTGCAGTGTCAGCGTTCGAACGGCTCCGAAAAGATATTGAGCATCAGCCAGCTATAGCGGGGACCTCGGATGCAGGTCAAAAACCCGACAATGTTCAAGGAGACGTCGAATTTCGCAACGTCTCCTTCACATACCCATCAAGGCCCGAACACCCTGTGCTTAATGATGTCTCGTTCCAGTGCGAGGCCAGGAAGCTTACTGCTATTGTTGGACTTTCGGGAAGTGGCAAATCCACCATTGCATCGCTCCTTACTCGCTTCTACGATCCGCACAACGGCGCAGTTATGCTCGACGGTATGGATGTCAAAAACCTAAATGTGAAGGCACTACGAGGCAACATCAGTCTCGTACCGCAAGAGCCATCTCTTCTCGATCGGTCAATACTGGAAAACATCGCTCTTGGTCTTGTGAACTCCACGACGCATGCGCATCTGCACAAGACTCTACTCTCTGGTGCCTTACAGCAGGTTGCTGATGGTACCAGGAATGGCCAACAACTTTCCACATGTGTGGAGGCCGCTGGTCCTGAGGTTTCCGAGATCTTCCGTCTGGTGCAAGATGCAGCTGGTCTGGCTGATGTCATGGGGTTCATAGACCGTCTAGAGCACGGTCTTGCAACCTCTGTGGGCTCTAGCGGAAGTCTCATCAGCGGTGGACAGAAACAAAGAATCGCGTTGGCGCGAGCTCTCGTCCGGAACCCGAAGATTCTGCTTTTGGATGAGGCTACAGCGGCACTAGATTCGGCCAGCGAGAAAAGGATCCAAGCCTCTATCGAAAAAGCTTCGGAAGGCCGGACGGTCATTGCCATCGCGCATCGTCTTTCAACGATCAGAGCAGCCAGCAAGATCGTGGTCATGAGGAAGGGAGAGATCCTTGAGCAAGGCACGCATGACGAGCTTATCGAACGGAACGGATCCTACGCCGATATGGTCAAGTTACAGTCGGTCAAACCTGCGGACGATACTGGGAGCTCCCGGTCTAGCCTGATGGAGGAGGATCCAGATGCAATTGAACAGCCAAAGGAAGCGACCATTACCGAGAAGAAGGAATCCGAAAAGGCACCTGGGGCAGAAAAGGCTAAAGAACCAGAAGACGCTGCCATTGTGAGCCACACCCTATTCAAGACGATGGGACCTCTTCTCCGGCCGTACACTCTGCTCCTCATTCTAGCATTCTTTGCGGCCACCATCGTTGGCGGAACCTATACATCAAGTGGTGCAGTCTTCGGAAACACGCTTGGCGCTTTTTCTCCCTGTCACACTGCCGATTACATACGCTCGAAGGGTCTGCTATACTCTGGATTGTACTTCATGATCGCCTGCATTGAGTTCTTTGCATACTTTGGCAGCTGGTTCTTCTTCGGCCTGGTTGCTGAGCGCCTACTCTATAAGGTGCGGGCTCTGTCGCTGCACTCCTTGTTGCAACAGCCATTACAATGGCACGAATCCAGTAATCGGAGTCCGACGAAGTTGCTTGGCTACATCACTAATGATGGCAACTCTCTTGCTGGTCTTAGCGGATCTATCATTGGCACGTTATTCTCCGTTTGCGTCAACTTCATAGCGGCTATCGTCGCAGCGCACATTGTTGCGTGGCGCATTGCTATCGTATGCTTGGCCATTGTACCTATTCTCCTGGGAGCGGGCTTTATGCAACTTCGAGCTCTTACACGATATGCCGAGAAGCATGCCGGAGCCTTCTCCGACTCGGTGAGCGTCACAGTGGAGGCTGTTACCAACATTCGAACCATTGCGGCGCTGTCCCTAGAAGACGAGATCTTGATCACATACCGTCGTTCGCTGCAAGGGCCACGTAAAGAGATGGTCCTGCAATCTTTCAAGACCAACTTCTGGCTAGCCATCGCCAACTCTATCAGTAGCTCCCTATATGCCTTCGCGTACTGGTGGGGATCAAAAAACATTCTCGAAGGCAGATACTCGCAAGCTCAGTTCTTCTTTATCAACGTGGCGATGCTTGTGTCCGCCCAGCTGTGGGGTCAGCTTTTCACACTTGCGCCTGAGATTGCGCGAGCGAGGAGCGCCGTCTCGAGACTCGCCGGTCTCATCGAGCTCAAGAGTGACAATCCGCAAACCTCATCTGGTCGGACAACTCCCGACGACTTCGACTCAGACTCTGAGAAGAAAGATGTCGAAGCATTTGCTGAGTCTCCCGTACCATTGTCGGCTGAAGGTGGTGCAACAATCGAGTTCCGCGATGTCACATTCGCGTACCCAGCTCGACCGAACGCCCCTGTCATGCAGAACTGCTCACTCATGATCCGTCCCGGCAAATTCTATGCGTTGGTCGGCCCTTCTGGTGCGGGAAAAAGCACGATTCTTGCACTGCTCGAGCGGTTTTATACACCGGCGTCAGGCGAAATTTTGCTAAATGGCGTCGATATCTCACGACACCGCGACACATCTTTCCGAGACGACATCGCCTATGTACCTCAAGACAATGTAATGTTCCAGGGCACTATCAAGTTCAATATGTCTCTTGGGGCACGACCTGGATACACACCGACGGATGAGGAGATCCACGAAGCCTGCAAGCTCGCCAACATCCACGAGACCATCATGAGCCTTCCGCAAGGATATGATACCGACTGTGGCGCCAACGGCAACCAACTATCAGGCGGTCAGCGCCAACGCCTGTCCATCGCGCGTGCGCTCGTGCGCAAGCCCAGGCTTCTTCTCCTCGATGAAAGCACCAGCGCGCTCGACGCAGAGAGCGAGAAGGCGCTGGAACTCGGCCTTGAGCGCGCCGTCAAGGGTCAAGGTGTCACTGTCATTGCGATCGCGCATCGCCTGCGGACTATTGCCAAAGCGGACGTTATCTTCCTAGTGGATGGTGGCAAGGTTGTTGATCAGGGACGACATGAAGAGCTAGTGGAGAGGAGCGAGAGTTATCGCGTCAATGCGCTGCATCAGATGCTGGCGTGAATGCGTAGGGGACAGAGCATTATTTGGCGTTTAGCGTGGCATATCAGCATAGCATAGACTAATTTCCATTGTGTATTATTGCTTATATCAACTCGTTCGTTATTTACCACAACATTGTGTACCGCGTATTGTATGTGCGCAAGAACTGTCAGAATAGCCTGACGTGACTTGAGGGGCTAAGCAAACGGAAGCTATCGCGCTATCTCTCCAGCTTCACCGCTCCATAATGGGCTCCATCTCCTCCGCGACGAGGGTATCTACGACGACTACAATAAGACCAGCACCAACCTTTCCCCACGCCTCAAATCTGCGAGTACGTCCTCTCCGGGCTCTGGCCAGACAACGGCACTCAGCCACAATAGCGACGCTTCCGAGATGAACAATAGCAAAATCTTCCATCTTTCCTTCACTTCACACCTGCGACAATACGAAAGCGATGTTCCACGCGTGTTCACCTCTCCCAGCCCCAAGTTTCCCGACGCTTGATTGGCCTAAACGGCGGTGGCGCATCGTTCACTCGCCTGTTCACCGTTCACCTCACCACTCCAGGGCTCCAAAACTCCTCATAGTGCGAGCACAATAGGGACAATGGACACAATAGAAATCACCCAGCCTCTTGAGGTATAAGACGGCGTTTCTCAAGAGCAGGCTTCCTCGACTCAGCACTTAACTTCTCTTCTTCTCACGTCCATACGTATTGCAATTGCATTGCACAGCTTCTTTCGACCACTTCTTCATTTCTGAATACTTTCTACAACACCATCATCTTCGACATGGCTGGACCCATGAACAACCCTGTCCCGGAGTTGAAATTCGAGATGAAGGCCCCCATCCCCGTCGAATCTATCCCGGCTACACCGAGCAAGACGGGCATCAAGCTTCGCATCAACTTCAAGAACAGTACCATCCGGGTCATCAACCCCAAGAAGCGCGATGCGGACGACCTGGATGAGGATACCCAAGACGGACTCGCCGCCTTCAAGGCCGCCGGCATCAGTGCTGCCCGCATCGAGGGCTATACCAAGGATGAGCTCGATGTCGCTCTCACCCTGGCCAGCATGAAGGATGGCCCCCCTGCCCGAAAGAGGGTCAAATCAACCCCCGCTCCCTCAAGCCAAAAGATGAGAATCCCGGACGCCGAGTCTGACGGCCGCGATGCTACTGAATCTGTCGGTGCTGGCGCCGACGGTATCATCCTCAAGGCAACCCAGGCTACGCGGAAACAGCGCATCGTAGACCCCACGCATCCAGCAGACGCTCTGATGATCCTAGCCACCAGCAAAGCCGGCTTCGACATCTACGACTCCGACGCCGAGTCCGTCGCTGGCGACGTCTCCACCTCCGTCTCCACCAAGCCCGAGCTCTTCCGCAACGTAACCTGGGGCCCCGCCGCAAACGACACCTCCAACGACGCCGCCTTCCCCACGGAGCCCTCGTTCGACCAATTCGTCCCCGGCCGCTGGGAGCGCCTCCCAGACGGCACCATCCGCGACCAAAAGCACAAGCTCATCGTGCGCCTCACCTCAAAGGACGGCCGCAAAATGCTCTTCAAGAACCCGCCGCCCAAGGACTGGAACGACCAGAAGGCCATCACATGCCTCAACAAGCGCGTCAGCCAGCAGATCCGGCGCAACACGGCCGTCCGCTTCCGTCTCGAGGTCGAGTCGTACGTGCATGAAGAGCGCGTGTGGATCAACGAGCATCTTACCAACGGGAAGCCGGGGAATGGATGGAAGGCATTTGTTGAGGAGTTCAACGAGCAGTTTGCGGGGGAGATGCTGGAGGGGTGTGAGGGGGTGAGGCCGACGAGGACGCATTCTAGCTTGACGAAGGAGGTTGAGCGCTTTGGGAAGGAGTTCTATGCGCAGGGGAAGGTGCCTGTGCTCAAGGAGGGGAAGCAGGGGAAGAGCAAGGCGGAGTAGGGTGGAATGGTGCGTGACACTGGGTGGTTCGATCGGGTGCGGGCATCTGCGGGATAAGGGGGTTTCTAATGTGTGTGTGTGTGTGTGTGTCATCTTGAGCTGCTGGCAGCTCTGTGTGTAGTGGAGAGTGATCAATATCGCTTTTCAGCTTCTTGTCTGACATGGATGTTGATGTATTGAGGGATCGTTGGCTGAGCTATACATTTCAAGCATTTTCTCAACGGCTATCAGTCGGATGCGCAATACACGTGACCGGTGCAAGTAGCTATTCCAGGCACTCCAAGTTCCTCGTCGCTAGGAAGCAAGTTTCGAGTCTGTTTGGACTACCTAGAATGAGTCCCACAACCAGGTATGCTTTGTTATGATGGAATGTGAATCACAAGCGAATTGCCACGGGTTGCTGCTATTGGAAAATCTCTTGGCCTCTCATGTACAGGTTGGGCAACGATAAGCTTCGGGCGTGTATGGTGGGTGGTACGTCACGTCGAGCCAAATTTCATATGTTTATCGAAGAAATTGTGTTGATCACTGTGGTGTTTTAGAATTGCTCGGCTGGGCTTCATGCGATGTCGCAATACATTCGATCCACCATGAAATCGGCCAAAATATTCGTTGTTCAGCTGGCGTAGTCCGCGTGCTCTATTGTCTCAGGGTCGTGTGTTACCCCACGAAGGACTTTACATCGGGGGTATTGGCATTGGATTAGGAATGTCATAGCTTCTAGACCCTCACTCACGAATTACGAAATGTTTATTGATCATGCGATTTGAGAGCCGCATCGACTGAAACTGTCAGCAGAGTAATGCGTGACGGTAGTTCGGCGTTCAGATCCGACGGACCTATCGTTGGCAGCGGACCGCGTATGTTGTCCGACAGTGCAGAACATCAATGACGGCGAAGAACGCATTGAATCTCCACACTTACATTCCTTCATAGTCAACGCTCGGTACGGAATTCCAGAATGCTCCCTCGAAGACAAGTAGCGGGCAGGATCGAACCTCGAATAAATAAACCATCGCGCACTCAACTCTTCACGCTCCTTGTCGCTCCTCTTCACTCGTTGCATGGTGGATTGATTGATTTAAGATAACCGACACTCTTTCACGAACGTTTGATCAGCCAGTAAGTATTCAAGTATTCATGAATGGTTGTTTGAGCATAGACTGACGATGTCACGCAGTGATCTCACGAATTCTCGCGCTTGCGTCCCTGGTGGCGTTGGTTGCAGGGCAGACTGCCGTTGTTATTGCAGCTCCCGTTGTTACCGCAGTCGTCACCGATGCCGCAACCACGCCCACAGACTGGACCTTTGAAGGATGCTTTACGGATGCACCATTCGCAGACGATGGAACGCTTCAAAGTGCGCCCTTGGGCACGACCATGACCCCCCAGGTTTGCGCGGACATCTGTACTCAGCAGGGAGTTACTGCAGCGCAAAACTACGCCATCGTGTATGATACGGACTTCTGTCTTTGCACCGACGCGGAAAGACATACACTTCAAGACACTGGCTGCTTCGCGTCGTGCACGGCCGCCGACGGAACGGCTACAACCTGTGGAGCGGCTGGCGTGGGAGTTGTTTATGAGCTGTCAATAGCAGGAGGAATAGTTGCGGTGAGTACATTCTATTGAACCTTGACACCGTCTCCACCAAGACCGGAACTGATCACGTGCCGACAGTCGATACCTGTAGTTGCCGTGACCGCCACCGCAGTCATTTTACCCGCCACATCGGTAGCCGATGTTGTCATCGTAACACCTACAACGACAATCGCCGCAGTTCTTCCCGGCGGAACGGTTGGCGGAGTGGTTGGTGGAGATGCAGCGAGCACGACTCTGGTGAGTGGGTTTCTCACTGTTGTTAATGCTACTATGCTTCATGCTCAACGGTGAGTCATGGTGTCGGTGCTCGTTCAGTGTGTGCTCAAAAGGTAGGTCTGGCTCTTATGTATGCTACTTCGCTCTATACTCATACCACAGATCAGTTGCTTTTCTGGTTGCAAGTATCGAATGAAAATTACCAATGGATTGGTCACCTTCACTTGAAGTCTCATTACGTGTCGTCGTTGTGATGCGATGTGATTCATGTTCGTTCATGTTGTGAAGCTTCCAAGATTGTGCCGAATCGACATGAATCTGTCCCAGATGGGCGACTTCATTGTCGGGTATAAGGAAGTGTGTTTTGTCGAGCGCACAACACAGTGCATTATTGCTAGAGCGCGGACCGTGCGTGTCGCTGGATTAATGTGAGAACGTTTCGAAGGACTATGAGACTTTGGGTGTCTTGTGAATAGTAATTCTGGAGATAAAAGTGAAGTTATCCGTCTTTCATGTGGGTTCTCTTTCCTGAGAAAGCGAATGAGAGGGTTCTTACCTATGGTAGTGAAGCGCTGAGCAGTGCGCTCCTACTCCTTCGCTCGCTCGAGCTGCCCCAATTTGCGCCTGTAAAACATCAGACGAACGAGCCTAATCACTCTCCGCTTTCTTTCCTCTTCTTAGTGATGTCTCCAGACAGCGTGATGATACGAGTACATGCCATGTGGTATTTTCATACGAACACCAGGCTTGAACTGCCCGGGTGTATGTCTTTCACCTGTTCAAACTCGCGTTGGTCTCGCCCAAGTGCAATCCCGCTCTTCTTGAGAAACAATCCACATTGTTCCATACACTGCTTGTTTGAAAAATATTTTCTTTCAGGGTTAGTTTGCGAACCCAGAAACAGCAGAGTTCAAACAATGCAAGCACTCCGAAGCTTGCTCGGTCAGACGAGCTTTCAGACATCACATCCGTAAGACAGGCGGCTCTCTTAACATTGGTCTTGCGTGAGGGTTGGAGTACATCGTAGAAGGCGACAATCAGCTTGCATCAGACTGAATTAGACTAAAACGCTCATAGTGAATAGACGGGCGCGCTTGAGATAACCCCCGCTTCACATTAAACACAGGATGAGAGCCTTACATATGACATGGTAGCTCACCAACTTCAGGAAAGCTCCTCTTCGCATCGGTTTCGTACGGCTTGGGGAGCGCGTTAGCTCGCCACGCACACACTTGGCCGATGTACAGCTTGGTTGAAACAGAGCGGGCGATTACTGATTTGTGCGTCGGATATTTCGCTCCTTTTCCGCAGTGTTGCATTGTACGCTGATGTTGCTTGATTGATATACGCTCCGTTCTCGAATGCATCATACTCGCTCTAGTCCATTGCTTTCTAGTTCTGGTTATTTGTCTGACTCTGTGACAAGGGGTGCAGAACGACTTCATTCCTTCTTGTTCGGCCATTCACGCAACCTCCAGAAACACCTGTGCTCACCGGTCAAGTTTGCGAAATTTTCAACCGACACATAAAGGCCAGGGCGCAGGGCTCTAGTCGTCAGACTGCTTTTCCTCGGGCTAGACTGCCCTGCGTCTATATACAACGTCCCCTGAACAGCTCCACCTCAACCTGAGTCGCTGTTATTTTCGCTCTTGCGCCCCGCGTAAACACCAAACACTCGCTCTCTAGATACGGATACTATCAGTATTATCGTTTTCTTCACCGACGATGACCGACAACAACACCGACCAAGTAAACACGCGTTCCTCACTGTTACCCACTCAGGAGGGCGACATGAACGCCGGCCGCAATTACATCGATACCCCTCGTATACCCACGAGCTTCGCCGACCGAGACATCACAGATTCGGAAGCTGCGGGTCAAGATGATCTTTTCAACGTGGAATCCGACCCTGACCACGTTGAAGAACCCGAGACGCGTAGACTTCCCGCCTCACCTTCTCTAGACGAGGAGAATGTCTCGTATACGTCCGAGGCATCGTCGAAGTCAGAAGAGGACTGGGCCAAGATGACTACCTCTGATATACCCGAGCTAGACATCGGTCTATCTGTCGACGCACCGCCGGGCATTGCCGCAGAAATGGCCCCTCAAGATCTGAACTTTCTGGACTCCGATTCTGAGAACGATGATGAGGTGGAATATATGCAGCGTGCCGACCTGTCTTCTGGCGCAAGTATAACTTGGAAGGCGATCAACGAAGCTTCTGGAATGCTCACAGTACGAGACGACGACAACGCGTCGGACTACCAATATGTGGAAGAAGACCGCGAGGGTGACGCGGAAGATAGCGATGTGATCTCGCGGCATCAGGAAGAGGCGATGCGTTCACCTACCGAGGAACCAAACGCGGTATACGAAGATATTGGACTGGACCGGAAGTACTTCGACCATGATTACTTCCTCGAATACTATGGTTTGGCACGGGAACAATGGACGGCGCACGGAGACGGTTCCGATATTCGAGCCGACTACCCCGACATGGAGGAGGTCAAGCCAGATTCCGACCCGGCTAGAAGCCGCGCTACCAACAGCACGAGGAAGAAGAAGAAGCATGTCTTCCACGAGGATGAGGATGCCTGGTTGACTTTGTTCTTCGAAAAGCTTAAGGCGGTCATCGAGAGCGGAAAGAACGTTGAGATACCGAGCGAAGCCATGATGTACAAGTGTTTCAACAACTTCTTCGAGGGCAAGGTGCTGAAAGATTCGGATGGACAACCCCTCTCTCCTCGTGTAGCACGATATACCGGCACCATACACAAGCATCTTAGGAGGCCGGGAGCCGTGAAGATGGTCGCTGTCCGCGAGGAGATATTGAGTATGATGGAAGATAGAGCAGGTGGCCAGCTGTATGTCCCTGTAATTACGGATGACGACATCCAGCAGTATCTTGCAGGCGGCACTTACACCGTGGACGATCCTGATGACAAGGAGAAGAACCACAGATTCGCTCTTTCGGTGAAGGAGATCAAGCTCAACGAAACTCTCCGAGCAACCGCGAACAAGAAGCGCAAACAGGCCGCTCAAGGCTCACCCTCTTCTTTCCCTCAGCAGACTTCATCGCCCAAGCAGGCGCCCATCCCCGAACAGACAACCTCTGCCAAGCAATCTCCGTCTCCCCAGAATACGACGTCCCTCCAGAAATCCTCGTTCACCGGAAACGTCCAGTCTTCACATCAGACTCGACCACCAACACCATCACTAGGTGCCACGGCTCAAGCCACCGATGCAATGACTACCGATATCGGCGCTCTGGACCGTGAGATGAATATCGGCCATAGCGAAGGATATGGCATGGATGATGACGGTCCTCTACCCACCATCGATCCTGACATCGAGGACTCATCTAAGCCGGTGACTGTAGAGCGCCCCTTCCACATCGAGGCCGATCCTTTCTGGCAGGCACACATGGAAGGTAAGAATAAGAAGAAACTTCCTGAGGGATCAGGACAGGGCTTCGACGACCATACGGACGTAGAGGTTGCAGGCGTTGACCATGAAGAGCAAGGTCGACCTGCAAAGAAGCTGAAGATGAGTGATTGAGTGGCTGGTGAGTGTGGGCTGCGAAATGGGACTACCCAACTGGAGGAAGGAGATGTCGAAGCGGAACTCAAGCGCGAAATATTGATATGGCGTGTTGCAAGTGTGGGAGTTACGTACCAAATGGAGCAATAAGACGATATCCACTCTCTATAGAATTAGAAAAATCAATGGGATAGAGAAGACTATGGAAGCTACAATGGCTCAGCTCAGCCATATCGCGGTGTAAATTAATATGGTCCAAAAGCGGAAGGAAAGACACTGGCTCGCCTAAGCCATGTACCTTTGATTGGTCAATTTCTTCCCAATCGGGCAAGGTGTCAAAATTGGCTTGCCTCCGCCAACATGCATGCACGAAGGTCGGTGCTGTAAGAACCACAATGAGTACTCTGTCAGCACTTTCCGCGCGCGTGCAGAAAGATATTACCAATCTCGCCTACTGCTTGGAATCACGTATAAAAACTCACTCCACAGCCTCATGGAAAGTACCAGACAGCATCACATCCGAAAACCTCATCCGCTCCATCGTGTAACATCGCCTCGAAGCAACCTCTTAGTGATCCCTCTACAGATATGGCGACCTCCATTCCACCTGTTGTATTAATCACAGGTATGCTACATCGAGATGTATAGATAGGTCGAAATATGCTTACGATCATCACCCAGGCGCAAACCAAGGCCTCGGCTACGCCATCGCAGAAGTTTTCTCACAATCCAAGCATCCCTACACCATCCTCATTGGCGCACGCAATGAACTCCGTGGTAAAGAAGCAGTCAGCAAGTTACTCCCCACAAAGACTCACACCTCCTCCACCATCTCACCCATCCAAATCGACGTCGCCTCCTCCGAAAGCATCACCTCCGCTTTGAAAACGATCAGCACAGACTACGGCCGTCTTGACATCCTCGTAAACAACGCTGGCATCTTCGGTGCGCCAGGTAAAATGTGGAACTCCACGACCCGCCCTGATTGGCACGCTATCTTCGAAGTTAACGTCTTCGGCGCCGTCGAGCTGATTGAATCGGCTTTTCCATTGCTGCGCAAGGCAGAATCCCCGCGAGTGATTGTGGTTACCTCGAACATGGGGTCTATCACTAAAGTCGCAAACGGCCATGTGCCTTGTGGAGCAGTAGGTGCGTACTACAGCGCGTCAAAGGCAGCTATCAACGCAATGGTTGCAAACTGGAGTCAAACGCATAAGGACATTAAGTTCTGGGCGGCGTGTCCTGGACTGGTTGCTACGGAGTTTGGAGGCGACTTCACGAAGCAGCATGGAAGGGATCCGAAAGACGCAGCGGACGTTGTGAGGAAGTGTGCTGAGGGGGAGAAGGAGGATGTCGTTGGACTTATGGTTTGGGATCAAGATGGAAAGTCAGGTATGTATGAGTGGTAGTGTGACAGACGGGTGTCAACACTATGGCACTACAGTCCCAAGATAGGACTGTAGTGTGATATATTGAGAGTCAACAGTTTACGGAAAGCTGTCTCCATCTTTTCTGGTCATCTTAGACCCATGCATCGTGCTCATTGCCCGCTTTGTTACACCCTTTTCCAAACTTTCGCGAGATGCCTAGAAGGAAGTTCTGCAAATCAAGGGGACGGCTCCTTGAAGTGCAGTCCGGCAGACCACTTCGTTTATGACCCATGTGTGCCCGCAGAAGAAGTGTTCTGCCTCATCAATCATTTTCCCTCGTTGAGAAACGTGTCTGCCTCCTCCGCAAGAGTCTTCTTCTCCCGACTACTAACTGAGTTTCTGACTCGCTTTGCTTTCCCCGCCTCGTTATGACTTGTGCTTGGGGCCGTACTCTCCTTGGCAAGAGCTGGCCGAAGTGACAACGTCATCTTGTTTTGAGGCTGCTTGGTGACATTGGTCCACATCTTGTCGAACTTGATAAGTGCCGCACCCGCATGCTCTGCATTACCAGGAACAGCAGCTGAAGTAGCAAACCCAAGGCTTGACAAAGATTGCTGAATTTCAGTGATGTTGCCACCAGCACCCTCGACTGCAGCCTTGACCTCAGGGCTCTCATCCAGTTTGTTGTAAAGGATGACGAGGACGAGATCATCATGGAGTATAGAAGCATAGAAGTTATCGTCGAACATGTGACCTTCGCGGATCATCGAAGCAAGCGTGTCCTCGGAGATCACGCCTGCGGTAGGTAAGCTCCCGATTGCGCGACTTGAACAAGGTGACGACGTACCGTCTTCGAAATACTTGATGAAGTCACGATACATCTTAGCTTTGCTGAGCGACAGGCACCCGCAGACGTTCTGAACGTACGGCCCGGTATCGGCCCGCGTTGCGAGTGGATCCGCGCCCGGAGGTCGAAAGAGCCCCGACATGATGAGTCCTGCGCTGAACGTCAGTCGTGGGTCGGAGTTGGGTGTGTGTTTAGAGAGTCGAAGTACGGTGCGTGAGCAGAGTTGTTGACGCGACACGCAAGCGCGTACAGATTGAGGGCCGTGCGCTTGAGCTGAGCTCGCAGCTTTCACTTCGGGTCCAACGCTGGACCCTAGGTCTAACCTTGCGTCGTCTGAGTCAATGACATCGGTCATGAGGGTAACTAGCCCTTTCCGTAGATCTACTTGGGTGCTTCACATGGGCTTCCTACGCTCAACATGCATGCTGACAGAGCATATACTGCAGCGATACAGAGTGAATGTACCATCACGTGACCGCGAGCCCGGGTGTCCAGAATCAAGACTGCTCGCTTTGATGAACGAACGTCCTTCATTTATGCCATCTAGCCGCCTCTCCAGAGAGATATCAAACAGTTATAACGTCATCCTCTACCAACCTGACCAGACCGACCGATAAGCCTCGCTAGTGCCCATTACGTCAGCATTGTTTGCGCAACCTGTCTGCAAACGCGCTCCTCTATCCTCCTCCACACAACTATATAATTTCCATACCTTCACATCCACTACAGCATACTGATGGGTAGCATACCAAACCTCGAGACAGAAGCTCTGGCTTCGTTCGACCGCCTCGTCTCAGCGGGCGAACTCCTCTGGACGGAAGTCAAACCGCGTCATGTGGCCTCGCATCCCTTCAACGTACGTCCCCAAACACACCACACATACCCACTCCCACCACCTAACCATCCCAAACCCAAAGTTCCAATTCCGCATCGCCTCCAGCCTCGCCAAGAAGCCCCAAACCGCCACCCGCCACCAAAGAAAAGTGTCCAACGCCTTTGCCGATGATAACCCCGATTTCAGTCTGGGCCTCATCGGCCCAACGCATAAATTGATACTGAACAAGTTCTGCGTTGTAAGACCGCAGTTCGTGCTGCACACGGTGGAGTTCGAGCCGCAGCAGACGCCGCTTAGCCTTGCGGATCTGGGGGCGCTGTGGAGCGTGTTGGGTAGTTTGCAGAGCGAGCACCTTGCTATTTTCAACTGTGGTGCTGATGCGGGGGCGAGCGTGGGGCATAAGCATATGCAAGTGCTGCCGCATCCTGGGAGGGAGGCGTTTGAGCTTTTTCCTGATGGGGGGGAGTTGGGGGATGGTACGTTCGATGGCTACGCGTGAGGTCATGTGAATTGTGTTGACGAGAGATAGATATATGGGTGAACGAGGAAGTGCCGTTTAGACATGCTGTGCAGAAGCTACCGAAGGTGGTGGATGCAGATGCGCTTGTGACGGTGTATCAGAAGCTGCGGAATTATTTGTCGTTGGAGCAGGGGACGCCGCACAATGTTATCCTGACGAAGAGGTGGTTTATGGTGGTGCCTAGAAGGGTGGGGCGCATTGCGGATGGGGAGATGGCTGCGAATGCTGCCGTCATGGTTGGGATGGTGTGGATGACGAAAGAACGCGAGTATGAGTTGTGGACGAGACAGGATCCGATGGAATTTCTGCCGGAATTTGGAGTGCCTCGTTAGGGGGATTTGATGAAGTTATGACGACGCTGACGGAGGTATACCCCGATACACTTAGACCTTAGCAGTATAGAAGAGCCTTAACATAGCCTACGCCCAACAAAGTCCATCCAGACCACGAAACGCCATTTACCCAACCCACAAACATATCCCCTTCCATCCTCCTAAGCAACCTTCCTCTTCTTCCCAGGCCGCGTCGGCGTCCCCTCTCCCCTCACCTCCTCATCCCAACTCGGCCTTCCCTCATCCCTAACCACCCCCTCATCATTCTTCTTCAGCGGAGCATCCCTCCTATACAGCAAAAACCTCCTCTGATTCTTCTCCGCCATCTCACCACTCTTCCGATTGAAGATACTCGGCACACTCACCCCCCTCGTATTGAACACGCTCGGCGCATCAAAGTCTTCACCATGCCTCACAGTCTGCGTGACAATGCCCTCTGCATCGCTATCGTCTTCTTCAGTATGTGCATGTCCATGCTTTGCCGGTGCGCGGCGCACGTCGCTGGAAGAGTCCTTGACGGTAGAGTCCTTGGTCTGCTTGGACTCAGGAGGGTAATACACCTCGAACTCGGGCAACACGCGGTCCTTGCACACCCTGCGGTCCAGTCTAGCATACTGATTATACACCTCCACAATCTGATCATGTTCTTCCAGAAACGCCTGCAGCGCATCCGTAGCCTTTTTGCGCTTCCTCTGCGTCTTAGGCTTGTGCGCGAAAGCGTCGAGAAGGGAGGTGTATTCGCGGACTGTCTCGTTTGTACTCAAGGTCTTGAGCCGCACGGGGCCGGTTTCTAGTGCGAGTAGCCGCTTGATGTTTGATTCTAGGCGATTGTGAGTCTTGATGTTTGCAGCTTCGGAACTATCGTCGGAGTCGCTGGAGTCGCTTGCTAGGGAGATGCCGCGTGCGCCGTCTGTGGAGGGTGCTGCGTTCTTCTCCCAGAAGCGGTTGCTGATGCTGCGCCTTTCCCGTGGAGTCTGGAACCCTGATGTGGGGGAGCTCGGCGCTGCGATTGAGGATGATGGCAAAGCAAGTGACGAGGCCGGTGGCTTCTCAGACGGGGGAGTCGGCGGCATAGCTATCTTCTGCGCATGAAGCTTCGCTGTGGGCGTTTCTGTATCGAAGTGCTCGAAAAGGGGAAGTTGCTTGATTCCTTGACTGACGCGCGTGGGTGATGTTGTTGGCGGCGTCGGCATGGTGCAGTTGGAGTTGAAGTCAGAGTGCGTATGGGCGTTTGTTGACGGGAGAAAGTGCGCGCAGCTTTCTTTAGCGAGGTTAGGCGGCAATGTTACCGTCAGAGTCTATTGAGGTGATTCAATTGATGTTCCGGTGAAGGTGAACACTTTCTGGTATGACAGTAAAACTACAACGGGTGAAGCCGCACCCCCATGCGAGAAACCACACGCAGCCACGACTCCAAGCAAACATGCATACCGTAACCCCACATAACGCCTCAAATGTGCCGTAAATAAGGAAATGGATGCCCCCGCTCAAGTATTAAATCAACAATAGTTCACCTCAAGCCGTAAGCTTGTCGATATGTGGCAGATGATACGGCCATCTCTTCTCCAAACTCCGCTGCAACTCCGCATATTGGTTGTGCAAGGACTGCAGCTCTTTCGCTCTGTCACCTTGCGACCTCATGAGCTCTCGCAACCTATCGGCAACAATCACTCTGAACTTTGCTCCTTCCTTGCCTTGCCTCTTTAGACCTGTCGTGAGGACCCACTCATATGTTGAGCGATTATCGGCGGACAACAAGTCGAACATGTTCTCCTTAAGAACAGACATCTGATCTCTGACGTTTTCTGCCTGGGCGTCATCGAGCGTCGTGGCGACCGCATAGCCGGCGAGTGCACCAGGTGAAGGGCTTGCGGGGAAGGTAATTGGTAGCGCCAAACCATACTCGTCCGGGTCCCTCGATGGCCTCTTCTTCCTTGCCGAAGTGCGTTCAGACTGCCGGGTACCTTGTACTTCGGTTGACACGCTGGGTTGTTGTGACCGTTTCCTCGCGACCTGAACAGATGGCGTGACCTCCATGACCGAGGCGTATGGGTGACCCTTCACCGCGTGCTCCAACTTGTCACCCGACCTCACGTACTCTTCTCGCGTCAAGCGCGCAACATCAAACTTCATATCTTCCCGGGGCTCGAGGCGAAACTGAGGCCACGGATGATCCAAAACGTTGAGATCAATCCGCTGCGTCGGGCCTTTGAACATATCCAAGAGCGTCGGCGAGTCGATGACCATGTGTTTGAAGGGTGCCTGAAACAATTGTGCCTCGGCAAAGAGGACCTCGCCGTCTTGCGTGCGAGTGAGGTAGACCGGTCCGATGATACCACCGCCGAGGTTGGTCACGTGCGCACGCGGAAAATCGTGCAACATCCTTTCTCGTCGACTACTGGGCCCTGACGATGCTGAATCAGGTGTGGTGAGCGGTGACTGAGATGGTGATTGCTCCATAGGGATGGGTTTCGGGACGGCGCCCGGCAGTTCTAATGAGCGAGGGATAGGTGATGATGAGGAGTTGTGGTGGCGGGTTGTGGAATGTGGACAATGTATCGTTTTCGGTGGTCGCGTTGAGAATCCAAGTGGGGAAGTGTCAACAGGAGAAAGAAGAACCCTGGGCAGTCGCGTCCCGGCTGCGTGGCCTTTGCTAGTGAGTCTGCTCGCACTGATCCAGAGCAGATATTATACGAGAGATGGCTAGAGAAGTGAGACGTATTGCCAGCTCCATTGCGCGTGATCCAGGTCCTTTCTATTACCTCCGTTGGTCTCATATAAATCTGCATCACAAAGTAAGGCCAGCCCTGTAAGACCACGCTAGACTTAGCGCGACGGACTTGGCCCGATGAAGCGTAGCCCCGATCCACCATCGGCTGTGCGTTTAGGCAAATGCAACTTCGTCTCCTTTATCCTCGCGGTTGAGGTTACCTCTTCAAAGAGCCTGCGAGACTCTCCAGAGGGATGATCCCTCCCTTGGGGTGTTATGACGGGCGCATCGCGAGTAACATTGCAGAAGCGTCACGGCCCATTGTCGGCCACATTGCAGCAACGGAGATATATTTCTCCATGGCCATGTCAATTGGATATGAAACTGGCACTGTGAGATCCGACACATTATTCATGAGAGGAAGCCACCAGGATAATAAGCCTGATCATCTCAGGCACCTGGGCTTTGTATGCTCCGTCAGTCCCTGCGGTGTGGGTTCGACGACTCATAAAATCACCCAGAGGACACGATAACAAAGAAGGCTTTATACTAAGTAGGCCATGTATCTTCGAGCTAATTCTGATCATTATGCAGATAGCACACCCTAATATTCTGCGCGAGGAAGACGAAACGGGTGCCTTCAGCACGCGGATCTACGATCTCGCTTGTGTGCTGCTAGGAAGCGCTTGGAGAGGAAGGGCCAAGAGGGTCTTGTAGTACTCATTTTGTCTCGCGCATCATGCGGCTGGTGAAGAGGAAAGTGATGCCGACACAGGTGGAGACGGAGGACTCGGTGAGGAGGGGGTCGCTTTCAGGGACGTCGGCGCGCAGGGAGACTTCGACGGCGTTGGCGGCCCAGTTGGGGCGTTTTAGCGTAGGGGGTGACGGTGTGGGTGGGGAGACGGAGAGGGTGGACCATGAGGAATGGGGGCAGGCGATGGGGATGGGGATGGGGATGGGGATGGGGCCATCCATTTTGCGCCGTGGGGAGGATTGGTGCGCCGTTGGGGTCGAGATGCACAATACTGGAGTTGATGTCCTTCATTTCGATATCTTCGGTTTCCTGGGATGGCGTGACAGACATCGTAAGCTTCGGTTGGAAGAGAAGTTGGCTGGCGTGATCATCAGTATACCTGCCAGAGGGAGAAAGGATACCCACGAGAGTTGAGGGATTGGGCCATGTGGTAGGGACTTGAGTGGAAGATCCCGCAGAAGAAGGCAACAAAAGCCTGCGTCAAATTATCCAAGCCCCTCAATCATCTGCTTCGCACAAGCCGCAGCGTACAGTATGAATACCGACAAGGCAGACGTGATGCTCGAGCCTAGTTGAATTGATCCTAAGCAACCGAAGCGGAGCGGTGGTATACCCCAAAGGTAAACGTCACTGTTTATAATAGTTCTGCGGGAGCGATGGAGTGCTGGAGTGCGCCATGGGCGTGCGGCATATGCTCACATTGCGACCTGAACCTGTGAAGGGATAATGGTGAATTGGCTTTTCACTAACGACCCTTGACACAGAGAGACATCGCTCCGTTTTCCTTCTCGAACCCCCTCTCTTTTCACAAAGGCCAAAAGCACCTGCTGTTGAGAGCATGCTACAGCGTCAAGTAGATCCTTGCAGAAAAGTCGGTACCGGAGGATGCACACTGCACGCGATGCTTTGGGCCTGATATCGAAGCCATATCTCGAGCCACTGTCAAAATTGATAGGAGTGATCAGGCAATTTGCAGAGCTGGACATAATTCGTACATATCATCAATCACTTAGAAACGTATGGAACCACCCAGCCCACCACTTAGTCCCGTCCAACCTATCCCAACCCAACCCATCTCCAGCCTCATCAGCCCCTCGCCACCTTTCCCCTCCCCTTCTCTCAATACCCTCCCCAGACATATAACTACTCCCCCATCCCCTCTCCCTCCCCTCCCGCACCTCCCCTAACAACCCTCAGCACCCCCTGGGCACCCCTCCCCCACCATACCTCCAGCCCTCCAAACGCCCCAAAGCACTCATCCCCATACAATCCCACCGCCCACTTATCCTCAGCACACATCCTCTCCCAGCGCGTCATATCCAGCTTCCCAGCTAAGCGGTACACATCGTCCAGCACGCGGTCACTAGCGCTGAAATGACTGGGCGGGGCAGGGCTGGCGAGCATGCGGTAGGTGTCAAGGAGGGATGGCGGGGAAGGAGAAGGAGGTGGTAGGGTAGGGGAGTCGTAGCTGAAGGGGTATTGACTGTGTCTGGCGAAAGGGTTTTCGAAAACGCTTCTCAGGTCGAAGAGGGTAGAAAGGCGTTCGCGGCGCGCAGTCAGGTCTTGCAGGCTGGGAAACGTAACCGTGCTTGTCGTCCAGTCTGGCCCAAAGACGGAAGCGATGCGTTCTTCGTCGCCGTCGAAGATGCCCTTTAGCTTATCCTCCCTCTGTTTGGTGGTGAGCTTGGCGAACGTCTTGCCGGTGTGCTCGTAGTATTTCTGCTCGCTATCGAGGTAGTCCGTAAGGGCGGCGTCGGGGTCAGTCAGCATGTGGCGCGCATAGTTGAGGGTGGCGTAAGGGTTCTTGACGCCGAGGCCACCGTAGGCGACGGGGAGATGGATCCATGCTTCGAGGGTGAACGTTGAGTCTCCGAGCGGTAAGGCACATGGTAGCAGCTTCTTTAAATGCTCCGTCAAGTTGCTGTCTTCGAAGATTGTCTCGTAGGCGAGGTTGTAAGCCCTCGTGACGGCTTCCAGGTGTGATTTGCCGAAGACGTTGGCGAGCGGACCGAAACCATGCGATCCATAGGCGCCAATGGAGCGATTCCAAACGGTGACCCATGCGAACACTGTGGGGCAAGATGCGAGTATGTTCTTGACACGGCGAGCATCGCGAGAGACCTCAGCCATGTTGACGGAAATTGTAACCTTGTTCGGCCTTTCAGAGGCATCGGCATCGTTGCGATGAAAAGTAATATACTCAATGGTTACGCCGGGACCAGATGCGGGTGGGAATAAATCCTTCACACCGACATCCAGACCCATGACCTTGGCGAAAGTCTCGATCTGTTCTTGTGCTTCTTCGCACTGCTGATGCTTGCCAACAAAGTAGCATTCATCACGCAGGCGGAGCAGGTAGGGAGTCGTCTTCTCCGAGCTCGTCCTAGATGAGACAGCCAAATCAAGGCAGAACAGCACTGCTTCCCCAAAGAAAGTCTCGAAGCCGTGAGCAATCGGCATACCCGAAGTGCGCGTGCGCACCTGGTCCGAGGTACCGCGAACGACGGGACCCATATTGAGGGGTGCACTCAGGAAGCGCTTGAAGATGCCGAGCCACTCCTCTGATATGCCAATAAACCCGAGCACCGCCAGTATGGTTTCATGTGCCATGGAAGAAGCGAACGATCGAAAGTTCGCGGTGAGCCCGTGAACGCTGCCGTCAAATGCTTCACGAGTCTTGATATCTAGAGCGAGCATCTTGAACAGGGCAGCTTTTGTCTCCGCATCGCTTGCTTTTTCTGCCGAACATCCCTCAGACTTTGGTATTCTAGACAGCAAGAACTTCTGCATGTAAACCCTGCCGCGTTCCTCATCCACACTCATACTAGAGTCATATGGTAGAGGCGGCGGCAGAGGGACACGAAGGCTACGGCGGGCCTTTTTGCTTCGCGGCATGCAGCTATTGAAGCGGGGTACAGGGGGCAGCACAGCCTTGCGTCTTTGCTTGTTGGCTGCCCTGTATGGTGGCAACATGGGCTGCTGCGCGATGTCAGCAAAAGATAGCAGAAGAACCTGAGAGATAACGTACTTGTGGAGGCGGGGGCGGAGGCATCGAATAATCCCTCGAGTGGCTTGAACGCATATGAGGATGGCATGTAGTGCAAGAAGTAGACTGAGGAGGCCGAGGTCCTTGAAGATAATACTCGCGCTTTTCAAGCTCCTCGGAAGTGACGTCGTTAGTCTCAGCTCGAGTTGAGGTCAGCCCTTTCAAAGCTTCCTTCACTTCCATACTCCATCGAACTGCTAAAGCGTGGAGGAAGAGCATGTCTATGATGTCCTCCTCGACAATGATGCAGTACTTGCCATCCGCGTTCTTCTTAGCTGTAACAAGTAACCCTTCATCTCCGTTGCGCCAGTTCCAATGACGTATAGACTTCGCATTGAGTATCTCGGTGAGCTCGCGCATTGCGGCTTCGGATTGTAAGTAGCCCTGAAGCGTGGATCTTTTCTCTGCGCTCAGAAGTCCGTTCCCGTGTAAGTCTTCAACGCACCATTCCACAAGTTCCACGTTGAGCTTGTCTTCGCCAAACAACAGATCTTCTCCATAGTTTTCCATTTGTCGTCGAAGTTTCTGAAGTTGTACGTCACCAACAGCGTCTTCAAAGAGGCGGCCGAGGTAGTCATTGATTGCCTTGTCGTCGAGGTCTCTCTTCTTGAACGCGTGTTGCTCAAACGCGGTATAGACACTGTCTACTTCCTCTTCAATTAACTCAAACTCATCATCGAGAACGACCTTGTCCAATATAGCTCCGATATCTGTGAGAACGTCTGGAGTATGGAGAGCATGCTCCACCAAGGCAACATGAAACTCAGACATGGCCAGGCGGTTCGCGAATTTCTCGAGCTTCTGGTGAAAGGCCTTCTCCATAGAAACAAGTTTCTCGGAGGTAATGGACCTGTCGTATTGCGCTTGTTCGATACGTCGAATCCACATAGCGAACTCGTCGTCCACGATGCCTTGGGGTTCGTATGCCTCGACGCGGTCGAACAGGGTCGCGAGCCGCGCCAAGATAGCATCCCTTGCCTCATGTTGATCGTAGTCCTTGTTGAGGTCGGAGATGATGTTCTTCGTAAAGTGTTCGCTGAAGCGTTTGAGTTCCTCGATCTTGAGGTTAGCGGTTTCCCGCAACACAGGAGACACCATAGGTAACGGGGAAGAGGACATGACGGAAAGCATAGAGGGATGATGATACAGCGTTCAGCGATGGTCGTTAAAGTGTTGACCGGGCTATATACGATTCGCTCAGCCTCGTCTCATCCTTTGGTCGAGGTTGCACGCAGGCAACAACTGCAGGCGAAACAGGCGACAACATGGTACTGGACGGCCAAGGATGCTCTCAGTGGTCGCTGCCAACTGTTGCCTTTGTGCTGATTATACTGCATACAGAAGGCGCAGCGATTGCAGCCACGATGGACTGCCGTCGCCAGTCAGCTTTCCACGCTTGTGCCATTCAGGCATAGCTCTTTCACCCCACCTTTCTGACCGGAATGCTCGCCTTTCTTTTTCGTTGAGCTTCAGACCTAGCACTACCGATTGTATAATATCCATTAAGCTGGGCAGCCCTTCTAATCGGTCCTACTTACAACTAGCTGGCATTTGGACTCAGTCCAGGATATCGCAAAGTGCAGTGCCGGTCAATACATGGACGAGGTTACAACGCGAAGCAGGCTGACGAGTAGGTGGCGTGCAACATTCGAAACAGGGCGCTGTTGAGAGACCTGGTGCATATGCAACAACGCATCGATTGATAAGAAGATGGTCGGCTGACAGCATCGGTGGCATTTGGGTTGGTGGATGCGAGCCATTCGATACAATGCGAGCATTTGCCTGGAGCTGTACAGATCTCGAAGGCGACGCAAATGGATATCGCTCCCATTCAGCCGTGACTGGCCAATCGATGTGAAGATGTCGCGATCCATACGATGACGGAGCTGCTACGAGTACTTAGCAAGCTTCGTCAGTCGACGCAAGAGTTTTTAGTCGGTGATGTATAATGGATATGATGCTTGTTGCGGAGATTGTCCGCAGTGCTACTTCTTGGTCTCTGATTCCTCAGCAATGAGTGCCTCTACGTCTCGCTCCATGAGCCAGCCCCTCACGCTGTCCATGATGTCGTCGAGTGTTTGTCCACCTTCCATAACGTCGTCGAGATTCATCACCGTCGTTCCGCTCCTGTGATCTGTAACTCTCTGTTGGCCATAGTTGTACGTCCGGATCTTGTCCCCACGGCCCATCTTTGCGACACCCACAACGCTGCGTCGTAGGGCCACCATTTCCTCCTCTCGCTTCTCCCGCCGTAACTGCGCGATTCGCGCACGGAGTAGTGCCCATGCCTTCTCCTTGTTCTTGATTTGCGACCTAGAGTCCTGCATTGACACTACCGTGTTGGTCGGTATGTGTGTGAGGCGCACCGCCGACTCAGTCTTGTTGACGTGCTGGCCGCCCGCACCGCTAGCTCTCATGACCTCGAGTCGCACCTCCTTGACATCGATATAGTAGTCGCTTTCGGGATCATCGAAATCTTCGGCTGCAGCGCTATTCTCCTGCAAGCTAGGCAGAACATGAACGGATGCCGCGCTCGTATGGGTGCGACCGCTCTTTTCGGTAGCTGGGACACGCTGCACGCGATGCACACCAGCCTCGCTGCGGAACACGCCGTATGCATTGTCCTGATCGATCTCGAGGATGGCCTCAGAAAGGGGTATACCAGCTTCCTGCGTACCATTGGTGTTCTCGTACTTCAACAGTGTGGTGCGGAACCCGTTGCGGTTGCAGAAGCCCTGGTACATGCGCAGGAGATCCCCAGCGAAGATGGCCGCCTCCGATCCGCCGGCGCCTGGTCTTATCTCCATGAGACATGGCAGATGGGCGAAAGGGTGTACGGGTACGAGCGAGCTAATAAGGCTCTGCGATGCGGTCTGCAGCTGTTCGCGAGTGGTTCCTAGGTCGTCGGCGGCCAACTCTCGCAGTTCTGCATCGCTGTTGGGGTCGTGTATCAGGGATGTGAGCTCTGCCACAGACTTAGCAAATCAGTATGATTATGATCAAGTGTGTCTGCATCATGCAATAAGAGTATTAACGCACCTCATTCGCCTTATCCCATTCTCCCAGTGCATTCACGATGGGGCCGCACTCGCCCATTCGCTTCGCCGCACGCGTGTCGAAGCCATTTGCGAGCTTTTCCGACAATTGCCTGTGCTCGTGAGCGATGCCGCGGGCGCGTGTAAGGAGTGCCGGAGGAACAGTGTCCGGTGTAGCAGCTACAACATTGTGAGCGGACTTCTAGGAAGAGCAGCCGTCGCACTTACCTGTCGACTGGAGTCGCACTTGCTGTCTGAATGCCGGTCGAGCAAAGCGAACAAGGCAGCTACGACAGATCCAAGGAGCCTTCAACATACCCAACGGAATCAATTGCTACGCCTTGTCTAAAGATACGTGCACTGGCAGACGCGCCATTCCGCAAAACTGACGCTAGTCAAAACGCGCTGCACGTGATGCGCTCTAGCTCCGAGAACCGGCATCTGATTTGGCTCCGACAGCCATCTCCCCTTTCCCCTCCTCCGCGCCTCGGTCCCATCCTCAAAACGTCATAAAGCCCCTCCATTGGCGCGGAATCTCTCAGTCTATCTGACAGATCTCCGTCGGCAAGCCCAGCGGCAGCGCTTTCCTCCGTAGATAGCCGTCAGGGACCTACGATATTAGTAACGCCATGGCGAATATCAAATGCAATACACCTTCACACTCAAACGCGTTTTCGTCTCATGCGTTGTTGCACTACAAGTTCCGAGGACTGCTGATCACAGATTACCCCGCTACTGCTACTCCACCATGGGCCCCAACGTGTACCCCCACCCTGAACCCCAGTTCGTCAACTTTCCTAGCAGACGGTCGGTGATACATAGCACGAAGGGCATTGTATCATGTACGCAACCCCTCGCCAGTGCTGCTGGCATCGAAGTGCTTCGTAAAGGTGGCAATGCTGCGGTGTGTTTCGAAGATTGCTTGATAAGAGATACATATTGACATTGATAGGATGCTGCTGTGGCCGTGGCAGCTGCCATCAATGTCACGGAGCCTGGTTCCACGGGAATCGGCGGTGATATGTTCTGCTTGTTCTACGATGCCAAGACCAAGAAGGTGTCCGCCATGAATGGCTCAGGTCGCTCGGGCAAAGATGTAACGCTTGACAAGATCAGGAATGCTCTGAACATCAAAGATGGAGAGACCGGCCAGATCCCTATGTCCAGCGTACATGCGGTGACTGTCCCTGGTGCTGCAGCGGGCTGGGTAGACTGTGTCGAACGGTTCGGAAGCAAAAAGGTCTCGTTGGAAGACGTCCTGGCGCCTGCTATCGAGCTCGCGGACAAGGGTTTCCCCGTCTCTGAGCTCTCTGCTTCATTCGTAAGGTCCATGCTGGTTGTTCTTTACAAGTCTTGCTAATATGAAACCAAGTGGGCGAACAGCGAGGTGTCAATCAGGAACGCCTCTCCTAACTTTGCCGAGATCCTCAAGAAGGATCCTTCTGCAAAAGATGGCTGCAGAGCACCAAAAGCAGGCGAAATCATGCGCAACCCAACAATTGCCAACACATACAAGCTCCTCGCCAAGCAAGGAAAGAAAGGCTTCTACGAGGGCGAAGTAGCCGAGCAGCTCGTAAAAGTCGTCTCAGATCTCGGCGGCTTCCTCGCCCTAGACGACCTAAAGCACCACGCGGAAACCGGCTCCGAGCCCGTCGACCCCATCTCCCTCAAATACACCGGCCAAGGCGTAGGCGAAAACACCAACGGCGGCGTCGAGCTCTGGGAACACCCACCCAACGGCCAAGGCATCGTCGCCCTAATGGCCCTCGGCATAATCCAGGAGCTCGAAAACCAAGGCAAGATAGCAAAGTGGAGCCACAAAGACCACAACACCACCGCCTACCTGCACGCCGTCATCGAAGCCCTACGCATCGCCTTCGCCGACGCCCACTGGTTCGTCACCGACCCCAACGTCGTCAACGTGCCCTCCGCAGACCTCATCTCTGCGCCCTACCTCGCCTCTCGCGCAAAGCTATTCGACCCCAAGACCGTCATCTCCGCGCCCGTCCACGGCTCCCCAGCGCACCTCCAAAGCGACACCGTCTACTTCTGCGTCTCCGACTCCTCCGGCAACGCCATCTCCTTCATCAACAGCAACTACGGCGGCTTCGGCACGGCCATCGTACCCAGGGGCTGCGGCTTCACGCTGCAGAACCGCGGCGCGAATTTCAGCCTCAAGAAAGACCATCCGAATGTGCTTGCCCCGAGGAAGCGCCCGTATCACACTATCATCCCTGGGCTAGTTACGTATGCACAGGACCAGAGTTTGCACAGCGTGTTCGGCGTTATGGGCGGCTTCATGCAGCCGCAGGGCCACGTACAAGTGCTTCTCAACCAGGAGGTGTTCAAGCTTAATCCGCAGGATGCGCTGGATGCACCGAGGATATGCATTGGGGCGGGGATGCCGGGGGATGATGGGAAGGTTACGGACGCGACTATTTTCATTGAGGAGGGTATCGACGGGAAGGTCGTGGAAGAATTGAAGAGCTTGGGGCATAATGTGAAGCAGTTGAGTGGGTATGGGAGGGGATGTTTGGCCGGGGACAGATTATTAGGCAGCATTTTGATGATGGGGTTATGGTTTGGAGTGGGGAGTGATTTGAGGGGGATGGGGCTGCTGTGCCGCTGTAGAAGCTTGCGGATGTGCGGTCTGTTTGCATAAACCCCGTATCTTCACCCCTAATGAAGGTTGCGTCCGACCGTCTTTTGTTTACTTCGATTAAATGTAAAGCATGAAATTATGAACTATCTCAATCTACGGTGCTTGTACCTCTGTAGTCTAATGCCATCCCGCTGAAGCGACTGTCTGATCAGAACCAACGGCTACACTTTCCATGCATTCGCTGATGAATCTTTTTTTGAGGCAGGAGCCTCCGGCGTGCGGCAGGTGCAGCGCACTAGCTCTATATAGGCAGTTTCTGCCGCCCAAACAATCCATCACACTGACACTCCACTTTGGTCTTACATTATCTTTCAGTGACCACTTGAATCCGGGCTTCGCTATTACCACGCCTTCACCCGGATTCTGGCATTGGGAATCTATATCTGGCGCGTCAGGGTTTAGCAGGGAATTGGCTGGCTTAGGAAGGTTGGAAAGGGTGAAGGAAGGGGAGGGAGCTGGGGAGGTGGGAAGAGACGATTGCCTGAAGTAGCTGTACGTGCCGACGGGAAGCTGGTCCGGTTGTGGCGTCTGGTGAGTTGGTGGAGGATGGGGAGTGTGATGGGAAGTGTTGAGGAAGCTGGTTTGATCTCTCTTATAAGCATGGTAGTTGGCTTGGTGGTACGGTAAATGGGAAATAGCTCAATCATGGCAGTTGGTGTGGGGGGAGGAGTCGTGGCTTGGAAACTCGCTGCGGCGCTTGCGAGCAGAAAATGAAAACTAGCGATCGGAATTGGAGTGCGCATCTTGGGTTGCTTGCGGAGAAATCGTTTATAGAAGAGGACTTAACGGGAGGAAGGAATGTACTGAGGATCGGTGAAGAGATAACTTCAATATACGTTTCTAGTGCATGCTCTATCTGGCGGTCGAGACGTAAAGGCGCGGGAGCGAACTACATACTTTACGGTTACTCAAGTACGTCCGGCCTTATGCAATTACCTGCGTGATCGTCTGTTGCTGCGTTCTTTCCTTTGTCATTTGTGGCTCCTTTCTACATGTACCTCATTTGATCATTGTCATTGTTCGCACGATTAGAATCTCCATCGCCTTCTGGTGGCGATGGTTTGATCTAGAGACTAGACTGTTTGTACTTGGTGAGCTCTTTATTGGACGTCCATGATCAGATCAACGTCTTGCTTTGATTTTCACCCTTCCATGCAGTAGTTGAGATATGAACAACAGATCCAGAGGAGATCGAACTCGCCCCACGCTCGTATTCGCTAAACACAAGCAGCATCTGAGGCACACAAGGACTGCCGCTCACTGACGGATAATGACTGGTACTTGCAATCCACTCTCTGATGCTTTTCACACAAACAGAAGGCATTCCGATATCACGGCTTTCTCTACTCACCGAAAACATATTTCGACTACGTTTTGCCTGTGAATGAGTCTTGCTTGTCTCACGGCGGATCGACGTCTGGTGGTATTAAGTCCTGTATCCGGAAGTGATAGTCTACTATGTGTGCTTTGATAAGTGAGATGAGTACACGCGATGTATTGTCAATGCAAGGCCAGCCAGTCAGGGCTGAGATCGCCAGCACAGCCACCACCTAGGCATCATGTTACAGCTTGCAGCCGACTTCAGGCACCCACTATCTTGCCATATAAGACTTTCACTGTTCCAATATCGCTACAAGGAAAATTGTCCCTATAATTTCGCAAACGACCAAAGATTTTCTGCTACTCCTCAGTTGGATTGCGCACACGTTTTCTCGCACCATGGCCGCATTGAAACCCTGGAGTCCTGGGCGACAAAGCACCATCCCACCGGAAACCCCGCCACGCGTGCTATATCAGTATGAGCCTCTCCCTACCGCAAAACCAAGCTTCCGCCTCCTCCGCATATCCCCTGAATTGGAAGACGGTATGATAAGATGCGATCTGGTTGTCAAGGAATTCCCCGTCGACACTCCAATGGGGCGCCAGCGTGGTGATTCATCAATTGATAGTAGCGATACATGCTACAATGCACTCTCGTATGAGTGGGCAAGAGTGCCGGTTTATGGATGGATCGTTTTGAACGACGGTTGCATCAACGTGGGCGAAAATCTGTTCAACTTTTTGCACACAGCTCGCGCCCATATAACACGGGGTTCTGAGCCGAACCTTGGAAAGTATCTCTGGATAGATGCGTTGTGCATCAACCAGAAGGATGTTCAAGAGAAACAACATCAAATCAAACAAATGGGGGCACTCTACCAAGGAGCCCAGAATGTGTTCGTTTGGCTTGGATCTTACGTTACCGAGGCCGTCCACGCAGGCGCAACCGAGCTACGCGCAATGGGGGATCAAGCCGACGAACACGACATGTTAATCAAAGGGAAGGGAGGGCGGATAAGATACCCCAAAATTGGCAACACTGCCGAAGAAATGCTGAACTCCAATGGTAAAGCGCTACCAGCGTTCATAGAGATCACACATAACACATATTGGGACAGGATGTGGATCCTACAAGAGATTCTACTGGCTAAAGACGCTCGGGTCATGATGGAAAACTACATCTTTTCTTGGACATTGATCAAACGCACACTTCTGTCATACGAAGGGTTCCACCACAAAGATTTCGTGAATGCACCGACCAAAAGAATTGTGCAGGCATTCCGTCACTACGAATATGCAACAATCATCAATCCGTCCGTCTGTGACACCGTTGCTAGACTCGGCCAGGGGGAGTGCAAAGAGGTCCACGACAAAGTTTACGCTACTCTTGGGCTCAACGGCCCAGCCGGCATCCCGGTTGACTATTCTGTCACTCTCCCAGAGTTGTTCTACACTGTTTTGCTTGCATCGTTTCACTCTAGCCACGATAGTGCTCATCTCCGACAGGATTTTACCATGTCCGCGCTATCAGCAGCAAACACATTTAGAGAGGTACTCCAGGTCCCATTCAGTGCCCTCGAAGACCATTTGTTAAACGGTAATGACGATGCGCTGCGGCGCATTTATTTCTACTTTCCTGGACGCCCAACCTCTCAGAACAATACGCAGGAGCGAGCGATGCAACATAAACGCCACCCTACCAAATTCATTTCCAGGTTGCACGATATCAAAGACTTCGACCACCCTTTCGAAGAAATCTTGATCACTATCGCTCAAGGAGGGAACCCGGATGAACAAAGCATTTGTAAAGTCAAGTGCAAGCTAAGTTCCATCACTACAGCTTTCACAGACGAAGCGTTTGTTCCGCAACCTCTTTCTTCATTCCTTGCCGTGAAGGGACATTTCGAGGAGGATCATTTATCGTTTTCCATCCAGACGTTTCTCTTTGTCCTAAAAGTTATGCACAATACTTTATTATTTACCAGGCTTGCGGTGAATGTACATGAAGGGAAGGGGATGTCTTTTGGCGAAGAACAGGAAGTGGGTTCAGAGGCTTATACCGCAGAGGAAACAGAACAATTCACCCCGTTCAAAGACAAGCAAATACAAAGGATGTTGGAGGATTCTTACTAGAGGGAGATTAGAACTACTACAGGGCCGCTCACCGAAAGAATACGTTTTCTTCTGCTACTTGGTATCGGTAGGGTACATGGGTTGGGGTCTTATTTAGCATTGGAATGAAATAATTATGGTGATAAACGACAGGGGTAGTTCAGTCGGGAAGAGATGGACCCGTATAGCGTTATTGTTACAGTCGAGATGGACCCCACTCCTTCTCTAGTTGACTTGTCATTATATTTGCAAGAATATCGACTGCGTCTGCGGTGACTGTTTTGGAATGCACAAGGCGTAGCTGTTGGCATTGCGAGTGAAGTTGAGAACTCCCTGGAGGCGCAGAAAACGTGCAGTACCGCTGACCAGGCTTGGGAAAAAGTGGAGCACACCTCTGTCGTAATTGAAAAAAGAGATGGCTGTTTCAATGGCAGCAAAGCAATGGTGGTGAAAGCGAACAGATTCCATGAAAGCGTCCGCTTGCTTTCGCCACCTGTAAAGACAATGATAAGGTTCTGGAACTTTGACAACAGTGGAAACGCCAACTTCACTCAAATGAGGCCACATTCGGTGAATTATTCATTCATTGGGCTGTTCATGATATTCATGGTCCCTCATTACAAAGACAGCAAGCAAATCAGGTAGAGCTTTCAGGTGGCCTGAGCTCTATTCCTGCTAAAAGCCGCTCACACCTGCATGCTGCTCCCATCCTAATCTACAATCACTTATCAGCAAATGTTCTCGTGCAGTTTCTATCCGGGCTGTCACTCACTGAAGGAGAAGGTGCCATCGTAGTTCTGGATGCGCTCAGAAAGGTTCAGGTCGCGCTGGACACCCTCACCGTCCTCGTTGAGCAGGGTAGCACGGAGAACAGGGACTTCGCCGCCGCCCTCAATGGCGAAGTGGACATCTTGGGCAGTATCGGAGAAGTTGTTGCCGTCCCAAAAGAAGGAGCCTTGTTCGTCGTCAGCCCGAAGATCACGTAAAGGGTGAGATGTGAATTGGGGAAGGAAGGTTGTTGCAGTGGGCGAGACGTACCGTTCTCGTTGCCGATGTGATTGTTGAGGTCGATCTCAGCGTCCTGCCACTCGCCGTCGGCGCGCTGGAGGCGAGCCCTGAGAATGTGGTTGTCGTCGACGCGGATGGAGCCCTCCTCAGCTGAGTAGTGGAAGCTCATGATGACTCTCGGAAGTTGTGATGAGTGACGGGGTTGGAAGAAGTCGTTGGATGTGGACTATGATAAGAAAGAAAAGTGGCGAGAGTTGTGGCAGAAACTGTGGCAGAGATGTGGCTTTTTATAACGTGAGACGGCCTTTACCGCCTACGATGCGATTCTACGTTGTTCACAGGGTCTAAGGGTATTCCCGCATTGAGCAGATTAAAGTGGATCTTCTCCACCTTGTACATGGCGCCATTAAGCTTCGTTTACATCCCCGTGGCTCCATTGTAGTCAGTTGTGTAACTGATGCCTTTCAAGTTGTGGCTGTGCGACATCTCTGTGCCGCTCTTCCGGCTTGACGACGCTTGTTTGCCGTATTTCAGCTCCTGTCGACACTTTTGAAGTCGCACGAAAGACATCCTTTGGTGGTTGATTGACGGACAATACGTGAAGACCCACTTGCTGCACGCACAGCCCCATATAGTGGCGCCATCCTTTGTATACGTGGCTCAACTCGAGGCTTGCAGTGTGGGGTTCGGCGGCTCGGCACCCCGCTATCAATCTTACTGGATTGGAGAGCTCGTTCGAGCAATCCTACAAATGCACGTCATCTGTGGGTGATGTCTCTCCACGATGGTGGAGAAAGACGTCAGGTTCATCTTGCATTATTGTGGCGGTAAAGCTCATCAAGACTCGCTTGCACGATAGGTTTTGGTAGTGGTGAATAGCGGGCACGCTAGTCACTAGCCGCCGATGTTTAGCGTCCTTATCTGGTCCCTCTGCAGCCTCGCGTCCATCCATGATACGCCATTCATGCTTTAAATTCAAGCCTCGAAAGATATGATAGCGTCGTGCTCGTGCTCGTGCACATAAGTGACGTTCAGATGCTCCTTGCGCGATCTGAGCTCCTAATCTGTATTCAGATATGCATTCCTACCATATTTGCGAAGAATGCCTTGAGTTTTCCTTATGCACTACACCATGCCACTCACGCATCGATATTTTTGGTCAAGTATTTCGCTGAAAGGGAAGAGGCTAAGGACAGGGCCGAGGCAGAAGCTGAAGCAGGCGGTGAGGAAATCGAGGTCGTCAAAGGTTCATAGTAGGAATAAATCAACCTTGGTGGTTCGATGTTGTATTGCAGGTATGTAGATTAGCCATCTACCCCTCGAATCTGCTCAGTGCGCAGTCGACATAGGTCACTATCGTATCGCATGCAGGAATGTTGCTCGGCTTCGGCGCTCTGGTTCCCCTGCAACGCCAGACGAGTCGCAACGGATGTGCATGGCAACAAAGCCGACTGTCACTACCCGGCGAAACCGAATACCTCGCACTTGCCGCCATCCCATGTGCCCTTCAGCTTGGCGCAAGCGTCCTTCTTGACATCCTCTGAACCGCCACCACTAGCAGTCGTGTCCTATTCTGTCAGCGGTTCTATGCAGCGAGGTTCAAAGGTAACTCACCTTGAGATTGACGTAGCACTGTTCGTTGCCGAATGTACCCTTCAGAACACCACATAGTTCGCCCACACTGTCAACCCCGTCGATGAGCCGAAGGATGCCGGCGCTGTCCACGTACGAGAGGTCGAGCGTGCAAGTGCCGGGAGTGTTAAAGGTGCTGTTGAAGTGACAGCACATGTCTTGCGGGCATTGGACTTGACCGAAGTTACCCCAGAAATCTTGAATCCTGCTCGCATGTCAAGTCCTGAACGAAAATTGGCATGTGGTAAGTGACGTACATCGCGGTGGTGACGATGTTGTCGGCAAGGTCTGATTTGCCTTTGCATTTCGGGCCGTCCTTGTGGAAGTTGCAGTCATCAATACAGATACGGCAGCAAAGAAAGAGTGGGATGATGGGGCATAAAGCAAAGCACCAGTGCGAAGTGACGGTGTTGCCCACCTGGCATGTTGCCAGACTGCTTGTTGTGTGGGTGGAGTTTCGCAACGGTGAAATCTAGGTGAGAATCGAAGGGGCTGATAATCCTTAGAAGAAGAGGACAATGAGTTCTGAGGTTTGAGGTCGGGCGGCATCAACCTATGAGGCAAGAACAACTATAGATGGAGCACATCGACGTTGATACTGTCTCTATATTGCTCGGCAAAGTCTTTCATTCTCATGGACGTAGGTACGGTACTGCACCCTCACCGAACGAGAAGGAAGCGTCATGCCTGACGCCGCAAACCCAACTGCACCTACGCCTCTCTCACCCATTCTAACTCGTACTCGCACACCAATAATCCGCAGCACAACTCGCCGTTTGTAACTCCAGATCATCATACCAAGTCACAGTAAACTTAGTCACCCCATCCCGAAAGCAAATAAACTCTTCGCTCCCCAGCTTTGCCGCACCCGCGATCTCGCCCTTCGCCAAAGTCTTCGCGCCTACATTAATCGTCGATGTCATTGCCCCCGCGCGGAATCTTGCCTGTCGCGACGTGCCTTCCCATGGTGAAGCTTGGTTCGTAATGGTGGCGAGCTCGGTGGGGTTGGTCGCGGTGGAGACGCCATTGGAGTAGTAGGCGGCGGCTGTGAAGGGGGAGGGGTTGTCACAGATGAGGAGCACGCAGCTGCGCGGGCGAGTGCAGGTTGCGAGGTAGATATTATGCTTGGAAGCCGTCGGCGCTGCGCATGCGAACGTTGCGATGCTGCAAAGGAAGGCGAGCGAAGTGGTGGGTGATAGACGCATTATGGCAACAGGGGTGTTGAAAGCGGTACGTTTGAGGTCGTGATATCAGGGTAGGAAGTGTACTTATGGGCTGGGATGTCTTGGGAGGGAGTGCCCCTTTCTTCAAACCTTGTGTTTGGTCGTGACTATGTGCAAGTTGCTCGAGAAGCTGTCTATATAGTGACGCAATCTATATATGCCCTTCGAGAGATAGTTTGATAGCAAATATACGGTTCTCTGGATTCTGCGCTGGGTAATATCAGAGCTATATGAAGCTCGGCCGGTAAACGGGTAACTGGCGCTCTTTACCGTATCTGGGTGCAATTAGCCGTAAAGTGTAGCAGCGCCGATCCTTCCCAAGCCATTACCACTTTTGAAAGATCATCTGTTGACTGCCCAAAACAAGGAGGGCAACGGTGGTACCCAAGCAAGAGACCTAGCAGAGATTGATTCCAGCGAAGCTTCCGTGAGCCCGAGTATGTGCACATTGCTTCATTGGGCCGGCTTCGTTAAGGTCCGGTGCTACAGCCCGCTAATGATGGTGGATACGAGCTGCATTTCAGGTTGATCAGCGGTCATATGCGGGACTCGAAGACTTATTGGGATGACTTGATCACTTTGGATGGCCGGGGTCGCTGGCTTCAAAGGAAGGCCTCCAATACCTCTAGGTCGAGGCCGCGAAAACACCGTTGCCCGGGTCTTATCAGATTCTGTATACGCATGGCTTCAACGTTCTAAATGGTGACAGCTGGGCGCGCAACTACTTCTTTGCATTGAATCATACCAACTGTTCATCTGGACTCAGCCCAAGACTTATATGGAAAGAGCTATTGAGGCTTAAGAGTAGCAGAAAATCCTGAGTATGTTTCTCAACTATCTTATAGATACAGGTGTTTAGGGGGCTGACCATCGGAGATTCTCAAAAGTGAAATATATGTACTCGATGAAGGACAGTGGCGGCCGCTGAAGCCAACTGCTCTTGATCGGGAGGTTTACCTGGGGAGTCCCGACAAAGATGCCAGCGACTTTTTGGTATCCGTGCACAATGATGCTATTCGGAGAAGAAGAGTATAATGTCGACAAACGTTTCCACTCACAGATTTGGCGAAGATCAATTGGCAGATGCTGAATTTTGTCTCTAAAAATTGTTACTAGTACGGCTCAACCCCTCCCCACCCGGCTCTCACAATAATTGCTTATTGCTGAACTTAATTCACTCTAAAGTGTAGGTCGCTTATCATTTCAAATGTATGCCTTGACTATAGGTAGGGAACTCAACAGAGGTAAGCCCACAGTTTAATGCATCACGGCGCGGGTGTCCAAATAAAGAAAAGAAAAGAAAAGAAAAGAAAAAGAGAAAGAGAATGTAAGATACTATAAAAAGAATTACTCTCATCGTTTTGAATATGTATCGTATAAGCTTGGGCCCCAGATCCCTGGTACACTCTCCGTAGGCCCCGTTCCATGAGTCACTGCCGCTTCCGTCCGCCGTAGAAAATTTTCTCATCCGGGGAACCAGATTTTACATCACACCCCACATCATCGTTAAACTTACAAGAGACAAGCTATTTTCCGTGCAAAGGTCCTTTGCATTGCTGGAACATCAGGCATATAATATATCTTGAACAAAAAATCCCCATCGACTAAGGCAAAAGCCCGGCTAGCTCAATCGGTAGAGCGTGAGACTCTTAAGTATTCACGGTCGAATCAACTCGATTACTCGGCATCTCAAGGTTGTGGGTTCGACCCCCACGTCGGGCTGTCTTTTTGCGTTTTCAATGTCCTGGTGTGCGTTGCGCTCGGGGTGCAGGCTGGCTGGGAGGGAGGCGACGCTTTTTGAATGTTGCGAGGTTGTGCCCCACAGCACCCCGCTATTTCGGGACCGAGGCGTCAACGAAGTCGTACATTTCCACCATCTTCCAAGCTCGTCAGAATGTCATTGTATTATCATTATATTATTGCTATCTTACTTCGTTGCTTTGCGTTACGGCGTTGCTCATACGAGTGACCTCCTACCACCAGACATCCCACTCAATGCATCTGAGCACCCAATGTCCGGTATCACTAACAGCGTATCATCTTCTACCACTCCATTTTTACCATACTAGATGAAAACCCTCTTCACATCGACCTTCGCGCACCCCGGCGTCTCCGGCTTTCCCTCTCCCAAAGCCCACACCAAGTTCACATACTGATACCCAGAGAAGTACGTCTGGCATGCGTACCACCTGTAATACGCCGTAGTGTTACCAGCGGTCGGCGGACTCGTCTTGTAGTTCACGTAGCCCTGCTTATTCAACAGGTTCTTGCTGTCGAATGCCAATGTCTGCGTGTCTGCGCCTTGTCCCGGGAACAGCAGCGGGAGCGCATAGTTCGTTATAGGGTCGTAGAAGAACTCTAGCGACGAGGGGATCGGCGGGGTTGCGTTTAGCTTGTAGGTGAGGATGCCGGGGACATCGCCATCTGAGGGTGTCTCGACGTTGGAGGACGTGTTGAAGCGGAAGGTTGCGGCTGCGATGGGGTCGGGTTTGGATGTTGAGGGTTTGCCGGAGAGGCAGAGCGACTCAATTGCTGCGCCGGTGTGGCAGGCTGAGAGAGTTTGGCCATTGACTGTGGAGTCCTTCGACGAGAGGACGAGGCGGAAGTCTTTGGACTCGACATCGTATTGAGCGCTTGTGAGGGCTACGAAAGCCAGAGTGATGGTGGCGGTTGTGAGCTTCATGATGTTGCCAATCGGGTAAGTGCACTTGGTTCAATTGAAAGGCGATACTGTGCTGTATCAAAGCCTTGGGGATGCGGCTCTATATCTTATATGTTTACGGACTCGAGTTGTCCTCTGTGAAGCCACTGGTAGCTCAAGGCCAGAAGGTCACAAGCTCACTGCCGATCAGGCCGCCTCACGCCGCCGCATGACGTCGGGAACTCGGTCTGTCAGTGGTTCCCATCGTAGCTCCTCATATTTTGGGACCTAAAGGATCCAAAAGCGGCCGGACCCTGTTCGAAATAGGCATGTACATCATTACGACGCAGTAGCTCCGAGGCTTTGTGGCACGCCGCTCGTATGCACTCAAGCTAGCAATACTGCGCCATCAGCATCTCGTCTCTATGGGCAAACTCGATGCGAGTGTACGATGATCGATAATGGTTGTCAGCATCGTGAGAAAGAACCAGTGGGCGACAGGGTTGCAATGCAATATTGGGGAGTATCGAAATGTATGAAAGGGCACATGGGTACGCTGACGAAGCAACGGATCGGGGATTCAATAATTTTGTACATTATCCAGAGGAAGTCTATCATGTAAGCGTACTCCGGGTCACAGCAAAGTTGTGATGGTCCACTCGTACGATCATAGTGTTTTGCGAGGCGATGGACTGTTGTGGAGGAGTTCTTTGCTGGGTGGAAGTTCTAGCTCTGTTGGGTTAGCGCCCGACGACATCCACGTCGTTCGGAACGCAATGCTGGGGTGCCATCAGCCTCACATACTCCCGGTCCTCTCCATCTTTCGCGTCGAGCGCAAGCTTTTCTTTGCGCTACTAACACCGCTTGGTATAGGCTTACTCGATCTGCCCTGCTGAGCAGCCACGTGCGCCTTCGTACCCCGTGCCCACATGCAGCTGTTCTCCGACCGTCATATCAATTCACCGCCGTCGCATCGCACCGTTGTTCTCAGGGACCACATCAGCTCGCCCGGAGCCCACACCCGTCCCTTCGCCTTCTTTCTCGTCATCGTCGAGCGCGGGTGTAGTGCTGATGGTTCGCATTTGAATAGCCCACCACGTACCCCAGGTGATCCAGCAGAAGATGGCATCGAATGCTACACTGCTGACGGCTGGGTGCTCCCATAGCTGTTGCCAGACGCCGCGCGGGCCGCTAAACTTGTAAGCCGTGGCGGTCACCCTAGTGAACAGCAAACCACCACCAAAGTTGTTGGCAGCCCAGAGGAATTTGTACACTGTGCCTGCGAATTCCACGTTGGAATCGGACAGATACTTCGAGGGAACAACTGCGCGAAGAAGCGGCATGACAAGGAGCGCAACATGGGCCGTCAGCAGCATGGGCATGAATTCTGTCTGGTGGTACCAGTAATGCTCATCGGCGAGCTGATATGCCGGCCAGATGGTGAAAACGATAGAAAGGAGGTTGATTAGCCACGGGCCTAGCCACTTTCTTCGATAGATGCCAGTTGAGGTCGAAGGAGGTGGCGATGAAGGGGTTAGAAGCAGGGTGAGCAGATACAGATTCGTGGCGAAGCTGACCGAAACGATCTGGCCAAGCAGCATAAACGCCCACGTATACTTGATGCCACGGCGGACTCCTAAGTCTTGTCAAGAGTCGTTCCACTCCTGTACACTGGGAACGTACCTCTCTCTTCCAGGCTCAAGCCCAGCCCGGATGCGAAGAAGAAGATTTGGTGTGACCACCAGTAGCGCGCGTTGCCCACAACAATGGTCTCCCAAGCTTCTCTAAAAAGTGAAGTTTCCTTTAGCCACAGTCCCCAATGCATCTTATCTTGACTGATCTCATAACGAGATCGCCACATAGCCCATGCCTGGTAAGAAACACGGAAGTAGTTGGACATGTAGTACCACGTAGTGAAAAGGCTCAATGCGGCCAGTATAGCAAATGTTCGTATGTGTGCTTTTGCTGGAAGACGGCCTGTGGTAGATCTTGATAGCACATTGTATTTCTGGACGAGCTTATAGATGATAAAGACGCTCAGAGAAAAGCAGAGCCCAAGATAGGAGAAGAACATGAAGTAGGCACGCATATTGGTGTCATATCCTGGAGGCGGAGGATCTTTGTGCACATTGCGTGTGGGAATGTTGCTGTGAGCGTAGCTCGGCGGGGCAAAACCGGGAGGTGCCATTGTGGTCCAGGAAAGCGTGGTCGTGTGTCGTGAGGCTCCATGTGAGCCTTAAGAAGGATCATGATACCAGGCGAAACGTGTTCAATGCGGGCTAAAGGGTATGTTTACAGATCCGAATAAAGTGTTCATTAAACCGGTATCTTCTGCTTGGCCTCGAAAGCCAATCAGATTGACGCGAACGGTCCACCCACGTGGTGCCGTCACGTGTGCGACGCTATCCCGATCAAGCTAAGCTTCTCCCCACAGCTGCCTAGATCTCGCCGATCTCGAAGACTCCAGCATCATACCTCGAGGTTATTTCCTTGCAACAACCCTGATCCACAATCCACACCGCCTAGAAATCATCCCCATCTCCTGCTTCTCCTCCAGACTCGTCTTTGTGACATCTCTCGATTGTCAGAGATTCCATCAAACGCTAGCCGCACGGTGATGTCAGGCTCACGGACCACAATTGACTTTTCTTCCTGAAACTCATCATTGTCCATCAGTCCAAGCTGTCCCCTCGCGACATCCAGCTACAACTGAACCCCAGCGCAGCCAACAGACACAATGACGGATGCACCTGCTCGGGCATCCGAACAGGACCTTGTCGACCATAGCAAGGTTCTCTCACCGCATCTCGACCCCAGCTACACAGCCGACTTCGATGGCGTAGGATCCGGTACCGCACATGTCAACTCTCAGAGTCCTGAAGATGAAGCAGAATCATCGTTGCGCCTTCCGGGCGGTGACATGCACAGGGACCTTTATCACATCCAGGCTAAATCTAAACGCGCCAAAATGCACCAGCGGGCGGCGACTTTCTCTCATACCGCGGAGTTTGCACCTTCTGAGGCCGATAATGATGAATTTGTCCCTGTGTCTGAGCAGCTTGCGCCAGGCGGATTCAGACGGGCGTATCTGGCTAAACAAGCGAGAAGCGTGAGCCACATTGCTGCTCCGGTCACGAGGAATTTCATCTCATTTCTGGAGCTGTACGGAAATTTCGCCGGTGAAGATCTTGAAGAGTCAGATGATGAATCAGCCGTCGAGGATGAAGAAACAACCGCACAACCAGACGAGCGCCGGCCATTGCTTGGCAGGAGGAAGAGCTCTAAGAGAACCAGAGCTCAAGGCGATGCGTCAAACCTGAAGTCTTTCTTCACCCTGTTGAAGGCTTTTGTGGGGACTGGTATCATGTTCCTGCCCAAGGCCTTCAAGAATGGTGGCATGCTGTTCTCGTCCATCACGCTACTCACCGTGGCCGCAGTCACCATGCTCTGCTTCCAGCTTCTACTTCAATGCCGAGCACGGTACGGCGGTGGTTACGGAGAGCTTGGCCAAGCTGTTGGCGGAACACGACTGCGATCTATCATCCTCTCTTCCATCATGCTGTCACAGATCTGCTTCGTCTGTGCAGGTCTCATCTTCACGGCGGACAACATCTCAGCCTTCCTCACCGCTGTGACGCCCAAGAACAACGAACCACTTTCCACCAACGCACTCATCGGCATCCAGGTCCTTGCGCTCATCCCCATGTCCTACATCCGCAACATCTCGAAGCTGGGTCCGCTGGCCATCTTGGCTGACATCTTCATCGCCATGGGTCTCGTGTACATCTACTGGTACGACATCTCCAGCATTTCCGAGATGCACGGTTTCCACCCTTCGGTCGAGCTCTTCAATCCTCGCGACTTCACGCTGACTATCGGCTCCGCCATCTTCACCTTCGAAGGCATCGGCCTCATCTTGCCGATTCAATCGAGCATGAAGCACCCTGAGAACTTCAACAAGCTTCTCGGTATCGTCATGCTTATCATCACTGTCATCTTCACATCCGTCGGCGTCCTCTGCTACGGCACATTCGGTGAAAACGTCAGCGTCGAGGTCATCACCAACTTCCCGCAGTCCAGCAAGCTGGTCAACGCCATCCAGTTCCTGTACGCCATGGCAGTCATGGTCGGCGAACCGGTGCAGCTGTTCCCCGCTATCCGTATCCTCGAGCAGAAGCTCTTTGGTCAGCGCTCGGGCAAGAAAGACGCGCTCACCAAGTGGAAGAAGAACGCTTTCCGCACTTGTATTGTGTTGCTGACGGGTGTGATTGCCGTCATCGGTGCGAGCAACCTCGACAAGTTCGTCGCGCTTATTGGAAGTGTCGCTTGCGTCCCGTTGGTATACATCTACCCGGCGTACCTTCACTTGAACGGCGTTGCAGAGAGCAACCTTGCGAAGGCGGGCGATGTCCTGATGATGGTGGTTGGCGTGGTGGCTATGGTGTACACGGCTTCTATCACGATCGTGCGCTGGTCGGAGACGTAAGCGCATACTCAAGATCGTCAAAGCTTACGAGGAGGGGCGTCGAAGCACGAGGGGAGTCGAAGAGGCGCATTCACGTTTATGTATTGGTCGTGTATTGGTCTATTTGCGTTCATGCATAGTACGGCGTTGGGGGAAGTTCTTTGGTAACATCTGTTTTGCACTCAATTCACCGCACGTTCACAGCTACGCTTCCATCACGAGTCCTGGCTTCAAAGGTCATCGCTTCTTGATCGCGAAATACGCTCAAGCAATTACTTTTCAATCGCCTCAACTTTATCTACCAAGTGGAACCCTCATCCTAACATCCGCAATTGTCTCATCAAATCTCATCATCTGCATAAGTGCACTCCACCCAAACAATGCCGCAAACCACGCCGCCCTTCCACGACAAAGCCGCGTTCCTCGCTAGCGGACTCGAACCCTACGCCGACGCCGAGCCAACAAGATCAACAGCGTGCACACCCTCGCCCGTCTCACTCCCCCTATCCCGTAGTCCTATATCCCACGATCCACACGAAACTACCGTCCCCGCATCCATGTCTCCCTCAAACTCAAACATCTCCTCCGCCCCTACTCCACCATCCCCTGCTTCTACTTCTACTTCCGCTTCCACCGACGACACAGATACAGATACACCCCGCAACTGCCCCATCTGCCTCTCCCCTAACACCCACCCCTCGTAGCGTAAGAATCTCATCGTGCAGCCACGCGTACCACGCCGGCTGTTTAAAAGCGTGGGTAGATCGGGAGAACACGTGTCCAGCGTGTAGGCGGGTGTTGTTCACCTCGCAAGCGGCTGAAATGGTGCGGGTGAGCGATGGGGAGCATGTTAGGTACGTGAAGAGGGAGGAGGGTGGGAATGGAGGGCAGGCGGGCCGGCCGGGGTGAGGCATGGGGTGGTGTGCCGGCGCTGCGAAGGGGGTTGGTGCTGGGATGCCGGTGGGTTTTGGGGAGGAGATGGGCGGTGGGATGCCGGTAGATGCTGAGACCGAGACTGAAATTGGGCCTTGGGAGGCGCAGAATGGGGGTGGGGGGATGATTCCTTTTCCTTTTCGGCGGATAGGGCCACGGGGCTCTGGGAGGGATAGGTCGCCGTCGGCATCGGAGGCGGAGGAGAGAGGTGGACGGAGGGTAGGGAGGAGGGGAGGAGGTGGTATGTGTAGGGTGAGGATTTATATGTTAACGTGGAATTGATGTAAACAAGCCGTATTTCATGTATGTATTTGGGATTTATATGTGGTACATGTGTTCTAGAGATATGCCCCTTTCTATATCTAGAAGCAATGCTTTATGACAATATACATGCTCCCTGTCCATCGAACGGACCAAAAAGCCTCAGCCAATCTGCTCAGGCTTGAACGGCAATCTAGCACGTCAACTCGAACCTAGCAGGCTCGTTGACGATGTCACCAGCCGGCTTGATACCCCAGTCAGGGTTGACGACCTGACCCTGCGAGCTCTGCAGCTGGAAGTAGTACATGTTGATATCGTTAGCCAACGCATGGCAGATGGTCTCCTGCCAGTACGTGCGCGCATTATCCGCGCCAGGAACAGCCGCGCCATCGGTGTCGCCCACAATCGGCCAGCCCGTCTCGGTAATCCAGACGGGCTTACCCTGCGCGGCGCCAACGGTGTCGGTGTACGCCTTCCAGAAGGTAGTGTTTGCGTTGCCGATCGCGTTTCCGCCGGGGGAGGAGGGCTGGTAGTAAGGGTAGGCGTCCATGCCGAGGAAATCGATGGCGGAGATGACGGCGGTGTTTGCGGCGGCGGTGAAGGCGTCCCAGGTGTCTACGTGGCCGACGGGCTTGCCCTCGAGGGAGGTGCCCTTGATAGCGGCGCGGGTCTGGGAGATGTAGTCGACGACCTGGTCGGGGGTGGCGCCGACGCCGTTGATAGAAGCGCGGTACAGGTCCTCGCTGCCGACGGAGATGCCGGTCACGATGTCGGTGAAGGCGGTGCCGTACTGGGTAATCGCGTTCTTCAAGGCGTTGATCTCGTTCTGGAAGACATCGGAGGTCTCGGATGCCCAGAGGCCGAGGAGGAGCGTGGAGTTCGTCTCGATGGCGGCGGGGATGGCGGAAATGGGTGTGTCCGTTGTGCCGCCCTGGATCATGGTGTACAAGCGCACGCTGGTCCAGGCACCGTCGGTGTTGGGCAGCTCCTGGGCGGCCTTCATCTCGTAGGCGAAGTCGACCTGCTGCTTGTTCGCGCCAGTGCTGAAAGTGCTGCCGGTATTAAAACCCTTGTAGCCCTTCTGCGCGGCATTGGCGGCCGTGAAAGTGGCTGCGAGAGCCAGAACAGTACTAGAAAAATGCATGCTGGTCTAAAGAACGATGAAAGTAACGACAGACTCGATGGAATGCAAGTAAGCAGCGAGCAGCACGATCTTATGGAAACAAGAAAAACCTATTTGGGCCGACCAACGGCCGTGAAGGATCGGCAATTCGTCATTCTGTGGGTTATTCTGGGAGACGGGGCGTCTAGAATGGGTGCTCCAGGTGCGTGGCCGTCTCCGATTCGAAGAGCGGATGGCCGCGCGGTTGAAGTTAGGCTTTGCTAGCGGAGTGGAGAGAACGGTCGGGGAACTTATCGATAGCGCGCGAGCTGAATGCACGCCGTCAGGGGACCTGCGTCATCCATGCGAGGTTCCGTCTTGTCCGTCTCGTGCCGGCCCGGAGTAGCTGAGCGTTTATTGTTTTGTGATGCGAGTGCGTCGATCTTTCGCATGCCTCACAAGACCACGTGACCGTTCGCTGGCCCCGGGAAACGGAAACGATAAAGCGAATCGTCAACCTTCTGGGAGCAATGGAGAGCTCTCTTTTCAAATTACCGAATCGGGTAATAAGACGTTCAAGTGTCGAAAGCTGTGCAGTCACCGTCACTTTTGACCACGGGTGAATGGTCCGTGCGCCGTGGCCCAAGCTCACGTCGTAAACAAACACCGTGAAATCAGATGTGGAAAGCCACCCAGTACTCTCATACATGTGAAGCGTGAAGATCTCGTCTGCAGACAAACTAAGCTCATGAGCGAAATTACCCACCTAGCCAATCCATGAAGCGTCCAGATCCACACCATACCCTACCTATGGTATACATAACATCGCAAAAACCCATCCTCAAGATCATACTCATCATCCACTCCCCGGCCAATTCTCTCCCCTCCCCCAATGCCATCACGAGCCCTCATCCCTCTCCCTCCTCCAATACTCCCTTGTACACTTCCCCCCGCACGTCGTCTCCACACTCTTCTCCTCTCTACTCGGCGCACCCATCTTACAAGCGATACAATCGTTCGCCTCAGCAGCGGCGCAGAGCACGAGCGGACGCGTGACGCTCCGAGCGCAGATAGTGCATGTGTGTGTTGTTCTCGTACACATAGTAGGGGTAGTTGCGAGGGTGTGCGCTGAGCGAGGGGGTGAGAGTCGTGGGTTGTGCGGGTTGTGCGGATGATGGTGTTTTGGTGTGAGTGAGGTGTTAGTGATCCAAGTGAGGCCGTGATAACACAAGGCGAGAGTGTATAGTGCCAGTGAGAAAGAGGCGGCGTGGGAGGTTCGCGGTGTATTGATATAGCAGTGATGTAAGTGTTTGTCTGTCGTTGTGTGATGTCAGGCAGCATCCGTGGCCCTGTGAAGTCACTGTTGCCTTCACAGGAGCAGTTTCGGATTTAGCCCTGGAGGCCTTGTTAACACGTGAGCGCTCCTTCTGCCTCGTGACAATAGGAAGGAGGGACTTGCACAGGTTGTGAAAAGGCCCTCTCCATTCTTCATGAGGATAGGTTGTCTCTACTATAGCAAGGGGGATGCAAAAATTCGGACAGCACCCACATCAAATAACCACATACCTAGCCGGATACTTCAACACCCTTCCCACCGCCATACAGCACCCACCCAATAGCATCACCACCCCCGCCACCGTCAACGCAATCGTGCCACCACCGAACCTCTGAATTGTCAAGCCTGCAACACTGATTCCTCCAAACGCAAAAACACCCAACCCCCACGGTGAAAGCCTCCTCTTCGTCCAGTACCTGCAAAGCAAGTCGAATACCTTCCTGTGCAACGCAAGTAGCGGACCCAAGCAAAGCCCGTACAATACACCGATGACGCCCCAGGCCCAGAAATTGACGACCCACGCGGCGATCAGCAGGAGACAGCCTCCGAAGATGGCGGCTGCAGTGAAGACGTTCACAACGCCGAGGCCGCGGCGAGGCCATGCGTGGGCGAAGAATGATGCCGTGAGGGCACCTGCGCCAAATGTGCCGAACAGCCAATACACAGCGTAGTCTGGGTACTCGGATAGAGGCCGGCTGGAGAGCAGAACCGGGAAGAAGGTAGGCCATATGAATGTGGAGATGAAGACGAGGACGTACCCACCGAGGAGACAGCAGTCGCCGATAGTATCAAGGCTGCGGTTCTTCTGCGTGGCAGATTTCCCCGGCAGCGATTGCGCGTGTGTCGACCTCCTGTGTCTCAATATAGGGCCCTCATTGCGTTTCGACGCGGCTTCGACGCCCTCACGCTTTGCAGCAGGAAATAACCCCCCAAGCGTAGGCACAAGCGTGAACGCCACGATGTAGACATTCGCCCACGTCAATCCCCTGTAGTTATCTTTCCGCAGGAAACACCAGCCCACAGCTGAATGTACGAGCGCACCCGCCAGCCCTGCACCGCCGCTCTGCATCGACACCTCTGCGACATCGTCATCGTAGTGCGTCGCAACACAGTGCAAACTCATAGTCCGCAGGAAACCCAGACAAACGCCTATAAGCGCGCGTATCCCCAGCGCCAGGCCCCACGGCTTCGCACCTCGCGTTATAACCCCGTAACACAGCACGAGCACGACGCTGACGGCGAAGTATGTCCACCGCCAGTGTTTCCACGTGTAAGTACGCGCGGCTAGATACTCCGAAGCGAAGATGCCGACCCACTGCACGCCGACAAGTAGAGAGAGATATGTGAGTGGTATATTGAGGAATAGGGCATTGTGGTAGTATTCGAGAAGCAAGCCGTCCGCCAGCGGTATGCCAAACGCATGAAACGTGACGATAGCATGCGTGTAGTACGCGAGGACTCTTCGTCTTCGGTGTTTCTTGATCTGCTCGGTTTGAGAAACGGCGGTGCTTGCTTGGCTCTTGTTGAGGTCTGTAGAAGGTCTTGTGCGCGTTGCTTGCGAGATCGATGTAGTGTGGCCTGCGGTTGGAAGCGAGACTGTCTTTCGGGTGCCGTGGGAGCCTGAGCTGGGCATAGTCGAATTCTGAGCACCCCAAGGAGAGATCGTGGGTGGGAGGAAGCGCGCTGGAAGAGTGAGAGCGGCGTACTACAGGGAAGAGGTCGAAGCGGACATGATGGGGGATCAGCAGAATTGAAGGGCAGTGGTTGTATTGGGGGTGTAAACAGCTGGCTGGCAAATGACATTCAATAGCCCACGATGTGAAGGGCATGCCCGTCTAGAGCGCTTCTGTTACATAGCAGGCTATGTATCGAACATACGCATGCCGCGTACGAACAGAGGAGTTAAAGTCTTGAGTGCGGGGAGACCAAGACGAGCGCGGTGGTAGTAAATGACTGAAATACTGTAAACTGTGAGGTCCCACGTCGCAGGAAGCTACGGCCCTGCGGAAGGAGACAAAGTGTGTAGTGCGGCCAAGCTAAGCGCACGACAAGTACCCAAAGGCAAAGAAACCGGCAAACCCCCGTTAGATTATGCGGAGACGGGGTCAGGCGTGAATGCGGAAGAGCCGTAAATGAAGCCGTGGGAGACTGGGAAAGAGCTCGATTCGCGTTTGCAAGCTGCGCCCGTCCACGCAGGACAGGAGACATGTTACGAATTCGCACGGGAACAAGACGATCGAGACGAATCGCGGGATTAGACTGGAACGCTAGGGAAGAATATAACGAGAAATCATTCTGACGAGCCTGATCATCCATGGCTTCGAAAGCCTATACCGTCCCTGCCATGCTTAGAAAATCATCCGGTCCTGAACGCCAGTACACATCGAGGGGTAGTATGAATCAAATGCCAATATAAACATCACTCACACCCGCCCACTTAGAAAATGCTGTTCACGATGTTGCCTCCGATCGTGGCACCTGCACCAAAATCAGAATATACCGTTCACAATCTTGCTTCCGATTGTCGCACCTGCTCCAAAGACGGCCGCGTTGCCCAGCTTCTTGCCGAACTTCTTGCCGCCTGCCTCGAACTTGCTGGGCTCCCCGGGTGTGCTCGACTGAGCCACCGCACCATTCGAGCCGTTGGACACATCAAGCGGCATGTTGCCATAATTGCTCTGCGGTACACCAGCGGGCACTACAGCCTTCTCCTCGCGGCGCACATAGCTGGCAGGGAAGATGCCCTCCTGGCCAGTGCGCTCGTTGCGGCCCTTCCACCACTCGTTGTTCATGTACTCGGTGACGACAATCTTGTCGTTGGGCATGAGAGCGAGATCGCCGGCGTCTTGGGCGTTGTACTGATACATGGCGGTCGCATGGCAGAGAGTGACCGGGCCAACAGGCGCAGCTGGCGGGGTTGGATAGGCGGGTGGAGGCGGGTTAGAGGCGTTGTTGGAGTAGTAGCCGACGCCGTTGGTCTTCTTCTCGTTCTCAGGCGCGGGCGTGTTGACGGAGAGGGACGAGAGTTGCTGGGTGGGAACGGCGGGGAGGGCGCGCGCAGAGCTGGCGTTTGCGGGAAGCTGGTTGTAGATGGTGTCGTACTGCGACTGGCTGATGACATTCGAGTCGACCAGAAATTCAAGCTCCTGCCATGCTGATTAGAGCGCGCACGTTCACACCTTGCGCGGAACCCTTACAGTCTTGATCGACCTCAGCGACCTGTTGACCATGGCATTGTTGAACCCGTCGGCCATGATGTTGAGTTTTGTTTGGTTGTGTAAACAAAGGCGAAGAAGGATATATGCGCGCGGTTACTGTTATACGGCCAAAAGTGGTACCGCGGATCGTGAAGTGTTGTTTGTGCGGGGATGAGCGAGCGGCGTGGTTGGGCTGTCGGAGGGACAGGTTGAGTGATCCTTCGCTGTTGCGGACTTTCGTGAAGCAGGGGCGCAGCAGCACTAGCCTGCTTTCAGCCATTGGGGCTGTGCACTCAACACTTGCGCGCCGTCTTCCCGTCGTAAGCCAACGCCAATGATGCCGCAAGGAGATATATGGTTTTGCATTCGCCTGTTATATTCGCGTCTAGCCTCGTCATCACTGCACAGGTCCCGCTCAACGTCTTGCGCGGTCGCATGATTATTTCTCGTTCATACTTCGCACCCTTTACCGACGCACTAGGTCTCTTGATGACAAAGTCTTCGGTCAAGAAACACTCCTAATGTAGGAGGAAGAGCTTGGACGATGTGAATATTTTTAAAGGCTATCGCCTGGATACCTTGCTGCTGGACATTGCCACGCGAGTGTCGAAGACCTCTCAATGCCCCCTCTCCCTCACCTGCTTTGTCATGAATGAGAACGCCTCCTGCCTTGCATTCTCAAACTTGTCGAATGCCCCCTCCACAAAACCTACGGGTATCTGCTCCTTGCCCTCTGCCAACCTTTTCCAGCTCGTCTCCGTAAATTCATCCAGCGGCATCCCCATCTGCCTTCCATTCGGAATGTCCGGCTGGTGCTTCGCATCGTGCAGCTCTGTCTGCACTGCCGGCGGAAAGATCTCCACTACCTTGATTTGTCCAGGGCCATCTTTCAGCTGTTCGCGAAGAGAGAGGACAAAGTGGTGCAGCGCAGCCTTGGTGGCAGAGTAGTTCGGGCGGCTCATCAAGGGGACCAGCGCAAGGCCCGAAGACGTGTACACAAGCGCAGTCTCCTTGTCTTGCTTCTGCAGGAACGGGATGAAGGCTTTAGTCAGGTGGATGTAGGACGTGTAGTTCGTGGTAAACTCCATCTCTAACAGCGACAGATCGACTGTTTCGGGTTTCGCGAAGTTAAAGCCACGCTGGATGCCGGAGTTGATGATGACGCAGTCTAGGTCGGGGTGTTTCTTCGTTACATCGTCTGCGAACTTGGGGATGCCCTGGAGGTCGGTGATGTCGAAGACGATGGGGAAGGCTCTGTCGCTGCCGTGCTTCGAGACGAACTCGTCCAGGTTTTCCTTTCTTCTGCCCACAATGATGGCTTGCTTGCCATCCTGGACGGTTTTCTCGGCGTAGGCGAGGCCGATGCCTGATGTAGCGCCGATGATGAGGACTTTGTTGTACTTGAGTGGCATCGTGACAAGTGGTGTATCGTTTTTTTCGGACGAGGGCACGCGACTCCATTTATGCGATGTCTATATATGGCGCTATCATTACGAATGTGCCTAATAATGCTATCATATCTCGAGCACTATGACAGTACCAATGACGGCGCTCCCAGTCACAAACCCGCTAACCAGAAAACACTTTCCAGTACAAGTATGGTACTTCTTCTCCGGTCGTCAACCAGCTCCGGCTTTGAAAAGATCGACAGCTCCGGCCATTGTCACCAAGTGGGTGGTGCAATGACGTATACGGTTTAGACCACGGCAATGAGGTTCGGAGTTAAGCTACCCACGGCTGAACGAGCAAAGTGTACTATTATCACAGCGTTGAGTGCTCATTTGGATTCTTCAAGTGCTCTTACGACGATAGTGTATGTGTAAGATCGGTAGCACTTGCCCTGCGGAGACGATGTTCCCGATGTGGCTTGGACTGTAAGACCGCGGGGGCTGACATCCAGCTGCTAAGCCCAATTCTCCGCACTGGCAATGAACGGCACCAACGGCTTCAACGACGCCAGCCCCCCAGCCGTTGGCCCAGCGGACATGTGCGCAATGCAAGTCTAGCAAGAAGAAGTGCGACAAGGTGCTGCCAAAGTGCGGTCGATGTCTGCGGTAGGGACCCCACTGGCTCTAGCTCACATCCTTGTTAACCTAGCAATAGGGTCTCCATAGACTGCGTGTATCCTGATCCTGAGAAATTGAACGAATCCGAGACTGGAAATGAAGCTAACGATAATCGTTTTGAAGAGGTGTTCGAGAGACTGAAGAAAATCGAAGCTCATGTGTTCTCTTCCGAACCTGTCGCGCAGAATGGCTCCCCCCAGCAAAGTCCACTCATAAGTCTGGCAAGATCTCATGGCATCGAGAGCCCGAACCCCACGAACTGGGCCCTAGAACCCGGAACTCTCAAACCACAATACATGACCTTGATCTTATGGCAGAGCATACTAGCCACGCTAGATGAGCACAAAGCAACAATCCACGGCATGACCCGCATGTACATCTCGAAAACAGACCAATGGCTTCCCATGGTTTCCAACATCAAGTTTCAAAAGGAGCTTCCTCTCTTTGAAAAACTGGTGTCGTCCGACAAATTTGTGCTTCTGGTCCTGGCAATGCACCTGGTCGTTTCGGCGCCTGCTGATCATCCTCCTGCTGCTTCTCTTGCAGAGTCGCGGTGGTATCGGAAGTGCAAGTATCTTTTCCAGTATTTCGTGGGTTTCAGAGAGCCGAACATCGAGCTGATACAGGCTGGGATGCTGATCGCTGTATTCGAGTTCAGTCACTGCATTGAGGACCGCGCGTTGACGACTTTGGGGATCTGCTGTCGACTGGCGTATTTGCTTGATTTTGATGAAGTCATGGCTAAACACGCATCGCAAGATTTGGGAAAGCTGAGCGCGGACGATGAGGAGGTAAGGAACAAGCTGGGCGAAGTGATGGACATTTGCTGACCATGCCTAATGTACAGATCATACTGACATGGATGGGTCTCACGCGACTTGAAAGGTCCCTCCCACAGCCAAACCTTGAATATCTCCTCGCTGACACTCCACAGATATTTCAACATGCCACCAACAATCGTTCCGAAAGCCCAATGCATGCCTCTCCACTTCGACAGCAATCCTGCCTCTGGATGTGCCAGCCCATACGAAGGACCATCCGTATCGAATTTCTCAACTGTAGAGATTGAAATACTCGCCGGGTGCGTCTACGAATACGACGCTGCGCAGCGCAACGGTCGCGTGCAAAAGTTCATTCGCGACAATCGCTACGCGCCAATCTCGCCCGAACTCACTGAAAAGATACAAGTTATATTACAAGATCTCCAAGAGTATTTAGACATGAGAAAAGCCCAGATGTCGCAAGATGGCTCGTGGTCTGGCATTCACGTCGTGCTAGGGTAACACTACCTCTCTTCAACCTCCAGCTTCCGCTAAGCTTTTCAGAGCCGCTTTACACATGCAATGCTTCTTCGTTGCCAAGCAAGGAACGCTCGACCCTGTGTCGATGCGCTCCCTACACTCCTACATCGACCAACTCCGCTCTGTCATGTCAAGCTGCCGCACGGTCTATGGATTCGAAGAGAATTACCTCGACGGTATACAACCAACGTGGTGTAGCTTGCCGTATCACGCGATCAGGTCTTATAGATTGATTGAGGAGGCAGATACCCAGGGAGAGCTGCCGAGGATCGATATGACACTTTTCATGGAGACGCTGCAGATCATGGCGTCGAAATACAAGCTTGCAGGTACGTACGCTGGAGAAATAAAAGCCACGGAAGGTGCACAATGCTAAAATAATAACAGAGAAGTGCTTAGAGATTTTGGAATTGCCACGATCTATGTCGAAATGACAATCATCGTCGGGATGGCCGGCGTGGCTGGATCTCTTCCCTTGAACCACACGACGTAGTTTTCGAGAGTTGGAACTAAACGTCTGGCAAGAGAATACAATGCCAAACTTACATGTGTTAAGAATCACTGCATGTTTGCATGACTTGCTACACATGCGAAGCTTCCCACTCACTTGAAGCCCAGCCTGTCTCATTCACTAACGCGTCCTCTGCTCGCACGATGCTACAACTTTTCCTGTTCTTGGGTCTCTTCGCATCTCGTCTTGCAACCGCAACATGAATTTGCTATTACTCAGCGCTACGATGTATCTCAGGCGCACCGGAACGGCGCTAGATCGATGTACCGATGCCCTCATCCGTTAGCCTCGTACAAGGGAATCGTACTGCTAACCAAATGCAGGCCGGAAAAGCACCAGCATAATCCAACCGCACAAGCAATCACGAAATTTACACGAGGCCTACCAAGTCGTTGTGCCTTTTCCGATCTCGCTTACCGAGCCGTCAAAATACCTGCCGCTCCGCGGTGAAGCGGCATCTGCTACCCCACACAATGAATCCCACAAGCGCGGCGCTTACCCCCAAGTCAAAATGCCCGCTCCATCACCCCGGATACCCACCTCTGTTCGCTCTTGGCTACCGTAGGTGCGACCCAGGCCGGCGGCACTGTAATGGCATCTCATATCGACGATGCCGACCCCATCGACTCCAAGCAGAGCAATCTCTCGGCGATAGACAAAGAGGCGGAAATAGTGCAAGCGCAGCAGCCTCTCAGCGTGCAAGACCGAAAAGACGAGGAAGTGGTTGCGCAAGAAGAAGAAGCGAAGCCGGGATTGCCGTTCTCGAAAGCGAGGGCCATTGCGCTTGTTGTGACGGTCACGGCGGCTTCGTTCTTGAATGTAAGTCACAGGAAGTGCGTGGTCGAGATGGAATCCTGACCGCGGCAGACTTTGGGCGTGCAGAGCTCGGTCATCATTCTTCCGACTATCGGCAAGGCGCTGGATATTCCCGATTCGCGACAGCAGTGGATTGTTTCGGCGTATAATCTGTCTTTTAGTTGTTTTCTGGTATGAAGACATCTCAGGTTTGTGACTAGGTGCTCACGATGGTTTAGCTAGTCTGGGGTCGCCTCGCAGATGTGTACGGCAAGAAAATCATATTTGTATGGGGATGTGTTTGGATAACTATTACTTCGATTCTCGTCCCCTTCATCCCCAATGAGATCGGTTTCGACATATTCCGTGGGCTTCAGGGTCTCGGCGCTGCGGCCATGGTGCCAACCGCAATAGGCATCCTAGGCACGACCTTTCCGCCCGGAAAAGCGAAGAACTACGCTTTCTCATGTTATGGCGGCGGCGCGCCGCTTGGAGGAGTCTTCGGCAACATCTTCGGCGGGGTGCTGGGTCAGTACTTGGAATGGAAGTGGGTTTTCTGGATCTTCGGCATCCTCACTGCCATCGTTACCGTCGCCGCCATCTACGTTATCCCACCACCGCCGGTAAAGCGCGAACCACAGCTCAATAAGATGGTCGACTGGTTGGGCGGCTCAATCGTTACCGTCGGCCTGATCATCCTGCTCTTCGCGCTCTCCGAAGGGAACGTCGTAGGCTGGAGCACACCCTGGGTAGGCACCCTCATCGGCATCTCCCTCCTCCTCCTCATCGCCTTCGGCTTCTGGCAGCACCACCTCGAAACGAAAACAGACCGCCAGCCCCTGATGAAGATCTCCATCTTCAAAAACACCCGCTTCACAGCCGCTAACATCATCATGCTCATGTTCTTCACCTCCTTCAACAACTTCCTCATCTACGCAACGTACTGGTTCCAGGACTACCAGGGCCTATCTATCATACAGACGACGCTGCGCTTCATACCCATGGGCGTTACAGGTGGTATGTTAAGCCAAGTCCATTCCTTTTCCCCACCCTCTTATCCCTCGCCTCAATATTCCCCCTTTTCAGCTGCTATAAGCTTACACTCACACCACACAGTCCTCGTCGCAATCGTAACATCGCAGCTTCTCTCTCGCGTCCGCGGCGACTTCATCTTAGCCTGGGGCACCATCTGCATCGCGCTCGCTTCGCTCCTCTTCGCCATTCCCATCCCCTCAGGTACAACCTACTGGGCCTACGCCTTCCCCGCTATGATCCTCTCCGTCTTCGGCGCAGACACACTCTTCCCCACCCTCACGCTCTTCGTCGCGAAGTCCCTGCCGGCGGAGGACCAAGCGCTAGGAGGGGGGCTGGTTAACATGGTGGGGCAGTTTGGACGGGCGTTAGGGCTAGCAATTGCGACGGCGGTGCAGACGGGTGTTATGGCGAGGGAGAGGGGTGTGAGCGTTGATGAGATTGGGAGTGGGGAGGCGGGGGCGAAGGTGGGGATCCAGCCTTGAAGCAGGGCATTAGGAGTGTGGCGTGGTTTGATTTTGGGATGGGGTTGTTGCGTTGGGGTTGTGGGGGTGGTGTTTAGGGGGCGGGGAAGGTGGGGGAGGCATTGAGGGATTATCGAGATCTGTATATAGCATTAGATTAGGTTGTTGCATTGACACAGATAGTGGGTTGTGTGGAATCGTGAAGCTAGCGATAGATCGTGCGATACGTCATGTTACCGCTTGGTTAATTGAGACAACAAGTAGACTGCCTCATGTCACGCGCCGAAAGTAAATCTTCCCTTCATATGCAGCTTCCGAGCAGGGCACTATACCCGCAACGTCCAACCCATCAACCGCATACACGCCGCTTCCAACACCAAGAAGACTTCCCCATATAGCGTTACTACGTTGCTTTTGTACACCAAGACACGTTATTTCCTTCTTAGATCTTTTATGCCTGTCGGCTGAAGCTCGCAAGTGCAGTGCAATTGAGAGAAACTCCCAATAAGAAGATGTTCATACCACTTTTCTCCATGCGGCTCATGTGATTACTTTGAGACACAATCCGAGATCCCATCTGTTCACATACTGATTAGTTTTAGAAGACGGAGACGCCGCGCCATGGGTATAGCTGTTGTTAATTTTAGATCCACGCTGCATCATACTGTTCTTCCACGTTTTCGGGAGGAAGAAAAAGCCCATTTGCCGGGGTGTTGAAGTTTTTAGTCCAACGCCTTTCGCAAGTGTAGTGTAGAGAATTCCAAAGGTAGATCGAGGGGTATTTATAGATAGAGTTCAGTGGGGTTTGGTACATCGGGTGGCGATGGTGATCATCGTCATCATGAAGCTTTCCGTTTCCGAGATACCGAAACATCTTAAGTCCTTCAGTCTTCGAAAAAAGCAGCGGATGGCTCCATGGTTTGCGTAAAGCGGATCTTAGAACCGCAGGAGAAGCCAACAGACGGCTCCATTTTCCATGGTTCGAGAGGGTTGGACACGGGAGAAGACAACCCCATGGGATTCCCAGCTGAGAAATTTTTGGTAGGTCGAGCAAGTTCATACTCTTCCATATGACTGTGTAGTGTGAAGAGTAACGGAGACGGTGAGGAGGGGTGGTTTATATACCTTTTCTGCGCACTAGCGCTGGAACGAGCGAAGATTGTGTACAGTGTGGTGGTGATGAGCATCGGCGCAGCCGCGTCGGGCGCAATTTAAAAAGCTCCAAGGGCGCCCGTGTATCAGAAAGTGTGGATCTTCGAGCTACAAGCGCAGTCCTCCATGCCCCGGGTCAGGATGAGGTTTTAGACGCACGGAAGCAGGCCCATAGTGATTGGTTCCGGAATCCTTTGGTCAGAGTACTTGGAGACCGTAGTGTGAAGAGCAAGACTTTGGAAGAGAACAGCGCGTTTTATATCCTCCGCTCATAGCTTTCAGTCTTCTTTGGCGTTGATGAACATCATCAGCATCACTGCGAGCTCGTGCTCACTCTCCACGCGCTGCCACATGGGAGAAAGCGTAGATCTTTCGACAGCAAGCAGAACCCCCGGCCCCCTGCTCACAAAGCTGTAAGATATCGATTTTTGATGCAGAGAAGGAAGCACATCATGAGTACGATCTTCGAACTTTAGTGAGCATAGCTCGTCTTGGAGCTGTAGTGTGAAGAACAACAGCCAGGACAAGAATTGGCCACTTTTATAGGCGCCTATACATTCCAATACCTCGTAGCATTGTCGTGATGAAGAAGGCCATCATCTCCACCGCTACGAGCGCACTACGTCATTCTTTCTGTGAATTCGAGATGATATCTGCGAGGACACGCAGGCGCCCACTCCATTTTGTCCTTGCATAGGGCTTTCTCGACAGCGACCAAACTCCATATTCGTCACCGTTCTCGATTTCTTAACAACCCCGAAAGAACGTACACTGCTTCAATAGATTTTTTAGTGCCCCAGTGAGGTCCAAAGCTGCATCGTGCAGATGAAGAGTAGAACGAGTCGGAGAGGGCTTTTATATCTTCTGTATCAGCGCTAGGGCTATAGAGCGATGGAGCGTGGCCTGCTGGAGATGAACTTCATCATCTTTGTTGGGTTTTAGGGATGCTCGCTCACCAAGGTCTATTGTGTTGCAATTCGAAAGCAAAAAGGTTCATGGTCAGAGAACGTGCGTGTATGTGTACTCGACAAGGCCACGAGCAGTCTTCAAAAGATCGTTATATAGCTAATTCGGCAACCTCGAATGGAGAATTACTGTGGGTGAAAAGACACGGTACCTAGCATGCCCTAACTCAATCAACACGGAGTGCATCGCTCGGTGATGATGAAACTATCACCTTGCGCCATTGGTTCTCCGGTGCCTGGCATGACGTCTCCGAAAAACCCATGTAGGTCACATTCGTCTTTTTTTAGTGAGACACACCTCGCTCCAGACAAAGTCTCATGCGAGGGAAGTGATTTTAGTGAAGCGTAGCCACAAGGTTATTTGTGTGAAGATGTCAAGGGGCAGAATATCAAGCGGTATTTATACCTTCCGTCGTAATTCCTGAGCTATGGGATGATGATGGTGCAGATCATCAGCCGAACCGACTGTCGTCTTGGAATTACGGGGTTATTTCTCCAAGCTACCATGGAAGGCCTGTCAGTGAAAAATTCAATTGATTTTATTAAGCTAAGGTCCGGAAGCGGTCCCATGCATTTGATGTTGGTGCCTTTTGCGTCGATGCTACCTCGGAGGTAAGCTGCGTGAAGAGCATAAAAAGGGTGAGAATGGGCGGTTTTTATGCATTGCTCATGCGCTGAAGCTAATATAGTATAATGGTGGTGATGCATATCAACATCACTACTCTGTATCATTGCTGGATTTCCTTGGATCTTATGCAGATCACAATGCAGACCCCATACTTTCTTTGCTTGAAGATTTTCAGTGAAACAGGGTTCAAGACATGCTCCCATGAACTTTGGAATAAGCCTTTTCGTGAGAAGGCTTGAGGGCAAGTTGTGTGCTGAGGGTTTGTTTGAAGAGATCGAGCGATGTACATGGCTACCATTAAACGTTAATGCATGCAATGAGAATCTGATGATGTTCACCATGACCAGCATTCTCATATTCATGCTTTCGTTCTTTTGCAACAAACCTCAGTGCCGGCCCATGTATGGTGTCTTAGAGAACGTCCACTTTTGGCGAGACGGATTGTCACCCGCACTTTATAAACACGAGCGCTCGTCGTCGTTGGAGTCGAGCTCGAACATAGGCTGTTTGAGAAACGGGGAGTATCAATATACTGATATATAGGAATTTCCGCTCCGCACCAAAGCCGTAACGGGCGAAGTGTTCACAGAGCGATGGCGCGGTGGTGCGCACCACTATCTCTGCTCTTTTTCACTCTTGACTTCTGGGGAAAGGTCGAAAGTCACAACACAACGTAGCAACACACCCACCTCGCTAGCTTCACTAGTAAAGGCAGTTCTCAAACCTCGCATAGAGGCCTAGCCATTCGTCTTTGAAATATATGTCTAGTACACTTGCCACTATTCATTGATGGATGTGTTCTCGGATCTCAAAAGACCGGCGACACGCCCATCACATTTTGGTCTTTCAGTTTTTAGACACGCAGACAAGCCCATGAACTCATTTTTTTGCTTTTTTGGTAAGCCTGGAGCCAGCTTTTGTAGGTGGGGAAGCAGAACAGGTTGACATTGAGGTGATATATATACTTCCTCCAGGATTGGACTCCTTTGTTTGATAGTCACACGTAGTACCACTCCACTTTTGTCATCAGAACCTTCGTTGTAATTGAGCCCTGCTGAATCTGAGCCCTGCTGAATCCGTGGTGTGAACAAGTCAGAAAAGTCGAGTGAGGCTTTAGGCCCCCTCTTTATTTGCAATCGCTCAGTGATGGCATCCATCCCGCCTCCGGTAAATACGGGCTTCTAGAGCGCCGCTTCCTCCGACTCCCAATCAGCTTGCTCGATCTCAATTTTGGTGCCGCAGATGCGCGTCCATTTAGTACATCTACCTGATTCCAGGCCACTTGCACAGGGTTGTAGCTCGAAAGATCCGGGTTCAAAAGACGCAAGAACGCTCTTCCATATGTGATAGGAAATCGAGTTTCAGAGATGCAAGCAAATTCCTGCCGTTCGTTTTCGGATCGAGCATTTTTGTACAATAATACACACCCCTTCCATGGTCTTGAAGGCTTCGCTTCTGGAACGCAGACACACTCACGTTATATGTGAAGCTGCATTCCCATTCGAGACGTACCAGAAGTGCCATTATTGGTGGTCCCCATCTTTTTAGTGCAATCCGTGAAGAAGCGCATGACCGAAGAAGGGATTGAGTGTGTATTTATGTCTTTATCCATGGTAACGTCCAGGCTTACACGGTACGCAGCTTGTGGACGGTCGCACATCCGGCAGTCTCCCGCCGCCAGAGATGCTCGCTGCCACCTCCCGTGAGGTCGCACATGTACTCTTTTGGATGGTAGGCTCAACCATATGTGTTGAAGAAACATGGGCTGGGCCAGCCGCTCAAGGCATATCTTCGAAAAAGTAGGGATTTGGTACAAGGAGCAAGACCTCCATGGGAAATGATGGTCACCTGTTCTTTAACAGAGGCACACTCATTCCATAGTGGCAGTAAGCATTTGTCACTGTAAGTAAGATCCTCCATGGGAATTCATCATTTGGGCTTTTAGGTTTTACCGGTGTAGTTCTCCATGCACCGGTTCATGATCAAGCTTCAGACAAACATGATAAGCCCATGTATATGAGGTGAAGCCTTTTCCAGTGAGCCGGGCTTGGGGCATACTGTAATGTAGATGCTTAGGGAATTCGAGCAGGCGTTCATATCTTCCCTGCACCAGTGCTTTACTCTGCGAGCGGTGGTGATCGTCACGGTGGATTAACTCTCCCCCTTTGGAGAGATCGATGCACATGCAATGAGGAACTGACGCATCATATCCAGTCGCGACCATGTAACGTGAAATAGGATAGATTTTGGGGCGGCCATACAATGGAATGCAAGGAAATTTGAGAGATCGACAGGTCCTCTATGTTCCAATTTTTAGACAAACCAGAACACTTCCTCCATGTTTTCTTCGTCCGTGATGCTGGACGACGCATGCTCCCCCATGGTTCGGTACGTTCGTGGTTTTAGCAGAACAGAGCACAATCCCCATAATGTGAAGTTACCGCCATGTTCATAAAGCACAGCTCGAAGATGCGACGTAAAGATCATACAATGGACGCGATCGAACGGGCATTTATACGCTGGTCGACACATTCGCTAAAAGCCCCATAGATTCCAATCCGAGCAATTCTTGTACAGCGCAAGCGCACTCCAACATCAAGTGGCAACACCGTTCTTTCAACGGGGCCAATACTCCATGAGCGGCAAATGCACTGTCCTCAGAAAAGCTATACGCCCTCCATGGCAATGATTGGCCTAGAATATGAGACAGCAGAGCAACTGCCTCCATATGTTGATTCTTCTTTGGTTTTGAGTCAAACAGGCGTACTCCCTCCATGGGACGTAAAAAGCTTCGTTTGCAGAGGACCGACAACTTCCCCATACAGGCTAATAACGAGGTTTTGGAGACGGACAGGCCAAGCACATAAAAGGTCTTTCCCTGCTTTTTCAGTGCGCCCAGCGTGGCAGCAGTATCAAAATCGAAGAACGGGCGAGCATAAACGGGTATTTATCTCCAGCTTAATGCTCGACGTCTGGTCTATTGTATGAGGACTTCTTCTTTCACAAGCCAGACCCACTCCTACATAGAATCAACCTCTTGCTCTTTAGACAGGGCGATTACCCCATAAGCAGTCCTTGCACTTCTTTTGGAAACTGGCACGTATTCCATAAGGTCGATCAGTCACGATTCTGAGACAATGAAGCCACTCCATCAGATCGGATCGTCGGCGTTGCTAGTCTGGAGACACAGGCACGCCTTCCCATAGTACTGGTCGCGAGATTTTTTGAACGACCAGCAACTCCCCATAATATGGTAAGCATTGCATTTCAGAGCAAAGGTACAGCCCCATGCAAGAAGGCTTTCGTGTCTTTAGTCCAGCCCTGCGAGGCTTGTAATCGTGCGAGATGACTGTGTTCTGAACCGACAGCGACTCCCATGTAAAGTGGGTATGACGATTGATAGAGCAAAGGCAAGAGCACCATGGAAGAGGGCTTTCGTGTTTTTAGTCAAGCCCTTCTCAACTTATACTGTAGAGAGAAGCATAAAGTCGAACAGAAGTAGCTTACATACACCACTCAGTCCACAACTCTCGATCCCATCACGCTTACGTCCGTCAGCTTGATAAACCGCAGGCACACTCTCCCATTCAAAGAAGAATATTGCAGTTTAGAAGACGAGCGTAGTCTCCCATAATTGTGTATGAAGTCAGTTTTGGAAATCGCAGGCGCACGCCTCCCATAGCTGGCAGCAATGGCGGTTTAGAGAGCAAACGATCTTCTCCCATTTGCTTGATTGAGCTGTGTTTGACGTCCAAAGGCGCACCGCTCCATGCAGTGTAGCGATACTTATCGTTCGACACTACATATTTCTCCATGTCGACATTGTTCGGCACTTTGGAGACACGAGACAAGCACATTATCATACGTGCAAACTCATTTGAATGATCCCTTAAACCAAAGGTAGTGTGAAGAAGAAGAAGAGCCAGCATGTATGCTTTTCATACACAGCTCGACACGCGAGGGCCCCTCCCATAGGATCGCTTTCTCTGGGTTTGAACACCCAGGCGTGCTCCCCACATAAGCGCGATGCTTTTCACTTTTGGGCGACAAGCAAAATAACTCATGTTCCTGAGCCGACTTAGCTTTGAGTGTCGCAGGCGCACCCCACATGACACAAACAGTCTGGACATTTGAACCACAGACACATCCACCCACTCATAACACGATGGATTCAAGTCTTTTTGAGCCGCAGACACCCTCCAGCATGCGGAGCGCGCGTGCGCGTTTTGGACGACAAGCGGAGTTCCCCATATCTTGAAGAGGTCTTGTCTTTGGAGCAGCAGGCACACCCCCACATGCCCTCTCAACCTCATCTTTTGGACATTACAAAGGAAGGTTTGATTTTCAGCAAGGAGGCGCATCCCACCATGCAAAACCTGGGCATGTGTTTTTTGACAGGACAGCAAGCGCCGTCATGAGCTTATTGGCTCTGAGTTTGAGACGGCAGGCACACTCCATAGCATCTACTGCTATGGTATTCCACACACAAGAGCGCACCGCCATCGATTCTGTACAAGCATCTTTCGAACCGACGAGCACTCCCCCATCGGCTGGTAGAACATGTCATTTAGACCACGGCACAAGCCCATGAAGTTCAAGAGCCATGTTTTTGATAACCCTTCCTCGAGTGTAGTGTAAAGAAGAAAGACCAAAGCGAGAGTGAGCGGGGTTTTATACCTCCCCTTGCTGCACGGACTCCATAGGAGATTATCGTGACCATTGATAGTCGTGATGGTTTTGATTCGGGTGGCAGGCGAATTCCGTCCATCAGCTCTTTACTGGCATCTTTCAGACGAGAAGTCTCGAGCATAACTTCGTGGATCAGCTTTTTGAGAAGGTAAGCGCACACCGTCCATCACCTGCTTTTTTTCGCGTTTCAGACAGAATTCTCGAGCATGAATTTGGCTTGCTGTTTTTTGAGAGGCCAAGCACACTCCATGTAAAGGGAGGCCTAGATTTTAGACAGAAGTCTCGACCATTATGTTGAATTGTTGGCTTTTAAGAGAGCAGGCGGATACCGTCCATGAACTCTTTACCTGCGTTTTTCGGACAGAGAAGGCTCGAGCATGATTTTGTGGTTCTGGTGTTTGAGAGGGCAAGCGTACACCGTCCATCGCTTCGTTCATTTCCCGTTTCGGACAGAAGGCTCGAGCATGACTTGGTGGATCAGCTTTTTGAGAGGGCAAGCGCACACCGTCCATCGCTTTGTTCATCTCACGCTTTAGATAGAGAAGTCTTAAGCATATTTTTGGGATGCTGGTTTTTGAGAGGGCACGCACACCGTCCATCAGCTAGTAGGATGCGTCTTTCGAACGAGAAGTCTCGAGCATATGTTCGGGATGCTTGTTTTTGAGACGCCAAGCACAATCCATGCGTAGGCAGGCTTGCATTTTAGACAGAGGCGTCTCAAGCATGCGCTTGAGAACTAGCTTTTCGAGAGGCGAAGCACACTCCATGCGAAGGTATTCTTGGACTTTGGACAACGAGCAGACTGCTCCATGTAGAAGTACTATGTGAGCTTAGACAGCAAGCAGATCCCCCATTGTGTTGAGTGTCAAAACTTTCAGACAGCGAGAAGATCCCCTCCATTTCTGGTAAAGCCATCAATTGTAGACGCAAAAGAAAAGCCCATGTCGAGTTTGGAACTGGCTTTCTGGTGAGCGAAGCTCGAGACCGTAGCGTGGAGAGAAAACGTAGCAATGCTCGAACGAGCGAGTTTATATGTCTTCTCCACCCACTAGCGCCACGTCGAGCGCCATCACAATCCGCCGATGAGCATCATCATTCAGTATATAAATAGTGACTTGCTACCTACTATCTGCACCACCCTTCCAACCCACGTCTCCAACCCACGTCTTTTCCTCTCAACTCCCCGGCGCCCTCATCGGACTCCTAAACCCCACCCTCCCAAACGCACCCCCTTCTTCGGCGTCGTAAGCCCCACCTCGCTCTCACTCTCCCCCTTCCTTACCACCACCCCCACCCCCACTAAGCGCCTTCCCATGCTTAACAAAAGCGCCACTCCCCTGCGCGCCCCCGCCCACATACCCCCTCCCGGCGCCCTAAACCCGACCTCCCGCCCAGTCGCATACACATCGTTGAGCATCTGCTCCAGAACCCCCGCATCCACAAACTCCTGATACTTCCTCCACAGCTTCAGCGCCGTAACCGCATCCTCGATACTATCATGCATGCCGCCCTGGATCTCCTCCTTGAGCACGCACCACGCCAGGAACTTCAGATTCAGCTTGCGATGCAGCTGCGGCTTGAAGAAGAGGTCTACCGTGTCGATGGTCTGGCTCTTCGGAACGTGGATGTTGATGGTGCGGAAGTCGTTGGCAAGGGAGTGCCCGATGAAGGTGCACCCGAGGTTGAGGAGGAGCCAGAGTTTCTTGTACGCGTGTTTGAGGGAGACGAGGGCGTGAGGCGAGGTCTCGCGGTTGAGGTCGCCGGGGGAGATGCCCGACCAGGCGGTGAGGTAGTCGACGACGGGCTCGGTGACAGCAATATAGTCGTCGATGAAGGGGAGGCCGGCGTCCTCGCCTTCGCCGCGGCAGACGGAGACGCGCGCGAGGCCTTTGCGGTCGGGGCGGATGGTTTCGCGCGTGCCGTCGGCTTTCATTTCGATCTCTTCGGCTTGGAGGCGGATGAATTCAGCATCGATGGCGACGGGGAAGGAGGGTTTGGGAGTTTCGATGGTGGGATCGAGGAGGGCGAATTCGGAGGGTGGAGGGGAGGGTTGGCCGACCACCAGCGGTAGAGGATGGAGGTGTCGAGCATATCTTTCCAGCCGTCGTCGATCTTACCGCGCGCGGCTTTCAGCTGGTATGTCAAGACGCTGGGTAGCTTCCAGCTCGGTTCGAAGCGTAACGCTTCTTCTTTCGGGATCGGACGGACCAGGAAGTCGTTGAAGAGGTACCACTTGTCTTCTGTAGCTCCGTTGGCGTCGCGGCTGGACGGCGTGGTATTGATGGTAGCGACCAGGTGGGGTTTCTGGTGCTCACCGCTGTTGATGTCCGCCACCACGCCAACGAGCTCATACACCATGATGTCGAAGACGCCGCGCTGGAGGTGCAGTTTCAGGTCCTGGCCCTCGAAGCAGTAGAATTGGCCTTGATCTACTATGATCCCAATTTCTTGCGGGAGCCAGTTGGGTACTGACCAGAGGAGCTTCGCTTCGTGGCTCTGAATGGCTGCGTTGAGCATGAGCACACCGGGTATTGACTGAATAGTCTTGCGCTGCACCATCTGCTGGTAGCGATTGCATTTGGTGCACCAACCCTTCATTTGATCTTGGCGTTCCACGCTGCTCTTCAAGATCTGGGAAAAGGTGGGCCGTGGACCTCGAGCGTTCTTCATGACGTGCTTGGCCGGATACACGAGCTCATTTACAAATGTCCTGCCACCCCTAATGGTTTCGTTACTGCATTGCGCACATCTCATGCTCGCACGTGCCTGTGTTTCAAGCACTTGGTCCATGAGAGAGGGTACACCGACCGCTCCCAGCATTTGGCGGAACTCTTCGGAGACCTTTTCCAACAGGAAGCGATTGAAGGCCTGTATCATGCTTGTGAGGGCCACATTGGGTGCAAACTCTTCCAGCAGGTTGAGCGACACTGCGTTCGATAACCCACTGAACGTTTTGAGAAAGTTCGATGCCTGGCAATTCAATCCTGCGGCCTTCTCCAGCATGTCAATAAGGAAGCCTAGCTCGCAAAGCAGGCATGATTCGTACAGGCAAGGTGATGCAGTGTGTCGAAGAGCAAGATTGCGTATCAATGGGGTAAAACGTAGTAACTGTAACAGTGGATTCGCGTACGAATTCGTGATGTGGGTCTCTAGCCCGGAGTATGGGGTCTGGTTGTAGTAGCTGTTGATGCTGTTAGGAAGTCTCATTGCCCATTCCGATATCATACTTACGCGAAGTCGAAATCATCGACACCGAATCTGCTGTACTTGATCTCTACGTTTCCATACATTGCTGGCACATCCTTGCGTGTAACATCATCGAGATGCATATCGGTCAGCGTCTCCATAGTCTCCACCGTCTTAGACTCAACTTCGCCCAAAGACTGCGCAGCACGAGCCTTTTCACTTAGAAATTTGGGAGCTGTCAAGGACTCTGGTCCCCTATCTGACTGTCGAGTACGCTCGACTTGATAACGTCGTTTCGTTTTCGGGTTCTTCGCGAAAAAGCCCATGTCCGTTCGAGTCATGTTATTGAGAATCGCAGCATCGATTTTGGGTGGTGGCGCGCCAACCTCAAACACCATGTGACTTGGCCAGCCGGAGAGAAGGTGTTCCTTGTAGTAAGGCATGCCGACTGTGTTTAGAGGACTTGACAGTGTAAGCTACGTTACAAATGTGCGCTTGGGCGACTCACGTGTCTAGTGACCAGTCCATAGCTGGTGGGGGTACGACGGCATCTGCAAACTCGGTCGGATTGCTGTACTCTGGAAAGTGAACCTTGGAAGGCGACCCCCACAGATGAAGATGAGCGTTGGAGTCAGAAAGCACAAAAGCCTCGCTTGAAGGCGCCATCTCCAGACCCGTGAGATACGAGTCATACATATTGAGCTGGCGCAAGTTGGCAGAGTCTGGGTTCATAAGATCGATAACCTGCATTTGCCCGGCCTGAGATGCAATGATGGCGGTGGTGGACATGCGCGGGTGCATGCGCACGAAAGCAGCACCGGTATGGAACGGGATGGGAGGGAGCTGCTTGAGCGTCTTGAGAGAAAAGACGTGGGTGAAGGGATCAAGCATGAAGCCGAATTGCTGTCTTGGTGACCAGCCGCACGTAGCAAGAAAGTCGCCCTTAGCGTCCATGTCGCTGATGCTGCCGGTGTGCCCCTCGAATACCTTGACAACGGAGAGTGAGCCCGAATCGAGGATGTGTATGCCGCCACTGTTAGTAGCAGCGCATATGTATCCTCCTGCGCGTTTCATGATGGTGTACTGAGCATCGGCAACGAGCTGCGAATGTTAGCAGGTACCTCTAACAAGCTGGATTGGCAGCCTTACGGTGTCGACAATAGTTCCCTTCTCCACGTCCACCTTGAACATCTTGTCCTGACATCCTGCCACCAGTATCTCCCTCGTGCCCTTTGAAGTGAAATTCATACATCGAAGCTCATTGAAATCAGCACTCCTGCCAGCCTTTTGTTAGCAACCAGCCTGTTGAATACACTGTCGCGCTCCACGTACGTGAGATGCCATTGCGTAAGGCCTCGTCGAGAGGCATAGTGCACGCTGTGCTTCGAAACGGAGAGCACTCCTCTGTCCGTAAAGAGCAGTTGCTTCACGGCACCGACAGTGCCATCGGCGGGTGTATGGCCGCGGTACGACGTGTAGCGCTCGAGAGTGGCGCCGAAGAAGGAGGTAATGCGACCCTGCAGTGTATCAGCTTCGCCCTGGGTTGCGCTGGGCCTAGAAGCTCACATAGTTGTTTCCGGTCCAAAGCAGCTCTTGCAACTGCGCCGCGCACGATAAGCATGATTCTCGCGATGCGCTACTATGGGAGGTTCACCGTATCGAAAGCAAAGGTGGCTACTGGGGTCGCAGGCTGGTGCGGGCCATGCGGAGGCAATTGGACAATCGCAAGCTATTCTTCATATCAGCTACTGCATGTGCGCGCGAGAGTTGCGAGCCGGTCAAGGCTCTTGGGGGGCTGCCGGCGCTCACCTCGTCCCAGTCGGCTTCCATCGTGACAGAACCGCATTTACCGGCTCTCCAAGCACACTGCACGACTCCAGCATGCCTCGCCCAAACGCGTCATAGCTCGTCGCGCGTGGGGTGGTGTTGGTGAATGCGGCATGTCGCCGGAGCTCAGACGCGCGGAGCGGGTCGTGCGTGATTGGCGGGGCAGGACAAAGCTCCGCCTGACTGTAGAGGCTTGAACAGACAATTAAAGTATTAAATGGAAATTCGATCCATTAAGAATGCAACACCATTCATGTTTGATGGCTACGCATTTTCAACTTTTCAGATACAAGAATTGGATTCGGGAGCATCCCTCGTGCGTCCTTGAAGAGTGGTATGGTAGTACATATGCAGGTTAAAGGTACAACAAACTTAATGCAAGCGTCGAAATGGTCTGTCAAAACTCCGCGATCAACTCAACCGACTCTCAGTCCCCTTCAGAGCTTCGATGTCGTCGATCTCCTTGACCGCCTCGGTAGTCAAAATGTATGGCGAATCCTCATCTACGCAAACGCTGTCTTCAATCCTCATCCCTATGCCGCGCGCCCACGCCGGCCATCGCTCGTCGTCTGGCACGTAGATGCCGGGTTCGACGGTCACACACATGCCCTTTTCGAATGCTTTTCCCCTCGTCAAGCCTGGGCTGTCATGGACGTCCAAACCAACGTAATGGCCTACGTGGTGCGGGAATATTTTCTCGATCGCATCATTGGACATGTCGAAGCCGAGATCCTTTAGGCCATCTGCCAGCGTTCGTGATGCGATTCTGTGAAGGCGGTCGAGCGTGAGCTGGGAGGAGACGGTGCATAGCGAAACGCAGCTTCTCTGAACGTTTAAGAGTAGCTGGTAGAGGTCTTTCTGAGCGGGGTTGAACTTGCCATTTACAGGCCACGTCCGCGAGATGTCGGTGATGTATCCACCGTACTCGGCGCCTGCGTCGACAAGCACAAGCTCGTCAGGCTTGAGCATCATGTCGTTGGTAACGTAGTGAATTGTATTCGCATTGATGCCACCTGCGACTACGGGGACGTATGCAGGCCCGTCACATCCATCCTGCTTGAACCAGTAGTCGAGGAAGGCATCGAGGTCTTTCTCCGCGGTCCATGACTGCCGCATTGCGTCTGTGATAGCACGTCCAGAATGCTGCCCCGCTTTTCGCATGTTCTTAAGTTCGGCTTCGCTCTTGATGACCCTCAGATCGTTCAGATACGGCCTCAGCGGCTTTACCCTCTTTTCTGAGTCCCTGAACACACTCACGATACCTCCTGTCCGCGAGGGCTCTGCACCAGACAAGTATCTTGACAGTATGTTTCGCGTTATCCGGCTATTTGGAAGATCTGTGTACACGTGCTCTGCGCGCTTCAGCATCTCGGGGAGAATCTTGGGCAGGTTGTTGATGTCGCCAGTCGTGTCCGCGTTGAAGACGTCTTCAGCTGCTTGGATGCCGGAGCGCGAGCCTTCCCACTGCTCGAGCTTGGGGTCTTTGGGGCGTACGTAGAGGTGGAAGTTGTGCTCGTCATCGTCGATCTTTTCGATTATTGCGAGGGCATCTGGTTCGTTGAAGCCTGTCAGGTATAGGAAATCGGGATCTTGGTGGAACTTGTAGAAGACGGCGCCCGAGCGGTACTTGACATCTGATGCCGCAAGGACAGCGATGGAACCCTTCGGCAGAGCCTTTGCAAGCTTCACCCGTCTGTCGTAGTACTCTTGTGCAGTGATCCCGGGCGTGACTGCATCCTTTGTTAGTTCCTTGTCCGTGTAGGAAGCGGTCACTGGTCGTACTTTCCCCAGGTTGCAGCAGGTGTGGATGCGTCTCGTGCAGCGGCTGCCCGAAGCGCAAATCAGCCGCCGAAACGTTCAATGGCCTCTTCAGAGGTACGCCTTGCCTACTTGACCGCGCGATAGGTCGCAATGTTCGGAAAAGGCCATTCATAACGAAGCACGACACTGAAGAAGCACGGCAGACCTCCAGCCAATGCGCGCGAAGATTATCCGCACCTCCATGTCGTTATCGATAGCCGAAGTGGCACAACTGCGCGCCGCAACCGTCATTCGTACAGCTACTCTACGTGTGCACATACACTCGTCTTTGCTCTCACTGAGCTCACGAAACGATGTCCGATTCTTTGCCATTCCGTATGTGGGAACCTAATTGATGGACCCTGAGGCGACAACTTGACTCCAAGCAGCGGCCCCCGTTGCACTGCAGCTGCCTGACCACCAGTGCCTGATGTCTGCCTGCCAAACACGCATATATACTTGTGCCACCATACCCCACTCATTCACCCCTCGTACTGGACCCCTACTGTTCAATCGCACGCCGCGCAGAATGGCCTCTTCCTCCGCCCGACCCAGCGTAGTCCCGCAAGCCGACCTTGAATCGTTCCAGGAGCACTTGAACAAGTCCACCCGCATACTCGCACTCCTAGGCGCAGGCCTGTCCGCCTCTTCAGGTCTGCCCACATTTAGAGGCGCGGGAGGCCTGTGGAGAACCCACGATGCGACCCAACTAGCCACACCAGAGGCATTCTCAGCAGACCCCGGCCTGGTATGGCAGTTCTATAGCTACAGACGACACATGGCCCTCAAGGCGAAACCGAACCCCGCCCACTACGCCCTCGCCGAGCTATCCAGAAAGAAGGAGCATTTTCTCACACTGTCCCAGAACGTAGATGGTAACCCACCCCCACTTCTGCCCCGCAATGCACGCATGCATGCATACTGACCTGCTCGCGCAACAGGTCTCTCCCCGCGCGCAAACCACCCCGAGGAGTCCCTGAAGCTTCTCCACGGCTCGCTGTTCGACGTCAAATGCTCAGACTTCTTCTGCAACTACCTCGAGAAGAACAATTACACCGACCCCATCGTGCCCGCGCTCGAGATCCCCACCTCCGAAGAAGATCCCACCACCACGTCCGCCCTCGCTTCGCGCGAACTCGACATCGCAGACGAGAATGTGCCCATCCCCGAGCTGAGCTACAGACACCTGCCCAAATGTCCGAAATGCAAGCGCGGCCTGCTGCGCCCGGGCGTAGTGTGGTTCGGCGAAATGTTACCCGAGAAGGTGCTGAATGATATCGAAGATTGGATACACAAGGAGAATAAGATAGATTTGATTATGGTGGTTGGGACGAGTGCGAAGGTATACCCAGCTGCGGGATTCGTCGACCGCGCAAGAGCAAAGGGTGCGCGAGTCGCTATCATCAACATGGACAAGAACGACGTGCCTGCGAGCGGACTGTACAAGGGCGACTGGTTCTTCCAGGGCGATGCAGCGCAGATCCTACCTGAGATACTGAAGAGCGTCATTGGCGAGTTGAAAGAGACACCTGATGCTGCTGTGGAAGGCGACAATGCTGTCACGCAAACTTCATGAACGATGAGCGATGCAGGCGCACGGCGCAAGGGCAGAGTTGGCAGTAGAATATCCCTAATAACGTTGAAAATTAGCGTTGACATTTGACCATAGCGGAGAGAATGAGGCCTTGAATTAACTCAGTTCCGGATCACTATAGCAGGACTACATTCGCGCTGTGAGATGAGATTTCCCCTAGACAGGCACCACTTTTACACATCACATCAACCGTACACGCACCGCTCACCCCGATGTCTCCCCAGCCTGTACACTCCATTCTTCGTCCCTCTCCCTCCCTTCCCCCTGCCCATCAACCCCGTCAAAATCTCCACATGCTTGATCAGCAAACTCAAATGCATTTGTGTGCCCCTCACACCATCCACCTCGCCGACTGCACCGGAACGCCCATCCCCTTTCATTCCAAGCCTAACCTCCCCTTCACAGTCCCAGCCCAAACCCCCAGTCCGATGGGCGAAGCTTCGCATGCCTCACCGCGCGAGGGGTACATTGGGAGGAAGAAAATTGTACGTGCGTATGACGTGGTAGGAAGAGCGTTGGAAATGGAAGCGCAATGGCTATGTTATATACTGGTTGGCATATCCGCCCCGTGTAAGCTACTCGTTAATTCATACAGGATGTCGTCGCTGCCTGCCTGCTAGCACCGCGTAGCGCTGCCTCGTTCAAGTTGGTACAAACGTATTGATGTATATATATCAAGTCTGTCTGCGCGTTCCACGTACACTCCATCGTGAGATGCCAACAGGGGCTACGGTGTCGCATCAAGAGCTGCGAGCATAGGCCGCTATGTCGCGCCGATGTCAAGGATGCAGGTCAAACCGGACTAGTACCAAACAACATGCAATATATTGAAGGGCAGCTACAGCTACAAAGCCAACGAGACATTCACATTCGTGTCCATTCCATCATTCGCCTTTCTCCACCCATGCATGAGTACAGCGACCCATTCCATTTGATTTACCCTCGTAGGTATCCCTTCCATTTCACCATAAACTCCTTCCCACGAAAAAAAAGCCTCAGAAAATATCAAGCCGCGTCATACTACCAAGAACTGACTGCCTCAGGCAAGCGAGTGACGAGTGGCGGAACGCAAACAGGCTCGACGCCAGCGAAGGGAAAGAGTGCGCGCGCAAAGTAGAGAGATCTCCGTCCAGTACGCCGTAGCCGGTATCTATGCAATTCGTACAGTCGCGTCTCGAGTCATCATTACGCCCGCTGTTCCTTTGGCAGCCGCTTGAGCGCGGCTTCGACGTCCTTGTGGTCGACGACGACGCCACTTTCAGAACAACGAGCCTTGGCGCGGAGCTCTGAGCAGAGGTTGTCGATGTCGATGGTACCGTCCTTGAAGTCGGAGCGACTTGACAATTTGTCCCTAGTGGAGGTTAGTGCTGCACGGGCGATGAGTGCGTCATATGGGAATGCTGACCAGATCTTGTGGCAATTGAGTAACTGTGCTGGATCGTCGCCAGGCACAACCTCGTCATCACCATCTTGTATGCGCTCGATCTCTTCAAGCGGATTCGGCTTTTGCACAGCTGGAGTGTCTCCAAAGTGGAAGGGGCTGCCGTAGTCGGCGATCGGGAACGCATCGTTGAAGAAACCATTCGAGAAGTCTCCGTCGCCAACGATGGCGTTTTGAGACTCTCGGTAGTCTCCAAAGAGGGTGGGGTCGAAGTTGCCGCCGTTCTGGTTGGCGAAGAAATCGAAGCCGACGGGGTCGGGAGCGGTAGCAGGGCTCTTTGTCGCACCTGCAGGGGGTCTCGCGTCAGACTGTGATTTGGCGCGGGGGGATAGGGTTGCGAGGGTTGCCGCAGGCCATATTGAGCTTCTCGCAGAAGGTAATCTCACCTTCCGAATTTCCATGACACACATATCCATCAGCAATCGTATCCAAGTTCTTGGGCGACTGATGACTCGGCTCAGGCGAGGTGTCGCAAGACGAATTTTGGTTGGTTGGCGAAGTTGAGGACGCCGAGGGTGAGTCTGAATGCGTGGACGAGTTACTGTTGAATTGGAATACGCGAGACGATGGGTTGGAGAGATCTGTGGCATTTGAGTTGTTGTTTAGGCCAAACATGCCATTGACGCTTCCAGAACGTGAGTTTCCGCTTGTAACGGGGCTTGCAACCGTCTTGTCTGGTGTAGTCGCATCTCCATTCGGGCCCTTAGAGCTAATGCTTCGTCCGCTATCTTGACGAGCCACACCAGCCGAGGAGCCTGTGGAGGTCTTGTTCTTCGAAAGAGGGCCATTATCAAGAATGTGCGCTCCCGGAAGTCCGCCGAAGCGTGGGAACTCGAATTGAAAGCTGCTGTTTGTCGAGCCACCATTGTTTAGAATTGAACTGAATCCACCCATCATAGATGGAGAGCGGTTGTTGCTGCCGCTGCTGCTGTTGAGCGATAGACGCTTCCTGTACTCGCGAAGCTCCATCTGCAAACGCTGGACCTGAGCACGGAGAAGTCCGTTTTCGTGATTGGCGGAATCGGAAGCCTTCTCAAGCTCAGCGACCTTGGTCTCAAGGTCTTTCAGGTGCTTTTCCTTGCGCTCTCGGAAGGCTCGCTGGGCTGCTCGGTTCTGTGCCTTGCGCTTCTGTGAAATGCATCAGTAGTCATTCAGTTAGCATTTGCGGCAAACATACGGTAGTCGGCTCCGAGGTCAATGGCTTCCTGCCGGGCTTCTTCGCCTGCTTATCATCTCCCTCTCTGCGCTTGCCGCCACCCTCTGGATCTTCAGGATCGTCGCCCGGACTCTTGCGCTTCTCTGAAGACTCTCCATCTTTGTCAGGGCTGTCGCCAGGGAGTTCGCCGATCATGAGGTCGCCGTTGTCAGCATTGTCGAAATCGAAGTTATCGCCGTCGAGGTAATCGCCGAAAGGACTCTCTTCGACTCCACCAATGTTGTTGAAGGCCGATGCAGGCGTGCTCTGCTGAGGGGAGGTGAAGAAGCCTTGGTCGATATTGTCGACGGGGAAGTTGAACTGCTGGCCGTTTGGAAGGCCGTTCATGGTTTGCTTCGCGTCCAAGCCTGCCGCGAAGATGTCGTTGTGGTTCTGGTTGTTTGAGGCAAGCGCGGCCAGGAGCAGGTCCTGCTGATTAGGGTCCAGGTAGAACTGTCCTGCGTTCTGGAAGTCGTTTCTCGATGTCCCAGCCATGGCGATTGTTGAAGCGGGGTCAAAGGGCAAGAACAAGGTGAGTCAGGGTGGTTGCGGTCAGTGGGGACGCACGACGGCGAGCTTGTCAACGGCCGCCTTGTGAACGATCTTAGGCTCGAGAAGGTCTTGGTGAAAGTGCGGGGATCGAGGAATGTCTGGATGAGCGATTAGCAGACCGCAATCCGAGTTCCAGCCGCCGAATTCGCCACTCGAAGGTTCACATGGAGAGCATGCAACAGGGATTGAGTGTAGCGGTGGTTATGACGCGGTGCGCGACAAGATAGCGACGAGGAGGCGCAAAAGTGTCAAGTCGGATCAAAGCGGACGGGCGGGCGGTGTGGTGCGATGTAGGGCTGAACGTACCTCTTGCTGCGTGCAAGCGAGACCGCGCACGCGGAGCGGACAATCTCGACTCTTGTCTGACGTAGACGCAAAGGGTGACCGGTCTAGGCAGAAAGTTGTAGGAGGCACGATCTGAGAGCGTGCAAAATGCCCATACGTAGCTGCTTAGGTATCCGGACTAGCAGGTGACCTTGGCGGATCTGGGAGAACAGACGAAGGCGTCAACGCCGGGGTGCGAAGAAACGCAAAAGCAGCGGCAGGGTCCTTGGCCGAGTGGCAGGTCCGTGATAGGCTGCTTCTGGAGCCGACTGCGGCGTGTGAGGGGCAAAACGAGCGCAGATGAGGCGGAGTGTAAGGTGACTCTTTCTTTGCATGGCTTATCAATCAACATGTTAAAGCGGCGAGATTCCCGAAAGAGGCATGGCGGGGTAAGACGCGAATGAAGAGCACTGGTAAGAAGGGCGTAGAAACTAAAAAACGGTGCATGCTCGCGGAGATCAGGTACTGCCCAGCCGTTCCAGGCACCCGACCGTCGTCGCATGGGAAACGCGACACGCGCAGGGCAATGCCGCTCAACGGCGGCCCACCGTGGAGACGAGAGCCGCATGGTGAGCCCTAGAGCAAGACCGCAGACGGCATACGAAGGGTCTCTGTTGGTGCTTATCGATCGACAATGCCCAGAACACTCTGCCTCAGAGACACTAGATGGCATGAAGAAGGCACTGAAGAGGCGTGTTCATGCTTTCCGTACGAGTAAGGCGTAGCAGACGAGAGGCTGAATCAGACAACGCAGAATAATCGAATCACAGATCTGTCAGAGATCCGGATAACTCCCGAGTGCTGAGGATTTTGTTTCAGGAAGCCTTTTCTCATGAAAATATCACAGTAAACCAGGGTTCACTCTCTCGAGGGTGGACCCGTTGTGAGAGGTGCCCGCGCCAAGAGACCACGTGACCCTGCTAGCGCGGGTCGCTCCTGCCCTTGCCGCCTCCACGCGATCGTCATTGCTGCCGAGTCGCTAGATGCGCCGCAACATCTGAACGCGCGCAATACTCACTTTCCTCCCCGCCTTCTGTGGAAACACTTCGCCATGGCGCAAGAGTTGCAGAAACTGAAGAACGACATCTGGTACGCCAAACAGGCTCTGGAGAAGCAGGAAGCAACCCACGCTGAGTGGTCCGCCCAGGTAGGTTGTGTTACCGAGCATGGACTTGTCTTTGCTATCGAAACGTCTATATGCTGACAGCACCACAGTATGAACAGGTCCAGAAGATCCTCGAGGCCGACCCCAACAACGAAGATGTCGCTGCCATGGTCGCAGAAATCCGAGAGGCTATGGAGCAAGAAGAAGTCAAATTGGCGCCCCTTCGCGAGCAATTGAAGGCGCTTGAGGCCCAGCTCCCCGAGGGCAACGCCGCCCCAGAGCGCAAGTACGATCCCGAGCAGCATCCGGTCCTCAAGAAGACGTTGGAGAAAGCCGAGCCAGCTAAGGCTGTGGTGTACAATACTGGTGATGTTATCGAGGCACGATTCTTCGACGGTCTCTGGTACAAAGCTAAGATCATGACCATCCTTGGATCCTCCTCCGCACCGAAGTACAAAATCAACTATGTCGAGTACAACGAAGATGCGACCGTCGATCGCGATGCTATACGCCCGGTTCAGAACAAGCGCAAGAGGGATACAGAGCCTGCGCCCGCTCCAACCCCTGCTGCTACCGCTGCTTCTCCTGTCACCTCTACCCCGCATGTGATTTCCGGGCCCGCGAGCGTCAACCCGAAAGCGCAGAATGCAAAGCAAGACCCATTGGGCGAGAACGCTGAACCCAAGAAGCGCAAAATACCCAATAAGAAGCAGTTGGAGCAGAAGGTGAACAACTGGAAGAATTGGAACAGCAAGGGTGTCGGCAAGAAGATTTCGCAGAAGGACTCCATGTTCCGCACTGGAACGAATGTCAACAGCAGGGGTGAGTTATATCCAGGCGGAGGGGTATAGACGAGTGCTAACGTGTCATAGTCGGCTTCACGGGATCCGGCGGCGGGATGACCGAGACTTCCAAGCGTGTCCGATACGACAATAAAGCAGCATACGATGCGGACAAAGAGCAGGACTAGGTGCCCTGGCAAAAGCATCCCTATCGATATGAGAGCAGAGCAGCAAGGGAGGCGGACATAGCAGCAGGTTACATTGCTCGCGCCTATTGACATCTTCCGTTACTAAGGCGGTCCGTATCCGCTCTCGTTGAGGGAACTACGCTGATTATTTCTAGAGTCTTGCATAGTCCCTCCTCGCACGCGCTGACTGCATTATTGTCGGCTCATTACACATTTTGCATATCGGCGTTATGGAATTGCATCGGTATGACTTTCATGCTCCACCTCTACCCGAGAGCTCTCACCACTAAGCTTGCGCTTCCGCGATAGGAACGGCGTATTATACCCAAGTGCTTTGGCATACTCTAGCCTGACCAACATACATCGAAGGTAAGCCTATTGTCTTTTTGGGCGTTTCTCCCCGGAGGATGCACACTGGACAGGCAAGGGCGCATTGATGGCTTGATGGAAAATGGCATGGTTACTTTACAGATCCAGGATCTGCTAATGAAGATGGTGATTCACATCAAGCTGCACGTGGAACTCAAGTGTATACGATCCACAAACCCCTCAGATCCTGACCCACGTCTAATCTCTCCTTTGTTCCCTTCTCCTTGCCCTCTCTCGCCTTCGCCTTCAGCACTACGTCGCCGTACCAGAAGTCCCTTCCACCCTTGTTTACCTTCTCCCTTTCACCTTCCCGCGACGCCACTATCAACTTCACAGTCGTACCCCTGTCCTTGTCGCCCAGCTCAGGCACGTCCACAACGCGTTGCGCGCCGAAGCACGCGTGCGTGGTGTCCGCGTGCTCGAGGTCGGTAAGCACGGTGCGAAAAGTTTCTTTTTGCTGCTCCCAATGCCTGATGCGCGAGTTCGAAGTCAGTTCCGTTCAGAATCGCAAGGTAGGTAAGACCTCAGGCACGCTGTCAGAGTCACACGGGCATTACATACCGCTTCATCCTTCACAAGCACGCTGAGCGAATGCACGCCCAGCACGCCGGAGGGATGCGTCGTCCGCTCCTCGCTCAGCGGGACGCGCACGGTGCGCGGTGTGACATCGTGGCAGAAGAAGGGGACGAGGCCGCGGGTGGATTGGCCGCCGTGGGGGCCTTGGGGAAAGGTGACGGCCCATTTTACGGTTGTGCCGTCGGGGCGCTGGCGGCTGCCGTGGAGGGGGGCTTGGTGGCTTGCACGGATGGGTGCGTGGTTGGCGGTGGGGGAGAGCGTGTTGGTGAGACACCAGTCGGCCCAGCCGGGGTGCGCGGCGTAGTAGGACCACCAGTGGGAAGAGATTTTGTCGGGGGGTGCGCTGGGGACGAAGGAGATGAGTTCGATGTAGCAGCCGTCGGAGAGGAGGATGAGGGTGTCTGGGTGGAGGAGTTAGCGGAGATGGTGGGGAGGGGAACTAGAAAGGGCGGTGGTCTTGTGATGGGACGGGGTGAGGATGGAAGAGGCATTGGAGATGTAGGAGGTTTTGGTATTGGATCGTGTGCTTGGTTTCCCGTGTCGGGTCAAGCGGGTGCATGTGTTGAAAGTTGGTGGATTGAAAACGTCTTTTTATGAAAGGAATTTCTTCTGGAAGGGGAGATTCTCTTTGAATGGAACGAGAGTTTAAACGAGGAAGTAGGATACTAGACATTGAGAGGGGCGTCACAAGAGGATAAAGGAAAATGGAAGGAAGTATTAGGGAAGTAGTCTGCGTACTCGACGTTAATCCATCGGCATGCGTGCCACCCGGCGTGAGCGTAAAGTTGTCACTAATGAAAGAAGGGATCTTGGGGAGGTTTGTCTCAGGGTCGGCGGGTAGGAAGAGGATGAGGTGGTCGAGGGCGTTTTTCGGTACGTTTTGTGCCATTGTCGCGGTGCTTGGTCTAAGGTGTCAGTAAGAGATGGTAGAGTCAATAGGATGGTACGCGCGGGAAGAGACATTACTAACTAGGAGAAAGATTCCGACGAATTGAGTGGCGCTCGTTGCGATTGTTGAATTGAATGTATCCCAGGTCCGTTATATGAAAGCCGGGATATCAACGAAGGGGCGTGGAGGTGGAACCTGACTCACCACCGCCTGAGTCGTAGTGCTCGCAATGCTCGGATGTTCTTTCCTAATTAGTATAGAGTGGGATATACATCCTGTGCTTCTACGATGTAAAATCCAATACCTTTAATCAAGCGTCAATGTTTAATGCTTGCGCTGGCAGCTAAAGTAGTTATTAAGTAAATATCCTCTATTGCGTGCTTGCCTGTGGTATGATGTTGAGTCGGCCCTGCTCCTTATAACGCCAAGGATGAGGGGCGGCGCCTTTACTAGGGAGCAGCTTCCTCTGAGCACCGTTGACATGCGCCCCCAGTTGGATACCCTCTCAAACACAGCATGATGGCTGACTCGCACGTAGTACTATGGTATAATTCCCATCTCCGGTTGACACCAAGAAACGTGCCAAGTCGCCGAAGGATCGCCCCTAGCATCACAGCATGGCAAAACCGCACAGCCTCAATAATTTCCCTAACGAGCGTGTGTTGACGTCGCCGCGCCAAAGTTCTTGCTCTGCATCAAAAAGCGGGTGCTGCATAGAGCACAGTTCGACACAGTTGTCGACCTCCATGCGATTGCGCCATTATGAAGAAGCGGTCTCGTGCTTGTCAAGAATGTCATCGATTAAAGATCAAATGCGATCTAAGTACCTCCCCTGCAGGAGCGGCATGCGAGCGATGCACCCGCAACAACCTGGAGTGCGTGCCATCCGCGCCACGTCTGCAGCGCGATAGAATCAGTGAGCTCGAAGCCGAAGTCGACGAGCTCAAGCGTACGCTGCGGGAGCAGAGCAGTAGCACAACCACTACTTCAAGCATATCACCCGGAAGTCTACTGGAGGACCACGACGAGCTTATTCTATCATTTCTGGACGCCCGCATACCGCTGGGAAGACAACAAGACTTGCTCCATCTCTTTACACAAGAGGCAGGAGCGACATGGCCTGTAATCCGGCTATCTACCGACTTGGACCAGCTGCGCGTAAAATCTCCGATCCTACTGCTCTCCGTTTTGACATATACTGTCACGCACAATGCGCAAGGCACAGATCTTGAGATACACGATGAGCTCGTGCGACAAACAGTACACATTCTTGGTGAAGAGGTCATTGGCAGAGGGGAGAGATCCCTTGAGCTCGTGCAGGCGCTACTCGTGGCTTCCTTCTGGAACAAAAGTACGCGAAGAGGGGCCCAGGGGAGCTGCTATCAGCTCATACAATTGGCTGCTGATATGGCCGTTGACATCGGGATTGCTGGACCCTCCCTGCAGCCCTCTCCTGTGGCGTTCTTTAGCCACCACGAGGATCCAACATCACTTGAAGCACGGCGTACCTGGCTAGCCTGTTTTGTGGCACTTGCGACATCTTCCTTCAGTATGCGTCGGCCTAATACAATACCGTGGAATCCACACCACCACGAATGCCTATTAGCCCTCGAGAGTGGAGGGGACCCGTCTGACGTTTTGCTTTGCCAGATCGTTCGCATCATCCAAGTGATGCAAGAGATACACGACCAGTTGGGTTTATGCCAAATATCCGCTTTCTTAGACGGCAATGACTACGCTATATACGCTGCAATGGACACTCTGAAGAGCAGAGTAGACATGTGGGCAGCCCAAATACCACCTGACCTCACGTCATCACAATTGCTAAAAGTTTTGTACCACGTGGCCATGGTCTTTCTCTACGAACCTATACTGCACACGCCTACCAATAAAGCAGCATTCGTACCGCCGTTCATTCCACAGCGCATTCCCGTCAAAGACTTTCCAAAACCCGCCAATGTCATTTTTCCTCTGAAAATAGCGCTCGAAAGCCTTGTGCAGAACTGCCACGGCGTCATTGATACTGTCGCAGGAATGGGTCCTTCGATGGTGCTTGACCTTTCTACGTTCTCCTTTACGCCAATGGTGCTTTACTCCCTCTTCATGCTGGTCACAGTCATGGTGGCGGCGACCGACCCAACGAATACGTATGGCCAATGTCTACCAAGAGATAGCTTTCGCATTGAGGAATACGGGTTGAAGCTCCGGCAATTGACATCTTCAGTAAAAGCTCTCGACCCAACCTTCAGTTGTTACACAACTCGCATGATAGACGCGACAGGTTGGCTTGAGCAATGGTATATCGACTATCTCGCTATCCTCCGGCGATATGAGGCAAACCTGGCAAATTAGCATGTATCAGAGGGACGCTAGATGTCAATTGCACAAAGTGGTGGAAGTTAGAAGACTGGGAAATACAACATGAACAGGATCGTGGACACATAAGAACGCAACAAATGTAGCCCATGCATTAACCTCCGCAAAAACCACCACGTATGCAGGCAGTGTTCGCTACTTCGGCCAAGTTTGACCGTTCCCGAGTCGGGCGTAATGTAAGGTGGGGTCGGCAAGATTTCACCGTTTTCTCGCGCGTACCTTGAACGCTACCGATTGGTCCCCGCGAGGCTGGGCAATGGCTGTGCACAGTGATGTGAACGACCCGAGCACTACATAACATGCATTGGGCCAGAATGAAACCACTTATGCCAGGGCCGCTACCGGATTCGGGCAGAAGGTAACTCTTGTGGTATACAATGTCTAAGCGCTGCCTTATACGCGAGCCCCTTCACCGGCAGCCGGGCGTAATGGAGCAACAGGGTTAAGAGGTAAACACACGATCAGTTGGCTTTACATGGAACTGGAGCTTCGATAATGAACGTCATGACTGAGTGAAATGGGAAGAATGCGTCTCGGTCGGTCGTCGGCGCTCGCAGTCCGTATGAGGCTGAAGGTATCTTGCATTCTACATGAATGTATAAAGAGCATGTTGGAAGTTCATCGGCAACAACATCACATCACGGCCTTCGCCCCTTCGCCTTCATACCTACCTGGACACCAATACATCTCGCGCTCACCACTGTATATTCGAGTTCTTCCACGATGCGGCCATCTCTTCTCTCCTACGCCTTCATGGTCGGCTCTTGCCTGGCTCAGGGCGACCTCGCTGGGCTTCTTGCCTCTCAGGATGACCTCAGCACGCTCCTCGAGCTCGTTGGTCTTGTGCCTGGACTTGCGGACAAGCTCGCCGCTGCTTCCAATATTACCATCGTAGCACCAACGAACGAAGCCTTTGCTGCAGTACCACGAAACGTTCCAGAAGGTGAAGCCATCGAGCAAAAGAACGACACCATCGCAATCGGAGCTCTGCTCGCGAACCACGTATTCAAAGGAGTTTACCCATCAGCTGTCATCACTGATATTCCCACGTTTGCGCAAACCTTGCTCAATAGCTCGTATATCATTCCTCGACAGCCTTTTTCCAACTTTACCGGTGGCCAATATAATGGACTTGTGAAGAACGGCGACGATGTGTGCATTTTGTCAGGAGAGCAGACTATTTCGACTGTGACTGAAGCTGTTAGTCATATTTCTACCCCCCATTAGCATTCCACGTAGCACTAACTCTGCAAAAGGACATCAAGCTAGGCGAAGGCATCACCATCCACAAAATCGACACAGTCCTATCCTTCGGCGCCCCCCTCCAACTCTTCACCTACCGCGCAGGCTTCCTCGCCATGAACGTCGCTCTCGAAGCTGCCGATCTCGGCATCGACATCGGCTTAACGGGCGCAGATAATCCAGGCCTCAACATCTCCGACTACACCATCTTTGTACCTACCAACGAGGCATTCGAGTCGATCGGTTCCGTGCTAGAATCCGCAGATAAGAAAACCCTCCAGGAGGTGCTCAAGTACCACATCATCCCCAACAACGTCATTTTCTCGCCTTCGCTGGGAAACGTTACCGTTCCGTCGCTGCAGGGCGATAATCTGACTTTCACCGTGCTACCGGATGGCTCGGCCTGGGTCAACAACGCAAGGATTACTTTCCCCAACTCGATCCTCTTCAACGGCATCGCCCATGTGATAGACAGTGTACTGAGCCCCGGCGAATTCGACCGCGCCTCTTTGACGCCCAAGGCAAACGCTTCGGAGCGCGTCGCTTTCCCCAGCGCTTCGTCTGTGCCTATCTCGGAGCTGCCCTTCTCGAGCATCGCGTTCCAGGGTGACCAGGAGACGTATTCGACGACGCCGGCGCTGCTTCAGACGTGGATTGCGGTGGCGACGCCTACTGCGAGTGCGTCTGCTACGGGTAATGCGTCGGGCCAGGGAACTCCTGCTCCTACTGGACAGCAGCAATTCCCTGGAGCTGCTAGTGGCTTGGTTCCTGTTGCTGCGCTGGCCTTGTCTGTTGCGGTGGGTGCGGCTGCGGTGCTTCTCTAGATTTTGTAATTAGATGGTGGATATATCTAGGGGTTGGGTGCTACGTAAGAGTGGGAAGCTGAGGGCAAGACAGAATGCGATTGAGCGAGAGCCAAGGAGAGGGGGTGTGCTGGGGTGGATGTAATGGACGGTGGTTTTTGACATTGCATTAGTAGGATATCGAGAAGTGGGCATTTTTAATATAGATTCCGAATGCGACTTGCCGTTGCTGCTCAAGGTCAGCTGCTGAAGTTGCTTGCTGAAATCGATCACAATGCATATCCGCAAAAGCCTGTTAATTACGTACTTCTCTTTCAGCACTTTTACAACGGGCTGCCAAGGAAAGTTCATGGGACATGCTATGATTGAATTGGGTTGTTGTTATGTGGTGGTGCCTAAGATGGAATCGTGGTACGCGAAGCGCAAGTACGGACTCATTTTCGCGCTTAGGGTACTACGCCTTATCATACCGAATGTGGAGCTTCGCTGTGCATTTCACCCATGCCATTTAGGCTGATGCCTTGAGAGGTTGTCTGCATGCGTTTGCACAGCCTCCAAGCACAGCCACCGATCCTCAGACTCACCGGATCTTGAGTTCTATAGAACCCGCCCATGGATTTTTTTAGTTGATTGCAAGAGAAGTTAAGATATTTTCCATCGCTGGAATTGCACGACAAGGTACAGAGAGTTGCGCGATACGATGGCCTCTCAGAAGTCTCATTATAAGCGTTTTGGCAAGAAACCGAAAAACTTCTACCCTTCGCCTCTTCGAAAAGTCATTTACCACCTCTACCACCCTTTGGGACCACGTCGTTCCAAAAGAATCAAGATGGCCAAGTCTCGATTCTTCGACCTTCCTCGAGAGCTTCGAGACAACATATACGAACTGCTCCTGACAGAGAATCAAAATCCGGGAAGCACCACCCCTTCCTTCCATTTTATGCCGCTGCTCAGATTTCAACTCGTTAATCGGCAATTCGGAAAGGAGTACACCGAAGCAATCCTATCACATTCAACCATGGTCGCCTATCAGCCGAATAACCCGCGACACAACTACAAACAGTATATCAACCAAGTCGGACATATTCAGGTATATTTCAGGGTGACTTGCGAGGCCAGTCCAACAGGTGGCTCCAAGAATTGCCATCCAAACTTGTCAGAGGTCGAAATCGATGATGGCACGGACTCTAAGCACTCATTCACGTGTGGAGGTATCACAGAGGCTGCGGAGTGGGTCAACAGGCTGCAGCAAGTCCAGCCGAATCTTCCTTATCACCAAAAGTTGGACTTGCGCATTGGACTTTACTGGTGTAGTGACGAGGAATTTGCGTGGCCTCGACACATCCATGCTCCAGGACTGCAGTATCAGTTAGATGCCATGACCAAAGCGTCGTCCAATGTGAACAGCGTCGAGGTCGCGTTATTTGACTGCGATCCAGACTATGAGAGTTGGACCAAGAACGACTTGAAGATGGACCTGTGGGCAAAGTGGACGAAAAGCAGCGGGTGGCAGGCGGGAGAAGCGAAAGGAAGGAGAAAAGTCGACGCCGAGGGTTCTGAAAGAGATCTAGAGCGGATACGGCAAGACGAGCGAATGAGGGTCATCGGGCCCACGATGAGGTTGATGGACCCGTACTGGTAGTATACATGTGAGGCAGAGTGGCACGTGGCGATCCTTCCAGCGACGACTGGAGCAGTCTGTGGCGATAAAAGCCTTGCCTTATTGTCATTCATGAATTCTATTGGACAAAGAACCTGAAATTATCAGAGAAGTAGACTTTCTTATTCGAAGGCGCAAGGAACGTCAGGAGCCGAATTATAGGTAGCCGGCCCCCACGATGGCGCGTTGGCCTAATTGCAATAATGCGAGCAGTAGACAAGGCAATTATGTCAATAATACTCGTAAGATCCAATGAGATCCTTAACCTGCCTTGTATCAACGAATAGTAGGCTTTACGAGGGGTAATTCATTAGCGCTGTCTCTCGCGCGAATGCTACTGTTACTTCCACATGCCACAGGATCAGGAACATAACGACTACAACACTCGCATCCAACAAAGTCGTATGTCATCAATACAAAGTCGGCTCGACAAGGTAGACTGCCGGCATGCGTGCCGGCTGAATGGCGCATAAGGCTGAGAATTCTAGACACCACCCTCGCTTATCCTCCACGGACTTTCCTAGTACCCGGTTTGAAGTATTCAAGATGGTCTCGCACGATATGAAGTGGAATCGTTTCCTTCACCCGGACCGAGTTTTTCCATCCAGACCGTCGGTGTCCGAAACAGGAAGTCATGCTAATTCTACAGTCTCCCGTCCCGCAATTTCATGTGCGTATTACGTCGTCGGCATTTGCAGCCTTTTCAGAGAACTCCACAATATGCTAGGAACCGGTCTGTGCTTGCTCACCAAAGAAAATCTCACCTCAGGGCTGACTTACGCCCTGCGCCCAACGGGGTCAAGCGAAGCATCGTCGGGCGAACGAGGCGTTGTAGCCAGGCACAGGAACCTAGAGATCAGAATTTGCACACCTCGTTCGTAGATACAGAAAGCGAAAGATAGCGATATTTACGCAGCATAAAGCGTCCCTGAAGAGTCGAGAAGCGATAATCTTTCTTCATCTGATTCGCATGCCTTTACACATAGACAGTCAAGCAAACACAAGAGAGGCAATGTCAAGCTTCACAGGTACGGGCCATGCCGTCCGTACGCCACCTCTTCCCGTCGGTGGGTGGGGGCAGAGGCGTTCGCGCATTGTCGGTCAGTCCGAACTATCCTCCTATCCAAGGACTCCTTGGGTCACGCCCTCATCCCCTGGTGCTTAGTACTGGCTCTAGACATCGTATGCTACGCTCGAAATCCAGTAAGCCTGCCCCAAACCGGGTTCGGTTGCATCCACCAAGGGGTGATCGAATGATTACGACGCGTTTTGGGCGGCACCATGAAATCCTCTGTTAGACCGAGGCAAGCAGTCCGAGTCTGCAGCCATTCCCTTTGTGATAGATGTGATGTGCATATAAACTTGAGCAAGATTCCATGGTTTGCACTCCATCAGCAGGGTTCTTCGCTGAGCAAAAGGTCTGTTCTATAGCCAGTCTTCATATCCTCAATTGTGTGTTCATCCAAACACAATGTCTACAACTTCTTTGATTGCTTTGGCTTCACTTGCCGCCCCAATTCTGGCAGCATATCAGACAAAGTGGAACTTCAACTCGACGAATTTTTGGGATGGTGCCAATGTAGCACAGCCTGGTTTCCAGTTCATCAACGTGAGTAGACACATCAGCCGCTCAGATCCCTTCTTCACGAATTTATCAGACTTATTAATAGTCGGCTAATCTCTCAACTTCCATAGGCACCTGATACTTCCTTCACCCAAGGCTTCGCGCAATACGTGGGCATAGATGAGGCTCTTTCATCAGGACTAGCAAAGTACAACAGCGGCAAGGTCCGCTTGGGTGTCGACTCCACGAATAAATACAGCACTTCCAGCACGGGACGCAAAAGTGTTAGGCTCCAGAGTTACGGCTATTTCGACAACGGTCTGCTTGTGGCAGATTTTGCTCATGTGCCTGTCGCTGGATGCGGAATGTGGCCCGCCTTGTAAGCAGAATCTTACTTTGACAACCGTTCTTGATGGGATACGTGGACCTGCACCATGGCTGCGGTGCACTCTGTCGATGCGTCCCTGTCATAGTGTCTCTCTATTAAGGTGTGCTAACGTCTGCTAGCTGGGTCTACCAGGGCGAGGACCAGGCTGCCTACTCGGAAATTGACATCCTCGAGAATGTGAACGTTCACACAGCCAACACGCATTCGTTTTACACTTCTGAACAGTGCACCGTCAACATCCAGACAGGCAGCCTAGTGCCAGAAAAGTCCACCAACTGTCACTGGACCGCCAACGGCCCATCCTCTCAAGGCTGCAGTTTCAACGCACCGGAGGGCACATTTAACCAACCCTTCAACGACCAGTACAAGGTCATCGCGCTGCAAGTCGAAAGCGACCGCATCAGGATCTGGCACTTCAAGAAGACTGAGGTTCCCGCCGACCTGAGCTCCGCGAGCCCGAACCCAGATGCATGGACCAAAACACCTACTGTGCACATCACGCCTAAGAGCTGCAATTTCGCCCAGGCCTTCAGGCATTTCCGCATTGTAAGTGAAGAGTCCTATAGCGCTCTAGACGGCTCTTAGAGTCGGCTATCATGCTATGTTCTGTCCATTCGGAGTACTGACAGATATTAGATCATCAACATCACCTTCTGCGGGAGCTGGGCGGGTGATGACTTTGTCAACACGAACTACGCTGGCCAATGCAAGGCACAGACCGGCTCTACCGACTGCAAGTCCTGGGTTGCTAATAACCCGGGCGACTTCGTAGACACATTCTTTGAGTTCAACTCCGTCAAGTTGTTTCAAAGAACATAGGAACCTACATTGATGTTCTTTTCACAAAAGATGGCGAAACTGAATAGCTTTTCAATAGTTACTCGAGCAGATAGACAAGCAATCAAGGATAGTTCAAGAACTTTACGTTAGGTGAAGATTGAGAGCTTTTGTGACTCCTGCTGTTAGTCATTCATCGGACCCCTTGAAGCTATGGGAGGAAAGCGTGCTTGATTCACCACTCGGGACTAATCCACATGCAGTTAGCATAACCCACACTTCCCAGCAAAACACTTCTTGGTAACACGACTTCCTGTCGATCATTGTTAGGATACATAGGATTAAGTCAGTTTGTTCAAGGACCTGCAGCCTTCTTCCTACACACGTTCACGGTACGAGTTGACGTGACGATGTGCAGAGCTCTCTCAGGCATATACTCGGGCGCTATTAATTGAGATTCGGGATATCTCTTGCTTAGAAAACACGTCCCCCGAACAAGAGTACTAGAAAACCCTAAGTGTTGGATTGCTTGATCACCAGACATCAGCAATTGTAGACAAACATCTGCTCCTCACGTATATGAATAGCTCAGGATGCCTTCATACGTTCTATGTCGACTAGATCCAACACCTAGGCCTGCACTGGGCAACGCTGCTCTATGTATATATCTATACAATCTCTCGTGTCTCCCATAGACTGGGATATCTCCTGGGCTAATGTGCCAGAGTCTCAGATCAGCTGTCTATCGACTCATAGCCCCAATTCGTTATCCCTAAACCCTCGACGGTACTGAGCTTCGCACTCACCCCATCGACCCACTCACGAAATCCGGCCCGCCTTGCAGCCGAATTCAACATGCATTTTTCGCTGGCTCAGCACGCAAAACACTATGGGAAGAAGTTTGATCCGAACGATGTCATCCCCTGCTATGACTACGTGTCCAATACAAAAGCGCACTGTGGACGAACGCCTCGGCGCGAACGAGTTACTCATGCAGAAAGATAGGGTCTTTCGAGTCATCTGCAAGACCTTGGCAGATCTCTCTGAGCAGGATATCATGGTCGGATCCCACGACTACCGGGTCTATCCTCTTAATTGCTCAGAACCGCTATGGAATATGCGCCGCCGGATTGGATACATTAAGCACTATGTCTTCAAGGCGCGCGGAGCAATCTGTGGGAGCCACCGCTCATACCTGTGCGGTTTATGTTCGTTCCTGGGCAGGATGTTGTCACGGATTTCAAATCAGCTGTCTATTGATCCATAGACCCAATTCGCTAGATTGTTCTTCGAAAGAGTGAAATATTTGAGGGCGCACATTGCACTGATGAGTCACTGCAGTGAGTGATCGCAGCTCAGTGCTATCAAGCAGCTACATCGCGTACCATGGTTCCATCCTAGGCATCACCACTCAACAGAACACCAATAAGTCACACCAAAGCTATTCCTACAAACGTTACCTAACAGCACGTCATAAAAATGCCGAAAGAAGACTGATCAGTCATTATCAAGTCAGTGGAACGTCGTGTCGCACGGACCTCAGGGTGAATACCACACTTACACATGGTCCACTTTCCGATTTTAGCGTCTTGGCAAGGTCCGAGTCTTCTGATATAAACCCTCGACGACATTAGGTTTTACACTCACTCCAACTCCATCGATCGATTCATGAAATACGAGCCACCTGGGGCGCAAGCTCAACATGTCGGACACGTCGTCAAGTACTAATGGAACTACCGAGGAGTATCATGAGGGACACGAAAAAGAGAAGCCTGACGGTTATCAACTCGTGCGCGCGCATAATTACATCCGTCCCTGGAGTCACAAGGACCAAGCCTCAGCTGAAGAGAAGGATATAGTTCTGCGCATCATCTGCAAAACTATTGCAGACTTATCTAAGAAGGACATCAACGCCGCGGGGCATAACTACTGGGTCTGCCCTCTAAAGCCGTCTTCACCTCTCTCGGAGCCCTGTTTGGAGAATGATGGCGTCAAGCGCTATATCCTTACGGCGGAGTATAACGCAGGGCAGATTACTGGCTATTACTCCGATTCATGGTTTGTACACGTCCGCATGAGTCCGGCTTCTGAGAGTCTGTCTCACTAGTAACATCGAAGTTCGTAACGAGCACGGGTGGGTTCCGCTAACACAGTGGCTGTTGGAGCATGAGCGCGAAAAGCAGCTAAAGGGAGATATGGGCATCAAGGCGCAGCAAATCTGGTGGAAGAACACTGGGAAGCATTTCCCCCTAATGGCCTTGCCCGCTGAACTTCGCGCCCTTATCTTCCAGCAGACACTCGGAGGCAACATCTATCCCTCGTACTTCTACACCAGAATTGGTATTGAAACAGATATGGACAACATGGTAGATCCTGGTAGCAGTCCACATTGCCCGAACCCTGACATCCTGCTAGCATCAAAGCAAGTATACAAAGAAGCCCGAGAGGCGGTTTGGGAGGGTACGACCAAGCATTTCTGCTTCGACTCCCATTTCGAGGAAGTACTGTCGTACCCATCATTGTGGCCGACGTATAACTGGCTCACTTCAGTCCAACTGTCATTCCCCCTTGACGAATACTTCACCTTTTTCGGAATAGAAATTGGGCCTACTCTCCAATTCCAGCCGAACGGGGGACCCGCCGAACCTGTCAAATCACTACATTCTCTACGGGAAATCGAACTCTACTTCGCCCCTCTGACACGCCTGAAGAACAATCCTTGGCTGGAATATCGTAGGGAATACGGCTCTCAATCTTGGTTTTATAATGCACCAAAGTATCGCGACATGTCAGTTCACCCTTGTATGAAGGCTGTCGTAGATTACGTCGCTCTTGGAGCATTCCCTTACCTTAGGCACATTCCACGAGTCAACCTGATCGGCGCCGTCAAGTCGTCCATCAAGAAGAAATGGCGACAAATATACGATCAAGCGTACGCGAACAAGAATTATGGCTACGAGGTCGTTGGATTCGACTATGACGAAGAGGTCGCGAAGCTCTCCACTCGCATGGCATACGAGTAAGTCACCCACCTCTTTGTTATCAAGCTTGATGCTAATCATGATCAGGACACCGGAGTGTACCTGTCCAGCGTCTTGTTCCCCTGAACATGCACCAGGCCATTTAGGCCGCGACGACTTTGATCGGGATGACAGCTACGTACCCTTCCCTTCGATTCCGGACGAGGATTTTTTGTGGAAGAATGCGGAGCCACAGCGCGAGTACTTTAGTCCGTCAGTCTCTAGCAGGTGAGGACATTTTAATCCTAGTCTTTCGATGCCTCCAGCTCACCAAGACAGGGTTTCACCTAGTGTCCATCACTGACGCTTTGGAGACACTTCACATGACAATCCTGGCGACATGACTATTGACAGCAAAAACAACGACTGCGCACTTGCCGACCCCAGGACTATTGGGATGCACTTTGTTCTTTTCTTTTCGAGCGCGAGAATTAGGACATTTAGTTTTACGGCATTCTGTGTTTTCTTAATGGCAGCATGATGTTGATCTGTTTTCTCTGCGGTTTCTGCATGTTTCTTACTTGCAATCCTCTAGATAGCTCAATTTCCCAAAATGCAAATCCTCTCATTACCAATTTCATCTGCTCACATAGCCAAAGCAATGTCCCAGTACCGATGCTTTGCAAAGTTCTTCGCCCAGCCCTTCTCTTAGCTCTGGGCCAAGTTTTGATTCATTTGATTGGATTTTCTAGTTAATTCCACCCTGTATTTAGCTACACAAGTTTAGTACATCTATTTGCACGTCTACTATGACCAAAGATAGCCATGCAATAAGAACAAGTCAATCATAGAGTTCATATGCTATAAAATCTAATAAAGTCAACAGAATTGGCCCAAAGCTATGATAAGACGTGGAAGGACTTTTGTCATCGACCATAACTTCGAGCCATCACAACATTCGCCAAAACGAACCTTGTCTAACTCTCAAAACCCACCCTGGCAAAACCTCAGACCCTTTCCCATAAACACACAGCCATCCTGCTACAACGCTACACGCCCCCATGTCTTTTCCAATAGATAGTACGCACTCCTCCGACCTGCCATTCTGAACCAAACCCTTGCACCAACAATGATCGCCAAAGCCAAGCGCAACAAGGGCCCGGCGTAACTCTCGCTTACCCGCAACCCCAGCCCTACAAAACCATACAGCGCCACAAAAGAGGTAACCCACGCCGTGCCCACCTTCCTAATGCACAAAACCACAGACAATCACAAACATTGAACCCAAGACAGGCACCACATACAAAGCCCCCCTAGCACATCTATCTTTCAAGGTTCACTTTCGCTCAATAAATTGCGCCCCTCACACCGCTCACATCCCACGTCACCGAAACACCATACCCCCTACTTATCTCCCCGCCCACACTCGCTCCCAGCTCAACATGAAACTCACCCCCCTCCTAAGCCTAGCCACACCCGCATCCGCCGCCTCCTTCGCAAATTGCAACGCCTCGCAGAGCGCCGCGCTGGAGAAGGCTATCGCCCGCGCTACGGAGCAAGCCTACGCCGTCGTCGTCCACTTGGAAAATGACCCCTCTGGCAGCGCGTTGCAGACGGCGTACTACGGGACGTTCGACACAGGACGGTACACTAAGATCCTGACCGCCTTCCGCAAGATGGCCCCGGATTTAGATGGTTTTACGTACGACTGTTCGTGTGAGAGCGAAGTCGTGATTGCGCATCCGAGCAGTACCTACGGGCACGTTACGCTGTGCAGCGTGTATTTCGACGAGGGGGTCATTCCCGCGGAAGGATATAGGAGTCGGTGGAGGTGAGGTTTTTCTTTTTCCCGTTTTGCATCGCGTCTTGGAGGAGATGTGGGCACGTTTTCTGGGATTTTAAGCTTGCTTGCTGGAGGGAGGGGGAGGGCTGAGGCTGACGAGCGCAGTACGCTTGTGCACGAAGCTACGCATCTTAAGGAGCTGCTTGGGACGCATGACTATGGGTATACGCCTGAGGTGTGCAAGCAGATAGCCAGGGAAGATCCGGTGGAGGCGGTGGATAATGCGGAGTAAGTCTATGCGTAATGTGTAGGGGGGTGACTAACTTGGGTAGTAATCATGCGAATTTTGCGGTGGAGGTGTGATTTATCAGCTTGGATAGTTGGAGAGGGTTACAGAGGTGGAGGGCTGGGTCTGGTGCGTAGTCTCCGGGTGAGGTGTAGAAGTAGAATCATTGCATTGCATCTGCCCTTGCTGTGCGAAACCCGATAGATGACAATTCAAAATGGTATCACATCACCAGACAACATAGCACAACCCACGTAACCCCTCCCTACCTCTTCTCCCCCCTCCCCAGCACAACATTAACTACAGAATTAACCCTCGAGCTAGCCTTGCTCTTCTTCCCCTTGTCAAAGATGTCATCGATCTCCTCCAAACTCAGGCCCCTCGTCTCAGGCATCCACAGAAAACACACCACGCTCGTCACAAAGCAGCACCCCCCAAACAAGAAGTAAACCCCGCAGCTCGACCGCGTCAAAAAGATAGGCGTCGTAAACGCCACTATCCAATTGACAATCCAATTCCCGCTCCTCCCCAGACTACTCGCCGCCGCGCGTGTCTTCATCGGCTGCACCTCGCTTGCGTAGATGCTGATGGTGACGGCCCACGTGCCGGAGTACACAAAGGTAAACAGGAAGATGAAGACGACAACGACCCAGCGGGCGGCGCCGCGGTCGCTGTGCACGGCGTTTGCAGCGTACAGCGCGCCGATGACGAGCATGACGGCGGTGAGGACGAACCCGCCGTAGATGACGGAGGCGCGACGCGACCAGCGGTCTGCGAGGAGGATGGCGGGGATGGTGGTTGCGAAGATGACGACGCCGGAGAGGCCGGAGGCGAGGAAAGAGGAGGACTCGCTGACGAGGCCGGCTTGTTGGAAGAGGAGAGGGGCGTACTGTATGTTAGATTAGCGAGGCGTCTCGTCTTGTAGATAGGTAGGTAGTCCAGTCAGCGACTTACGTAGAGGACTCCATCGATGCCAGACAGCTGCATCATGCTCATCATAAAGACGCCGAGGGCAGTCGGTTTCCGCGCGTCCTTCGTGAAGACCCTCAGCAGCATGTGCACGTCCTCTCTCACCGTCTGCCGCGTAGTCGTCGGCCTCAGCGCAAGCGGCTCCATGTTCAGCCCGGCCTCCGTCTCCAGCTCTCTCGCCTCTGCATCCTCGAGATCCTGTCCAGGACGAATGCCCAGCTTCTCCCACGCGTCGTCGACCTCGTCCATCCTGCCCTTCGCCTTGAGCCATCGCGGCGAGTGCGGGAGAAACAGAACAACTAGCGCTCCCCACGTAAACGCACATAGCGCGTGGAATGCGAACGGCAGCCGCCATGCGAGCGACGACTCGATGTTGACGGTGCCGTAGCAGAAGAAGTACCCCACGACCAGCGCGAAGGTGATGAAGAACTGCGGCGCGGAGGCTATCACGCCACGCCCCTTCGCAGGTACAATCTCACAGATGTACACCACAGTCGTGCTCAGAAAAAGGCCCTCGCCCGCGCCGGTGATGAAGCGGCCGATGAAGAGCATGGCGAGATGAACGGAGCCTGCTTCGATAGCTGCGCCTGCGCCAAAGACAGCGGCGCCAATGGCCATGCCGAGGGGTCGTCCCACGGTATCAGCGAGGTGACCGGCCATGAACGACGAGAGAGCGCCGGTGATGAGGATGGAGGAGACGATGAGGCCGTGGACGGTGGCGGACAGTTCTCCAAAGGTATCTGAGAACTGCGACATGGCTGTCACAGGGCCTATGGTTCCGGTATCGAGGCCGAAGAGAAAGCCGCCCACGCCGGCAAGAATGGACGCAAGCACATATCGCGGTGGGTGAAGCGCACTGCTCAGAGCGTGCTGTGCTGTCATTGCGATTTGCGTTGGGAGTTGTGTAGCAGCATTTTCGACGGTACGATGTGGTAGATATACATTGTCGGCTTACTCGAGAGCCTTAGTCCAAACTTTTTAACGGGTCTGCTAGTCCTCCCGTCACCCCTCAGACGCGTCTAAACCCCTCTTCACGATGATTTTCTCATAAGTATGCGGTGTGGCCGTTCAGGTGCTTGAATGACGGCTTCCCATTGGGCTGGGGTGTGGGTACACTGATAAGGGTTTGCATTTTGCAAGTGTTGGGGCGAACTGCGGTATGGTGGGCTCGTCACGATAGTATGGGTGGTGTTCTCGGCAAAGTTGCTTCGGCAGCGGAGCTTTTTGCCATGTGCAATTCTGTCGGCTCACTGTCCGCCGACACCTCACTCAATCTCACTGGGCGTACAACAATCAGCATACTTCCCAGCAACTCGACAAGAAGCTCATTAAATCAATTCACCTACAAGAAAAGCTTTTTGCCATGCGCAATTCTATCGGCTCACTGCCCGCCGAGACCTCAATCTCATTGGGCGTACAACAACAAAAAGTACTTTGCCATGCGTAGCTCCTATCGGCTCACTGTCCGCCGACACCTCAATCTTCACTGGGCGTACAACAATCAATAATGTGATCGTCTACTTCCCAGCAACTCAACAACAAGCTCGTTAGATAAACTCACCTACGAAAACGTTATGTCCTCTCGACAACAAGCTTATTAAATAAATTCACCTACAACAAGTCATCCACCATCCCCGGAGCTTTTTGCCCTACGCAGCTCCTTTCAGGCATGTAACAGCGCTTCCAATCACCCCCTTCGTCACGTCGGGTGGGTTCCAGATTTCCAAGATTATTTTTGTGGGCGTTGTGCAGACGTGCGTGCAGACGGGAGGCCCACACCTGGTGGATCAGGATGGCTTACTGCGTGTGGTTAGCTCGAGACCCTGCATCTTCTGATGTGAGTGTAGACTCGCCCGGGCGCATGTACTTCATTCAGGTGCGGTGTACAGCGCTCGGAACGTCTAGTCATGAGAGGTTTGGTGAGTGGCTGACAGTCACAGTGGGTCAACAGCTGACGATCCGCCTGTTAGCAAGCACTGTGGTGAGCTTCTAGATATATGAGCATAATGCGATAAATAGACGCTATCCAAGTATAATATACAACAACCAGTCTACCCCATTCCGTCAATACAACCCACATGCCAATCCAGTTCTTTCTCTTACGCAGTGATGCCATCAAGCGTCCGACATCCGCTCACTGGAGAAGCTTAGAACTGCACGCCCTCCTTGTGAGCCTTGGCAAGGAACTTGCCCACCTCCGGGCCCATGATGGCGAACACCTCAAAGGCCAAGACGTGAACAAGGACAAAGGCAAGCGCGGCAATGCACACGAAGCCCTTGATGTAGAGCTTGATCAGCCTGCGACGAGCCTCCCAGTTGAAGCTCCTCCAAGCATCCATGAAGCTAACGCAGCCGGTTCCGCCGAGAACCTTGGCGACGACCTTGCCGCCAAAGGTGCGGTCAAAAGGTACAATGGTGTCCTGGTCCTCGGGCAGGATCGAGGCCTCGACGCGGATCTGAGTAACAACAGCGGGCATGCACAGGAAGAGAGTGCAGCACACGGAGATGGCGACCACGGCAACCCAGCGGAAGATGAACGACGCCCATTGTCCGCCATTGTAGGCGTCGAAGTCGTTGCGGCGAATCTCACGTTCGAGACCGAACCAGGACACGAATCCCATGGAGAGGAAGAGCGAGATGTACGGCATGGTTGCGGCGACGGCAGCGGGGAGCGCGAGGGCCTTCCACTGCTTACGGCTGGGGATGCGGCTCCAGAAGCTTACGTCGCTGGGCGTGGAGATGACCTTGTGAGTCCATGCGGCGTGCAGGTTCGCGGTAGCGGCGCCAGCGATGGCGGCAATGAAGACGGTGCTGATGGGGAGGAAACGCGGGAAGAAGGCCTCGAGCAGACTGGTCATCCAGCCAAGCGCAAGAGCGTAGATCATCTGGTAGCGGAATCCCCTCCATCGAGCGAACTTGCCAGCCTCTGCGGTGAGGTGGCGGATGGTAGCGCGGATCGACGAGGTGATGGGCTTCTGGTGGACAAGAGTAATTTCGGTACCGGTCTCTAGGAGGCCTTCCTTTTCATCTTTGGAAGCGGGCTCGTCGTGGTTGGATACCGTGATTGCGGCGGCGGGGGTCTCGACCATGGCGAGCATGGGGAGCACATCTGTGAGCGTGTATTGGACCTGGAAGTATCGTTAGCGGAGCTCCGAGAGTAGCGACGGTCGCAGTGACAGACGTACCAGCGTGATAGCCAGCATAGACGCAATGAAGGTCACGATCAGTATCGCAGCGCCCCAGGTGGGCATCTGCAGCTGTGGGTGGTCCTCCTGCGCGCGCTTGATGAAGGCCGGGGCATGTTGCACCGTCCGACGGGTGATGTGTTGGATCATGTTTGCGAAGAACAAAGAAAAGCAGAGTCGAAAGGGTATTACAAGTACTACGAGTGGTGTTGACAAGTGGTAGGTTTAAGGAGCGTGGGCAGAAGGGGTGGTGAGACGAGGGGCGGAAACACGGCGTGAGTACGGACGAGTGCTGTTGGAGGAGGCGCAGTGGACACGGACCATTCGACGCTTGACGCAACCTGCTGCCTAGCGCACGGATGCTCCTGCCGAGCCCCAGCATTTGCCCGCTCTGATTGGCCAGGGTTCACAACAAAGCGAGACTGGAGCGGCCTCACGAAGAGTAGGATCGCGCCCAGCCGGGTGCCGTGTTGCACCGGTGAAGGTGCCTGTCAAATGTCGACACGCGATGCTTGGAGTTAGTTACGCCGTCTGTCTGTCTCTCGTTCAGCATCTACCTGAAGCCGTGATCCGGGAACATCGCCGGTGGACTACTCCATGCACGTGCAGTGTGTTCAGCCCTGTCTTCCCTCAAGTGCTGCCAACGTTCCTCACCAAATCCCGTTTCCTACAAAGACCGCTTCACCACACAATACCTTCAGTCGGTTTCGCCCTCAGCTCAAAATGGAGGACTTCTTAGATCATCATCGTGACTGCTTCGGCGTATAATAACCACTTTCTCCAGTCATCCTACAGAACTTTTTCTGCATTACTTATGCCTCCCAAGTCTTCCCCAATACCTCACTCATCGCAACACCTTCTTTATCCCACCGTCCCCACCCCTTTCTTTATGCTCGACTTTCTCATAGTCAGTCCCGCGGCTGGCTTTATTGAAGTCCCGCGTAGTCCCCCGCACACCAACCTCACCAGCTCAGCGCCCCGTAAGCTTACCGTATCCGCCTACATGCACTCCTCAGCTCGATAGTCCACGGGAACTATCGTAGTCCATCGTATTCGTCGCCTGCACACCGCAACAGGTCATACCTAGCGAGAAGCGATAAAACAACTGCATACCTCTCGGGAAGGTCTACATCCTCCTACGTTATGTTATGCCTGTTCGCTCGCTTTCACTGCGCTGCGTCTGAACTGCGTCTGAACTGCACCGTGTGAACGAAGGATCACTACGGACGTTCCAATCCACCTTCCCAAAGCGCACACCCCGCCTTGCATCCCATCGTGCGAGACACATCGCTATAGATACTCCCGCGCCCGCGTACGAGTTTCCGCGACGCCTGGTGCGTAGAGCGCAACCATGCAGTTCGCAACGAGCATGTCGCCGTTGCCAGGTCCAAAGCCCAGCAGCTGGCGGACTCGCACTCGCGCCATCATCCACCGCCACGGCAGCATCGCCCTCATGCTCCTCGCACAGCTCACCTCCGCCATCCTAGCTACCATCGGCCGCGTCCTGCGCACAGGTCATGCCGCCGACGACAGTGCGATGGGCACCTCTGAAGTAACTCCCCCTTCCCTCCATGTCCAGATCTCTCCACCACACAAGACTAACACCGCAATGTATATAGATCCTCCTCACCATGATGCTCACCACCTCCCTCCTCTCCTGGCCCGCAACCTACCTCTGCCACCTGCCCTCCCTCCCCTCGGCCCTCCCGCTACCCGCCCCCTCCTCGCCCTCCGCGGAATAGCAGGCTTCACCGGCATCTGGGGCTTCTACTACTCCCTGCGATACCTCGCGCTAGCCGAAGCATCCATCATCAACTTCCTCGCGCCTATCCTCGCCGTCCTCCTGCTCGGCCTGTTCCCCGGCGCGGGGCTCTCCATCGCGCAGGTCCTCGCCGGGCTGATATCCATGGGCGGCGTCGTGTGCGTTTTGCAGCCGTGGAGCACCCCCGTCGCGTACACGGGCAGGGAACAAGCGCTGGCTATAGGCGCGGCGTTCGTGGGTGTAGCGGGGGGAGCAGTCTCGTATGTAGCGATGGCGAGGCTGGGCAACAGCGTGCACCCGATACTAACAGTGGCGTACTTCTCTACGTTCTGCGTCGTGCTCAGCGGGCTATCGCTCATCCTACAATGGGAGGCGCTCCGGCTGCCGACCACGGCGTTGCAGTGGGGTCTCGCGCTCGTGCTCGGCGTGCTGGGCTTTGCGATGCATGTGTTGCTGACGGCGAGCTTGACGTGGGAAGGCGACTCGAAGCGGCCGCTAAACTTTGTTTATACGCAGATTGTGTTTGCTATGTTGGCGGACAAGCTGATCTGGGGGGTTGCGCCCGATGGGTGGAAGTATCTTGGGGCGGCTTTGATCGTCTGCAGCGCCATATTTGTTGCCTCGACTAAAACGAGCCACCAGTACGCGCTCGTGGCCAGCGATGCTGGAGAGGAAGAGGACGACTTGGAGCTCGAGATCAACAAGGAACGCGCGGAAGTAGCGAAAGATGTAGAGCCTTGACACGAATAGACATCGATAGATGTGCTGATTGAATGTTAAAGTCTTGACAATGGAAATTAATCTGTCCGTGGCCCAGCGCGTTACACCTGCCATCTGTCGACGGGGAACTCACAATCTTCTGAACGAGCCGGCTTCGGAGCCAGAGGCATCGATTTAGCACAGGCACAGGCACAGGCAAGCAACGTGAGAACAAGATATGTATTAACGATCCCCAACACCTCATTACAGAGAACCGTCCCTTCCCATCCATGCCAACCGTTCCTCATGCCATCCATTCTTTATGCTCCGACCAGGAAACTCATACAATGAGACCCATGGCAAAAAAGGAAGAGTAGAACAGTTAGAAACGCTAAATAGAGTTCAACAAGAGCTTTTACGAAAATACTGCATGACTTTCGAGCATGCCGGTTTGCGCAGGTACAATTTGCGGGTATGTCGTGAGAGAGTCAAGCGTCAATGTCTAGTACCATAGTCACCGTGCATGTCCATCAGCGTACATGCACGATGTCCACCATCCGCCCCGATCCTCGCTGTACTTCGTCTACAAGGCAGGCTCAGCGACTGGCTTCGGGGCTACGGGCTCCTTCGTGGTCACGCCCACAGGCTCATCCTTTGGTGCGTTGGGGAAATCCTCACGCTTGACCTCCGGGGAGGTAGAGCGGCCACGGTACTGGTTGATGGTGTCCTGCGCCTTGGCGGTGTATTGCTGAGTGTATCCCTGGAGGGTCTTGGTCGCGTTTCCGGTGTGCTCGGCGGCAAGGTCACGGAGCTGGGTTGCCTGCTGGTTCGCACTAATATGTTCAATCAGCCTTATATACTCGAATAGATGTTGCAAGTAGAGGTGACCTACAGGTGGTAGCCCTTTTCAATCTGAGCGTCAATAACCTCCTTATTCTGGAGGTAGATGAGAGGACCCAGATACGCAGTGGTGGTAGCAATGAGAGCGAGACCCCAGAGAGGGACGAACTTGATCAGGAAATAAGCGGTCAAGGACGCAAAGAAAGCCTGCGCACTGTTAGAGAACTTCTGAAGCCTTACATGGTGAGCATGGGCCAACTACTTACGGCAATCGTGGTGTACACGTTCTCTGCGAACACTATGCGCTGAGACTCGATGACGAAGAAGTTGATGAACTGCTCGATATCCTCCGTGAAACGCTCGAGCGAGGCCTTCTGGATGGTGAAGTATTGACGCGGGCGGAAGTTGGATGTGAATCCCTTGCCGATGGTGAGCTGTCCAGCAACCTCCGCTGCAGCCGTGGTACCCAGGGTCACCCACACAGCCTTGAGAATGTATCGGAAAATGTTGAGGTACCGGGCGGAGAAGATGAAGATGACGGTCGAGATGAAGGCAAGTGCGGTTGCGCGGGGGTTCCTCCACTAAGCGAGGCAGTCAGTGTGACATTCGAAGTATTCTGGAAGGTGCGTACTCACGCTAAGAAGTCGATAGAAGAGGCTGTGGTAGTGCGTCAAGGGCTGGCCTGTAGCGGCGGGCTGGTTGGGCGTGGTGCGGGAATTTGCGAGATCTGCAAACTCGTTCTTTGTGGCCGCTGCCTCAGCCTTTGCTTTCTCTGCAACAGGGCCTGGGACGGGTCAGCAATGCGCAATATTGGGAAAGCCCCAGGATCTGCCCGCATGAAGTTGGGATATTAAGAGACCTTGCGGTACTCCGAAGAGACAACACAAAGGCTAAAGAACTCGAATATCGAAGTTGTGAAGGCTGGGGGATATGGGTATTGTCGCGGGATTTTGGCACTGTGTCGCGAGACCACGTTAGCATCTTCGCCAGAGTTGGGAAATGGCAGCCTAACTCACCTCACCATTGGCAACTGTGTCCTTCAGGTTCTGGGTAGCGGGATGATTGTTAACGGCAGCCATTGCGGATTGTGCTGCTGTGAGGTTGTCAGAGAGTGTTGCGGGTTGCGTGCGTGGGCACGGTGCGATAAGACTGGTTTTGGGCGTTAGCTGCAGCTCGGCAAGCCCGGAGGGGTATCAAGTTTCCAAGATTCGGAGCGCGTCACGTACCTTACAGTTCAATAGGCTGTTCTTTGCGTTGACGGCGTGGTCGGTTACCGTCTGCCCGCCTGCGTTTCCGTTCCCGTTGGCCTGCTCGACGTGGCCGTTGTCCAAGTTGTGCTGCTCATTCAGCACGAGCGGGTCGGTGTTCAGATTGTTTGGGGTCGTCATGATTCCCGCGGTAACCTTCAGTGTCGACTAGTATCTTGTGTATTCTGAGGTTCGTCGTAGAGATGATTCTAACAGAGTAGAGTAGAGTGCAGGTGTGAAGAGACGAAGGCAGCAGTTTTGTGTGGGCAGGGAGCTCTTGCACTGCTCGTGTGAGCTGCTAAGCTAGGGCCGCAAATGACGCAGCTGCTCGTCAACCACAAACATTTCACTGGAACCTGCGAGACCAACGCCAGCCCCACTGAGACTTGTTCAGCATTATGTCATTGCCAACTTGCTAGACGGTCTCTAGAATGCGTTCAGCGGCGTTGGGCGACGCGCAGATGTCGTGCTTGTTCCTGCCTGTTCCCCGCGGCCAGGAGGTGTTCTTGCCAGTTTCGCGCTCCGTGCGCACCATTTTAGGGCGAAGCATGTGAACATGGCCAAGACGTCATCCACGCCTGGGTCACGCGAGCAACCTTCGACTTATAATAATAGTTATATCGAAGGCCGTGATTGTGATATTCGCATATGCGGTTTCCGGATGTCGGGAGCGGGTTTTGTAGACGTCGTGCATTCTCGTTGCATGTCAGGAAACCAATAATTAGTGCTGTGAGGCCAGAAAAGCAATAATTCGGTGGCACAATTCACGAGCGCATGTGTGACCAGCGAGGCCCAAATGTTTTCCTCCATGAACCTCTGCGTCCATTTCCATGGCAATTGCCTCTGAAGGAGTTGCCATCGTGACTGTAAAACTAACGTCAGATGACCGGAGCTATTCGAGCAATTAGAACTCTCGAAGATACCACCCTCCATAGTATCAGCGGTTGGAACAGAGTGCCGTATACGGTGCTTGAAACGTCAGGCGCCTAGAGAACCATGACTACTGCATACCCAGGCCGGTCGTAAGTAGACTTACTCCTGATGATGGGATGGTCAACGGCCGAGGCAGCGGGAGTGGACCAGTGGACGGATCACCTCCACGTGGGAGCCATGTGGGTGGTATGCGATAAAGACGAATATATTGCCGTAGCAAAACATTGGGCTCTATATAATTAGCCCTGCCATTTCGCCCGTGCAGATAATGTTCGGTTTCGTGCAAGCAGCGGAATATGTGTTCTACTATTGAATATTAAGGTTGCACCAATAAATGGAATACGGCAGCTAGTAGGATATTGGGAGGCCCAGCGCATAGCGGGAGGCAACGGATGCTGAAACGCTTCTCCCGCGTTATCTATTGCTGTGCCTGCAGTAAACGGTATTTGATTGACCATTGCCGTGCCTTCAGTAAACGACATTTGATCGACTTGTAGGTGGAGCAAACGGCTGGAGAGTAGGATTGGGTATGATGTATAGATCGGCAGCGCTCCAGGAATGCGGTCGGGATCGCCGCCAGGACAAGGCCGTGACGCAGCACTCCACCCTGGCCGTTGTCCTCGCCTTTGCACCCCACGATGTCGCTGCCAACTGGACATTGCGAGAAATAAGGAGCCCGAAGTTCGGACTGCGGCGTCGTCCCAGACTCCTGTGGCGCGAGCATGTGAGATGCGGTATCAGAGCGAAAGGCGGGGCCCTGGGTAAGCGAGCGATCCAGCGGGTTGGAAGCGTGGGGTCCTGGCACTGCGAAATGGCGCAAATGCAAGTGCCTGCCTCTCTGCGCGCCTAGCCAAACACACCGCGGCCGGTCTCCCTGCATCTGTCATGGCGCGGCCAGCTATCTGTGATCAGTTGCAGGTAGCGACACCCTGGGATTCACACCGTGCCTGGCTAGACGGCGAGGCGCGTATCATGTGCTACCAGGAAGCCGAGGGCGAGAGGAGGAGGAGCCGACGGCTCTGCGAGAATGCGCACTCGGCGAGGCGGTCTGGCGGTCAGCGTGGAGGGCGTTGGACAAGTCAGTCAGGGCTCGGCGGCCACTCAGCTGCTGCGGGCGACGCTCGTTGTCGCGAAGTAGAGACGGCCATGGGACGAAGCGAGACGGACTGGCAGCTGTCATGCATCGCGCCCTTGTGACAAGGGTGCCGGCCGGGCTCCACGCGCGAATGATTCACACGCGGCGTGGCCATATCTATAGCGAGTCCACCGCCACGCCTGGTGCTGTTGTCGTCGATATTGTCACCGTCACCCCTTGTTTCGAGTCATTCACTGCGGAGGCAGCTTCGCACCGGTGCCGACCCTGCTCTGGGCGCTGGCCTTATCAACGCCACGCCTGATCGCTCGCAATCGCCCGACCCGCTACTTGCCCAGGTGCTCGTGGCTTGTCCTCTAGGCAGTGTCGTCCTCTGCCGCTGTCCTTCCGCCTTCACCTGCAGTACTGCCCGCTGCCATCCTCCGTCCGCTGTCCTCCTGGCTTCTTCTTCCTTCCTCCAAACCGGCCGCCAGCGCATATATTGCACGCCTGTGCCCTGAAGTCATAGTCCATATACACTCAATCCGCGCCCTCGGTAGCCGACATGGTCAGAGCGCTATCCGATCAGCACCCGCCTACTGCCGTCATAGCATCCATCCGGAGAGCATAATCCGGAGAGCATAACTGAGCGTCCGACGTTGCGCAGCTCACCCTCTGCGGAGGCGGGAGTCTGTCTGGACCTTCCCAAACCACCATGATACTGCCACGCTCACTCTACAACGATGCGCCACCAGAGCCACGCACACGCATCACCAACAACCCCACGCTGCTCTACAGCTGGTGGTGCACCATCTTCTCCATCGTCATCATAGGATTTCGCCTCACGGGTCGCTACATTCGAAATGAACGCCTCTTCCGCGAAGACAAAATCATGGCTGGGAGCATCATTCCACTTCTGGCCCGCATGGCTCTCATCCACGTGGTCCTCCTTTGGGGCACCAACAATGCAAACACCTCCCAACTTACAGATCCGCTCAAGATCCATCATCGCGAAATCGGTGCGAAACTGGTCATCGCAGCTAGGATCTTCTACACCATGTTGTACGTCACACGCGCCTTTTTCGCTTACCTGTACTAATCTGGGCGCAGCGTCTGGATGGCCAAATTCACAGTCTCTGAGTTCTTGAAACGGATGACGGAACGGTTCTGGAAGAAGGGCTACGAGTCTGGCCTGCGTGGCATTCGCATCTTCCTCGTTGTCACCTTCATCGCCGTCCTGGTCGCAACTCTGTCAGAGTGTCACCCTTTCCAAGAGAACTGGCAGGTCATTCCAGAAGCGAAACCGACGTGTCGCCAGGGATTTGGACACCTTCTCACCATGGGCACTACCGACATCGTCACCGACTTACTCCTAGTCTTCTTCCCGATCCCAATCATCCTCAAGTCATCAATGTCCATCAAACGCAAGTTGCAATTGGTCGCACTCTTCTCCATGTCAATCGTCCTCGTCATCATCACTGCAGCTCGCATGCCGCTCGTCATCGAAAAGCGCGGTTTGCAGCAGTATCGCACCGTCTGGGCCTCGTCTGAGATCCTCGCTGCCACGGGCGTCTCGAACGCCATTATTCTAGGATCGTTCCTCCGCGATAGAGGAGTCAAGAAGACGAAGTACAAGCCCGGATCAGCCACCGATAGTATGGATCGTCGCTCTTCGACCCGGCGTACGTTGCAAGATCTGGGCAGTGACGAAGATCTTGCTCGTTCGCTCGGGTTTCGTACAAACCCGGAGCTGATGGACGACAAATCGAGCATCGCAAGGCCTGCTCAAGTCGTCGATATCAACCTGCTCAATCCACGATCGCCGCGCGGACCGCCACCTCCTTTCTCAACTCCCAATTGGCAAGCCAGCAAGAAGTCAGACCTGTCTGATTATAGCGGCGATTCTGATCTGAAGTGCAGGGACAGCGAAGACCCAATCCCCAGCCCTCGCGCAATGGGTGGCAGACGAGTGTCCTTTTTCGACGTGGGAGGGCTGCTAGAGAACGGGCCAACCACAGCACCATCACCAACAGATTCCGTGGTTGCGCAAGATTTCGCACCACAGCCGCGGCGGCCGTCGAGAAGCTCCCTTGCTCCAAGCGGACGGTCATACATACCTGGCCGACGGACATCGCGTCTCTCTCAACAATCTGAAGAGTACGAGATGGGCACTCGCCTGGTTGTACAAACGCAAGACCGAGGAAACTTGTTACCAGAAAAGGATGAACTGGCCGCGACTGCATCACCGAATACCAGAGCATCAACCGCACAGTCCACCCGACCTCTGATATCGCGGGACACCCCAACTCCCATCACACGCAGCCCGACTGCAACCAGCTACACCAGCGTACCCAGCCTACAGGACGCCGGCGGGCTTCTTTCTTGACTTGAGCGTGATACCCGTGGCTTCGACCAGCCACCCTGCTTCCTACCTATGTCTTTCATTCATCTTTCTGCGCGAGATATCCCATGGCATACCGCTCACGGCGTTGACGGTTACGATTTATGCATCACGAACTATTCTACCATAATGAGCAGACCGCATACTGCAGGTCTGCATCCGGTGTTGATACGAAGGACTGCCTTGGAGGCACATGCATTGGAGGCACCCGGTTCTTGGAACACTGTACAATATAGCATGACGTACGTCAAGCAGGCACATATAATGCAGTTTATATTACCTACACTATCGGTGATGCCTTTCTGGGATTTCACACATGCACTTCAGGTCGATCGGAAAAAAATCGACCCCATTGTAGGGCTGGTTTGTGGGGATCCCTGGCGGTGATCCAATATAAACGTTCGCTTGACGGGGCGGGCGAGCCGGGTGGCCCCAGTGCTGAGGCTGGAGGCTACGGCACCGCGGCTGCGTTTCCATGAGCACCAAGAGTGGCTGATGTGCTGCGCAGGCTGGAATAAAGTGTCCACGGCGTGCACGGGTTACATGTCTCGTGACTGCGAGACAAGAACGCGCTTGCCTTATCGATAGACTAAGCCACCTCTCCGCGTGCTTGCCTCACGTGGGCTCGAACGTCTTAACATCACAATGTCCCTTCGAGGCATCCTCGCACGGACTCGCACCGAACTCCTCTCCCCTTCTCCACTGGATGACACCTCTTTGCTAGGTGCAGGCCGCGCAGCACTCATCCTTCTCCCCAAGGACCCTCAAACATGCCTCCGCCTCGCCTACCAGCAGTTGCACGCGGTGCCGTATCGCGAGGTGAAGACGTGCTGGCGAAGGCTGTATACTGACGCTGCGCTGTGGATTGTCCTCGAGGTCGTGGCAGAGCATCTACAAAAGCAGACCGAAGAAGAAGACAGCGATGAGAAGTGGGTAGACAGGGTAGTCAAGGAGCTGGACATGGCATTGATCTTGACGGGGGCGGTAGCAAGGGAAGACCTGGTAGGAGAATGGTTTGAAGCGCTGGAGGCCTTCTTAAGCTCGCAAGCGCCCGAGAGGCCGGCGAAGAGGAGGAAATTTGCCAACCAGCTCCCCGAGACGTTTCCAGACGGCATCCGCAGGAAGCCCGTGTTGAAGTTTCCGATTCCCAGATCGAGAGACCTCAGTCTGTCTGCGTTCCAAGCGAAGGTGTCGAACCCGGAGACGCAGACACCGCTCATCATCGAGCGAGCAATAGACCACTGGCCCGCCTTCGACGACGACCGCGCCTGGAAGAACCCCGCATACCTGATGCGCAAGACGCTCAACGGGAGGCGCCTCGTCCCTGTTGAGATTGGCCGCAGCTACACGGATGCAGGCTGGGCCCAGAAGATCCTCTCCTTCGCCGACTTCATGCACACCTACATGCTCACTCCCGACCCCCCCTCAAATTCAAATTTCCACTCCAGCGCCAACCCCCCAGATTCAGAACAACAAAACTCAACCCCAGGCGTAAACACTCCCCAAAAAGGCTACCTAGCCCAACACGACCTCTTCGCCCAAATCCCTCCCTCCGCGCTGACATCGCCACCCCGACTTCTGCTACACCGCCCCGCCACGCCCCTCTCCAACCCCTCCCACATCAAACCTGTAGACACGCTCGATGACCCCTGCTAAACGCGTGGTTCGGCCCCGCAAACACCATATCTCCCCTCCACACAGACCCCTACCATAACATCCTCGCGCAGGTCGTGGGGTGCAAGTACGTCCGCTTGTACGCGCCGGCTGAGACGCCGAAGCTGTATCCGCGTGGGGTGGGGATGACGGCGTGGAAATGAGTAATACGAGTCATGTGGACTTGGATGACGTGATGGGGGTTTGGGAGGATAGGGTGCTGGGGACGCGAACCGCGATAAGGGGAGGCAGACGCGGGGATGGGGGCGCTGAGAAGGATGAAAAGGATGGAAATGTGGGAAAGCTGTATCCTAAGTTCAAGGAGGCTCGCTATGTCGAAGCTGTGCTTGAGCCGGGGGAATGTCTGTATATACCCGTAGGCTGGTGGCATTATGTTCGGAGTCTAACCCCGAGTTTTAGCGTTAGTTTCTGGTGGAATTGAAGACTCTGACTCTCCCCTCGGAAATCAAAATTTTGCGATCTGAAGCGTAGGAAGGTCGGAGTGGGGCGTGTGGGATGAGGAGTTAGTGAGTGACGGGACGGGCTGCAGGTGGTGCTTTGAGGGAGGATAGGCCTGGCGCGGGTGGCGTGATGTATGCTCGAGATGAGATGGGATGGACGCAGGGGAAATCGCAGCGAAAAGTCAATGTACTCGAGTAATCTGCACAAGAGGGAAGTATTGACCATGGGCTGCTGAGGGTACGTGAGACTGATCTGGAAATACATCACGCGAAGCCGACAACGGGATGCAGAGCAATCATCTCATTGATCCAAATTAGTTACTTAGCCGCAGGCCAAACAGTTGCTTATGCCAGTTTGGGATAGGATAGGACGCAGAAAGTAGAACGTATAGTAGTGGAAGCTGTTGGGAGAGAACGGGAGCGTATGTTACGCTGATTGTTACGGTTTTATGCCGATGACGGTTTCCCTCTATTATAAGCCTCTAAATCGGTCTCTGTGCACTAGTTTCTAGTATATTCTCGTACTGAAGTGCATGGAAGGGTAGGGAGTTACTTAGCTGTGCTCTGTGTAAAGACATAGGCTATAGCCCATAGGGCTGGAATAAACTTTTGCTAATAATACGGCACGGCTGGGCGGAACTTCAGCGCCTGGTACTCTAATACGCGATTATGTACTAATCCTTTTAATAATCTCTATTTCGAGATATCTGCCTAAGAGCGATATGGAATCTTGACGCATAGAGGTTGGGGGTGATACTGACACAGCCAGGACGAATCCAAACTACCGAAGCGTCGAAGCGTCGACCCAAATTAGGTTGGAAGCGCGCATAATGTAATTGGCGGGTCGAGATGTGGAGGACGCGTTGATAGAATGGGCATTGGTATGACTAGTGCGAGACGACAGTGAACTGTATCTATGTTATAGGTGATCATGGAGCTAGCTAGTGTGCCGGAGGCTCTCTACATAGGATCTATGCCAAGGCCCAGATCTCATGACAGCTGGCTTATAGTACACGAGTGAGAAGTCTGGTATTCATAGTGTAACTGCTGTAAAAGCCTCATAGTATCGCTGGACTCATCAATAGCAGAAGCACCCGATCGATTACTTGGTTGAAAAGAGTTATGAGAGAAAGGCCTATTTTGCGAAATGCAAGAACGTTTCTTTCCTAAACAAGAAGGGCGAGGACGTTTGGTCGATAGCTAAGGATGGAGAAATAGACCTCCCAGCTAAAGTGGGGATTGACGTTGTTAGAGGGAAGTGGAGGACGCGGGCTCTGCATACAAATCCTTGACCATGCCAATGCCGTCAAGGAGTTCAATACGCAAACGAATAGTACCTTCATTTTTCACAGTGCATGTGCGGCCAAAACACCCGGGAGCCGCCGCCAAAAAGTCTGATAGATCGATGCCAGCTGTCGGTCTCCTAGAATGACTAGCTAGGCACGTAGTGTTCTTTTCTTTCTGGTAGCGAATTGGTTCAGGTCTAGCATATGTTTAGATGAACTACTTACTAAGATGATGTCCACCTTGTTCTGTAGTCGCAGTTGCACAGAGTAAAACGCAAACCATCGTAACAGGATCACCTTTGTCCAGGTTCCAAGCCGTTTCAACAGGGTTCAGGCGCCAATCCTCTTCCTTGATGTCTCGAAATATGTTCTTTCGTCCTTCGGTCGACTCTAGTTGTACTTCACCTTCGCTCCCCACATGGTACAGACCAAGTACCCCAATTTCCTGTGTTATAGCCCGAAATTCCTTGAGTAGCGCTTCTGGTAGCTTTTCTGTAGGCCGGCTCGTGAATTCGTAGGGAATACCAGACGGAAGCCAGCGTTCAGCATAGTAAGCTTGGGCTTCGGAGACGCCCACTGGCTGCGAGATGCCGTCTTTTTCTAGCATGATCTCGCCTTCCGACAATCTGCAGTGCGCATGGACGAGACACACACCGAAAGCGTTTCCATATTTCGATAGCAACGTTGCTAGATTGGAAAATACCTGTTCACGATTCGCGAAACGATCTTTTGCTTCTAGAAGAGTGGGTAAAGAGTTGTAGGATTTCCAAAATTGTTCCATTATTCTCGCTTTCGTGTACCTATGGTAATTATGAAGAGATCAGTACCTGTAATGCGTGCATTTATGCCAACTTACCTGGACAGCAACAGCTGAACAAGTGCGGGGTCGCAAACCTCAGCCTGATCCCCCCGCATGAATGCATGGATCTGGCCATTCTGCCAATTGAGTCGTTGCTGGGTATCAATCGAGGATATGATTGAGGAAGTGCGGCAATATTTTGATTCGTCATTTCCGAGCTGTCGTTGTCAAGCGCAGGCCCTCAAGCGCTTCATTTAGCCTTCTCACTTTATTGGGCACCATCAAAAGGCTTAGGGGAGCCGAAATGCCGAATTGTTGGATGACACGAAGTCCTCCCGACCGATTTGCAGATGCTTCTTTCTGAAAACGACCGGTCAGTATACCGCTCGAGTTGCAGGGATGGCCAGCACTCTGAGCCTTTCGTTGATCAAAGCAACTATACACCCTTTCCTTAGTTGAGTGCATACTCACGTAAACAATGATACCAGAAAAAGCGACCTTGTGCCAATATTGCTCGAAAATCATTCCTATCAATCATGAAGGGCACACTACTCGACCATTTTACGCGACCATGTCATCCTTCTGGCAACAGTCTGAGCGATGTCATCTCTGTACACATATCCGAACTCATCTGGACGTGGAAGATCGTGGCCCTGGCTCTCTCGATAATGCTGCACTCTTTTTAAGGCTGAAAGAGCCGAATGGCTCCAAGGAAGAAGTAAGATGGGCGCTTCTGGAGTTATCCGTTCGTCAACAACTTGCTGTAGGAGAGGTCACAAGTATCCACACTTTTTTTATTACGACGTGTGCGTCCAATTGTAGGTGATACAGCATGCTCATACTTAACAGTGTTGACTTTCAGGGCAGTAGCCATAGGCCGATGCGCTCCGTGGGCTTCTTCAGCCTCGGTGCAAGACAAGATGGCAGCCATCAAAAAGTGGTTAGATCACTGCAAGTCAAGCCATGGAAATCGATGTATGCCGAAGGCCAAACAAATACCACATCGATTGATTGAAGTTGGGGGGAACGGGAGTCCTCTTAGACTCGTTCTCAGCAAACAGCTCCCCATCCAAGATCAACAATACACTACTCTCAGCCACTGCTGGGGCCCTAGTCCACCTATACGTACGCTTCTGTCAAATGTACAGTTGTACAGCAATCGAATTCCTGCTCAGATTGTTCCTCGTACTTTTGATGATGCTATCCTCATCACGCGGGCATGAGGCGTTCGCTTCATATGGATAGATGCCCTGTGCATTATTCAAGACAGTACGAAGGAGTGGGAACAAGAAGCCGTAAAAATGAAGGATATCTATTCAGGAAGCGTTCTCAATATTGCAGCGTCTGAATCGTCTGGAAGCGAAGGCGGTTGTTTTCCAGTTAAGAATCCCCTCGTCCAAACTTTTCACTTGACTCAAGCGAAGGGAGGTCCCGAGCTTCTTGTAAGACTACAACCCGGAGATACTCGTCAATTCACCAAGCAGACGGTCCTGAGCTCTCGAGGCTGGGTACTTCAGGAACAGCTTCTGTCTCACCGTATCATTTCGTGTATGAGTGAGGAACTGCACTGGGAGTGCAGTGAAGCTTATGAAACAGAAGCCGGCGTCCGTTTTAGTACTCATGCATCTGACATCCGCGGAGTTCTGAGAATGTACCAATGTCCGGAGAGTCTCCAAAATGACGGCATGTGGAGGAGCTGGATGGTAAACTTCTCTGAACGAAAGTTCACTTTTTGGAACGACCGCTTGCCAGCATTGTCAGGAATTGCTGAAAACTACCAAACAATCACTGGAGATATCTCGGTCCTGGGTCTCTGGAAGGGCTCGATTATTCAGGACTTACTGTGGATCAGAATGGGTCAGATTTCACCGAAGACTGCTCTTGAGATTGAATCAGCAGGTCTTCCATCGTGGGCATGGCTCTCGTGTCCCTCTAATATCTTGTTTGATATATGGCAACTCACTATGAGGGTTCGTCAGGCCGACCGCTACGTGCTCGTGCAAGATCACTGCAAGCTGGTGGACTTTTCAGTCGAATGGACAGGTATTGCCTTTGTGTCGACTGTGAAATCAGCTTATATTGTTCTTTACGGACCAGCTGTTGAGGCCACTATTGACATTGAAGACGCTCCTGGGCCGTCCAATCCACCGTATTTCAGGCTCATATACTCCAATAAACACACTTCCGGTACCGGACAATTCGATCGTGCTAGGATAGCACCGGGTCGTTACTGTTGCCTCTCGTTACGATCCAGGGTTCATAGCCAGACGAATGCCCGACGCGATATCTTCATGTTACTTCAGACTCACCGCGGGTCTGCATATGAGAGGGTGGGCATAGCTTGCGTCTATGATACGACGCTGTTTGCAGATGCGACATGGAAAAGGTTTTTGATCTATTGAATGTGGATTTACTCCCGAATTGACCATAGTATCAGTGCAGTGGCTGTCCTTACCTACATCATCACCCAGTGCATAGCAAAACTCGGCTTTGCTAGAATCACCATAGGGAAAACGCATAGGAGAGAATGTACAGATCAATTCTCGAAAGATCGAGTCCGTTTTACAGAGATTTTCTTGAGGTCAGACCGCTTTTCTCTTCTTTCCTGAAGTTCTACTTGTTTTCTGAATCTATCTCTTTTTTCCTGAAGTTCATCACGTAACCTTTGTGGCTCACCATTTTCCCTGAGCCATTCTTGGCAGTCAGAACACATCGACGGACCTATATCGAACCCCAGAACACTCAAGAACTCCGATGCTACAGTCATGGCCGAGGGGCGATCCTGCTGTTTGCGCTTCAACATTTGCCCTATGTACCATAGCATTCCTATGGTGGTAGAACTGGGGTCGCACATTCCTCGAACTTCATCTATTCGAGCCTCGTACCGATAACCACCATCTTTGAAGCTTTCCGCGAGTTCTTCACGGCCAAGTATAGCGAACACAATCTCAAACAGGATTGCACCCAGGGAGAACACGTCCGCCATCCTATTTCGCTCTCCTTGAGAGGATATCACCTCCGGTGCTGCATATCGCTCCATTTTCGGCGGAAAATCAGTCCGAGTCGTGCTTCCTTTGCCACAATGCGTATGTAATGAGGCTCCAAAGTCACACACTAGAATCTCGCCCTGATGAAGTAGTATGTTCCCAGGATGTAGATCCCGATGGCGGAATCCTTTCTCGTGGAGCCTCGCAATGGCCACAGTGAGACAGCCAATCGCACGTCGAAGTATTGTAACTTCATCGTTAGTTCTCCTTTCTCTGGCGAATGCGAAGTCGCGAAGCTTATTCTGGAGCGTTTTGCCCTCCGCGACAGGATGCATGATCAAGAAGAATCGTTTCATGCCGACCGTGTACGCATCGACGATTTTGACCCTGTGCTCCGTTGGTTGCTCTTTCTCCAGTTTGTTGTATATGTTGATTTCTGTTTCCAGGTGTTCTTGTGCCGCGGACTTGTTGGGTGAATCAACCGGTTCGTTGTGGAGGAATTCTTTGCGAGCAAATTTGCGATCGTCGTTTAGATCTCGCCCACGGGTCGCCTTCACTACGTCGACCTTGCCATACGAACCCTCTCCTAAACCATTCCCTAGAGAAGACTCCGTGTACGGAACATCTTCTTCCGTAGCATAATACCGAACCCAACAGCCCTCTGGTGGAGATTGTGTGGTCCCATCAGAACGACATTCTCGGCCGTCATCATAGATCTGGAGGCCACTATTGTAGATGCGACAACTTTGGGTGCGGGAGTAGCTAAAAAAATCCTGTTTGTCGGGATCCCAAGTCGGCGGACTTGAGTTCTCTAAGACTTGAGGGTATTTGTCTCCAGAATTCGTTTGCATCTGTGTAGGATCCATGCTAGATATTGTGCACGTAATGTAGAGAAGGCGTGGATCATACACGGTTTGATCTTGGGCGGGGTAAACTTAGTAGCAGTGGTGTGGGACCAACCACGCATGTGACGGATTGACGTCGGTGACTGGTCTACCTAACGAATGTCGACATCGATGCGCGCTTACTCCCAATACCGGGTTCATCGCTTACTGTCACACACGGTCTCACTCAACGCATCACTTCAGCCTAAACTCACGAAATCTTCTATCCCCATATCTCTACCAATGTGGCAGATATTGAGGCAGCCTTTGAAAGTGTTAGACTCCTTAACGATAGGAGAAAATGCGAAAATGAGACTTTGATCGCAAAAAGAATATAGAGCCAATAATATTATTAAGGCGCTACTAAGGCGTCGAAGGCATCTATAATAAACGAACTAAGACCATCTCATAACGTCATGCAAAAGACAGTTCCTCACCACCATAAACCCCCAAATTAGTCTCTGTGCGCTAGCCTCTAGGATCTTCTCGTCCCGAAATGAATGAAAGGGTACGTACTCAAGTGCAGGGCAGGAATGCGCGATCACAAAGAGCAAGTGCAAAGTAAATGATCCTTCCTCTACCTTGGCTGGGCAGTAGGGTAGAGTGGTACATATAATTCTCGTAACTGCGGCTAATGGAATGTCTTCCAGTTTGCAGCATGGGCAGATCAGCTGTTTGGCTGAACCCAAGACGAGGTGCCTCTTGCTGATGAACAAGCGCCGATGACAGAGCAGATCTGTGAAGCTTATGAGTTGAACAATCGTCGTGCGGAGACGGTATGCTTTACATACATTTAGAACGTCCTTGCTTGCCAAAAGGCGGCTGCTCCAACCTCCATGCGCCACTTCCGCTCGGTCTACTCCAGGAATTTCCTGTCAGGAATAAGAGGGTATGGTGCGGTCTGCACCTCCTCCGTCTCTAGGGGCTCTAGGCAGGCCTCAAAGTCTTCCTCTCGGAAAGTGTCGTTGAAGTCGAAGGTGTCTGCAAGCTGCCGGCGACGCTCGCGATCCTTGACCTCTCTCCCGCACGGCCACCACTCGTACTTTTTGATGCAGGACTTGGGACAGTAGCAGTGTGGCGCACTGGAAGTCGTTAATTAAGAGATGTACGAGTTGACGATTGATACTTACAGTGCGAAGGCAGGCTCGTTCGAGATGACATCTAGTGCGGATTGGTATACGAAGCCATGGTGACCGATCTCCTTGCCCTGACCCAGTAGGTATTCGGTCAGAAAGATGCGGTCCCACTTTGTCTTGGTCACATTCTTGATGTGGCCTTGCAAGTGGACCTTAGGGATGTGCTTTACGTAAGGATAGGCGAAAGTTAAGATCCAGTCGATGATGACCCGATAACAAGGTTGCCCTTGGACATTGCGGAATTGTGGGGCTCCCCAATTGACATCCACCCGCTCTTGCCAGGGATTGCTGGAAGGGAAGTAATGATCCAAAGTGGGGAAAATCATCGTTTGGTCTGTCAACGAAGATGTCTGTCGGAGCACTTCAGCCGGGGGTGTCCCGCCTCCTCGGACAGCTATTGGTGTCACATGGAAGCCAAATAAGGTAAATTACTCCAGGAAATCGATGAATAGGACAACCTTAGAGAGAGCATTGGGCTCTATGGGTTGATTCGGACATCAGAGAACTCGGCTCAAGGTGTAGACTCCATGAAACAGCTTGTGCGTTTCCGTCCACCCTCCCATTTTCGCTTCTTGATGAACCTGCTTGCTGACGCCGAAGATTGCGTAATTAGGGTATTCCAAACTCAGGCGGCTGTTCCAATCAGGGTTTCTTCGCTTGGAGCCGAGCACAACTTGCTCGGGAAGTTGAGAACGAGTGACAGTATGGGGCTGGATGTTCGTGCCGAGGACATGTACGAGTAGCTTGAGTCGCAATTCCTGGGGCAGATCGAGGAATCGGAAAGTCTTTCCGTTGTTCGACCACCACTTGTACTGTGTTTGAGATAGTGACAGTCCTGGGTGTCCTCGATCCGCTAGGTCCACTAGAAAATGTTTGAGCGGCTTCGGTTCCTCGTACCTGTCCATATGAACCAGAACGCGATCCATAGTCAGAGGAATTGAGTCAACACTGCATGAAAACAGGCTAGTTGTGTTGAGGGTAACAAATGAAGAAGTGTGAATCTCAGCTCCTTTTGTTTAGACGCCTATGGTATGTACCTGCAAGTGATTCGAGAGATAAACACGACAGAATCAACGCCGTAGCCGGCTTCATGTTCATACTATAACCGGGCTCACCCTTGTTTGACCACGCTTTCTGCTCCTCTCATCAATTTGGTCGTGGAAATCTAACGCGATTGTGACGCCAGTACTAGAAACACATCAAGTCGACTGCAGCTAATCGATATATACTCGCAGGAAACAAGAGCAAGGTAAGTAAATACAGGCGAAGGCCGGCAATGCCAATCGCGACAACAGATAGCACGTCTTCTAGGCCCTATACGTGTTAGTGGAGGATCGTTTAATTGGGAGATGGCACTTCGTACCTACAAGAGTGACTTCGGGGCGCCTGGGTTACGGATGAGACTAGTGATGACCTGGTCCGGGGTAGTCTTGTCCGGTGGGCACGGTGGGTGCGGTCGAGGCGGACATATCGATGTCGGCAGCTGTATCGATCTCGGCGGAAGTAGCGTTCCAAGTGGAAGTAGCGTTCCAAGCGGAAGTAGCGCTCCAAGCGGAAGTATCGTTCCAAGCGGAAGTATCGTTCTCGGCGGACACAACGTTCGTCAGAGATTTCTTCACATCGACTTCGACATCCTCGAGTGTGTCGTCAAAGTCTGACATCCGAAACCTATCATCGTGGTCAAATCCATGAAGGAGCTGATGACGCAGATGGTAGTCCTGGACCCGCTTTCCAGCTGGAATTTCAGGCTCGACGGGTGGATTGACGCATGACTTGGGACAGTCGCAGGCAGGGGCACCTAGAAGCTGATTAGGGGGACTATGCTACTAGTTAGTAATAGTCGCGTAAAATGTTGTAGAGATCAATCACTTACTCGACATAATCCTTCCGATCCTCGAGGGCCGCTGTAGCCTCTTCGTAGATGAATCCATGGCCGCCGTAGGTCTCCTTGCCCTGGCTGAGAGCGTACTCGGTGCGGAAGATATGCTCCCACTTATTCTTCGTTCCGGTCTTGATACAGCCGCGGAGATCAATGGAAGGGATGCGCTTCAAAAAGGGGTGTGCAAAGGTTAGGATCCAGTCTATAACATGGCGGTAACAAGGCCACTTTTGAAAGTACTGGAATCGTTCACGAAATTGAGAAATCTCAAGATTAGGACGAACCGTATCATACAGGAGTGTCCAGGGACTGTCGAGCCGGCGATTGTATGGATTTGGGAATGTCAATGATAGCTTCTTGATCGCGGAGGCTTCGGGTTGCCGGAAGAACCGACCGGGGCCGACGTGCGGAGCGTGTGACTGACGAAGATGTGGGTCCACAGTCCACCCGAATAATAGGAAAAAGTTCTGAAGGTCGAGGCTCAGGGTGACATTTGCGAGAGGATTAGCTGCCACGGGCAAATTAGGGCACTGGAGTACCGATCGGAGTGTGTCAACAGTATGGAACATCTTCTCCGTGCCTGTCCAACCAGCCCTCATTGCTTCGCGATGGACTTGTTTGTTGACACGCAGGATGTTGTAGTTGGGATACTCAAGTTCTTTCAAGCCCTGAGTAATGGTGTGCTCCTTGATAAGCCTAGGCGCAGTGAGACCAGAGAACGCTTGCGCCATCCTGACACGGTCTGGCCAATCAGGATTGTTCTCCATCGAACCCAACACCACTCGCCCCGAGCTGAAACCCCAGCGAATTGTATGAGGTCGAATCACGGAGCCAAGAACGTGCAGGTAAATCTTGAACCGAAGCTCCTTCGGAAGGTTCAGCAGCCGAAAGGACATCCCGTTTGTTCGCCACCACTTATCATGCGCTTCTTTATCCGAGAGACCAGGGTGTCCGGTAGGGTGCCCGTAAGTGTCTCCCACTGCCAGATCCAGCAGGAACTCTTTGAGGCGCATTGGCTTCACGTCCTTGTCAATCCGAACCATTAGGCGGTCCATCGTGAGTGGTTGTGAGTCGCTAGGGCGCTTGACTGACACCAAGATCGAGTATGGAAACTCGTCGAAACATTTCTTGATAGCGTAGAGTTTCGACGACCATTGTTCGTTTTGCTTGCTCAACGGCCAGATCGGAGGTAGATGGTCGAGTGGCTTAATCTTGTAGGATACAGCGGCGACGTACATGTGCTGCTTTGCGACTTGACGAATTGCGCCCCTGATGAAGTTTATGACAGGGTCGGACTGTTTTGGATAGCCAGAGAAGTGGTATCGGTATTGATGGTGATCCAATTCCCACGTGTCACTGGGCGGCGGGTAGAGTTTGACCACATACTGCTGTGACCAAGAAGACATCTTCACTCGATTCTTGAGCAACACCATGTTGGAAGCTAACGTGGCGTGTCTTTCGCGAAATCGAAGGTAAGGTAGATGACTGCAGTCAGCGTTTCTGGTGGGTGGAATTTCGAGGCTCGAGGGCGGCGGGCTTTATATAGAAACGAATTCGACGCTAACGGAGCTACTGGCAAGAGACTCCGTGCACAAGGTGATGGTCCCTTGAGAAGGTTGAACTGGTGAAAGATCGCGGTTGAAAACCGGGTTGAATTTGTCGCCTTGCATGCTGTTCCCACCTCATCCAAATCGGATAGTATATAAGCAACAGATAACGCGTCAAGGTAGAGCCGAAGCTAACTAGTCGGACTACACTTTTCCTATCTTAAAAGCATCTGTTTGGAAAGGTAGCAAGTATATGTATTCTCGGTGAGATTGCAAGTTTGCGTTTTAATCTTGCAGACATACAGAGACGCAATGCATTGCTGTTTGCTAGGTGATGGGTCAACCAAATCTATTACTGTAGACTTGCTAATACTCTCTCTTTGTTAGATTGGACAACAACGTGTCCAGAGTGTCATCGCACGGATCAATATTACGACTGTGGCAATTTCTCCGCTCCTGACGCATGCTGCAAATGGGTTGCATTCGACCCGCTCTGCTCAATTTCCTCGTCAGGTTCAGAGTCCGCAATGGGGCGAAGTTGGCTTTCCGAAGCCGTCGAATTTGGTGCAGGATGCGATGTGTTCACCGCGAATTCGTACCTCTTCGATATCGAACCAGGTGACTTTTCCTCGCGACGAGATGCCTGTGAAACCATTGTTGTAGTCGTTGACAATGGCTTTATTCCGAATAGTGAAAACGATGCGCAATCGCAGAAGGGTCTCGAATCAAAAGGCAGTGTCGAGAGCTCTGTGCTGTCTGTAGTAACAGGCACTTCCTTGTCTAGACGTTCCCAGGTGCCTTTGCCCTGGACCTCATAAGCTCGACGTTGAAGCTGAAACACCCCGTCTTGAACCCAAGCATCAATACGTGGAGCCAGAAGACCTCTGAACTTGCGCCAGAAAATGAGAAACCTCAGCAGAACGAGATCAAGAATCGTGACGACCATGCAAAAAGTGATAACGAAGGCGAGTGCAAAGACATTGATGTTACTACTCACAAAGTCAGTGTAATGATAAGATGAATTGGGACCGACTACGCTCGGTTGGAAAAGAGCTCACACAAATCCTCCCGGACTTTGCATCCGTTGCAAACCACATAAGTCTCTCTCAGCTTTAGTCTGGTTCTTGAGCAATGGTGGCATAACTCCTAGGTCCAAAGTCGAAAGACCAACGGCATATGTCGATAATGCGATCTGCATCTGCACTGCAATATTGTTGTGTAGCATGACGAAGTCATTGAGCCACTGATCGCTGGGTAAATTTATTTCACCACCTGTGTTCAAGGTGGAAGGTGTAAGATGATCCGCCCCAGTTTCGGCGCTATTAGAATACGCAATTCTTATGAGCAGCTTCAGAAGTGCTTGCTGAATTTCATTCGCGCCTGGGAAATCAAATGATGGCGGTAAGCCCCGAAGGTCTGTGCAATTACTGTCTTGCCTACTTTGGGCGAAGCAAAATTGATACTGCCGATAAGTCAGTCATCCGATGAATGCTGGGGGGCGCGAAGACCTGCTTGATATTGACAGCCAAACGCAGACGCAGGTAAGTCTGGGCTATAATAAGTATATGTTCGGTTGTCTGACTGTCTTTTTCTGACGACTTTATGTGCCGAGTACAGAGGGTCGTCCACCGGGGTTCTCCAGCGTTGGCCGCGGGTTGAAACAAATACTACAACCAGGTCGCTATTGTTGCTCCGTATCTGAGGAATTGAGTCAAAAGTACCACCGAAGTCCTTCCAATAAGGGGAGGGATAGTCGAATTGTAGGCTATTACGCAATATCAGACATGCATAGGTTGGAAGGACTCGGATAACTCACTTCGTCGTCGCCAAGCTCTCTCGCTCTTCTGGCATATACTGCACCGCAAACGTAAAATTGGATGCCATAGTGTGGCCGAAATACATACGCATCATCTGCTCTCCCGCCCACGGTGCTCGACCTGTATTCAGCTCAAAATCGGGGAAGTTGGAAGCATTGAGAACATCATAGTGTCCATTCAGTTCCAGCACTCCACAAGTAGTCTTGCGACGAAACATGACCGTATCACTAGCGGCGAGATTAAGCCCAAAGTATTCGTTGAGGTCGAGCAGACCCGTGTCGATAGCAAGACCTGGCTGTGAGATATTCTTGCACATGGACGATTCAAAAGGGCAAGCTACCCTCTGCTGTTGGAAGGGGAGTGTTGGTCGGATGAAGATTCTGCAACGTTCTGGCACTGTCGTCCTACTTACGTAACAATCTCTTGCGTATGAATCAGCTAGGTCAGCGACCTTTTGCATGTATTCACCGTTCCATAAAGAGTAGTTCTCCGTTGAGCCTTCAATGTCGTCTCCAAGGAAGTCGACGGGGCCACAATAAGGACTTTGAACGAGGACAGTAATGTTGGTACTATCCACGAGATATGATGAAAAAATTCCAACAACGATTGTGACGGCGGCAAAAAGGATCGCGAGCATGATGAGTAATAGAGATCGTGAGAGAGCCCGATCAACGCGTTTTCTCCAAACCCACCATAGCTTCAGCCAATCTGCAAGCATGGTGAATGGTGCCGGCAGTGTGCGCATGAGGGCTTGCTGTTGCATGAGCAAGCCATCTTTGGGCCTAGCATTCACTCGCATTTGGTGATAACCAAATATGACCAGGCTCCACAATTGGCTGGTACCGAGAGTGGTTAAAACAGCCATGAGTGCCACCACTAGGTTTCCGGTTTTCGTCGTAGTGGTAATAGTTTGACCCATAACAGGGCCTCTTGAGTTATCGACCTGCGGATACCAGATTAAACAAGTATGACAGAAAGAGCACACCCTCACAACTCACCCAGAAGCCTTGTTTTACAAACTGAGCATTAAGCTGCGACATGATGACTGCGCTATTTGAGATCCTATAGTCTCCTAAATCGAACTGGTGGTCATTGATATATGGCGTACAACAGCATCAGCCCCCACAATGATGCCTCGTCCATTCTGAGTCGGAGCCAGTATTTTTGGATCGCGGGGATGTGAAGGCCGATTCAGTCATGTGAGACTGCAATGAACACGAAAATTGGCCTATTGGAAAGTCAAAAAGTCGTATTGCGCCCAGAGATTCGGATCGCAAAAGTCGAAGTTCTCTGCAGTGTACATGCGGTCCCCTTAGGTTGAGAGGCTTCTCCAGCCAGTGGTACTGATGCGCAATATTACCTGCACCAGCCTGGCTTATCGTCACCTTCGGATTGGGCGAAGCTTCGCTTTTCCTTGTCAGCCTTCCACGATGAGCGCTAAACGATCCAATCCGGTGGTATCTGCCTTCCTTGCTGACATGTTTGCCTAATTTATCTACAAGCATGTTTCTATTCCATAGCCCTTACTACAGCTCGACAAGGCCAGATTCGTATTTCGCACAACTGTAGCTTTATCTCAAATGATTCAGCGGCATGTGTCGAGTGGCGACTTAGAAGGTACACAACTGAGCGGCTAGGAGGCACACATATTCCTTACGATAATAGAAACTCTCGCTACTGTACCACCGTAGTGCTTGATCTTTTGCCTAACTACCGAGCAAGCACCGTATATAGATTTAATCTTCCTTCTAAAGCCCCTCCATAAACCATCGCATTGCTCTCAACTACTCCGTCCCATATGCAGGTTCTCGCCGAGTCTACACGGCCGCGGCTTGACGATATTAAGCCCTCTGAAGGTGGTGCAAACGGCCAACCGGACGTACAGTCAGCCCGCGGACCCGATAACCCAGACGACTGCACGTCTGACGGGCAATAACCGCCCCCAGGAAACCCCTCCCAAATCGTCCGTTGGGACCGCCACAAGCGACACCACCGACTAATAATCATTTGCGCATACATTCCTTTACAAGTATTGACCTGAGCAGATCAAGGTCTTTTATAGAGAGCGCTTTCAACCGAGGTTGGATCGCTTCGTTCACACGTGGTCATCGGCAATCGTCACTGTCACCTAGCACACCTGGGCAGCTTCGCATAGGGGCAGCCACCCTGTCAGGCCCACGTATTGCAACACCTGTTCTCTAATAACCAACACACAATTGTCGTTTCCACTGCTTCCCGATGACTGTACCGTCGGACTCTCAGCTGGCGACTTCGTAGCCGGCTCGCACCCACTGATCAAGGTTATCGAAACCTTGCGTGACATAGATGGCACCAGCATTCACTCCACTGCTTCAGGCATTCTTGAACGAGGTTAGAAATTTGGATCCAGAGATAGTGAAGCAGCAGCACTCAAGATTCGACACACGGGAACAACCGCACAGGGATTGACCAACAGGTATGGCAAACGATCTATGAGGCGGATGCAGTGAGTGATCCAGCTCAAAACCCATGTATTGGGCCTGCACGTAGCTATTGGTCCGCGGCTTGAGGCAATATTGATAGTCATCTAACCGTTAAGCTAGTAGAAATGCCATAAACATCTGCAATAATCGCTGTTAACGCTTGTAATGAACGCTAGGTCCTGCTTCACAGCGAATACGCAATATTTACTCTCAGCAGTCAGTTGCTTCGAAAGAAAACCGAACTACACAAAAATAACCCTACTTTCCTTCTAGCAGATCGAGAAAACATCTCCATTGGTAGATACCACCAATACACCATCTCTGCATCTAAGCATTCGACTGGATTTCCTGCAAGGGGCAGAGCCTAGCGTCTACACAATCTATACGTCATTTCTAAAGTAATTTGTACTTGATGGTCTTCTCAAGCCGATATCTACAGACCAAAATCTCCAAGCATAATAAAACACACTCTGAGGTAGTGATTCCACACAATAGACCGCGTCCGCTATGCAGACCCCCGACCCTGGCTCCCAATACGTCAAGCCCAGTCAATACCGTAGCAACAAACCCCTGTAACAAATTCCAATCAACGTCATCGTTGCCCATATTGCCGCGACATTCATTTATAACATAGCATCCACGTTATGCTTAGACTTATCATTAATTACTCAGCATCTACAATGCACTACGACCCCGTCCCAGGACCCTCCACCCTCGGCGCCCCCCTAAAAGTAAAATACCCCGGCCTCAACTTCTGAAACACACCCTTGGGATCATACTTCTTCGCCACGCCCTTTAACGCTGCCTTGTTCGCATCCCCATAGCTTTCCAACACATCCTGATACTCGCTCCCGTAGTTCATATAAACGTACTCCTCGAATATCCCTCTCCTTATACCCTCCTCCTTCGCCTTATTCATCACCCGTGAAATCGTAGCAATCAGCACATCGTCATCCGCCTCATTCTTCCACATCAGCGCGAAAATGATATTGATGTAAGGCCCGCCCGCAGCGCGTAGTGGCAGCGCATTCCCTCCGTTCCTCGCCCACCGCGCCAGGTTCGTGCGCGTGAGGAACTGGATGAGTGGAAGTGCGTTTAAGCCGTCGTACTTCCCCTTAATCGCGTCCGTCTCCGCGTAGAACATGTCCACAAACCACGCTATAAAGTCCTCATCCATCTTGAACGTATGCGTCCAGAACATGTCGCGGGATCCGGCCGGGCCTTGCGCGGCGATCTGGTCCGTCATGTTGACGAGGCTGCGGATCGCGGTGTCGCTGCTGAGATGGGGGATGGAGCGCATCTCTGCGAAGACCGGAGGATCGACGATGGGGGAAGAGTACATGTTTAGGACGCTGAAGACTTTTTGGCCAGATAGGTTGAGGACGAACATCCAGGTGTGGACTTTGGTGTCGGTGCTGTAGGCGAATTTGGAGAAGGCGGGGATCACGCTGGCGCGTTCAGAGTAGGGGTAGATGAGGCTGCCGGAGAAGATGTCGCCTTGTGGAAAGGCCTCGAGGTCGAAGCGCGTTACGATGCCGAAGTTGGGACCGCCGCCTCGGAGGGCCTTGTAGAGGTCTGGGTAGGAGGTGCGGTTGACGTTGAGAATTTGCCCGGATGCGGTGACCACTTCGTAGTTGGCGACGTTGTCGCAGCCCCAACCGTATTTGTTGGCGAAGTACGAGATGCCGCCTAAAATAAGAGTTTAGAGATGAACACTGTGTACAGCGGTTTGTGAGAGACACTTACCCCCTGTGGTGAAGCCACCAACGCCAACGTCTGAGCCTCTCGCACCATTAACCTGGATTCCATGTTTGGCCAGCTCCGTATACACGTCACCCCATTTCAGGCCCGAGCCTAACGCTACAATCTTTTTATCTTGGCTTGGTTGTATGGTATTTAAGTCCTTCAAGTCGATTGTAATGCCATTGTCAATGTTGGAAGCGCCTTTCATTGAAGCGTGTCCTCCGCTCTTGACCGCAAACTTACACTGCGTCCATCGAGACACAATGATCGCGGTACTAACCTCGTGGGCGCGGGCAGGTTGAAAAACAACAGCTGGAGTCACATCCTCTTGGATCGCGGACCAATAGCCTAGACTCCACGCCTGTTCTTCTGGGCTGCTTTGCACTATTGTTCGATTAGGGTAAAGGCTGTGAAGGATAGAGACCTGGGAACGAGTTAGCTTACGTCTCCTTGAAACGAAATAGAGTAAAGGCTTACTGCTGCCGGACAATCCCCACTCGAAGCATTGAAGTTGCCGTTAAGAAAAGTCGCCAACCGCCCCACGTTGAAACCGCGCTCCGCAAGAGCGCGTTTAGGATCAAAGCCCACTGGCTCGCGATAACCGGACAGTGTTCCTTCCACGAGGGCAGCCGCCAGCGCCAATACAAGAGTCGAGAAATGCATCATGGGCAGAATTCACTACACCACCGCACAGTAACTTTTCCTACCCCTACCAAATATATGTAACGAACGTACTCCGAACATGACGTAGCATGCGTGTCCATAGCCCCATTTCGCTACTGATTTTGACGAACAGGCACCCCGGTAACGAACCGCCCTGAATATCTGCCTGCCTTGCGAGGTATCTTCCACGATCGTTGCGCCACGCTTGGAATCGATCTCTTCGCCGAGCACCGCCATGGCTGCAGCACCAAGCACAACCCAAAGTAAGCAATGCCAGCAGAAATCGGACCCCACAGGCGTCCAGATCGATACGTTGTCTCGTACACCGCACCCCATTGGGAAATGGTCTGGAAGAATTCCGATAACACGACGTGTAAGCCCCCCAAAGCTTAAATTCCACTTTAAGCTTCACTAAATGCTCACGTTTAGTCTAAGCATGCACACATATCTACCAGGATGTTGCCCCTCCGGACCTGAACGTGGGGCACGCTAAGATCGCATGCGTGCAGCTTACATAGTATAAGCCTGACGTGAGAGATAGCCGACACTGCCTCGACAGTGGAAAGGCTGCTTTTGATTAGATGGCAGTGCTCGGTATTTTACAGTGTGTATTGCTGACGCTCGCTTCGTCGTCTTAGGGTAGCTGGAAAGGACGCGGCTGATGGGTTTAGGTGTAACCCTGCTACCACGATCGGGAGGACCGAGGGTGTGGATATGAGTGCTTGGGAGGATCATGGAGGAGACGTGGGGGGAGTGGTGGTGAAATCAGCGCTGCGGTCTGAAGCTTCAGAAGCAGCATGGACATCATCGTACACATTGTCAATCGGCAAGATGAGAAAATCAAGAGACGTTAGACCTCATTAGCAAAGTTGTTCTTCTAGATACTGTTGTGGTAATACGGATTTCGGCCGTACAAGAATGTATTCGATCTGCTCGAATCTGAAATGTATTTGAATGAAAATATCGGCAAGGTGTTTCACCGTCGTGTGGTTTCTTCAAAACCATGTCTTGCCCCAGATCCATCACCTCTGTCCCTTTTGAATATTGCCAACGTACCCAAGATCAGCTTCTCCTGTTGTACCATTCCCAAGATTCACGAGGAGCACTTCAAAGCTCGCTGAGCATGATGTCGGCGGCCTGCTCGGCGATTGCGTAGACAGCGACCTGGGTGTGCGAAGCGATCGGCTTTGGGATCTGCGATTATTGTTAGCTAATGCAGCAAGACTCGACTTCACAAGACATATTCTTACAATACTAGCGTCCACAACACGGAGGCCCTTCACTCCGTACACCTTGAGCGACGGATCTACCACCTTGCCCATCGCGGCCGTACCCGCAGGATGGAACACGGTGGAGCCGCCCAATGCAATACGTTTGTCAATCGACTCATCCGATATATTGAGGCCTGCAACATCATGGCCAGCAGGTGTGTACTCTTCCACGACAAGGTCTTGGCCCTCGGGAGTGTCAAACATGAGTTTGGTGTGCATGCGGAAGCCTTCGCGCATGACGTGCTTGTCAGCCTCGGTGGCGTAGTAGTTGGGATCGATGACTGGAGGAGCCTCTGGGTCACTCGAGCCAAGCGTAACCGATCCTCGAGACGTTGGCAAGCAGCCCATGTAAAAAGTCATGACGGAGTTGCCGTCCATTGGGATGGTGAGGCCTTGAGTTTCGGCACCTATGGCGGCGTACAAGAGGTTCATCTCGAGATGGCTACGGTTCTGGAGAAGGGCATCATCGTCTGACACTGGTCCCACGTCTTTCTCGAGAGCGGCCTTGTAAGGTGCAACTGCGATTGGTGCTGTGACGAGCCAGTCAACCGGTCCTCCTTTGTCGTAGTTGGGACCGCCGAACTTTGGCGATCCAAGGGCGAGTCCCTGTTCAGGATGTCTCAACTTCCAGTACCGGAAGAGCATGAGGTGGTCAAACAGATTGGTGCCAACTGCGGGTAGGTCGACGACTGTGGGGATGCCATGCTTAGAGAGCTCAGCTGGGTTTCCAATGCCAGAAAGCTGGAGGACCTTGGGGGTTCCGTATGCGCCCGAGGACACGACAACTTGACCCCCCTCTTTGACAGAAAGCTTCTCGCCATTGGCAAGCTCGACACCAACGGCAACCTTGTCGTCGTTGATGATGACGCGGCGCACCGTTTTCTCAGTGAGAACGTTGACTCCAGCAAGAGGATATGTCTCGCTAACAATCTGTCGCTTTCCATCTTTCCAGTTCTCGATGAGATCGGTGATGCCCTGAGGGTGACCATTGTTTGCGTCGTGAATGTGCTCCAGTCCGAGGTTCTGCCACAACTTCAAGACGGGCTCGCGCAGGGGAAACTTGCGGCCTGACGAGGTGACTGAAGCAGTGACAACGGGGCCATCAAAGCCATGCTGAGTGGGGTCACCGTTCGGGTCGAAGTGCTTCTCAGACTGCTTGAAGTAGGGAAGAAGGCCATTGTAGCTCCACCTGTCGTCCTTGACCTCTTTTCCCCACTCGTCATAGTCGGCTTTATCTCCACGGATCCAGCCTCCAGTGTTGATGATTGTGCCCCCAGAGAGTCCCTTGATGGCGCAATTGTACTTTGGAGCTCCACCGAGGTGTTTCTGGGGCGCCGTAAAGAATTTATAGTCGAGGTCTGATAAGTGCACCAACGCCGCTTCAGCAGGGTTGGAGATGTGCGGCTTTCCAGTGACATCAGGGCCTGCCTCGATGAGGGTGATGGAGAGCTCAGGTTTGCGTTCGTGCAACCGCGAGGCAAGTACAACGCCGCCAATGCCGCCGCCGATGATGATGATGTCTGCCATGATTTCTTCCGAGAAGGTAGGCTGGGGAATGGGGTGAATGAGTCAAATCGTCGAAACAAGCTCCTCTGTTTGTACTGTCGCGATGGCATCGGCCGCGGTGGCCCCTGCAATTCACTGCAGGGGTGTGGCGGTTCCTTGACTAGCGGCGGTTACGCTGATATATTAAATGGGGTCCGCTTACGTTATCGGTCCCATTTGGGTAGCTGCATTTCTAGACCGATTCTTACCTATAGACCCACTACAAGTGCAGTAATCATCACCTTTCAATCTCACTCCCGGTGCCCGGCGAGCTAATCGAGTGCAGGTCGGCCAAAATGGAAAAATATTCGGTCACGCCGGTCCATCACACATGGGCCAACAAAAGAGGTGGAAGAGCCAGTAACCAGAGCCTTGGGTCACAGCCATCGCCATGTTCATCCCAACCCTGACAGAGTCGCTGCTCGCCCTTCCGGTGCTCTTCACTGTCTATAGCATTGGCCTTGTCGTCTATCGACTCTACGTGCACCCTCTTGCGAAATTCCCCGGACCCAAACTTGCTGCAGCGACAAGATGGTACGAGTTTTACTTTGATATATTAAAAGGGTCGGGTGGCCAGTTCATGTACGAGACCGACCGACTCCACGAGATATACGGACCGATTGTGAGAATCAATCCTGATGAGCTGCACATCAACGATCCCGAATTCTACGATACCATATACCGTGCTGGGGCTGCGATAAGGGACAAGTTCCCCCCATCATGCCTTTTTGCAGGAACACCACAAGGAAGTCAGTAGTCGGTCAAAATTCCGCTGTTACGTGCATGCTGACAGTATTTCACAGCTTTTGGCACCGTCAAACACGAAGTCCATCGCGGCCGGAAAGCACCACTCGCCGTCTACTTTTCCCGGCGCGTATACCGCACCGCAGAGCCGATTCTCCGAAGTCAAATCGACTCCTTTTGCGAGCGCTTTGCCAATGCCTCCCACAAAGGGGAAGTGAGGGATGTCCGTGTCGACTACCTCTCCACCGCCACTGAGATTGTCTCTCTGTACGCTTTCGGCCATACCATTGGCCTCCACCACTCTGCCGAGGAAGCACATGACTGGTTGCTGACAGTCAAGGCCATCGCAGCCGTGTCTCCATTCTTCAAGCAGTATCCCTACGTAGCGCAGTGGCTGCTTCCGTGCCCAGAATGGCTCGTCGCGATCCTATACCCCGTATTCGCACCCTCAATCCGTCTACATGGTAGAATGAAGCGCGAAGCCGTCGAAGCATGCAAACGCGTCGCTGAATTGGAAGCTGCATCCGGCAAAGCCCCCATCTGGGACGGCAGCCCGGAGACACGTCCCGCCACCGTCTTCGAATGCATTCTCCACTCCTCCCTCCCACCTTCTGAAAAATCCGTCACCCGTCTCGACCACGACGCCTTCACCGCCATCTTCGGCGGCGGCGACCCTGCAGCCCGCACAATAACAAACTGCACCTTCTACCTCCTCACCAACCCCCGAGTCCTAAAGAAACTGCAAGCAGAGCTCGACGCCGCAATCCCCGACCCCAACGCCATGCCCGAAATGCAACTCTTCGAAGACCTCCCCTACCTCAACGCCGTCATGAAAGAGACGCTTCGCTTCCAGGCAATATCCACCTCCCGCCTCGAAGTCGTGTGTCCCACCGAAACCCTGCGCTACAAAGACTGGGTCATTGCTCCCGGCACCCCCGTCGGCATGTCCCTCCGTCACCTCCTGCACGACCCCGTCTTCTACCCCAACCCGCACACGTTCGACCCCTCGCGCTGGCTCGATGCAAACGGCAAGATCAACCCAACAAAAGACAAGTACTATGTTCCGTTCCACAGGGGCCATCGAATGTGCTTGGGGTATAATTTTGCGACGACGATGATGCTCATGACTATGGCGGCGGTGGTAAGGAGGTTCGAGCTGGAGTTGGTGGATACGATATATGAGCGCGACGTGAAGATTGTGAGGGATTGCTTTATTGGGGAGGTGGAGCCGGATACTAAGGGGGTGAAGGTCAGGATTGTGAAGGTGAGGGAGTAAATCGTGTTGCTATTACGGCACATATCGTAGAAGTGTGTATAGTTTTGCATGCCACACTCGCCTCACTCAGTCATAGATTTTCTTGGTATCTGTGTATTGATTGTTACACGTTTCGAGGGCGTCAATGGCGGTGTGCGGGAGATCATCCGGGTCGTTTGGCAATGAAGACATTTGATGGACTGATCTTCTTGATAGTGGATAGATTGCGTGTGGAGACAAAACGTGCGACTACCTGCGATTGATAACACAGGTGAAGAATTGAAAAAAATAAAAATAAACAGACTAGGACATTGATCTATGACAAAGTTTCAAATTCACAATTACAGCTAACAGGGTATAACGCAAACCAAAGACAAACCTCTATACCCAACCAATATCTACCCTATATACAGACGAACTTACGCTGGCAAAAATGCCCACACTCAAGAGCTCACACAGCCATCTTAGGATACGCAGGATTCTCTCCCCTACCCTGCGGCGCCGGACTCGCCTCACACTCATCCACATGCACCTCCGTCGTCTGCCAAATCTTCCCATGCTCCAAGTTCCTCAGCTCCTCCTCACTATCACTCCTCTGTTTATTATACCCAGCTTTACTCCTCGTCGTTGCGGTCCCAATCGTGTTGTTATAGCTGCTATCCTTTGTAGTGCCTTTCGACGACCACGCAGACGCATACGGCAGCGAGGAAATCAGCGACGAGACTCTTGCCGAGGCGAAGACAAAGAGCGGCTTTGTGACGAGCAGAGATGCCACCACGATAGCGACGCACGGCTCGACGGCCGCCCAGATGAGGTTCATAGTCGGACCTTCGGGGTCCGTGGGGTCGAAGCGCGTGTGGTAGATCATGCCTGTTCGTGCGGCGCCTGCAGCTACTGTAAAGACGCCGAGGGCGAAGAGGCCCATTGTTGCGAAGCGGGTGGAGCGGCGCATCTTGAGTCTGCTGATGAGCGGCAGGGGGAGGATGAAGATGATGATGTCGGTGATGACGTCCACTATGCCGATGGAGACGTAGGCGGCGGTGAGGTCGCCGCAAGAGCCTGTCTGGTTTACTTGATCCCAGTTGTAGGAAATGGGGCGGCAGATGAGGAAGGCGATGAGGATGGTTTGGAGGGTCCAGCAGATGCACAGGGTCATAGTGAGGTAAGCGACGATGCGGAATGTCTTGGAGACATGGAAGATGCGGATCAGGGAGAGGATGAGGGAGGTTTTGACGAGGCCGAGAGCAATGGCGTAGGTGACTTGGTTGGCGATGAGGAGTTTGAGTTGGTTTTGCAGCTGGTAGTTTCTCCCCGCAGCGATGAGAGAGGCGGCTTGCACTCCCAGGCCATTGTAGGAGACTGAATTTTTGTTAGGAGCCAATGCGGTTGACACGAAGATTTAGAACCCACAGACGATGTTGCCAGCCGCATATCCCCAGGTCACTATCAACGCTGCAACGACTAGATAGTCTTCGAGTGCGGGCTTGAATGCGGTCAGATATCGTGACCAGAACCTTCCGATGACCGCAAGTGTCGCGAGCGAAGAGAAAACAACTGTGATGACAATGGTGCGGACGCCATACTCTGTCAGCTCATCGGGCCCAGTAGCAGGCATTGAAGGTGGTGCTGCTGCCATATTCAAGGCTACAGTCCAGATCAAAGAAAGGAAGACGTCGGATAGGCAAAGAGATTCAGCAGGGGCACAGTAATTAAGCTTATATGACACGTGGTGGATCGTTTACATATATTGCTCATATACCAGGGTGCGCAGAACACGATCGGAGCGGCAATGTATTGTGTCGCTGCACGGTATCATGCGGATTTGTAAAGCAAGGGGTGCGGTAGACCATCATCGTACTAGGACGATTTGCTGCCATAAGCCGTCAGCGTCTGCCAGGATGTGCATACGCGACACACATATAGGTTATTATTGATGCTCAGACATCTGGGCCTTCCAGAAAGATAATGTGAGGCCTGAGCACCGGCCTTGTATACCAGCGTCCAAAGATCACCGGTTGTGCGGTGTGCTAACGTCAGCATTGCCACCAATCGCATTACATCAAGTCCTAGGCCTGCCACCAGCATCCCTGCTGTGTAAGCAAGACGCCTGCTGCACAGACTATTGGATTATTTGCATCAACGCTCCCCACAAATGAGTGGTGACGAATTAGGTATCTGACGATGGTCTAGCACGCTGTGAGATGGCTTAAGCACTTGCCAAGCGTCCCCGAAGGCCGCTCAGCGCCTTAGCCTTTATGGTAAGGTACGAATGTCATCGTACGGAGCAATTGTGAAGGACGAAGCCGCAAATGCCGCTGCTTGGCTGTAAAGAGAGCTAGGTGTATCGCTTGCTGCTTGATTACGGAGGTGAGCATTCCATTCGGCCAGCTTCTCTACAGTTTTCACTGGGGCTACTTCACTTGGTACGGTGCTGCCTGGGTATGCTGCACGATCGGTAAGATTTTCGACATGATCGGTGAGTAGAATAACTGCAAGGAGCCATGTCAGCCCAAGTCCGCATTTGGACGACAGGCCACCCAGTAGGATATGACAATCGTTAGAAGGCCTTTTCCACAGCCATGATAACATGCTTGGACCATTCATGATTATTTGGAAGCTTACGACACTGCAGGCACGCAGGCACGCAGGCACGCAGGCACGGTGGCACGGTGGCACGGTAGCACGGTAGCACGGAATCCTAGACTATGCAGTTGTTGAAGATGTGGGCGTTGTCGTACAAAACACAACGAGATCATAGTAGACAACACAATACGCGTTCAGGTGCATTTAGCATCTTCACGACTGTTCTAGAATCTAGTAGTCTGTCGTCTACCTGTGCTGTAGTGCAACGGCGAACGACCCAAAGGCAATGGGCGGGCCAACCCTTGCAATCTAGCTCACGTATTATCACTCTCGGTGGCTATATCGGAAGTCACGGAGGCTCAGCGCTTCACCTCAGTCGTTCTAGCACATTCTAGAGCGCTCCACTGGCACATGTACAATACCGATCGTGGTAGAGGCTCTGATTGAACCCTACAACTGGGTTTCCTCTCGTGCCGGGATTAACACTTTGGGAACTTCGCGCCTCGGGTACAAGCTCGCCGTAGACTCCTAGAACTTGAAGGGCAGTTCGGTCGAAGCAGCACTTGGAAGATCCGAGAATGCTGACCTGGTTTGTGTCTCGGATACGGTGGAATGGCAGTGCAACTCAGCTCACGCGTACCATGACTATGCTACCATCTTAACAAGGCCATACTATACCAATACCCAATGCTCACTTGATCATTCATCTTCATAATCCCTTCCCTTTGTAGCGTTTCCGTCCATTTTGATACCACGTCGCGGACATGGCTCAAGCTATCGTCGTGGGGAAACCCCAGCTTACATCGTTCCCATCCTTTGGTACTTCCTCATCCTTTACTACCACATCGCAACTGCGTCGCGAAGCCCCTTTCAACAATGTTACCATCGACCACCAAGCCGAGAGGAAGGCACTGCTCGCCTCAGTGCGCGGTCAAACAATCCGCATTCCCGACCTGACACCGCTCTCCAAGCACTGGCCCACAAAGACGAACCCACACATCGACCTCATGCGAGTAGACATTAGAGAATGGCTCGACGCGTGAGTCCTCCCCGCCCACCATCATCCAAGCCACCACTGACCCACACTCAGCACCCTCCCCACAGGCAAAGTCCTCTCCGCCCTGCAACGCTCAGACTTCGGCCTCTTCGGCGCCACATGGTGGCCGCAGGCCGACCTCCCCCGCCTCAAAATAGTCACCTACCTCGCCGTCTGGCTCTTCACCTGGGACGACGAAATCGACCTCAACGACGGCACCCTGTGGACCGAGTTCTCCGCCGCGCAAACCTACCGCGAGCAAACCCTCTCCTACGTCCGGTACACCCTCGGCATCGACGCGTCCCCACCCCTCGTCACAAACCGCATCATCCTCAACTTCGCCCCCATCGGCGCCGCCTGCAGAAAACACTACTCCCTTCCCCAGAACAAAATGGTCTACGAAGAAATCCGCTTCTTCATGGAAATGTCTGAACGCGAGCAGCGCCTCCGCCTCTCGGGGGCGATCCCCTCCGTCGACGACTTCTGGCACTACCGCCTGGGAAGCAGCGCTGTGACGGTGTGCATCGCGCTCAACGAGTTCAGCGGGGGGGATATGCGTCTCCCGGCTGACTTCTACACTAACACACACGTGAAGCGCATAATACAGCATACCAACACTATTATCAGCGCGACAAACGACTTGTTGAGCGTGAAGAAGGAGATTAAGCGCGAGGCGATCGATAGTCTTGTGCCTATTATTTTTCACCATGGGGGGGATATACAGGGGGCGGTGGATGAGGTCGTGGCGTTCATAGGCGGGGAGATTGGAGAGCTGGATGAGGCGGCGGAGGCACTTTTTGAGCGGTACGAGGGGGAGGGGAAGGACCTGAGGAGGATGGTTGGGCACTTTGTCGATGGGTGCAAGCACTATGTTACCGGCAACTTGACGTGGAGTCTGGAGACGGACAGGTACGGGGTTGAGAGGGTGGATGGCGAGATCATCATGACGCTTTAGGGGATCGTTCATGCGTAGATGGGCTTTTAGATTAGACGTACTGGCGAGATACCTTTGTTCTATTTAGTAATTTCAAACATGCGGTTCGTAATCGGACTTGATGGCGGCTTCTGAACATTCCAGGAAGGTAAGTAATGTAGCTATCAACACCATAATCAACGGCGTCTGTCTATACACTTCAGCTTGCCACTGCGTGCGACGCCGATGCACGCGAAAGAAGGTCTACGTTGCGGAGCTCAGACTCCCAACATCAATAGAATTATTACAACGAGATATAAATAGATTATTTCCCCTTGATAATCGCATCCGCAATCTTCTCCGCCAACATATACACAGTCCCCTGCGGATGCCCAGGCACCTGAAACGGAAACGCACTCGCATCCACGACCCTCAAGCTGCTCACCCCGAAAACCCTCGCGCTGGAATCCACAACCGCCTTCCCATCGCCCTTTTTCCCCATCGCACAAGTCGCGCCAGCATGCCAAATCTGCGTCGCAGAGTTCTTGATGTAAGCCAGGATATCCGCGTCAGACTGCACCGCCGCTCCGGGCGCGATTTCGTCGCCCACGACAATGGACGAGATGTTGGACCAGGCTTCTCGCGCGCGCTTCAGGCCCGCAACGGCGACCTCGCCGTCAGCAGGATTTGTGAACCAGCCGAGGTCGATGACGGGGAGTACGCTAGGGTCGGACGAAGAGATGGTGACGCTGCCGCGGGACAGGGGCGCAGTGAGACACGAGGACATGACGCCCAGGGTGGCGCCGCCCGATGCAACCGCCCCGGCGACGTACTCGACTTCCGGCCAGTCGGCTGGGAACCAGGACAGTGCCGTGGCGGTGGCACTGGAGAACGCGCCGCGGAGCGACGCGGGAATCTTCTCAAAGGAAATGTACGCGGAAATTGAGCTCAGAGGTCCCCACGCTTGCTCGCGATACTGTTTTTCCACCAGCGCAGGGTTTGCGGCTGCTTCGGCCGGCCCGCTGGGTGTGCTAACGATGTTGATGACTTGGAAGTAGAGTTGGTCCCAGAGGTTCTGGCCCACGCCTGCGAGGTTGGAGACTACGGTGATGCCCAGAGACTTGAGGGTTGCTGCAGGGCCGATGCCGGACACGAGGAGCAGGTGAGGGGACCCAAACACACCCGCGGAAAGAATGACCTCTTTTTTCGCCATCAGCGTGTAGGTCGTGCTGTCTGTGACCACGGAGACGCCCGACGCGGTTGAGCCGTTGAATAGGATCTTGCGGGCAGTCGTGTGGTGGTAGACCTTGAGACCGGCCGGGACGCCGACAGTATCCATGTAGCTCGTTCGAGAGGACGAGCGCGTGGCATTGCGAGGGTCAACACTCGTGGTGACGTAGGCACTGAATCCAGCGAGGATTCCACTGTTGAAGCCAATACTGCTCATAGCCAGCCCAAGAGAGCGGATGCCTTGAGCAAGCCAGGTAATGGTGGGGTCTTGCCACTGAGCCCAGGAAACCTGCAATGGCCCCTTGAGAGAATTATCAAAGGCCGTCGTGTCGTAGGTGAAAGTAGCATTGGGGGTGTTGCGCTTGGCGAAATTGGGAGCCGTGAGGGTGGCAGATTTCTTGAAGTAGGGCAGAACATTGGCCCATGTGTAGCTGGTGTCGCCAACTAGATCTGCCCACTTGCCATAGGCTCCGACCGTGGCCCTGTGGTAGGCGAGGGTGTTAATGGCAGATGAGCCACCAAGGGTCTTGCCTTGGGCATAGTGAATCACGCGGTTGCCGGCTTGCGTTTGGGGCACGCTAAGATAGTCCCAGTCCATGAGCGAGTTCAGAGGATAGGAAGGCGTGGTATCCAGGAATGGGATGTTTTGGGCGTATCCGGGCACAGTGCTGAGGTTTCCATTGTCCTGCTCGTAGAAGCCGCCTGCTTCAATGACGGCCACCTTTGCGACCGCTGACAAGCGCGACGCGATGGCCAAGCCGGCTGTACCGCCTCCAATTACTGTTCGGGAGGCATCAGAAAAATGAATGTACATGGAGAGGGAGAAAGCACATACCGACATAATCGTACGTGGCGGCCTTGCCAAAGACGGGATCAGCGCAAGCAGCCTCACCACTTAGCGCGAAGAGGCAGAGGGCAGCGGTCAGCATTGACTTGGAGAGGGCCATTTCAAGGAGTGATGGAAGCTCGACAGCTGGGAAGATGAAGCAGGCGACAGCAGCCTCAAGTACTTGAGATTACATCGTGAACCGACGGTTGGTTTTGGCCCCTGCAGAACCCGCACGGCACGTAGATGGACTCTAATAGTCAGCACGACATCGCATGCGGCAGTGGCGCTGATGCCATGTGCTTGTACAAGGGTCTCTGCCGGGGAGCCCAGGACAGGCGTGTAAGACGGCGTTCCGCCATTCGATAGTTCTCGCGTCGGGGTAAGACAGAGTTGACCAAGTAAGGCGGCCACGCATGTACACTAAAAGAACGACCGTCAGCTTAGCTTACATTTCGCAAATTCCACGTGCGCTGCCACGCGTAGCCGTATGCGGTACTCGTCAAGGAAGTGCTCGAGTCTGGCCTGTCCAGGGCTGGATTTCATAAGCCACCTCGGTCCAAGAGGGATTCTTCATCACGTGTCCGCTATGCCAATTCGAGACCTCAGTGTCGGGAATAACTCATGCTTAAGCTACACCCCGGCATGACTACAGTATCATTCTCGTGCTCTGTGGTCTACGATCCATCTAAATGCGCTGTCTATGCTCGCACCTCGCAGCCCTAAAACAATACCGCCTCCTCCTACTAAAAATGAATTATTCGTGACCCATCACCACCACATGCCTCTTCCATTACTGCGCCTGCTCCTCCACCTCCCTCACCTCCTCAACAACATGCTCATCCTTATCCCCACTCTTAACCCCCTTCCACTCATCCGCCCTCGCCCACCTAACCCCCGCATACGGCGGTCGCCTCGCCCTCGACTCCTCCGTCTCGACAAGATGCGCGTCCCCAAGCTTTGACTCCTCGCTGAAGACGTACTCACGCACTTCGCAGTTACTCCAGTTAGTCCCGAGCATCGGGTCTTCGATTTCCCAGTCCTCGGTGAGGAAGTGAGAAATGGCGCCGTGGGAGACGAGCACGATCTTTAGCTCATGTTAGAGGGAACGCAAAGGGAGGGAAGGGAAGGGAAGGGAGACTTGCGTGGTTCTCGTCGCGGGAGAAGAGGGATGATCGCATGTCTGCGGCGCGGGTGTGGATTGCGGAGGCTTCGTAGGCCCAGTAGCCTTGCTGTTTTGACATCAGCGACTGCTGGCTATCAAGGTGGTCATCTGACATACCTTACTATTCCACCCCTCCTCCACCGCACCTGTATCAATCTTCTCCCAATCAAACCTGACCTTGTCCTCGCCCTCTTTCTCCGTCTCTTGCAGCCATTCCTTCAAGTCTGGAAGATCCAGACCGCGATCTGCATCATGGGAGCCAAGTTCTTGAAGTCTGGGATCCAAGAGAAAAGGTACTTCAGGGCGGGATAGAGCCGGACCGAAGGAGAAGGCTGCAGTTTGTATCTTGATGCTATGAGATAAAAGGACGAATCTAATGGATGCACGTGACTTACCGTGCGCCGAATCGGAGAGGCTATGATGAGGTCTACGGTGTTGTGGTTGGGGTACGTGGCTGAAAGCTTGGCGCATTGCTCGTGGCCGAGAGATGTGAGGAGCGGGTCGCGGAGGTCATAGTTGTGCTGGGAAGGTCAATTTCATCGCGTTGGTACATTAGGCAAGTGAGTATTACTGTAAGGTTGTGATAACCTTGTCCGTGGCTGAGAATGGTCAGTCTTTTTCCAACTTGACACTGGTTTTGTACCCACTCACCGGACGATCGAAATCTTCTTCGGAGGCATTGCGATGCTGTACTGTGGTTTGCTACGCAGGGTGCAGGTACAAGTTGTTTTGGCCGAGCGGTGAGTCACGGCAGGAAAATCAGAAAATCAGAATCTAGTAAAAATGGAAGTACTCAATGACGTATGAGACAGTCGCAGAAGTCGTGAAGGAATGGCAAAACCCACGATATGTAAATTATAATGTTTCAGAGGGTCTACTGTGAATATATGGGACGTGGCGTGCACAAACGCGTGTAATTGTCCCTGGCGGTGGCCCGCGGCCGCGGCGGGACGTGCAGTCAGAATCCGGAGGCGAAGGGGCACTGTGACCCTTTAGCTCTCGTCGCCATTCGGATTCCGGTCAATAGAGAACTATGCGGATTACCCAATGCGATCTTCGTATTGGCGTGCGTGGGGTGCAAAACTTTTTGTAGGTGCTGCCTCGGCTTACCTTCCTCCGACAGACTCGGCTCACCTTCCATCCCACACAAAACCTCCGATAACTGAGACGTGAAACTTTTGTCGACCTGCGTGAACCGTTGTTGACTCACGTATATGTTCGAGGCCCTAGATGCTTGTCAGCCATCGCGGATCAAGCCTCGGATGCAGATGGAGTATCGACTTACTCTTCGCTTTCCGCGGGCTTTCCCTCACTGGCATCTCTCCAGTCATCAACTCGAGCAGCTCCAATAGGCCGCGGAGGCGCTCTGAGCTCGTCACCAACAATGCCCTGCCCACCTCTTCCTCATTAGGGTTCTCTTTCATGCCTTTGACGCTATTCCGCTCCTTGATGCCAGACTCGACCGCTGCCCGCAATGCCTCGGTGGGTTGGAGTTGTACTGGTTCCAGCATGTACATAAACACCTGCTCCAGAAGAAGCGATACTTTGGCATTGTCGGCAAAACCCTGTGTCCGTGCGCGATGCGGCAGCAGGAGCCGTTCAAGCTCTCCCTGCGTAGGCGCTACGGTAGTATAGTTGATGTATTTCTCGGCAGTTAAAGCTGTGAGGACGGTGACGTTTAGCGCTACTTGATCAGCAGGAGACAGTCGCGAGGTCGTAATCAGCAGATGTAACACAGAGACTGGAAAATATCTCAGTTGCACGGCAAGTGTGTCAAAGAGGCCTTCAACGGAGGTAAAGTGATCGGGAAGTCCTCTAGCGACCTTGGAAAGCTGCATAGTGTTAGATCGTGCTCATAAATACGGAAGACATCATACCAAAGATACAAGACGTTGACGGAGCTCCACAGCATCGATGCCCCCAAGCCTTTGCACAGCAGCGTCGTAGTCAGGTATGAAGGCGTCTTCCAACAGAGGTAAGGATGTGTCTGACTCTTTGCACGCATTTCTCGATCTGCGTCCTCTGATAGCTGACCGAGGCGCATCCTGCATATCGACATCTTCATCCTCGCTTGCGTAGTCACCTATGTCGCCCTTTTCGAAGTCAACCAGGCTTGTATGCTTCTTCGTATCTTCTTTCTTGGGAGCCTGCAGTTCTTTGTCCCACACCTGGCCAAACTCCTTTAATGATTGTGGGTCGCCAGTAGCATGGATTGCCCTGAAGATGCGCTTCCTCGTGTTTCCGGCAAGAGGCTCCTGGCTGCAGATGTACTGCCATATGAGAGTATCCTGTAGTGGGTCGCCATTGTTCGTACAGTCATCCCACTCAGCCTCGATAAAGCTCAGCATGATATCCAGCCAAAGCCTCCAACGCCTCCAACGCTTCTCGTGTTTGACCGAGCAATTGAAGGCCCAGCCTACAATATGCCAGAAATCCTCAGCGCAATGCCAAAGGCTCTGCGCATTGGCTGCAACATCGTTGAGCTGCTCGATATCGTAGCCGCGGGTAGATGCAGGAGAGTCGAGCGGGCTGTGCAGTGCGGGGCCTCGTCGTCGCGAACCGGTGAAGGTAAAGGCTGTTCGAAAGGCCCTGAGACTCTCCACCGACCTGTCGACCGTGTTTTGCACGCAGCGCAGGTATTTTAACGCAGCGTCGGAGCCCTTGATAGCATCGTCGGAGGTCGCTCTAGTGGTGACGTGGGGGTAAACGATCAAGGTGGAAGCGAGAGCTATCTGCGCAGCTGGTGCCAGCAAGCCGACGTAGGGTTTTGCAGGTGTTGTTATCGAGGTACCGGCAGCGAGGAGCGAGTGCAGGAATATGTAGGCTTGCTCGTCTAATGCATGTTAGTAGCACATAAGCCAGCGGAGACGGCAACCTACAACGCTGGTGGTCTAAGTATGCCTGGACGTGGCTTGCGACCTCGTAACTCAGATCCTTGACTGGCCGCCGATACTGTTGTCGCGGACATATGCTTACGGCCTCAAGAGCGCGATCGACGCTATTGCCATTAGCCATGTCTATCGCAGGCGCGTCGAGAAGGTGAGGTCAATCGGTGGACGCGTTTCGGCTGGCGCGCGACGCGAAGTCACGCTGGCTCCGGCTGTCTGTCTGTCAGATGGGACGGCCGGCATCGGTGCCCCGCACTTGGCTTTGCGAGTCGCCCAACATTCCGATCTGCGCTATTGTTCGTATTGGGGCCTTCCCAGTTCTACGCTTGTCAACGCACGGAGGGATGGAAAACCCATTTTTCTATATATATTTCGATATCACACAAAATTGCAATAAACCACTCCGTTATGGTGTATCGGCTAGCATCCGTCGCTTTCATCAGCTTTCGAGCAAATGTCAGCCTCCGACGAGAGCCGGGTTCGATTCCCGGTAACGGAATGATCTCCTCCGTTGATTCTTTTTGCTTTCCTATCTTACTGTCTCATTTTGCTGGTTAGGGTGCCATTGTGGGAGTTTCCACCATCGAACTACGGCTACCCGATGTAGCCAGACACACGAAGTCCACAGTAAACGAAGGTATGCAAGACACGCTTAGCGTTTTCCTATTTCGAAGGTTGTTTGCGCTGTCGGGGCTGCAACCCAGGTCTGCCTCCAGCCTCATACACTGCACATCATTTTCATGCCGTTCAGGCACTTTTGGGTGGTCCTCTGCACCTTCTTTGAATTTCGTTCGGCTTCGAAGAACCTGTTCGCCATGGTCCACGATATTCAAGACAATTCTTCTACTGTATACAGCACGCGACAAATAAACCACCACATTGGATAGGAGCTTGAAGATGATTGATACTCCACCACAGTCCTCTGACGCAATTGAACAAGGTCGGATGCGCTCTCTTCCCAGTTTCTCCGATGGTCTCAGAGATGCAGCAGCACTGCACACTGGGTTCGACAACTCCAAGATTTCAGTGTGAGCGGTTGCAAAATACGATGCAATTTCTCCGTTGAGTGTGCCAAATCTACGTGCGCTGAGTGTCGCTCACTGGTGTTGCAAGCTCTCCTCCGTTCGTCGGCAAGCGGAACATTGTGCGCCAACCTCTGCATGCCGATCTACCCCAGATCTACACCGCGATTGTTTCTCCGTCAAAATCATCACGTCTAATATAACGACAATGTACCTCCGTGTGCCTTCGAAAATCGAGCCACCATGAAGTGCTCCATGCTCGCTCTCCTACCGCTGGTCGTGGCCGCCGCATCAAATCCCTGGGAGACCTTCATTCACAGCCCCGCATCACGGCACGTTAAACCTACAGCGATACATTCTAAATCCGAAAACGTTACTGTTTTCAAGCACAGCAACAGCGAAAATGTTCTTTTCATGCCAGCATGTTCGCAGGTCAGCCTCGACTTTGGTGCAGAGGTTGGCGGATGGATCAGCCTGAACGTGAACACGCCTAGTACCAGCACACCCCAGCTTTCGCTCGCGTTCGCCGAATCGCCATCATTCGTGCGCGCGATATCGGATGATACTGGTTCAATCGCGACGCAGGACTACGACAAAGCACTCAACGTCAGTGTGTCGCAAGGATCTACGTGGTATAGAGTGCCAGGAGAGAGGTTTCGGGGTGGATTTCGCTTCTTAACGATTGTTGCTAGGAGTCACGCTACAGTCGCCAACATTACTTGCGAGATTGGCTTCGCGACCGAGACTAAAAGTTTACGCAAGTATGCGGGATACTTTTACACTCCCGACACGGACCAGCAGACTCTCAATCGAGCTTGGTACGCTGGGGCATATACCGTGCAGACCAACATTGCGCCTCAGAATACTGGTCGTTTCCTCCCTCAGGTCAAAGACGGATGGGCTTACAATAACACCATCGGCGTCGCCGGGCCTTTGCTAGTAGACGGTGCGAAGCGGGACCGAGCTGTCTGGCCCGGTGACCTGGGCATACAAGGCACAACGGCATTTTTAGCCTTTGGCAACGACGGGCTTTTTGCGTACAAGAATTCGTTGGAAACACTCTTTTACTATCAGAACGCGACCACTGGCCGACTGCCCTTTGCTGGGCCAGCTACCGGCTCTTTTCGCAGTGGTGCTCAGAGCGATACGTATCACGCATGGAGCTTGATTGCTATGCACAACTATGCCATCTTCACTGGCGATTCGGAATGGTTGACTTTACACTGGGCCAACATCACCCGAGGCATCGAGTTCATCACCAACGCCTTGGACACCTCATACGGTCTACACACGCAGACTGCTCCTAATGACTGGGCACGACAAGGTGGCGGCGGCTACAACAGCGCCCTCAACGCCCTCGACTACCGTGCCCTCTCCTCACTTGCTACCCTCGCCCAGTCCTGGTCCAAGGATGCTGCCATCCTCTCCAACGCTGCAAAATGGGCCACCGCCGCCGCAAGGCTCAAACGTTCCTACAACGCCCTCCTCTGGGACACCAAAACTTGCCTATTCCGCGACAACCAAACCACAACACTCGCCCCGCAAGACGGTAACAGCCTAGCGCTTCTCTACAACCTCACTCAATCCTCCGCGCAAGCCACAGCCCTAAGCAAAGCCCTCACAACATTCTGGACTCCAATCGGCCCCGTAACACCAGAATTACCGGACACCATATCCCCCTTTATTTCCTCCGTCGAACTCCTTGCACACTTTGCCGCCAACGAGCCAGGCCGCGCACTCGATCTCACGAAGAGGCTGTGGAAGTACCTGCTCGACTCGCCGCTCATGACGGGCAGCACCCTCGCTGAGGGGATCAGTGCGAATGGCAGCTTGTACTACCGCGGCAATGCGGGATATAAGCACGACGCGGCGTATACGAGTCTCAGCCATGGGTGGAGTACGGGGCCTACACAGGCGCTCAGCTTTCGTGTTGCGGGGCTGGAGATTGTGGGGTGGAAGAGGTGGGTGTTTAGGCCGCAGAGTGGTGGGGTGGAGAGCGTGAGGAGCGGGTTTGAGAGCCCGTTGGGGGTTTGAGGTGCGTTGGGGAGGGTTGGCAGGGACTTTGACGCTCGTGTTACGACGCCGGATGGTACCATGGGCACGATTAGCATGGAAAGTTGGAAATGTGGGACAATTTTGGTGAATGGAAAGAACGTGAGAGCACATAGGGAAGTGCACGGTGGGGGCACAGTAAGTGTGACTGGAATATCATGTGCGTAGATCGCATTACATTCTGGTATTGAACTTGTTGCTCAAGAGTCTGCGATTGTCGGCTGAGACATTGGGTACATCTGTCTCAACTCAATTGCTAATTACCTTGTCCACGCCCAGTAACAATAACCGAGACCTCGCTGGCCGCAAAAAGACCGATATGGTTACGCTCACTAAACGTGTTCTGAGGTTTTGCAAGTGCAAAGTCAAAGTGGCGTAGCAGCTACACCTGGTCAGCTCGTTCCCACTGATGCCTCAGTACAAGCGCATACCTCGAAGACAGCCTTGCTGTATTCCATCCATGCAATGTTCTTCCCCAGACATTGATACTTTCCATACCCAAAGATCAACTCGGTCGTCTTCTTCATCTCTGCGACCTGATTAGTATCGTCGACTATCCACCGCTCCGGGCGAAACAAATCCGCATCCTCCCCAAAGATGTCTTTCCTGCTGTTGAGCCCATCCACCGAATACCCAACATTAGTCCCCCCAGGAAGAAACACCGTCCTTCCCTCCACAACCACCGTATCCCCTCCAGCAGGCACCTTCTTAGGCACAATGTCCGTAACCGGCGGCCGCATGCGGAACCCCTCTCGAAGCACCGCCTGCAGATACACAAGCTCCCTCGCCACCCCATCCGGCACCACACCAGGCCCAAGACCCCCCGCCACCGTATCGTCCACCTCCCGCTGAAGCTTCGCGTACACTCTAGCATTCGACATAACGTACAACATCGTCCCCCGTATCGCCGTAGCAGTCGTCTCGCTCCCCGCAATAATCTGCAGCCACGCCTCAGTAAACAAGTCCTCGCGCGTCAGCCCATGCCGCATAAAAGCCGCAAGCATATCCGACCTACTATCCGTCTCGGATTTCAGCCTGTCGTCGATAAGTCGTCGCGCTGTCGCCATGGACTTTCCGAATCCGGACTTGCTCTTCTCGTTGGGACCTAGCAGGCGCGCGATGGGAGGCCATTGGACGACGCGCAGCAGGCCGCTCGCGAGGATCATAGTGATGCTCGCCATGACGGCGTCGGTCGACTCGATGTACGAATCCATGTCAGCGTCGTTAGCCAGGTCGCCGAAGGCCTGCCCGAAGCCGATATCGCTGATGACATCGAGAGTGAGATATTGCGTCTTGCGCGCAAGATCCATAGTCCTATGTTGCCGTGGGGTGGAGAGGTACTTGTTCCGGATGAGCGACGTGTACTGGTTGATATACTTGTCGATTGTGGGCTCGAGGTCGGTGTTCTCTTTTCCGGAGTACTGGGGAGGTTATTATACGATACTGGCGGGGCGAAGGGAGAGGGAGCAAGTACGTACCCCGGCGGCCATCTGCTGGCGACGCTTTGTGTGCTTCTCTTCGTCCACTTGGCTGAAGATGTGGTCTCGTCCGGGCTCAATTCGGGCGGAACGATTGTACCACGCCGCGCGGGAATATGGGGAGCGGACTGCGCTCATGTGGGCCAGTAGCTCGGGTGAGGATGTAATGAGGTCGTTTGGTCCGATTCTGGCAATGGAGCCTGGACATGATATTTAGGCATGGAATAATGCTAAGGTTTAATGCTAAGGTTGGCGAATTACGCACCATGGCGATCTGTAACGCTTTTGTACCAGTGATGTGATTGAAAGGTCACGATCGCATAGATGTGCGGTATCTCACACCATCCTGTGCTGAATGGACCCTTGAACTGGCGTAGACGGAAGTATTTGCGAGTTTGGTTAGCACAATAGATTATAACAAGCAGAAAAGGTAGGAGCCATCGCGCTGCAAAAACGTGTTCAAGAAGCGCCATGGTGATGTGAAAAGTCCACAAGGCTGGGGAAGTATGAAGAGTAGGAAACGGCAAGGCTCTGATAATGATATAAAGGTTGCTCTTGTATTTAGAACAATTGGGTGCAGGCCTCTATCTCTGTGTGTGATACAAAGCGGAGAAGCTGCATGATATGGCGCGTCTGATTGGTCAATATGCACTCTCCGTGTCTGAATTGCCGGAAGTGGTGTTCAACTCCATGGCAAATACAGCTGGATACTGCCATTGGAGCGTGATGCACACATCGGTGAGTCTGCGATTCAACAAGAGGCATACAGTATGCATTGCTTCGCTGGGATGCTACAGGTTCTAGCCTTGTTCCCGGCTATACCATCGCCACGGGTAGACCGAAGTCTGCTTGTAACTTGTTCGCCTAAAATAAATGCAGTTACTCGCCAATAATACCCTTTTGGAGGGTGGGAGCTCTATAGCGAATGCGACCACCCTAAGAGGAGCAAACCTAAGATAACAGTAAATTGGGCACTGAGGCGGAGGGGGACCTCTTCAGCTAGGATGCGACTCTTCGGAAGCCAATCCCGGAGGTTTTCCAAGCGTACAGACTGTCCTATTGCCGAAAGCGCGATGTACGTGACGACAAGGCGAGACGGGGCGTATGCGGTGTGAATATCAAGCGGCAGCGCCTCGATGTCGATCATCTACCTACTGTTCACGCGGCCTGTGAGCAGCGGAAAAGAAGTGCGGTCTCACTTCTTGGCGCGTCAGGGCGTTCTGGGCCGCTTGTTGTTCGAGAAGTGCTCTTGTGTGGTTAGTGCCTTTCCACGGGTCCACGGGTCCACGGGTCCACGGGTCTCATGCCATCACATGACCAGCGCACCAGCGCTTACATAAACCCGCTGGCCACATTGTAACGGCGTTGCAGCCTCAGAATGCCGCCGACATCGCAAAAAGCCTTTGACGCCAACAGCGCGTACAAGCGACAATTCGAGGACTTCGGCGCTGTCGCCGCTAGTATATGCACGGCTATTATGTCCACGCTGTCAAGGCGACGAAGAACTGCGGAACACGCAAGACCGTCACATTTTAGGCATTGCGCACTGGAAGTTCGTGGCCGAAATCTGCCTGGTCGATGAGGTTCATCTTTTTGCTGTTTAAACATATACGCTCGCGTCAAAGTCCATGAGACGATTGAGGATGTGGGTAGGAGTGGATTGAACTAAATCCCTGCACGTACCGTTCGCGCCGAGGGAGGGACAGCGACCCTACCGCCTTTCATGGCAACCAAGGAGACGATGTCGGCGATGCAATACGGTCACCCAAGATAGTGTCACGACATTCCTAGTGGGAACAAGGAAGTATGGAGTGGCATGTCACCAGTCATATCCAGTTCAAGCCGTTACACTGTTTAGACTGTTCGGACTGCGTCTGTCAACGTCATTCAATGCTCTGTCAGAATTGGCCGATTGTCTGCCACTGCCTCGAGGAAATTTGACACTGCGAGTCAATCTCTCCCGTTCGTCCTATCCAAATGCACGATCGTCCTTGCATCTACTGCAATCACCGTTGAAAGAACCGCCGGTATGATGTTGCGGGAAGAAGATTACGTGTTTTGAACTGCGGCTGAAAGAGACTAAACCATCCGATACGTCGGTGGTTGTGGATGAAAGCAAAGATTGGGCAAGAAGCGCCTCAACAGTCTGTTTCTCAATAGATCTTCGCGCAATCGAAATTCAGCCATGCGAAACATCAGTCATTCGTTTGTGCCGAGGGCTCAGAAATCCCAACGCGAGCACAGACCCGTACAAAATTAAACGCCAATCTCCCTATCCCAAACGAAAAGCCGAGAGGCATCGAGACATGTTTCGTCAATTGCCAAGATCTTGAGTCAATACTTAAGGCTTACTCCCCCAATACATCATCTTCCTTACAGCCACTATTCATTGAACATCCTCGATCACAGGAAGTACCATCAAACTAGTTCCTCATCATGCATCTCCACACTTTGATCGCCCTGCTTCTCAGCTTCCTCGTCTCCATCGTCCGGTCCGCACCCACCGACGGAAACGACGGAAGGGATCGGTACTGGGAGACAGACATCAATCATGACTGTGGTCGCGTCGAGACGGGTGCGAAGTACCAACAGGTAGGCGCCATGCAGTGGGGGTACCCGGACTCCAATGGTCATCTCCCGTTCAGCTACAATACCAAGGTGTGCCTCACAAAGGAGCCCGGATACGATTGCATACGGCTTTCAAGCGCCGAGGATCACAAGGTCAACCGCTTCTATCTTGCTACTGGCTTTTTCATTGCCGTCTACAGGTACATGTTCCTGGGTTGTAGGAACAATGGTGACGATGTTGCTAACTTTGAGAGTGACGACAATTGCATGAACGACAAGGTCACAGTGCAGGGTCAGAGTGGCTCACTTTTCGGGGAGTACAACATTCACAGCTACAGGGCGTGGGCGCATTGAGTTCAGTTATGCTTGGGTACTTCTTTCGGCTCCCGGTCATTGAGAAGCATAAGTGTTCAGAGTTGGATCTGAAACCATACCGGTAGTCTGGACATGGGCAGTGGAGCCCGGTGGCGATCATGGTTGCCTACGGTGGTCTACATACAATGGAGTTACCATTCTCGCCCTGAGTTGAGTCCGTCAAAATCATTTAGCTTATCATGACTACCGACACTAAACACAAACCCAACAAACTAGCAACTGCATTCAGATCATCCAGAAGCTACTTTGTTATGTGGAGTTTCCTTTTCATCTCTTTCTTCTCGCTGGTGGATACCAAGCCGAGTGAGACAGGTAGGCCTCGATAGCTCTGAGATTTGGACAACATCGTATTGACGAAGCAATAGCCACTCTATCTGTCACAATCTGGCGCAAGGAACCGATGGAGAAGACGGTCATAAGCTCAATGGGTTTGTAAAGAGCGTCTCAAGAAACCCGCCGCGTGGTCTTCCTTCACCTTGTCTCATACGATGGAGGGTAAATGCACAACGACTGGAACAGTAGAGGCTCATCTTTGAATGAACGCTCAATCAGAATGTGTATGTAATGTTCTGGTTTCGCGCTAACTGGGAAGCTGGTCATATTCAACTTATGACGCGACTCGCGCCTTCCTTCACTTCCTTCACCTCGAGCCCTCGAGGGCAGTTGCGCTGCACGGGCCAAAGCTCCGCCTTCGAACTTCATAAAACCCCGCGCCATCTCCAGAGTCTGCTCTCTCTCCACGACAGCTCGAACTCTTCTCTCAACCTCCAGACTCACCTGCAATTGTCAATATGCAGCTCTTCACTTCTCTCTCCTCCCTTCTCGCGCTCGCCGTCAGTGTGGCGGCAACTCCCGCCTCGAACGGCCGTGAAGCTCGCCATGTTCAGCAGCGGGCGAACGAGGTCGCACGCGCGCCGATGCCGATTCCGTCAATTGCGGTAAGTTACGAATGAGGAAGACAACACGAATCGAGGGCTAAGAGCAAGCAGAACATCGATCCCGTGACGCGAGAGCTCTTCAAGCGCGATGCCGCGAACGACACCATCTGGACTTTCGGCGGCTACAAGACCAAGAAGAGCGCGGGTGCGGGTGTCACGATGAAGGCCGAGTTCAACAAGACTGCTGGCTCTTCCTGGTGCAATGAGATTGACGGCGTTGGTAAGGGTGATGCACGCGACAACATCATCACCGCCGCCCATGCCGACTCGCACGTGGGCTACCCGCATCCTGCAGACATGCCTCCGGAGTATGTTTGCTTCTTCTACGAGTCTAGGTAAGCCACGATCCCGAAATCGGTATATCTGGCTAATTCGATACCAGGAACAAGTGTGATCCCAAGGACGGTCACGCCGAGTACGTTGAGAGCGTGCCAGGCCCTAAAGGCAGCGCAAACGATACGCAGTTCGACGTCAAGTACAAGTACATCAGCTGGGGTTGCCAGTGGAACCCGAAGAATCAGGACTGCTCCGCCAAGGACCATACTGGTCACCCGCCCGGCAAGGACTGCTAAGATTGCTCTTCTTTCCGGTGTTTCAATCTGCGTTTGGTGGTCAGCTCTGAGGACACTTCCGTCATGGAATTTTTCACGTACTACGGCTCATCTACTGCGCGATGTTTGTTAGCGGTCAGCGATGGTTGATCTCATGACAGTAATGGAAATATACAGTTCAATCATGGCGCAGTGTGACTCAAATCGTCTTGTTATGATTAAATATTACATGGTGTACTTGAATCTCATCTCACATTCACCAGCCTTCTACATGCTCTCTCCGCTGGCACCCATGACCTCGACAATAGCCGGGCCCGCAACAACATCGTCATCGGTAATGCTACCCTCCTTCTTCGTAATCACCACATAGCTCTGTCCGTGGAAGCCGACCGGCACCATGGTCGAGAACATGTTGCCATGCTCGAACTTGGCCTCTACGAAAGTGGGCCCGGTTACGGCAATCCAAGCAGCATAGAACTTCTCGTTGTACTCTGCCATCACGGGCTCCTTGGTCTGCAGTGTGATGGTCTTGTTCGTAGCGATGCAGTCGGCCTCGGTGGTGACGCTCAACATGGGGAAGGCCTTGACGGGCAACATGCCGTTGCTCGCGGGGCACGAGACGATGAAGGGCGCAGCGAGGGTGTATACTTGGTCGAGGGTGAGCGGGGCGTCGAAGGGCTGCGGGAAGGGCGACTGCTTGTTTGCCTTGCGCAGGTACGAGGAGTGGCGGGCCTCGACGGTGAGGATGGAGCCGGCAGCGGTGAGGTACAACTTCTCCATGATAGAGGCAGCGGCGCCGAGGTAGGCGGAGACACCGACACCCTCGAGGATGGAGGCTGTGGCGAGGAAGGACTTTACGTCTGTGACACCGAAGGCGTAGGTGCATTCTGCCACGGGGGTTGCGTTGGCGGCTGCATAGTGTTAGTATTTCGGCAGCAGACGGTGGGCATTGTAGATACATACCAGTGAGTGCCTGCGTGAGGAAGGAGACGTGCGTGGTTTCATCATAGGAAACTTCCTTGAGGTTCTTGTAGAACACCTCACCGTAGCCAGCCTTTTTGAAGTCCTCCATGGTGAAGTTGGCGAGGCCCTCGCGGTAGAACTTGTCCTCAAGGTGCTCCAGTGTCAGAGCATAATTGAGGATGTCTACATCAGTGATGTTGGGCATTGCTGCCGCCTCAGTAGCACGCTTGGTAGGGTGCGCAGAGCAAGAGGCCAGCAAGGCAGATGCAGCAAGGATGAACTTCATCTTGAAGGATTGATAGAAGATTGAAGACGTTGAGTTGTGAGGAGTATTGCTTCGGAGGCTGGGTAACTGGAAGCGACACCACCACCAGCCGTTCTTATAGACAACCTAAATTATCCCCTAATTCATCTCCACCGCGAACTCGATCGCCGTTGTCTTCATTACCTCCCGTTACCTCCGCATCGCACAAGGGCGAAGCACTCACGGATGCGATCTCACCCGTGCGATCGTCCCTGAACCCCTCAGCCCTCTAGCTGTGCCTTAGACTCCATCATGACAATTCAGAAAAGCCGCCTACAGCTTACACGAACTATAGTGATCCGGCTATACCTGAATGAAGAGGTCGAGCATGGAAAGAGACTAGCAAGTTCTGCCAATTAGGCAATCCGTCTCAAAGAGGAAATGATGTTTCAAAACATATTTGCCCGGATGCTCTGGCATCCGAAATGACATCTGTAGGGCTCTGCTGTCAGTTCTCGATCGGGTTGGGAAGCAATGTCGTAGTAGCGTTGGCAGAGGAGACGGTTTCGCTTAGCGGCCGAATCAGGGAGAGCGATGGCGTTTGCGGATACAGAGTCTTCCGGGAAAAGTACCACAATATGATGCTGCCAACAGTTCCGCTGCGGCACTTTCCGGAAGATTCGCTAAGGCTTGCAAATGAGGGGTATATGAGGTACGGTGAGGTCAGTGCGGGTGAGATGTCCTTGGGTCGTGCTATTGCTTCGTGAACGTCACATGACGAAGAAGGTGGACTAGCCTGTTTCGGCATGACGTGATGCTGGCGTCTCCTGCTCCAGGGCTTTCTCATCCTCACATTCTTCCAGCATGGCTTGAGCATCTCCGCATCATCTCTTCAGGGCTATCAAGCATTTCACGGAAGCTGTCGAGTAGGCAAACGAACGCGGTCAGTAGCGTACAATCAGCGCGTTTGCTGGGGCGCGTCTCGTTTGATGGCCGAAGATGACAGACGACGTCGAAAGCGATGATTGGTGAGTTCCATGGCTTTTACCATCGATCTTGATCAAGTCTTTCATGTGCAGCAATGGTGAAGGCAAGATGCGGGAAGATCTCACCTTCTTTTTCCCTTTCAATTGATCTTGGGCATTGCGACCCTCAAAGAGCTTCTATCGAGCCAACATCATGGAACCACCGGGGTCTTTTAACACGGACTCGTCATCCTTTTCTCAGGCCCACCCGCCTTCATACCGTCACACCATGGCTGTCCCGCCTCGTTCATCAAGTCTCATGGCGACGATCGGTTACCACAATATGGACAGCTATGCACAGAATGCCATGGCACTAAAATTCCCCGAGTCTCTAGAGGCTTCTATCGAAGAGCAGAATGAGAAGAATTGCCGTTGGTCCCGTATGAAGCGGAGAATCGGCCGCTCGCTTGCGTCTCGCTCAAACATCAGTGTCTCCTCTTTCAAAGCACTCTCCCCGATCAGTGAGACTGACTCGGCGAAACACAGTATCCGTGTTGCTTATACTTCCTCTGCTGCCCCGTCAGCAGCATGGGACAATAATAAGGAGTACACACAGCAGCTAAGCCAAGCCGTGAGCGGCCTCAAGAACGACTTTGTCTCTGGTGCCAGGGAGATGGCCGACTCCGCCCTGTCAACACTTTCCTCTCTCATCGTGACTGCGGCTTCAACAGCTGAGAACAAAAGCGAGCTGTGGCAAATGGCAGTATCCGCTGCAAAGGAGCTGTGCGCAGCAAGACCCAGCATGAATGCAGCCATTACATCGTGCCTGCTCAGGGCGCTTGACGAAGTCTTGCAGCTGTGGGATATGCTAGACGAGAAGCGAAGCAAAGCACCCGAAGACCTCGCAGCCATGGCCAGGCGACAGCTAGTACGAATCATCGAGAAGAGGAAAGAAGCTGGTATACGCTTGAGTGAGAACTTTGCCGAGCGACTGAGGGCTTATTGCCGACAGGTATCCCTTCAAACCCGAGCAATGTTCAATGCTAAAGACATCAGCGCCTCAACAACACCCATAACCTCACCATCCTCACCCTCAGCAATAGCAGCACCATCCGGCACAGCATCATCACCACCCTCTCCACCCTCCGCTTCCTTTGCCTCACCCTCGTCATTCTCGAATCCCGTCCACGCTTCGAAGGCGCAAGCATGGCCTCCCACATCCTTTCTTCCTGCTCCGCCGATGCTAGAGCCCGTCTGCACATCCGCATACTGCCCGACTGCGCGGTTGCTACAGCCGCCAGAGACGCTCAACTCGTCCTCCTAGGTGCGGACCGGATCTCTGCATCCGGCGACGTGAGCAACAAAATTGGCAGCTTGGCTGCGGCAGTGTGTATCAAGTCGCTGAATGCGAAAGCACAGGTTGTGGCTGTTAGCGATGCGGATAAGATTGTCGCAAAGGGGGTGGAGGAAGGTCAGAAGGAGGCGCATCCCGATAGCGAGATGATGGAGGCTTGGGGCGATGAGACGAGGAGGAAATTACAGGGCAGGATCGATAATGGCAGTGTGGAGGTGTTTGGAGAGTGGTTTGAGTGGGTGCCGGCGGAGTATGTGGATGGGTATGTGACCGAGTATGGGACTTTGGATGCAAAGGGAGTGGAGAGCATTGCCGGTGAGGTGGGAGAGTTGAAGGAGAAGATCTTTGGTTGAGGGGGTGGCGGTACTGTAATATTCACGCGTGTCACGGCCTTGATTTGCAACCTCGACTGCATAGGTTGCACGCCAATAGTTTGATCACGATTCACGAGAAGATCTCGTATAATGACTAGGGGAACGGTCCGACCCTAGAACACGGTACCGTCTTGGGCAAATAATCCACTCGAATGATCCGCACCTTCCTCATTGTGAAACCGTCCATCCGCAGAAACAGCAATCCACTCCACCATCTATCTCACGCCGCCGAACACATACCCTCTCACTCGTACCCATGTCCTTCCATTTCTCCATATTTCTCTACTTATCTACAACGACTTAATCCTACCAACACCTCCATCCTACACGATCATCTCGACACCACGTTTCCAACCAGCTTCTACCTGCCGACCTAGGCCCGCCTCCATGCCGCCGCCGCCGCCAAGGAATTTCGTCTTCTTGCACACGCGCAACCTCGAGACCAACGAACCTCTATCCGAGGAAGCTCGAGGTAAAATAGAGGAAATACTGCGCACCAAACATCCATTCTGCAACCCTCCATACCACCACCGTACTTGCGACGACCGTCCAAACATCAAGTCGCCTAGATTTGGGTTTCGGCGATTGAGAACGAATATCGCCCTGATAAAGGAGTCAAGAAGAGACATCAGGGAAATGAAGAGACGGCGGAGAGAATTTGAAGAATCAGAAGCGAGAAGAGAGCCAGGAGGGACAAAAGAGCTAGAAACAAGAAGAGGCACTGTTTTCGTCCATCGAGGTGCTGGTAGATGAAGAGAGCCAGAAAGAAGAAGAGGGGGAAGAGTTCTCGTCAGGTGAGACCCTGGTACATGGGAGTGCCTCCACTGCCGGACAGTCGATCGGGATATCGATGGAGAGGGATGTACTCCTGAGGCATAGAGAAGAAGATCCCTTTGAAAGGCAGCTACACGAGGACGCTGTAAGATCACTTGCGGGACGGTCAGACAACGTTCCTCTACACATCCTCGACAAGGATTCGCTCAGGCGCGCAATTTGGCGCACCGATATTAACGAGCGAGGGTGGTCGTCGCAGCGTGGATCCCAGCGAATGTCCCTCGTTGGTAAGTGGGTCGGAGTAATGGAACGCTGAATATTGCAATTTTTCATACCAACGCCATGCCGCGCTGTGCGTCAAATCAAACATGGCAGCAAAAGCTCCCTTGCCCAGCCGCGCCATCGTACTCCATCCATGCCCCACAGTGTTCATACACGTCCTCAAGTCCGCATGTCTCCCAAACTCATCCCTCTCCATTTTCTTTCCTTGTTTTCCTAGACCCAGAATCCTCATCCACCTAGATGAGATGCTTACTTCTAAAATAGCTCCTCAGGTACACAACCTGCCACGCCCCCAAACTAACCAGCATCCCCATTGTCAAATAACCAAACCATTTCACCCGTTCATTCGTGCTCTCATTCGTATCCCTCAGCTTTTGTTCTCTGCTCCTTAGATAATCCATCTCTACGACGATCTCGCCAACGACCTCCTCGATACGGCGCAGTTCGGCTTCGACGGGCTTGAGCTTCTCGCCGGCTTGGATCGCAGACCAGTCCTTTGCGTCGGCGCCGATGTCGATGTCAAGCTCAACGTGGCGCGTGGGATTGAGGTTGCCCTGGGGTGCTGTTTATTGCAAAGTTAGTAGCGAAGATGGTGAAGGGGGAGCAAAGGGTGCCTTACGCCCAGTTATGATGCTCTCAAAGCACACGTCGAATGCGGAGTCGGCGTGCGATGTGAAAGCGTATCTGTTCTCCCCATAGACGTCCTTGGGCTTGTGGTAGTCGTTGCCCATGGCATCGCGAATCTGTCCAGGTTCGTCAGCCCACTTTCCTTCCGTTCCCCTCCACTTTATCCAAGTTGTGGACTTCCAATTGCGCAACGTACATGCATATTCACCGTCTGTCCATCGCCACGGTGTCCATCCAGAATCGCCGTCACAACGACGAGCTGGTCCTTTGCAACAAAGTTCCTGATGCAGCGCTCGTGCTTGGCCGCCTCGTGACTGTTTACAGCGTGGAGGTCGAATTTGAGGGCGGCGGCGAGGGGCGCGAGGAGGAGAAGGGTCTGCAGAAAGCGGAGTAACCGGTCCATTGCGTGGTTCGGGTGTGTGTTTGCTCTCGCGAGCGCTGCGGAGTTGTGTCGTGTTTCGCGAGGGATGATGGAGGACAGATAATCCGCGCACCCACGTCCGAGGGTCGCGCTTGCTGTATTTGGTTAGCGTTGGGAAGGGTGCGACCCAGCAACATCGCTCTTTCAATGTATATCGTTCATTGTACACAAAATATGAGGGATGGCGAGTAGAAAGGAGAACCTGGGAAGATTGAAAGTTGATGTTTCTGCCTTTCAAGTAATATGGCCATCTGGCAATATGCCACATATGAAAGCAGTATAAACCATCAGCATCGATATTCAATCACTATTCGCACCGAAATGACGACGACAAAGCCGGATCACCCCCAATATACCTCGAGCTCAAGGGGTGCAAACAGAGCTCCTGCTCCCACCTCTGCCCCTCTACCGTCCTGTTCGCTATCAACGTCTCCGGAACTTGGCCCTCTTCCACCCACTGAACCAGTTGCTTAAGTGGATCCGAGGGAATTGCACCCACTCCTCCACGACAATGACCCACGCCAGGCGCTGCATAGAAGCGATAATAATCCTTTGCCTTTGGATCAAGGTCAAGCACACGCTCGTAATAATCCACCGTACCATTGAAGAAGATTAATTGATCCGCCATACCGTGCCAAGTGATCATTTTGCCTCCTGCCTTGTTAAATTGGGTTAATTCGGGGTCGCTTGTTCCGATGATGGAAGTGTACTCGTTTGTGGAAAGGTGGAAGGTCGCGTCCCAATTTCCTTGCGTTATGTTGTAGGGGTCGAAGGTTAGGTTCTTCTTGAGGAAGACCTGATACCAGTCCTTGGAGATGGCGAAAGGGACACCTATGCAGGTTCCGTTGGAGGAGCATGTGGTGTTGGCTAGGCCGCTGAGCGGCGCTTGAGGGGCGAGTCCGTACCATTGAAATCGTCCATTGGCGTTTCGGGCTCCGGTCCAGATGGATTTGACAATGGCAGCGGCTTGCTGTGTTACATGGCCCGTCGAGTCACCACAAGAGTATGCCTGGCCAATGACACTGCTGGGATCGAAGTCGCAATGCCCAATCATCCCGATGACACCGTCTTTTAGGCCATCGAGCTCGTCGCATGCTTCAATAGTGGCATTGATGATGGCGCTGAACTCGCACTGGCTTGGAAAGTAGTTGGCTTCATGCATGACACGCTGGGGCCAAAATTCTGCCGGAATGAATTCTGCCCAGTTGATTGCTGGCGCCTCGGCAAGAATGCCATTGTACGCATGGGGGTATCTCTGCGCCATCATCAGACCTTGTCGTCCTCCAGTAGAACATCCATTCCAGTATGATTTCGATATTGATCTGCCGTAGTAGGCTTCAGTCAACTGCTTGCCGAGGACGGTCATATCGTTCAGTGAGACAGATGCAAAGTCTTGAAGAAGGTAGAGGTTGACGCTCCCAGGGCTCAACAAACCCCAGGAAGAAGTGTTCGTGGTGCTGGTGTGCCCTCCGTCTGTGGTGGCGGCGGCGTAGCCCTGGGACACTGCGCTGACCATGTCTTCGAGGTCTGCATTCGTTGTCCAACCGCCCCCTCCGACGCCCTGAAAGCGGCCGTTCCACATGTTGGGAAGCCACAAAGAGACGTGTATTCGATCGTTCTGGCCCGGATGTGTGTAGTTGATTGAAACATTGCAGAATTCTATGCTTGTAGTCGGATCGGTCGAACTGTTGACCTGAACGGCATCGACAGAGAGAATTGATGCTCCAAACAAGGTTGGTGTAGGCAATTCTCTAGGCGAGCAACTGGTTGCAACAGCATGTCCCGTAGTCACAAGAAGAGTGTAAGTATATATCGAAGCAAGCGAAGATCGTAACATCGTGTCAATTAGGTACTGCTTGGCTTTGAGGCTTGTCTCTTTTGTAGAAGCACTTTTCCTTCCCAATGCTTTTGCCAGCGAATGTTTGTAGTTGATGGTGTTTTGCTTATTGGTCGGCCTTGGCTCCTACATATGTACTACGACGTGGGCCGCCATGAGTGGCGCCGCCTATTGTGCTATCGTGGAAAAAGGTACCCTGGAGTAACAATTGTGGCAGGTGCTCCACTTGATCGGTGAGCTTAGATTCGAACATTGGAAGCTAAGGTACAAGTGCGCGGTTATCGTGGTCACGCTGGTATCGGCATCGCGCGTCGGGAGCTGCCCTTTGTAGACCCCTGCAACCCGGTATATATCACGGCTGCACCGTCAATTCGCAGTTGATGTCCGCCGTTGAGGGTCGCTTACCCATGCTGCAGGAGACGATGTCGCACAGCAACTGTGACCTGGAGTTTGGTGTTGTGTCGGGAGCAAGTGTCCGTGCCGCATGACGTCTTAAGGCCATATCGGGTTAGCTGATCCATGGTGGGCCCGACGCCTAATCATTCTCATCCCAATAACACTGATTCCTAGTTCACATGGCACTCGACGGGATCTGTGAGACTTTGAAGAATTTGAAGTATAAATACATTGTGAATGATGTTGGTTGACATCCAGAAACACCCTACGAATCATCATGACGAAAGCGTACAAGAGTATCGATACCCACGTTGACGCCAACCCGGTCGCTCAAAACGCTGAAACAATACCAGACATGAGATTCACCAAGCTGTGGTACCACCATCCATGATCATATTGGAACCGGTCTACACTCTGTCAGCATGTTTCTTCACCCATGGACAAGCTTGCTTACCATGTAACTGCTCGCCCGACTGAGCAGGAACAGTCCTGCCGCCTTGTACTCCTCCGGAGTACTGAGCCGACCTAGCATGTTATTATCCTCCCACTCACCCCTGTCTGCCTCGCCTTTTCTGAAGTTGTCCTCGACCATTGGCGTCACAATATGTCCAGGGCTTAGCGAGTTGACACGAATTCCTCCCGAGCCATCTGGGTTCTTGCGACCCCATTCCATGGCAAGATTCTTGGACAGCTGTACCACTGCCGCCTTTGAGGAGTTGTATACAGGCGCGATGAATCCCCTGTTGGCGATGGAGCCGCTCATCGACGCAATTAGGCAAATCGAGCCCTCGATCTTGTACTTGTGCATCTGGCGTGCACAAGCGCGTGCGGAAAGGAAGACTCCTGTGTAATTGACCGACAGCATCTTGGCGATGTCGCCTGCCGAGTAGTCCAGCGCCGGCGTAACTTGCTGGATCGCAGCCGCTATCATCAGTCAGCCTATTATTTCCGCATCGTTAACCCCAACCTGTGTACCGGCAATGAGTCCATCTAGTCGTTGTCTCTCTGCTGCAATGTGTGCAACGATGTTCTCGAGCGCGACTTCGTCGGTTACGTCCACCTGATGGTAGACCAATTCACCTCCAAATTCCCGCTTCATTCGTTCGGCAGAATCCCCAAATGCTGGGTCGGGATGGTCCAAACGATCGAGGCAATGCACTTGTTCTTGTCAGTTGATACTCTAGCGACTGTGGAGCAACTCACCCTTTCCGCCAGCCTCGACAAGACCTTCTGCCATGCACAGCCCTAGCCCTCGGCCACCACCTACAAATGGTCAGATTCGATAATAAAGGCAGTAATCATGCTCTGCTAAGGGGGGACAACGGCATGCTGCACCTGTGACGACGAAAACCTTGCCAGCAACATCAAACCGACTGAATGGTTTGTTGCCCACACTTTCGCCTTTCTTGTACGGTGCACGGTCTTCTGAGTACCCAGAGTATGAACTGGCGAAGCGGCTTTGGAGCGGGGTTGATAGCAGAGGATCAGGTCGGAGTCTTGGTATTGATCGCCAGGCTGACGATGCACCGGCTACGCGACGGATGAGCGTTCTTGAGGCCATCGTGTGTCAAAGACGTTGGGAAGATGAGACGGCTACTGTGAGAAAACAAAGACAGCAATCAGGGCTGGAAGGCGCAGCACCCCTTCCTTCCAAAAGGCTTATAACGCAGAGCAGCATGATGTAATTCCAAGCGGTGCACCGTAAGCCACGCCTTCCTGCCAACGAGCATCGTGAGTGCGAATTGGCCGACGAGCGCGCCCAGGGCCAATCGCTTCCTCAACAGTACCACGTACCCGTTCAGCCCGCACGACGATAGTCACTGTAAGCGGCTCACGAGGTGCTCCACGGATGTCAGAGGCACGCAGATCATCCAGAAGCCATGTTTTACTGCGGGGCTTCTGCAGGGGACCAACCGAATTGCGGGGACAGGCGGGGGCTTTTCGCAGCCACATCCCGCTCTCATTGGCCGCCATTTGCGTAGCGCTGAAGCTTGGCTCGGCGCATGCTTTGTGTCGAAACATCATGCTTTCATCACAAGCCATGATGGAAATGTCAGAATCCCATTCAAGACCCCTACATGCCGGCCTACCAGTCGGCAAGTTGCCGGATTGGCGGTGCTGTCAGGCACGCGTCAGTCGTCCGACTGATAAGAGTTACCAGCAGCCGCAGCGATCCGTCACGATCTTCACCATGTACTCACGATGAGGTACCCTGGTGTTCAGCTTTGCCTTGACCGCCCTCTAGGGCTCCGGCAAGTCCTCCGACTACCCGCGTCCTGTTCGAAAGCGCTAGCGAGGAGCAGAACCCTTGGTTCGAGACGCTCGACACCCATGCCTGCAGTTTTCCCTCGTCAATGGTGAAGTCGTCCAAAAAGCTTTGCTGCCGCGCGGCACCGAGCTGCTTCCACATGTCGGCATACTCAGATCTCCCACTAGACTTTGTGGGCCATTGTTCGGGGTCGATGAACCACTGACAGCCTTGAAGGAGCGCTTTGCTCAAATTAACACTATCATCTTGTAGGATCTCCTGCAAATGTTGGAACCACCAGATCTTCGCCCAGAAGCCTTCCTGTTCCCGCACGTCCTTCGGTATAGATTGCAGGTAATTCTGTGTGACCATTGCAACGAAAGTATCTCAGTTGTGGCCTTCGTCAGCAAGATCAACACCTTGGTTCAGAAATTTCGCAATGAGCTCTTCAACAAGGTCGAAGTAGACTAAGCGTCCGGCATCTAGGAATGCGTCAGTCTGCCGCTGTTGCCGCTTCTCCTCGAATTCTACCAACATAGCATCGTCTCTGATGGGGATCGCTCGACCATGGTTACATATATGCACTTCTTCTAAAAACTGAGGGGGGATTATTTCGTGGAAAGCTGAATATGTCCCAATGGGAATGTATTCCCTATTGCTGAATTTGTAGCGCCAAAGGAAGCGCTGAATCTGAATGATGGTCGCTATCTGGCCTTCGAGGCGGATGACGCGGTTGTAGGCCTTGTGGTCAGGGTCGATGAGTGACTGACGACCGAAGATTGCCGGTCGGCGTATAGTTCGTCGTTTACTGTTCCGGGGAGGCATTTTACGTTGTCCTGGTGTTGTTCAAGGATTGGAAGAATCGTTTCGGATAGCGATATGGAGTGCGCAAGTTGGGGCTTATGATGCAGGTCAAATCCCGGACATGTTGAACACGTCACTGCGACAAGACCCTGCACATCAGTCTTTGCGTATCAACGACCGTTTCACTCCCGCATCACATACACGCACTTCACTCTTTTCCCATCAAGCAATATCGATTCACACCTAACGGCCCCTCCCTACCCCGACTTCCTTTCCTCAACGTGCTCTACAACATCTCCAAGGCCCTTCTGACTTAACACCTCTTCGTCATCCCTCGCCATACGCTCCACCGCCTCCCTCTCCCGCTTCTTCTCATCCCTCCTGTACAACCACTGACTCAACATGAAGAAGAACCAGCAACCAAATACAAAAGCGATATTTACACTGTACCCCTTCTTCCAGCGCGGAGCCTCCACCTGCGGGAACACGACAACAGGGTAGAAAGAAAAGATCGCCCATCCAGACGTAAGCATTGCGCCCACGGTGACGGCGCGGGCTTCGGCATCGTCGCGGAGGGCAACGTTGATGAAGGGCATGAGGATCGGGGTCACGGCTGCGGAAACGCCGAGCAGGTAGTACGACGCAAAGTGTAGTCCTTTGGGAATGTCCCAGACCAGCAGACAGATGTTTGCGAAGAGGAAGATGACTTGGACGACGCTGAAGACGGTCCAGAGAGGGTAGATCATGCAGAGGGAGGTTGCGAGGAGGGCGGCAACGACGGAGACACCCTGTGCACCTGTGGGGATGACGTTGATTTGGCCGACGGTGTAGGCATGGTACTTCGTGGCGAGGTCTTTGAGCCAGAGGGCCATTTGCCCGTGCGGGTAGGATGAGGAGAGGAAGCTGTTATTCATCAGCTGCCATATACTGAGAACTTCGAAGCACTCACAATGTGTACGCGCCCACGCCGACATAAAACTCCCATCTCCGCAGCGTACGCTTGACAACACTCCAGTTTAGCTTCTTGCTGTCTTCGATACCGATGTCGCGCACACGCTTGATCGCGAGCGCATGCTGCTCCTCTGTCAACCACCATGGCTTCGCGCTGCTCGGCAGACCCGGGAAGATGAAAAATCCTGCAATCGCAATGGGTAACGAAATGATGCCGTCGATGATGAACAGCCATCGCCATCCAGCCATTCCTCCAACCCCATTGAGATTCTCATACGCCGCCTTTTGCAGATACCCTCCAAACATGACCGCAATGTTGTTCGACACATACCACACGCCTGTCCTCTTGAAAACCTCTTCCGGCCTATACCAGCTTCCCAGCACATACGTTGTCCCGGACGCGACGGGTGTTTCTAGCAGACCAAGGAGAAAGCGCGTGCCATAGATGTCGTGCTCGTTGCGCATCTGCGACTGGCAGAATGTGACGATGGACCAAAGGACTTCCATCGTGGGGAGATACCAGCGGGCAAGGCTAGGGCGGGAGAGGATAAGCAGCGAGGGAATCTGGCACACGAGGTAGCCGATATTATAAAAGGTGCCAAAGAAGGAATATTGATTGCCATAGAGGTTCAATTCTTCTTTCATGCCAGACACGAAAGCATTGTTTATGTTGGAAGAATCGAGCCATTTGAGGAAGACTGGGGAGGGATTAGCTGGTGGAATACTCAGGCAGCTCCGCCTTCTCGCCTCTGGAATACGTACACATGAATGAGCAGAAAGTCAGCAAGCACGCATCCAGTTTCCGTAGCAGCGCACGCTCTTCCTCGGGGTAGTGCTTGGGGTACCATTCCCACAGGTACATCCACGCCTTCCACGGCGACCGCTTCGGTGCATCAGTCGGTGCAATCGTATTCGCATTCCTCCAATCAACCTGACCGGCTCCCTCGCGGGGTGCTGTCGCCATAGGTGCCTCCTCTCGCGGTGTCGTCGCCATGGCTCGAAGAGCGTGTTCGTTCACAACACGAAACACAAAACACCTAAAAAGACAACAACGCTGTGGATGCGACCGATAATCCTGGTCCCCCCGCCTCAATTTGTAGCCCTACCATCCCCGTGGGCAATATCAAGGTTGGACGGTATAGCGGTCGTGCACGCGTGCGGGCATCGGGGGATTTCCCGACCGGGGCGCCAATAGTGCGGGGTGAGCGCCCGGGGGAATAACTCCACGAACGGCGTGTGGCGGGAAGTGGGCCGCCGATGCGGTGAGTAAGACGGCACGTGCTTTGGACTCCTGGACGGGATTATGGGGTTGGAAAACCTGGTTTGTGGGCACATGTGCAGATGGCGAGGGGATCGGTTTGGTGTCGTGTGGGATATGCTTCCTTGCAGCGCGGCGCCAGCATGGAGAAGGCCCCAGATGACGAGGTGCTACAGAGTTGAGCACCAGCGTTTCTGCTGTGCACTCCAGTGTCGTTCGTGAAGGAGTAGCTATTTGAGCTAAGATGAACAAGAATGGTGCAGGAACAGAGATCTGGACGGAATTGCCAGCTGCGACAAATCTTCATCACCCCGACGAAGAAGGAGCATTTGCAACATCGCATATCATGGGAAAGCTAATGTACAGTGTTCAACTATTCGATTGCTCCCCCGCAGTCCAACTAGCGATTCTCTGTTAATCTAGAGCCGCGATCATCTTATCCAAGCTGTTCTCGACAGTTACAGGGTCGCGAACTGCGTCCCACTTGTAGTTCAGCAGGCCCCAAAACTCTTCCGGGCCTTGTATCGTGTTCGGCGTACGGTTCGGTCTCGTTTGCAGATAGAAGCTACCCGAGATCTCCCACTGCATCCAACTCACTCGATAATCTTCTACCATCTCGATCAAACACTTGTTGTACGTTGTCTGGTTCCAGTACGTTCCATTTTGGATGAAGCCCCATTCGGTGATTGCAACTGGGAACAGGTATTGTGTAGCGGGATCGGAGGCATTTACGGCCTGGAAACCCTGCTTATACCAATTTGCCTTGAACGTAGGGCAACTGTTTTGAGTCACCTCGAAGTCGTATTTGTGGAGCTCGAGCACAATCTTGTCTTCCCAAGCGAAGTTGCTCGGCACAAATGTCGCGGTCTTATTCGCGGTCGCGGTTCCAGCAGTACCGTTCAATGTCTTCCCCAGAGGTATCGGGTCGATATATGTGTCGTAGCTCAGCCCGGAGAAAAAGATTAGAGCATCGGGTGCAGCCTCATGAACAGCATCCGCGGCCGCTGTCATATGGACGTACCACGTGTACCAGTCCACTGGTTCGGAAGTGGTTGCCTTGCGGAGCTCATTACGAAGTCCGACTGATGCGAATGTTGGCCAATTCTCTCTCGCCTGCCCAATGTTAGATCGGGAAAATTATTAGGAAACATACTCATACGTGGCTCGAGATGAAAGACCATCCGCGAATCCAGTTGTCCACATTGAAGTATTTCTCACCAAACCAACCGTTCCCGTCATCATCGCCACAGCACCAGAAAGCTTTCGACACATGGTTGTCAAGATGCAGAATCACCCCTTGGTCTGCCAGTTCCTTCGCTACAGCGTCCCAGACTTCCAACCTAGTGGTCTCGTTGGTGAACTGCGGATTGTTCTCCAAGATCTGCTCCAACACCAGCGTTCCGTTTTCCTGTCCCAGAGCGTTGACGACAGATTTCTCGAGAGTTTGACTGGTATTGTTACTGTAAATGTCGTCGATCATCTCTATCGCAAAGGTCATCCGCACTGAATTGAGTCCAAACTTGGGGATCCAAGCCACGATCTCGGCAACGGAGGCATGTTGAAGGCCTTCTGGAATCATGATCTCCTGGTGACCGGGCCAATTGGTGCCTTTGTAGTGAAATATGTCTCCATTGCTGTCCAAGATGTCCCTCCCTTTGGTCGAGAAAGGCAGATTGGGAGCATCACGTTTGGTAGAGGCTGCTGGCAGAGCAGCAGCGACTGCGCTCAGGAGGAGCGTCATGGACGCGTAATTCCACATGGCTCGACAATGACACTGAAAGACTGAACAAACAACTTTTCCGATTACTCTTTCCGCGAACCTGGTTCTTATCGTTTGCGTACCTTTCGGCGCGTCATAATTGATAGATTAATCGTACGAGTAGTCTCCCGTGCCTGCGGTCCAAGAGCTATTTCTTGACCTACAAGACTTCATGCGGGGTTACGTGCGCTACTGAGGTACCTAAGATGACTTTACCTCCCACTAGGCAATGGATGCGTTTCCAGAAATGTACCATTCCGAACCACTTGGTCACGAGAGCAATTTAATATCAAGCGTCCCGGTCATGTTGCAGCCACAACGACTTTTGCCGAGCGGCAAATACTTTCTTTGCAGGACAACGGCCGGGACCGGGCATCGGGCTAATGGCGATCCCGTTTTTATCCCGACCATTCGCGAGCAGTTCTTCCGAGACTTATGATCATTGCCCCGCGACCTGCAGCATAGCTCTCGTAGCTTTGGCATGTGCTTCAATACGAGGTGTTTGTGTTGCACAGCGCAGCGCCCCCAGGTCGAGTCACGGTACTTTGAGACTTCGTGATACTATATCAAAGCCAGCTACAAAATTTCGCAATGCGTGATACACCTGCGAAGGTGAGCGACGCAGCGAAGACTCTAAAGTATGTACTGGCGGTCCGCGTTAGTGGCAACTATTGACATGGCCAAGGGTCAAGGGCATAGATCTTAGCCAAATATACTCGGAGAATGTGCTTGCGAAAGTCGTTCAAGTTGCGCAGAAGGGTCTGAAATCCAAAGTACGATGTTCGTTACGTCCTCTTGACACTGTCTAACATTGGCAGGCGCCCCTCGAGACGTACCCCCACACAGTCTCCCAGACAGGACCTGGTGCAGGACGCTATGAGTATCGAGAAGCCGACTTCTGGACCTGTGGTTTCTTTCCAGGGTCTATCTACACGCTCATTGAGCGGTCGATCAGATATCCGAGGGTTATCGATGTACCATCCCATCCACCTTCCCAATTGAAAGACCAACTATTGAAACTTGGACGCCATTGGTCTGTCGCAATCAATCAAATGTCTGGACGTACCGACACGCATGACATGGGGTTTATCGTCCAGCCGGCCTTGCAAAAAGACTATGAGCTGACTGGGAATTCTGAGAGCCTGGAGAGTGTGGTGAAAGCGGCATATGCACTCGCTAGTCGGTATGATGACCGGGTCAAGGCTATTCGCAGTTGGGATGTTGCCATCAATGATCGGTATTCGATCACTGATATGGAAGAAAACTTCTTGGTGATCATCGATAGCATGTGCAGTAAGTCGGGTGGTGAACAGCCTGATATAGTGACTGAGAAGTGTAGATCTTGATCTCCTCTACTGGGTCGGCCACACGCAACAGGACAAGCGCCTGTTACAGATCGCAACTCAGCACGCAGATACTATCATACATGAGATTCTCCGCTCGGATCATTCATCTTACCACCTCGTCAACTTTTCGCCCAAGACTGGGAAGCCGCAAGCCAAGATGACGAATCAGGGCCACAAAGACGATTCAACATGGTCGCGTGGCCAAGCTTGGTCTATCATGGGCTTTGCGCAAACTTACACTTGGACGAAAGACACAAAGTACTTGTATACAGCGATAGAATGCGCAAAGTACTTTTTGCGAAGATGCGAAGAGGGAGAAGGGAAGTGGCATCACCCGCTTGTCCCAGCTTGGGATTTTGATGCTCCGCAGGAAGATGAAAAGGAACCGCTGAGGGATGTATCCGCGGGAGTGATTACAGCGAATGGTTTGGTCATGATCCACCAAGCGCTGCAATCGCTGCCCTTTGAAGAAGCCCACAAGCTGTCACCCTCTAGCACGGACTTTCTTCAGGTGGCCCTTGATATAGTGGGCGAAACCTTGGATATGGCTTTAGACGGCGATTATGCATCGCTTGAATCTCCAGCTACCGTCAATGGTGATGGTGGAGCAAAACCATCACTCACTGTCAAGGAAAGTGGCTTCGAAGCATTACTGAGACATTCTACGGCAAATCATAACGAACACGCACACAAGCCATATTGTGATCATGGGTTAGTTTACGCGGACTACTTCTTCTTAGAGTTTGGAAACAAACTTCTGCGAGCGGGCTATCTATAGATTCGCTGTAATTCCCGTGAAGGCTTCCGACCCTTCTGGGTAGTTCATATATGTGTCAATAGATGTGTTTCAAAGTGAGGAAATACAACAAAACTTGAATGCGAATATTATATTTATTAGTCTTGTGGGCACGCGATGAAATCTGACGACGGCGCTTTATCCTTCGTTGGGTGTGAGATCTGCGGTACGTCTCTCCACTTTTCTCCAAGGGCAACCTCGCTGTACTCGTTTTCAAGCCCTGTCCTTCGTGCCACGGCGAAAACAGCAGTGACAAAATCCATGCTTGAGCTTGGCTGTATTGTTGTCGTACTGATGGTCGTCGGAATCAGTGTTCTTTGCCACATCAGGTCGGTATTGGAATCCGGCTTGAGTACCTCCCCCTTGGACTGCTGACAGTTGGTAGAGATGAGAGATCGTATGCCACTACTACCAGCATTCGAGCATATGAGCGCGGCTGTCGATGTCTCTAGTGTTCCTTCTGGGAAAGCAGATCTACTACTTTCCAAGAACCTTGCATCACCTTCTCTGGAACAAGGCAAAACCCCTCCAAGTGTGTGTTCCCGTCCTTGAATCGCGAAGCCACCCTGCACCGTTCGAATCGTAACCTCCGAGCTTCCCAGGTTCTCGATTTGATGCACCCGCAAGTGCCAGTCCGGCCATCGCTGACATGGCGCAATAAGAGTTGTTTTCACTTGGATATCTGCGTCTTTCCAAGGCCTCCACGTATTCCTTAATGCAGGTATCTCTTCCATTATTTGACAGCCTCTTCGCAGCCACGCATTGTCGAACCGATAGTCGTGGACTTTCCATGGTACGCGCCAGGTATCGCCATCATCTTTGCTCAGCGCAAGTGTGTTATCTGGAGCGATTTGCTGTATTAGGGACCCTGTAGGTACACTGAATCCAAATTGCGAGGAGTAGGCGAATTTTCCATATTTGGCTTCAGTCGCCTTGAGCGGCCAAGGACAGAATTGGCCACTCGATAACAGGAAGTGATGATTCTCACTATGGCATACAATCTGCATCGCAGGTTTGATTGGTGTTGAGAGTTCAAGCTCTGCGACGGGTAGGGACTTCTCCTCGGCTGTCCAAAAAGGGTGTCCCGGTGGTAGGCCGAGTGCGACGAAAGATTTCAGAGCCCAATAAGGTGACTGAGGAGAATTGTAGTCCTCGCTCATATACATCTGAGGGTACGTGAAGCCGATGGTCAAGGTCCCGTCAATATTGAATACATCGGATTTGGTACTCCACCAGCGAAAATGACGTAGCAAAAGGCCTTTGACTATACCCCAATCGTTCAGTGGCGCCGGTAGATCAACTTCTGCGAAAGCAACTGCGGACCAGAACCCGGCAAAGGCAAATCGGTAGGTGAGGGACCGTCCAAAGGGAATCGCAGCACCTGTTTTGTGTCAGCTATTATTTTCACAGCCAGTCTACGCACCAGTCTTATCGAAGTAACGCCAGAATGACGAAGCGAACAAGATTGCTCTCTCGCGGAACTTCTGACATCGATTCGGGTCAAATTGCTCGGCCATCTTCATGTACAGTAGCTGCGAAAATTGGATTGCAAAACTCCCAGAATAGTAGTCCGCCTGACGACCGTTCTCGTTCCAAAAGCCATCTGCTGACCATCCCTGGTCTAGATGAAAATTCTCCAGCTGATCAAGGTCGTTTTTCATGTATGTCTTTACTGTCTCGTACGGAACACCGCATACCTTGACCAGGGCGAGATTCGTCATCACTCGGAACCACAGCCAATTAGTAATTGGAAAGTCTTTCTCGTTCAAGGTTTTTAGCCACTCGCGGATGTTGGTCTGTGCCCTTTCTGTCTGCTGGTGAAATAATGTATCGGGTGCCGCAAGTAGAGCAAAAGAAATTATCTCCATCTCCACCATTCGTTGATCTCTCACCACGACCGGTCCCCAATATTCACCATGTTCTGGGTCCGTTCCATTGGCTAGGCCGCGAACATATGGTTCAGCTAGTTCCTCGTACTCTCGTGAAGTGAGACAGGATCCATGTAGAAGCGCGCCGATTGCCCATAGCGCCCGAGCAAACCCTTCAAGCTGGGCAGCGATATCGTCGAAATGTGTTCCTGTCACTAATGGAAGCCGAATACGTGCACCACCTGGAGATTGGTAGGGTCGAAGTGCGCGAAGGAGCGAAATGCATGCATCTTTGAAGTCTGCGTGTGTCCTAAAGCCGTTGTCAGAGAAACCTGGGAGCGGAGGCATGACTTGGAAAAGACACGTGATGAGAATGACAACGACTATCGGCTGTGACAGAGATATTGACTGTGTATTAGTGATATTGAAGAGTGTAGAGTCACAACGCGAGATACCTACTACAAGTGGCTAGACATCCGACGGGGCGGCTGAATGTGATTGTGCGGGGACAGTTAGCGGCTGCCTCGGTACTTCAAGTACCCGCTCGCGGGCATCGGCTCAAGTTAGTCGAGGTGCCCACTTCTCCAACATCATTTCCCAACCTTTTATTATGCGAGCTCGATGACCTCTCATTGGACGAATTACTCCATAAATGCTCGCGACGACGATGGCACGTCGTTGCAGGCCTCGTCGGAGGATGTCCCCGCATGCACCTCATGCAAAAAGCGCAAGCTGAGGTGCTCAAGAGAGACGCCTACTTGCTCGCATTGCTTGAGGCTATGTAGGTATGCCACAGTTCTATGTTGGCCGTAAGGTTGACATGGGCGCAGCTTTGGAGTGTACTTATGCCCCCAAACAAAAGCCTGGCCTCAAGACTGGCGCGTTGGAAGGCTTGACGCGGCGCGTTGGTGTGTTGTCGTACGATTCCGTTCCTATGTTTCTTTACTGATCTATGGAAGCGTTCCTTGAGCAAATCTTGCTGGACGAAGTAGGTCGGATTCGTCCGCAATTCGATATCGATGAGGATGAGATCACCAATGGCCATGCTGGCAAAGCACACGAAGCCACTGTCAATCGTCGCATGACGGAACACAGGATAAGCACCGACGGGACAATGAACGAACGCATACACGAAACAACTACAACGCCAAAACAACCTTTGGAAGAGCGAGTGCTGAACCCCCGCAAACGCAAGCTCGAGGAACCTCTCTTTGCGACGGCCCTCCTAGATTTCGAGAACGTTGAAATCGCAGATCACCTACCCTCCCAACCCTCACTCGTCAAGATTGCCGAATACTTTTGCACATCGTTTCACCACTGGGTACCCTATTTGCACAAGCAGAGATTATGCGATACCGTGAGGGGAACCAGAGCAGAGTCTAGGTCCAATATTGTTCTCCATGCCTTGGTCTCTGTAACTCTTCGTCACATGGAAAGACAAGTCCTATGTATGGACGAAGATGAGGTCTTGTGCCAGACGAAAATCTCACGTTTCATTGTTGAGACAATAGCGTTGAAGAACATGTCGATAGACAGTTTGCAAGCGCTGATTCTGATAGTCTTTGACTATGTGAGTAGCAATTTTCATGATGAGCTAGACTAACACATCCAAGCTCAGTGATGGCGACGTGGCAAAAGCATGGCCCTTGATCGGGTCTCTAACACGGACAGTCGACTACCTCCAGCTCACCATTGAGCCAACGGCGTGCCCAGGTGGCGCACTCATGACGTCTTTACAGATTGTTCCTCCTACACAGGACTGGACTTGTCTCGAAGAGCGTCGCCGTCTGTTTTGGGTCATCTTCTTGCTCGACCGCTTCTGTTCAGTTTCCACAGGCTGGAATACCTCGCTCACATCTGAAGATGTGCACAGACGTCTTCCTGCAGATGGCGGTTACTTTACTCGCGAAGAGCCGGTATCCACCCCTTTCTTCGGCATCTGGTCCAAAGCAGCAGGCAGAATAGGCCGATCACTTGCCAACGTTCCGGCCCAATACAACGAGGAGGATCCAGTGACTGAACCAGTACAAGGATCGACTCCAGGATCCGTGGTTGGTCTCATAGATTCTTCCAAACTCGGCGCCTTTGCCTACTGCGTGGAGGCTACCGAATCCCTGAGCCAGGTGACGACATTCTTTCTCCAGCAAAGGATAAACTGGCAGGATAAGGAACATGCCATTAACTGGCTGACGCGGTTCAAAGAGCTTGATCTGCGACTGGTCCAGTGGAAGATGTTCCTGCCGCCTCGATGGAAAGATTCCGATATCTCCCAAAACCGAGAAGTGGTCAACATGGATCCGAACCTCACATTGGCACATATCACACACAATACTTCGATGATACTTTTGCATCACTCTATCGCATATCCACCCAAAGATTGGAGCGACTATATCGCTCTACCAAAGGACTGCAGTGCGCAGACATGCCGACATGCTGCTGTCGAGACGGCGAACATTGTCACTAAATTTTTGACACACACTTTGATCCCGTTCGTGAACACACAATTTGCCTTTTGTACGTTTATCGCAGCAAAGGTGCTCCTCTACGAACATCAAGCCACCGGACGACCGCTTAGGCCAGAGTTTGATCGCATGAAGCGCAATCTGGAGGAAATGTCGGCGCGTTGGATAGCCGGCAAACCAGTGTCGGCCCAGATGGATCAGGCCGCGAGATATGCGCATCATCTTGGGTATCTGCATGATGCTTGCCGCCGCAACGGGTTGTTCACGTTCAACTTCTACGACCATTCATGTCGCTACCCAGGGGTTTGGACACTTGCGACCAACACCCCAGCACCCGCCTCAAGTCCATTGATAACTACCAAGGAGCACGTATGGAGTGCTGGGAGACCGAGCATCGCGTCTAATGGCGACTATGATACTCTGACGAGTCCGAAAACGGTAACTCCACCTGCTCAGAACGTCTCCTCCACCGATTCTGCATCGTCCTTTATCAGGCCAGGCACACAATATTCGGGGGCCCAACCCAGCGTTATGCCATCGCACTACCCAACAGCAATTCCTGAAGGAGGCTATCCGAACGGCGAAGTTCTCGCGGGACACTCACTCCAGGATCAATCTCTTCTAAGCTTGTCAGACACATTGATGGACTCGCAATTCTTGGATATGGATCGTGTTATCACGTTTGAGGACACGAACTTTTATCTACCGGGCGATGCGTATAGATGGCAGACTCTTTCATAATAACGAGGTATGCTTTCCAGCCATAATTACATGACGAAAGGGTTTAGGTGAGCGGGTGCGCCTAGGCTGCCTGTAAAGTACTGCGCATAATTAATAAGTCGTAGAGAGCTTTGCCAACGTTACACATTTATAGACACGTACTGCTGCTCGTATCCCATACCTTAACGGTGCTGTCCCAGGACGCCGATGCCAGCCACGTCAGGCACGATGTTGTCCTTCCCATGCGAGATATGATGATCGGAAATATGGTTCTGGGACCGGACATGTTGGCATTGCCAAGACCTAAACAAGTAGTGTTACATGTAACGTACGTGGCTACGCATAATTAGGGACGCCAGCTGGATAAAGAACCTATAAAGTTTACTTCTTTAGTTAACGCCTATATTAATAAGTGGTTGGCCCCTACGGTCGGCTGCACCTACGCTTAGGGAGGGGAACTAAAGTCCTATTATCTTATAGTAGTAGGCACCCTTTTATATTTATAGATTATTAGTATTTACTACTATCTATTATTAGGCGTTTAGGGGTAAGTTTTAGTAGATAATAGCCTATAAAAGGGCTTAATCTACTATAAGCTTCCTTCTCTTAGGGGATATATATAGTAAAGGTTAGTAGCCTTATACCTAATATCTTCTATTATAGCCTATTCTCTAGGGAACTTAGTAGGGGTAATTAAATTAGTTATATAGTATCTAGGCTTCTCTAGAGTGTTTAATACCTATAGCTAGATATAATTTATTATTATTCTACCTATATAGTAATACTTATATCTACCTCCCTCTAGAAAGGTATCCCTTTACTTTAGTATTAGTTTAGAATAGTTACCTAGTTAATTCTACTAGTAGTTATATACTTATTTTAAAGATTAAGCTATATATATCTAAGTATAAGTAATTATACTATAAAACTATAAATAGCTTATTAAATTAGTTATTATTTATTTAATAGTACTTTACTACTTAGATAACTATAGTAATTCTAGAGCTAATATATACTAAAAATCCTAACTTTAGAAGAGGTATATTTATTAAATAAAAAACTAATACCCTTTAGGGCTCCTTAGTAATTTATAATAACTTCTTAGATTATATAGCTTTACACTAGTAATAGTTTATTTAAATTTCTACCCTATTAACTTTTAATAGTAAGGTATTAGCTTACTATAGTTTTAATAGGTAATAGGGAATTAGGGTTTAATTCTAGAGAGGGAGCCTAAGAAATAGCTACTATATCTAAGGAAGGTAGTAGGCGCATAAATTACCTAATTCTAATATAGAGAGGTAGTAATAATAAATACTAATATAGGGCTCTTTTAGGTTTTATAATTAGAATAAGTATAATTTAAACCTCTTAATAAGAAATAATTAGAGGGTAAGTCTAGTACTAGTAGCTATAGTAATTCTAGCTCTAATAGTATATATTAAAGTTATTATAGTTAAAAAGCTTATAGTTAAATCTTTAGCCTAGCTAGTAGGTCTATCTTACTATATATACTTATCTAGCTAGGCCTTTTCTTCTAGAGAACTATATACCCTTTACTAGGTATATATTATAAGGGGTTTCTATGTACCTAATCTAGGCCGGCCTTATAGGTATTTAGTAGACGAGAGAGTAGATAGATAATAAGGGGTATATAAATATTCTAACCTTACTTTAGAAGATAAGGTAATAATTATATAAGAAGACTAATAGATCTTTAGTATAGAAGATATGCTTTAATTTTAACTATAGAATTTAACTATAAAGAATAGAAAGTAAATAGAGAGTATTCTAGATTATATACTAATTTTTCTAACTCTTACTATTATCTAATTCCTTACTATTATCCTACTAAGCTATTATTATCCCTAGGACATTACTATTCTATAAGATATTATTATATAACTTTATTATTCTACTAAGCCTTAACTTATACGGGACATTATTACATAATATTAGTTATTAGCGTTTTTAATAAAGACTACTTATAGCCTTATTACTATTAGTATTATCTCCCCTTATACTAGTTCCTACTAATACCCTATTAGTTTTCTTTATAATTATAATATTATCTCCCTATTTAGGATTATTATTCTAATACCTTATCCCTACTTTTTACGGTATAGTTATGGTAACTATTAGATATATAAAGGTAGGTTTCCTACCTATTTTAGTAGTATTATATCTACCTCTAGATTTTTCTTACCTTTCTAACTATGCTAAAAGCCCTATATTTAATACTAGATTCCTATTATGCCTATATATAAAAGATTAAGTTATAAGGTCTAGAGATATTAGGTTTACTTAGTTATAAGCACTATAAGAAGCTAAAACTTTAGTACTTTATAAATATAAAGATAGGTTACTATATAGGATACTTCTCTACTTACTAGGACTATAGCCTATAGGTCCTAGAAAAAAGACTAGAATTATATATAAGCTAATAAGAAAGAGGCTTACTTAGCCCTCTTATATTCTTAAGCTAAGATAGCTTACCTAGAGTTAGCTCTAGCTAAAGTAGAAGTATAAAAGTATTCTTTTACCTATTATAACCTTTAGGTTACTAATACTATAGATTAGATATAAGAGGAGGGCCCTTTAGAGGCTATAATAGGTATAGCTCTTAATAACTATAAATTACTACTATTTTTACTCTTATCCGCTAATAGTGGCTAGTTATAGGCTAAACCTTCTTATTCTTTTAATTTTTCTAATTTTTTTACTAACTTCCTAGATCTAATAGTCTCTTTAACTTCTACTAATAGTACTCTAATACTAGTGTCTTATAGTTTATAAGGTTTTCCTTTAGTTTCTAGGTATTATACTTTTCTAGCTATTCTTTCTATTTTACTAAGTACTTCTACTAATCTTTAATTATTTATAGGCCCTTAATACCCTTAACCTTATATTTATTATCTTCTAGTTCTAGCTAGGTCTTAATTAGAGTATTTGGCGGTACTAGTTCTAGAAGGTTCTTATAGAAGGTATTATATACTTTAGTACCTATAGGTAGAAGTAATTTATTTATAACTAGTTCCCTAACTTCTTATACTTTAAAGGGGCCTACCTATAAATAATCTAGTTTTTTACTTTACTATTTAGTCTTTAGGTTTTTTTATAATAGGAAAACTTTATCCCTCTCCTTAAAGGTTAGTCCCTTAATTCTTTACTTATTTATATTTTTAGATATTAAGAGGGCCTTTTATATAATTCTTTTATATAGAATTTTATATAGTTCCTTTATTTTCTAAGCTTTATTATAAGCTCCTATAGAAAGGCTTTCCACATCTCTTAGATTCTAATAAATAACTAGTTTATATCTATAGTTAGCGTAGTATAGAGAGTATCCTATTATACCTAACCTAGAGCTATTATACGCTAATTACGCTATAGGTAAGAGTTCTACCTAATTATCTTACTATTTATTTATATAGAATTATAGATACTATTCTAGTATCTAATTTATATATTCTATTTATCTATCTATCTATAGGTAGAAGCTTATTAAGAGTTTTCTATTTATCCCTAGTATTATAGTAAACGTATCCTAGTATTTAGATATAAAGAGTTTATTATAATTAGTAATAAATTCTTCTAGTAGGCTATACTCTATAAATAGTATATTATCTACCTTATATACTAGTTCCTCTACTAATATAGACTCTTCTATTAGCCTAAACTTAGTAGCTTTTATAAGTTAATCTACTATAACTATAATAGTATTTATTATAAGGGGTTTCTACGTACCTAACCTAGGCCGGCCTTACGGGTATTTAGTAGACGAGAACGAATAGATAATAAAGGGGTTTAGAGAATATCTCTACCTTACTTTAGAAGGTAAGGTAATAATTATATAAGAAGACTAATAGATCTTAGTGTAGAAGATGTACTTTAATTTTAACTATAGAATTTAACTATAAAAAATAGGAAGTAAATAGAGAGTATTCTAGATTATATACTAATCTTTCTAACCCTTACTATTATCTAATTTCTTACTATTATCCTACTAAGCTATTATTATCCCTAGGATATTACCCTTCTATAGGATATTATTATATAACTTTGTTATTCTACTAAGCCTTAACTTATACGGGACATCGTCACGTAATATTAGTTATTAGCGTTTCTAATAGGGACTACTTATGGCCTTATTACTATTAGTATTATCTCCCCTTACGCTAGTTCCTACTAATACCCTATTAGTCTTCTTTGTAATCGTAATAGTATTATATATATATTTTATTTCTAGTTATAGTAATTTTAGAAGCTTTACTATAAAGTCTATTATTATGCTCTACTATAGCCTTTTTATAGATAGTAGTAGTTATAGGAGTCTATAAGGCTTATATCTCTTTAGCTTATTTTTATAATATGCTAAATAGTTACTTATTTCCTTTATAACCTTTTACTTAAGTTTTAGAATAGTATATTTATTTATAATATAATATATTATCTCTTTAATACTAGGGTATCCCTATTTCTTAGACTTATATAGCTTTCTAATTAAGATAGGTGCATATTAGTCTTTTACTAGTATTCTTTACTTATAATCTCTCTAGGTTTTATTAAACCTATTTTAGAATAGATTATACTCCTCTCTTTACTTTTTAGAGATTTAGGAGTAGTCTTAGAAGTTATATACCTCTAGTCCTATATACTAGAAAGAGGCTACTTAAGCTTTAATTTTTAGTTAATTATATTCTAATATTCTATCTTTATGTGCTTATAATATAGTATTATAGAGGTTAGCCTTATCTTTTATTAGATCTAATTTTCTACTTAAGGCGTCTACCGCTCTATTAAGCGTTCTAGGTTAATAGTAAATAGTAAAATTAAAGTTTACTAGAAACTCTACCTATTATACTTATTATTAATTAAGCTTCTTAGTTAATATAAAGCTAGTAAGGTTTTAGTAGTCTATCTATACCTTAGTTTTAAAGTATACTTCTATAAGTTAAGCTTTCTATTATTTAAAGGCGTCTACTACTCCTAGTAGTTCCTTATTATAAATATTATAATTA